ATGTAACTCTAGGACTCTAGAAGCTATCCTTAATGTAGAGTTATACTCCCTCCTTCGCGGAGTTATTTCTTTTTAGCCCGCTAACGTCGGCTTAGTAGTGCATTCTCCTATCGAAGGGTATTAACCTTAGACTTTAAAAGTGCGAGATAGTGTATGATTCCCGTCGCCTCCTTTATAAACTAGTCGATCGCCTCTAGAATCGGTATCGGAGAGCTTCCTTAATGATAAGAGACTCGATTCTTAATAAAGGTAGACTATAAGCCGGCTTTAGTAGGGTTATTAGGGGTTTTTAAGATCTATACCTAGGTCTCGGCTTAAGCCTCTATATTAGGTATTAGTATCCGTAACTTTACATTAAGACGTATAATTATACTTTCCGGGTCGAAGGGTAGTAGTCCGGCCCCTCTAAACCCTACCTAGATATTAGCGATTATTATTGCTTACTAGAATACGGCTAGAAAGGCGGGAAAGAAGTCCTCCTTACTAATATAGGTTGTACCGGCGCGGACTCTCTTCTCGATTTAACCACTATACGCGCGTTTTAACGGGCTAAAATAACCTATATCTAGAGGCTAAAGGATGTAAGATGAATGAGCCGGTATATAAAGCGTAATAATGTCGTTATCCTTATAGTAGAGCTTAAAATCCGTAGAGTGATGACTTTTATAGCTATTAAGGACGAGGAGACGATACCGACCTATTTTCCGGGGCTTAGTGTACTAATCGAAGTGCTAAATCCATTCTAGACCTCTCTTATTCGTAGTCTAGCCATTTAAAGACGTAGCGATAACCTAATCCCTTAGGAGGGTACTATTTTAGTACTAGGTCGAGAGATGAAATTTACCCGAAACGATGATATACGGCGGGACTATCTAGCCCTACGTATTAACACCCTAAATTACTATTATCTATTCCCGATTGCCTAGCTAGACTAGCTTCGCATATAAATGCCTTTCGGTATTCGTGACGACGGTCCCTATAGTGATAATACCTATTATAAACCCGGTCTCGTTAAAGTTATAGATATCCGCGTCCGCTACGCTATACTTAGCGATTATATTCTTTATAAGCGAAAACTACGCGCGAATCGCGTCGGGATCTTCGTACTAGGCTCTCCTATAGTCATACCGACGAAGAAAACGCGTCCGGAGCTCTAGTTATCGTTTAACAAAGTTTGACGCCTACCGCTTCCCGATAGACGGCGCATTTCGCTCCGCTAGTAGTCGGTTAGCTATTTCTTCTATACTAGCGAGTCGGGGAGGGTAGGATCGCGCATCGAGGTTAAGTATATATCGGATAATAGTCCTCTCTTCTAGGGAAGTTAGGTTTCGTAAGTTAGGTATGCTATCGCCTCGAGACTAAGTGCCCTTAAGTTGACGAGATAAGGTAACGTAACTATAATTATAGATCTTTGCCGCGGCCCGTACACTAAGCGATTAGTCTCGTTCAATAGCTTAAAGAGTAAGCTTTATTTAACGTTCGTTACTAACTATTGACATGATGCGTTATGGAGAAAAACATGTTCAAAGTTGGAGGGTGCGAAAATCTAGTAGGGTGTTTCACTCGCTTGTCTATTTCACTCGCTTATCATGTACGTTATATAGACTACGAATAAATAAATTAGGTTACGATACTACTAATTATATAATTCTACTTTAATAACTATAAGTTAGTAATAGAACTAAGTCTATTCTACGTTAACTATAGGTTCTACCTAAGGCTAGAAGATAATATCTAAGAAAGCTTAAACTTAAGAGCGCTAATAAAAGCTAAAATAATAAAGGAAATTCACGATAGATTACGAAAGAATCTAGAATTCCTCGTAGAAAGAATAGTAAAATACGTAAATAGGAAAAGGGTCGAGAGACCGCCTCTAGAGGAGGGGGACCCTATCTACCTTTTACGAAAAAATATTAAAATAAAGTAACTAAGCGCGCAGCTAGATTACGTTAAGCTAGGACTATTTAAAGTTAAAGATAGAGTAGGAAAGGTTAACTATTAACTAGAACTCCCTAAAGATATAAGGATTTATAATATATTCTATATCTTATTACTTAAACTAGTACTAAAGGACGCTAAACTAGTCTAATCGCTACTATTAAATAAAGAAGTTATAATAGAAGAGTATAACGTAAAGAAAGTACTTAGAAGACGTATTAGGCGTAGTACTCTCTAGTACCTAATTAAGTAGTTAAGATATAATAAGTTAGAGAATAGTTAGGAACTAGAAGCTTACCTATTAAAGGAAGTTCTAGAGGAAGCTTAAGAGTAATACTTTAAGTAGTTTTACTAGATAATATAGCTTCCTAATTAACCTACTTAACGTTTAGAGCTCTAAACTAGATAAAGTTAGGAGAGACTAGAGCTACCTCCTTAGAATCTAATAACCTATTAAAGATACCTAAGGCTTATATCTTACGACGTAATATTTAACTTAATACCTCTTCTAGATAAATAAGGTTATCTTATACGGAAACGTCTTCTTCTTTAGCCTCGGTAAGAAGCCTCCGTAGGCGAGTAATTTCCTTTCGCTTCGCTCGCGACTTCGTAACTAATTATTTCTTTTATTCCCCTACTTTTTAGAATTCTTCTATCGAGAAAGTACTATTATACTTTCGTTATTTTCGGAGATATTCGGTATAAGAAGACGACTATTCGCGGTCGTAGTAATAGATAACTCCGTAGTTAATATACTTAGTATAGGCTACTATCGCGATATTCTTAGGATTAGTAGAAATAGAGTTAGCGAGTTCGATATAACGTTTACTTTAAGTTTTTATAGGTTTCGTAGAACGATAAGGTTTAACTATATAGAAGGGCTATATAGTTAGCTATAGGAATAGAGGAAAGAGAGAAACGAGAGATAATAGAGGGTAGGCGCGGCCTACCTTAAGTACGTTAAGGATAACGAATAGGATAGAGAGGGGATAGTATTAGAGACGGCCTTTATATAATCTAGAGTGTAGGGCGCCTAGAGGTAGGTCTACTAAGTGCGGTAGCCTAATAAAAGGAATAAGGCTAGGTTACGTATAGTACGTAACTACCTAAAGAGGAAAGAGACGATATATCGATATATTAGTATAGACTATATTAACCTATCGATATACTACTTCTAGTTACCTATTCAGGATATATCTTATAAGTATATAGCTACGCTTATTACCCTTTTATAGTTACACTCTCTCGTAGCTAACTTATAATATCTACTTCACTATACTATTCTGAAGTCACTCGACTACTTATACCTTACGTACTCTTGGCCTAGCTTATGCAATAAAGGAACTATAACTGAGGAAGTCTAACCTAGTTAGACTATATAGGAAGTAGCTCTGACACTAGGGTAATATAGTGAAATTCTTTACTCTTATAACTAGACGCGAAAGTAATAGGGGATGACTAAGAGTTTTTATTAGTAGACGTATCACCTATAGATAGATAACCTAACCCCTTATACTAAGACCTATTTTATATATAGATGGGTTACCTAGCTAGACTAGAATAGAGTTAGGGTGTTTCACTCGCTTATCTATTTCACTCGATTATCATGTACGTTATAATAAAATAAAAATATCTAGCGGAAGCCGTTAACCTTAAGGGGTAGAGGAAGGATAGAGGAGAGGGCGGAATACATAGTATAACCTTTACTATTTCGTTCCCTTACCTCATCTATCTATTCCTTCAGCCATCCAGCTAGCAGCGGGTTTACACAATCTTTAGCTATCCTCACCAGAAGAAAAGCGCAATTCAGAATCAGTCATGTATTGTAATGGGGGAGAAAGGCAAGCCGGAACGTGATTGGTGGAATTAGCCTGTACAATGTATAGGTAGGCACTCTTGATCATTAGTTAGTGGGGATACGGGCATTAGGTCTGAGTTTTCCTTTTCTTTTTCCTTAAGAAGAATATATACACACCGTAAGATACGGTAGAGAGTAATCAAGTTATCTATCTAGTTATGGAACCTATCTGATTAGGACCTTCTATATTGTTGTTATTGTTATTGAGCGAGAGTCGTTACCCCTACCACTATGCCCACCGCCGTACGAGTTGATACCTCTGGCTAAGAGCCTCGCCCTAGTTCAGTATGCTACGACAACACGCCGATACACAAGAGAGAAATAGTCTCCGTCCAACATTGCGTTGTCGTGTTCATTCGACTGGCACAATTGAAGCTGGAGTGGCCGCATCGACTTTCCCCGCGGACGCGTCCGTGGCTTTGTGACTTAATGGAGGAACATGGTGAATTCTACTAGGTCCTGGGGACCGTCTGACTATATACCTTCGAGTAATTTACAGGGCCATACCGGCGCTAGTCCGAAGGCCTTCGGCCGAAGACTAGCGTGACGGTCATTATATGTCCTTGGCATCCCTACTAGTCACAGCTTCTAACCGCCGTGTCATGTGATCATCAGGCGCGGGCTAATGCGCCTACCAAGGAATCGCAGATTCCCCTTTCCCTTCATTTAACATGGACTTTTTGAAGTCCATCTTAGACACTTTTTTAACGACTAAAATGTTCGAGCAAAATGCTCTCAAGCCTAAATCTATTGGGTGATAAAAGGCGGCTCTCTGACGAACTATCCTCGAACTAAGGCGGTGAATAGACTCTGGCACTATCGATTGCAAGGGAGCAGGATAGACGGGACGATAATCAACACGCGAGAACCTAATCCAGATGTTTAGACCATCAGCGTGAACGCCGTGTGCCAGTCCTTCCCGTGTAGACGCGCTTCAAGAGCTCTCTGGATGGGCGGAAACAAGAGAGGCCGTCGACGCTAGGCGATATATCGAAGGTAGTATGTTCTGCGGAGGAGTTGTTAGTACTACGAAAGAGTACCTAAAGATCAGGAACGATCACCCTGATACCTCGACGTCGAGGCCGACGATATGTAGCGGTACTTCAATTGACCGGGGAAATAGTGTAACTACATAGGAGGAAACTCGATTTAGATCTCAGACGTCGAAGACAATGTACAATCTGACAAACATATCTCCCTTTCCTTACCTCCTTCTTTGCGCTGGCGTATGCTGGATCCTCAAGTCCATGCCATACGTGTGGTAATTCTGGTCCTTCAGCAGTAGACTAGCGTAAGTATTTACTGCGTTCATGTTGAGAGGCTTCGGCGGCGGCACATCTGGTGCATTGACGAGCTCCAGACAAGGTCCATCTGCCACTATAGACGAATCATAAAGGCCGGGGTATTTCACAAAGAAACCAGGATCCAGTTTCAGCACCCATCGGCCAAAATTTATCAGTTGCTGGCAATAGGCGCTCGTTGCTGCTTTTGTCCGTTTCAGCGGTCCTTCGCTCCACAAATCGTGCGCCAGTCCATGGCCTGCTGAATCGGATGGATCGAGGGTGGCTCGTAGCGCAGTCTGAACGAGTCCGGTCACGCTTTTATATGACCGGTCAGCAGACCCATCTCGAACGGGAAATTCTTTCTGCAGCACAAATGACTTGTGCATGTTTCGGAAGACTTGGTCGACATCATATCCGTCCGACAGTATTAAAGTGTTGCGTATACTTGGAAATGGAATCCAGTCAATGGCAGAGAGGTATGGGAGCGCAATCTGGACAGGCGTGGGCGTGTTCGTGGCGGGAATATCGGCCGCAGCTTCGGCTGTGCGTGTGACTTGCCACCACAGCACCCATCGGATTGTTGTGTAGGAATCTGTGATCTCAAGCCAGTTCTTCATGTTGGGGCAGCATTCCTCAAAAAATCCGTCTATCATGGCGTCGATCAGTTGCGGGGCCCTGTTTTATTCATCCTCGTCAGTACCACTGGCTCAGGAGGGAAACTTGGGCCAGGACAGCAAAATTGAGAGACATATACCGCGTATGCTGGCGTGCAATTCCCCCTCTTCTGAGTATGTTGATTATGCAATCCAAGTGTGCTGAAAACACAGAAGTGGGAGCTGAGATTCCTGTGTCTTTCCCACTCATCATTGTCATCGGGGTAATTGGCCTGAAGTTGTTATCGAAGCAGGTGGTATCGTAAGCACTCCAGGTCTCATCGCTGACTGTAGCCGTACCTATCATCTCTGCATCTAATGTGTTTAGAGTATCCGATGTGTTCGGGAAAGGAATATTCGCTATTTCTTCCGAGAAATCAAATGACGATGACTCCAACGCTTCTGGAACCCCGTCGCGCTGACATTGTATCGTTGTACAGTTTGACTGTGTCGTCTGGTGTCTGAGCGAGGGGGAAACAGACTGTGGTAGGGCGTCGTTGTTTTGGGCAGTAGCTCTTGTCTGGTCGCAGCAAACAGACTCGGAGTCTGCTCTATTTTCGTGTGGTGCTGTGGTCAAGCACACTCCCTCGGACGTTTCGGACTGTTCGCGATCTGAAAAGTCGTCTTTGTCCTCGATAATACCCTCCGGATTTCCAGTCGAAGGTTGAAGCGTGTTCTGATCTTGCTTCGCGCCTGTGCCCAGTATCAGCTCTCAACATTGACCATTACACTACCTTCTGATGAAACCAACCCTTACGAAGGAGATGCGGTGCCAACGATTCAGCCGACGAATTCGCCGTCGTAGCAATGCTGAGAAGTTTGCTTCGCGCTTTCTGCAGTGCTCTCCGGAGTTCGGCCACTTCTTTCATCAAGTCCTGTACGTGCAAGTTTGCATTGTCCCGTTGATAGGATGCAACTTGTTTCTCCAGCTCTTGAATATATGCGGCTTTCCGCTCTCTGGTCGTTCTTTGTGCAAGACGATTTCTGATTCGCCTGGGACGTCTTAGTGTCCATTCCAGCCCTTCAACGAGCATGTCCACAGATACCTCTGGTCTTTCACCCCTGTTGAGGCCATTTCTGTACCTCGATGCCCGGTGAGCAGCGCTGACATTTTACGCTTGACGCGTCGATTGAGTTGGGTTACAGAACACGGACCAATACCAGTGCCCTGATCTAAAATAATGATGGTAGTGTTTATAGGTTCTTTATACCGAGGCGAGAGGGAGGAATATGGAGTATGCTCAGTTGTGAAGTTTCCCGAGGTGCCCTCCGTTTGGCAGATTTGTGCCCACGGGGTTGACCTCGGCTAGGGTCCGACACATGCACGTCTGGTCGCTTCTCGCCTTATCCCCACAACCAACTCTGATATTTAACGTCCACTTCTTTCACTCATGGCAGCACAGTATATTTACAAGGGCCTATCTACTTTTCGTGGGCCCAGACTCGTTGTTACATGGTCACGAGCCAGCTTTACTCCTATAACCAAACGGTGAACTTGTGCAACGAGCGCCACCATAAAGAAACAATCTGTTGATCGCAGAAAAATCATCTCGACGATGCTTTTTGTAAGACCGATGTCTTGTCTTGTACCTAACGGGGATCGTCGTGATCAGTGGTAAAGACGGAACCAAAATTAGAATGCATCATGATCATATCGCCATTCTCTTCTGGGTTGTATCCAATTCGTCGACACAGAGCCCGCGATTGAGATGTTGAGATCCTCATGGCAATGAATCGAATCCTTTTACATTTCGACGGATTCCTGCTTGATCCTTTCGTAGCTGATTTCATACAAGGCATTACTTCCGTCGTGTTCATATTTGCTTCTTTTTGCCATTTTGTCAAGGGGTATATCCTAACCATGGGATGACGATCCGACAATAACTGCAGAGTTGCTTCGCAGACGACTTGAATCAGCTTTACGAGGACAAAGACTGGTCTTGAACACTTACACGGCGTACGCATTGAACCCAATTTTTTTCACGACTTCGTTTACCACACTCTGGAAATTAGGCACTAAGCATCAGGAAAAGATGTGTCTGCAACTAACCAGCGGTTTTGTCCTCTTACCTCGACCCCAAAACTTCCCACACCCTTTCCTTCGCTCATGGCTTCATCATCCTGGAAACCGACAAGAACGATCTCTTTACCTCACTGATTGGCAAAAGATACAGCAAGAGCATTGCCTAAGCCACGAGCTCCTCCCGTGACGAATACAATGTCCTGAACCGCAAGGCTACCCGTTTTTGAGGGCAAAAGAACCCCTAAAATCGGTACCACATGCGTATACAATACATTGCAAAAGATATACACGGATCATATTTAAGAACTTGCCCAAAGCAAGACAAGCTCGAATTGATAGGAAATGTGTACTGCCTGGGTCTGGACGAGAGATCCGGGAAGTTTTTCTGGTGGGTTGTGGCCCAAGTACACGTACTGGGCCGGCGTGTCACTGAGCGATGACACACCACCACTGCTGACACAGCTAGGGTACACTTGCAGTCCCCAAGGCCGGGGTACGCGGGGACCCCATATATTGCATATGTTTAATACATGGGATGGGTTGCCTTCGCTTGTCTGACTCCGAGCTACAACTTCAAATTTCTCTGCCTGATATCCGAATCGCGGTCATTCTCCCCTACAATGGCGATCAACAAATATCAATTCCTCTGTCTCGGGTATGTCACCTTTGGGTCGATTTTTTATGGGTACGACTCCGGTGAGTTTAAGTGTCCATCGCATCTCCAAGTCGTGTATGGTAACTGATCATCTACTGTAGGAATTACCACGTCGATCCTGGGCTACTCGCGCTTCCTCAAGTATTTTGACCTGGACGCAACCAAAATCGGGGCTTTTAGCTCCGCGTACTACGCCGGCTCATTCCTCGGATGCGTCTTGAACTGGTATCTCGCTGACAAGATTGGACGCCTGCGAACAATCCAGCTTTCCTGTGTCATCGCAATCCTTGGAAGTTCCTTACAAACCGGTGCAAAAAGCTTCGCCGTGTTCTGCGCCGGCCGTGCCATCGGTGGCATCGCCTGTGGCATTGTTTTTTCCATCTGCCCCGTCTATGCGAGCGAGATTAGTCCTCCTGAGATCAGAGGCTTCATCGGTGGATTATACGGGTATGTTGGAGTCCTTACTGGCTCATATATTCGGGTTGAAAAGCTAATCCGCACGTAGGTTCAACGTCAACGCAGCATATATGTTAACGGAATGGATGTAAGTCACGGAATGGCACGACTTTTACAAGGCTAATCATGGGTAGTGGCCTGGGATTTTATTTCATCAATTCCGATGTGTCATGGAGATTACTGCTGGGTCTACAGATTGTACCGGCCATAATGATGATTGTTGGTTCTTTCTGGATGCCATTTTCTCCGCGATGGCTTGCTCTCAAAGGCCGATACGACGAAGCATTGGCCGTTCTGAAGCGGATGCATGGTGGCTTGCACGACGAGAGTTTCTACCTACGGGAATATCACCAGATCAAGGCTCAGATTGAGCTAGAAAAGTCCCAAAAGGCTGGAGTGAGGACGATTCTAACACGAAAATCGTACCGCAAAAGGATTATCATGGTGATAGGGATTGCTCTCTTCTCACAGTGAGTCTTGCTCTTCTTCTTTCTGCGATTGCTACATTTGGAACAGCCGAGAAGATTGCCTTGGAAGCCGACTGACCTCATCAGACTGACCGGAGTCATCCCAATTCAAAATTACCAAGTGATTGTCTACCAGACCATGGGCTTTTCAACTGTGCTGTCCTTGGTCTTGACTGGTGTGTATGGCACTATTGCTACTACCTCGGCAGGTCTAGCTATGTGCTTCTGTGACAGAATCGGAAGAAGGAAACTTATCGTAAGAACCTCTTTGCACTGTTATGAGCCGTCCTGAGCATTGGCTAACGGTGGAACCAGTACGTGGCGTATGGGTTCATGATACCTGCATCTCTCGTACTTGTTATCCTATGGGCACGGTACGAAGCCTCTGGGAACACAAATTTCGGTCTAGGCGTCGGTGTGGCCGTCTCCATATATCTCTTTTCGTGCGGCTACTCTGGCCCCATCAACACATTTGTACCGACGGTACGTATCCAGCGCTCTTCGATATTCTTCTCTCGAGTATTGTCGGGTTCCACCCGGACCTTTATGAGTTGTGCTGACCGGTGTTACCCCTCCAACAGTACACCCCTGAGATCCTGCCTACAAGCATCCGCTCCTTTGGCGTCGCATCTTTCTATGGCACCTTCAACGCCATTGTCATTATGCTCGTCCAAGTGACCCCCTTGGCGCTGCAGTCTATAAGCTGGAAATACTTCTTAATCTTCTTCATAGCGGACTGCATTGGCATTGTTCTATTCTACTACCTCTGCCCGGAAACGAGGTTGAAGACGCTTGAGGAAATCGAAGCTCTGTTCGGTGAAACAGTTGCTGAAACCCTGGAAGAAGCGGGAAAGCATTCGGAAGGCGCCGAAATGTCTGTCTACGTCGAGAACATCGAGCAAGTCGTCGACCAGAAGCACGAGGGAGGAGACTTTGAGAAAAACCCGGCCTAAGGCTGTGACTTCAAGGGGCCTGGAGGGCTTGGGAGAGGGATACCACTCAAGATGTACGATTATACGCTTGGCTCTAGGGACAGCAGAGTTTCTAGGTAGTGGCAAGATAAGACATTGCCCGTCTACGATTTATACATGCCAACGCAGTCGGCAGCGATTCCCCCGAACTATACGTGTACCACACTCACCTCGGATAGACTGTGCACCGTAAATGCTCGGCATCAACGCACACGTGAAAAGAAGGCCAAGTTCTTAACTAATCGGTGGCATCTGTGCAGAAGGATTCAAAGGTATCTCGTGCGGATACCCAAAGAGTGGTACTGTGCGATCAATACCCTGCAATGCTCCCTCGCTAGTACCTCGCGACCTCGTCTAGGCTCTGTATAGGCTTCCAGATTGCGGGGTGTTGTTTCAGAGTCAGGAAATCCCGAGTCATGGGCACTCCAGGGAATGGCATCTTTACCAAGAGCAGTGCGAGTCAGTATTCTGTGACGACACCTAGGTATTGACGGGGCACTTGGTGTGTATGCTTTTGCTGACATCGATCGCGGCTTTCATGACTAGGAGAGAGCTGCGTCCAAGCCTCCAAGGTGACTTTAAGGCTTTCAAACTTCTCCTTGCAGAAGGCCCGAGAGGTGCAGCTAATTAGTCGCTAGGGAATGAATAGAGGCTTCTATTCTAGGACGGTCAAAGTTCTTGCCAGACGACCAACTTATCTCTCCAGCTGCTTCAGACCCATTCATATACATACCCCCATCACCCCTTGACCTTGTTAATTGTGGAACAACAGAGCAAATCATTTCTATGGATGCTACGACCCTCTCAGCGATAACGATGAAACAACCCCAGATGTGTCGCCTGGACAAGTACCCATCGAAGTCCAGGGGTGCGGAGTGTGTGGCTCCGATCTACGCAAATGGCTGACTACCAGCCGCCTGACACATCCCTTGGTGATACTCTTAAGGTGTACATTTCGTCCTCGCCGGTATAAATTTGATAGCCGAGGGAATCTGTTCTGCTGCAGAGTTGCCCTTCTGAATCGACCCCCTTCCGTTACTCACAAGGATGGCAGATGTCTTACAACCAGTTGGCGCCCTGCCAGAAGATATCAAGACGGAATTGGAGCTCGAGACGAAGAAGGAATTAAACGGCATCGTCCCCGGCGCCGTCCCTATCCTTGACAAGTACAGCCGAGAAAGTGCTAAACGGTTCCGAAAGGATGGGTTGAACCAGTTTATCCCGTACTCAACATCACAGTACCAAACGTACTTTAGAGACATCTGGATAGATGAAGATGCCATGGACCCAGGAGCCAACTCACTTACAGACGGATCACGTTGTGAGATTTTGGTCGTGGGTGCCGGCTACGGCGGGTTGCTGGCGGCTGCGAGACTGATCCAAGCCGGCATTAATGTGAACGATATCCGTCTAATTGATGCTGCCGGCGGTTATGGTGGGACGTGGTATTACAACCGCTACCCTGGGCTGATGTGTGACGTGGAAAGTTACATCTATATCCCCCTTCTGGAAGAGCTGGGGTACATGCCCAAGCACAAATACTCTTACGGGCCCGAATTGAGACAGCATGCGGAAAACATCGCCGACCACTTCAATCTCAGGGACAAAACCCTCTTCCAGGTCAAAGCCGTTGACATCACCTGGGACAGCTCGAACAATGACTGGGTCACTAGACTGGAGTCCACACGCCGAGGACATGAAGGTAACAAGATCTCCGTGTCATCTCGGTTCGTGATCCTCGCTGGTGGAACGTTGAACTGGCCGAAAATCCCCAAACTTCGCGGACTGGGCAGCTTCAAGGGACACAGCTTCCACACGTCCCGCTGGGACTGGGCCTACACGGGAGGCTGCGAAGAGCAACCAGCGATGGCCAACTTGGCCGACAAGGCTGTTGGGATCATCGGCACCGGCGCCACTGCCATCCAACTGGTCCCCGAACTCGCAAAGTGGGCGAAACACCTCTATGTGTTTCAACGGACGCCCTCGGCGGTGGATGTCAGAGGTCAACGCGAGACCGATGCGGACTGGTGGACGCGCGAGATTCACGGCAGGCCTGGGTGGCAGAAGCAGCGACGGACGAACTTCAGCACCTTCACCGCCAACACTATCCCCCGGCCGAAGATCGACATGGTCGACGACGAGTGGACGAAGTTCCCGTCCTACAGTGGGTTGGTAGGGGGTCCAAATGCGCCTCTGTCGCCCGACGACGCCCCGTCGTACCTGGCCACGCTTAACGAGCTCGATCTAGCCAGGCAGGAGAAGATCCGCGCCCGGGTCGACGACATCGTCGAGGACAGGGCGACCGCGGAGAAATTGAAAGCTTGGTACCCCGGCTGGTGCAAGCGGCCGTGTTTCCACGACGAGTATCTGCAGAGTTTTAATGCTCCCAACGTAACACTCGTCCATACCGACGGCCGAGGGGTGGACGGCCTCACGGAGAACAGCATCGTGTTTGACGGACGCGAATATCCCGTGGACATCCTCGTCTTCAGTACGGGTTATGAAGTTCCCCTGGGTAACAGCCCCGGAGCACGTTTGCATCTGCAAGTGATCGGCCCGGGCGGCCAATTACTCGACGATAAATGGGACAAGGGCATCGCAACTCTGCACGGAGTCCAATCCAACGGCTTCCCCAACCTGTTCTGGCTGGGCCTCACGCAGACCGGGGCCACCCCGAACCAGACCGCCATGGTCGACGAGTTGGCGCAGCATATTGCCTTCATCATTACCGAGGTCGCCAAAGGCGTGGAAAAGGAAGACGGGAACGGCCCGAGGCCTGGCAACCGGTTCGCCTTCACCATCGAGCCCACCGTCGAAGCAGAGGATGCCTGGACCGCACAGATTGTCGCCGGAGCGCCGGCTTTCATAGCCATGTCCAAATGCCCCCCCAGCTACTTCAACGCCGAGGGCGACCTCTACAAGCTGGCGGCTTCTGGGCCGGAAGCCCTGGAGAAATTGGCACGAGGAAGCATGTGGGCGAAAGGATACGAGGATTGGTTGCGGGTCATCGGAGACTGGAGGGCTGGTGACATCCGAAAGGATCTGAGGGTAGAGCTGCTCTAATAGTGGTTGACACGGGCAGCAAAGAAAACTGGGTAGCATTGAGCCGTCAGCTACTGTCCTGTATAGATGAGACTTAGAGTCCAAAGAAGGTCGATTCCAGCTATTCAACTTGAAGCCACAGACGTAAAATCCGCCCTGTGACCGTTGTTGATTCGGGCCACAATCATCGACACTTGATCCCATCATAACCACCTCCTCAACCATCGACGAAATCGTGGATTCGCACTCTAGACTTTCCTGGAGTGGTTGTACTGTAACCTTTTCATAGTATGTCAAGTGGTCGGGCGTTCACTTCAATCCTAACAAGAGCACCAGGTCCGGACTCGTTTCAATGTTCAACCACGTCGTGCGTCTCGTCTCCGCCACGACCAATCTCACAATAACATCTCGAGAAAGTTGAATGACTGCTCTCGACTCAGAGTGTCCTCCCTGGACGCAGGGTGAACGACAGCGTCGGCCCCGACTTCTTGACATCTGGCACTCTGTCAGTTTACTTCGCGTATACAAGAGTCCTTTTCTGAAAACTCACTGAAATGATCCAGAAGCTCAAAGTTCTTCGCCATCTCTTCCGGACGCTCGGGCTTCATATCGAAGAGATAGACTAGCCTCGCTATCGTGAGGTATATCTCCTAATACGCTATCTTGATGCCGGGACACTTACGAGGCCCCATCGAGAACGCCTAATACTATAGGGAAAAAACGGCCTAGGGATATTAGGTTAGGGCTAGAAATTTCCCCGAAATAACCGTATAGGAGGGAACCCCCCCGTTAGTTATAGCTTACTTACTACGATTAAAAGCGTCCTCTAGAGGATAGGATCTATTCTTAGTATTAGTTATCATAAATTATAAATTAAAAGCTAGTTTATTAACTTAAATATATCACAAATAGAGCGAGAAGCCGTACGAGAGGAGCACGCTACTTAGAGGGGGGAAGCACCCTCCTACGCGGCCTTGAGGAAAAGGGGTTGAATAGCTCGGAACTAACCTAAGCTAGACAGGCCTAAACTACTTTAGGCTCTATACTTACCGGAGGAGAAAAGTATGCTTCTCGTACCCGAGAAGTAACGTACATGATAAGCGAGTGAAACAGATAAGCGAGTGAAACACCTCAACCGGACCACCTAGACATTTCATGGCTGTACAGTACTATAATACATTCTATTGTTTACAACTACTTAGAATCCTCTTCTTTAGATGAAGAGATAACTACTTAATATATTCTAGAGTTATATCCGACGTTGTAGTAGACACTACACCGCCGCGCACGCGTTTTAGACCTCGTCCGTTAACCACTATCACCCGACGTTTCCTACTTAATTACCACCGTAATGCGACTCTAGGACTCTAGAAGCTGTCCTTGATGTAGAGTTATACTCCCTCCTTCGCGGAGTTATTTCTTTTTAGCCCGCCGACGTCGACTTAGTAGTGCATTCTCCTGTCGAAGGGTATTAACCTTAGACTTTAAAAGTGCGAGATAGTGTATGATTCCCGTCGCCCCCTTTATAAACTAGTCGATCGCCTCTAGAATCGGTGTCGGAGAGCTTCCTTAATGATGAGAGACTCGATTCTTAATAAAGGTAGACTGTAAGCCGGCTTTAGTAGGGTTATTAGGGGTTTTTAAGATCTATACCTAGGTCTCGGCTTAAGCCTCTATATCGGGTGTTAGTGTCCGTAACTTCACATTAAGACGTGTAATTATACTTTCCGGGTCGAAGGGTAGTAGTCCGGCCCCTCTAAACCCTACCTAGATATTAGCGATTGTCATTACTTACTAGAATACGGCTAGAAAGGCGGGAAAGAAGTCCTCCTTACTAATATAGGTCGTACCGGCGCGGACTCTCTTCTTAATTTGACCACTATACGCGCGTTTTAACGGGCTAAAATAACCTATATCTAGAGGCTAAAGGATGTGAGATAAATAAGTCGGTATATAAAGCGTGATAATGTCGTTATCCTTGTAGTAGAGCTTAAAATCCGTGAAGTAGTAACTTTTATAGCTATTAAGGACGAGGAGACGATACTAACCTATTTTCCGGGGCTTAGTATACTAATCGAAGTACTAAATCCATTCTAGACCTCTCTTATTCGTAGTCTAGCTATTTAAAGACGTAGCGATAACCTAATCCCTTAGGAGGGTACTGTTTTAGTACTAAGTCGAGAGATGAAATTTACCTAAAACGATGATATACGGCGGGACTATCTAGCCCTACGCATTAATACCCTAAATCACTATCACCTATTCCCGATTACCTAGCTAGACTAGCTTCGTATATAAACGCCTTTTAGTATTCGTGACGACGGTCTCTATAGTGATAATGCCCATTATAAACCCGGTCTTGTCAAAGTTGTAGATATCTGCGTCCGCTACGCTATACTTAGCGATTGTATTCTTTACAAGCGAAAACTACGCGCGAATCGCGTCGGGATCTTCATACTGGGCTCTCCTATAGTCATACCGACGAAGAAAACGCGTCCGGAGCTCTAGTTGTCGTTTAATAAAGTTTGACGCCTACCGCTTCCCGATAGGCGGCGCATTTCGCTCCGCTAGTAGTCGGTTAGCTATTTCTTCTACACTAGCGAGTCGGGGAGGGTAGGATCGCGCATCGAGGTCGAGTATATATTAGATAATAGTCCTCTCTTCTAGGGAAGTTAGGTTTCGTAAGTTAGGTATGCTATCGCCTCGAGACTAAGTGCCCTTAAGTCGACGAGATAAGGTAACGTAACTGTAATTATAGATCTTTGCCGCGGCCCGTGCACTAAGCGATTGGTCTCGTTCGATAGCTTAAAGAGCAAGCTTTATTTGACGTTCGTTACTAACTATTGACATGATGCGTTATGGAGAAAAACATGTTCAAAGTTGGAGGGTGCGAAAATCTAGTAGGGTGTTTCACTCGCTTGTCTATTTCACTCGCTTATCATGTACGTTATCCTTTTCTCATACTTAGAGTCTTGTCACTACTATACGTAAAGGGATACTTATTACTACGGAATCGATCTATCGCTAAGTACTGCCTATCTCTAATAAGGCATTCCTGATAAAATATCTCTAGAACTAGAAGCGTCCCCTAGGGGATAGACCTCTTTTAAAGCGAGTCTAATCTCTTAGACTACGAGATAATAGTCCGGAAGATTTAGCTAAAGCGTCCTCTAGAGGATAGAATAATTAGGCTTTATAAATTAACCTTAGTCCTCCTTCTTATCTTATTACCTTCTCTCTCTCTTTCCTCCCTTCCCCCCCCCCCCCCCCTTAACTACTTATTACTCTTATATTAGTTAAGTGAATTATTATACTATAAATAAACTAATAGGTAAATTACTACGCTAGCTATACTTAGCTACTTTAGTATTTAGTGTAGATAATACTTAGTAGTATACTCTCTAACGCCTCGAGATAGGGTATTTTTAGACTTTAATATCTTAATAACGCGACTAGCTATAGAGATAAGGAGACCTACGTTAGATAGAGGAAGAGAAATACTATATAAATAGCTATAATAAAATAAAAATACCTAACGGAGATAGTTAACTTTAAGGGGTAGAAGAAGGATAGAGAAGGGTAGACTGGAGATACTCTACCTACATCAGGTCATGCTGTCCGGCTGGGGAATGCCTATAGGTGAGGGAGTTCTCTGAAAATGAGTGTCCGGAGTCGACTAATTCGGGAATCAGGGGAGTGTTTCAACCTCGAAGAACTAAGTGACGAGTGCCACAAGCTAGGCCGACATTCGTTTTTTGTGACAAGCATGCCCCTACACTTGTCGGAGGGGTGGGAAGTCCACCTAACGTGCTCGCAATTTTGTGAAGGCCAAAGCACTTCAAGCTCAGCAGCACAGGAAACACCCGGGTTTTAGTTTCCCAGGCGGAGAAGATGAAGCAGTAACATTGGATTAAACAAGACAAGCATAAATCTCATGGCTTCCGTAGTGTATCGACCAACCTGACATAGTGGGAGACACACACATGTCGTTGTCTGAGTTGCCCGACAGTCTTTTGCTGCTGGCAACATGTTTAAACACAAAATGCATGAAGCAGGTCGAACTTGGAGTGGGCTAAGTAGCGAAGTAAATCGGAAACGTTGTGGCAAGGGATGACAGGATTAGCTATTTCCTTCGGCTTGACAAATCAATTAAGCTTAATACCATCTCTGTGCGTGAGTTCAGTAGAGCCTGCTGTGTCCGATAGTTGAGTAGTAGATCTGTAGAGGGTAGAAACCTCTTGATTTTCCTTCATTTCATGGTTTGGGGATGCTGTGACGGCTAAATGTTTAGAGTTTGTTGAACAGGAGGGAGTGTAGCTCTCAGAAGGTGAATATTCCCTACGCCGTTTTCGCCCTCGACATTGTTCAGACGTGTCAGCCTCCCAGCTACCACCTCTGTCGTGGCTGCACTCGTCAAACTCATCATCTCGATGCTGTTCCGTAGCATCTTGCCTCGGCCGCTTGGTTGGACTCTGGCTACGGCCGCGCAGCGTGAAGCTTTCGTCTCGGCACTTCCAGCTTTCTACCTTCCGGGTTTCCTCCGTTTGATCTGAAGCCCGATAGGTTATCCAACGGTCGTATCCCGACTTGAGGAATTTGTCGAGGAAGTTTAGGATCGTCCATGCGAACCTGCCAAATAAGTATTCCGCTTTGATACCGTACAGTGGCTGAGTTTGTCGATCGTGGTAGAGTTCAACAAGCTCTTGTCGTTGTCTTACCGCTCGCATCATATAAGTGACCCAAACTCTTTTCCCATCCTCACGCTTTCTTGGCAGTATTGTGAAGTTCCTTGCATCAAAGAGCTTGTGAACATCGGCTTTCAAGAGAATAGAGTTGGTTGTTTCATCCTCTTCTAGAGTAAACAGTCCACTAACCCTATACCACTCTGATTCTCCATCAGGAATGATATGAGCCAACTCGGTGCCATGAACGTGTTGTGTAACTCTGCAAGACTGGTCACGAATTGCTGCGTCTGCGCGCTTGGAAATGGCGATGTGTGCGGTTGATGGGGAGACAGGTTCGATAAGAGGTTCTTTCCAAGATTCAGGAAGCTCTGCGGGAGGCCTCCAATGCCTGAAGGATGGATATACAGGATACATAGGGTCTCCTACTTCTAGTTAGCTTTTGGAGCGCTTTTGGGAGTGAAACAGGCTAACCAGGGACGTGGAAAAAGTAGCCATCCTCACGGAACTCAAGTTGTTCCTGCGCCAAGTCAACCCTCTCCTGGCCTGCCGAATCCAGCGATAAAAAGCCATCATATCTGTTACATGCTACTAGTCCACATGCTGTGCGAGCAACTTGATGGTCCAGAGTATCAGCATCATCGTATGCCGGAAGAGTTAACAAAGTTTGTGCCGGTTTAGGATAGCCAGGATGGAGGAAGACAATGACTTTGGGCAATGTAGAGTCGGCACTCCATGGATGAGAATGTGGTTGTCGAGGCATGATATGATAAATGTCTGATGTTGAATGTCCCAGATGGGGGCATGATGTTCGGCAACTGCCGACAACGCGTCAATCACCGCGTCGCGCGCGTCATCGGATTCAATATATTCCCCGCGCCAAGGGAAATCAGAAATAAGGTTATCGAAGTATGGCTTTGAATCTACCGAGGCACTGAACTTTGTTCAGTGCTTGATTCTAGTATCGTGCTTAAAATCTTCATCACCGCCAGCTTGTTCCGCATCTTCCCAAGTACATATCATCTCCCCTTGATCTAGCGTAGGCATGGCGTCAAGCTCTCCCAGTTCTGGGCCCCCTAAGAAGCAGTTAAAGTGGTCGAGTACTCTCGCGCGCAGCGGCAGGCTCAAGGATGTCTCCCTTGTCTTACAGAACTATGATAAAGGTGAGTGAGCCCCGATTCGTACCTGCACATATTACGTTACTGAGCTGTTTCGAAGCCTCTTGTCCTCCAATACACAAAAGATACCGCGTACGGTTCCATGGAGATCGAGAACGTCGGAAACGAAATCCAACACATCGTCTGAGTCGTTTAAATTCTGCATCAGTGGCTTTGGCCACACCCAACATAGATAACACGACGCCTCACACAGCAGGCTGTGAGCGAGATGTAGGAGCTGCACCTATCTTTCCGTCTGAAGGAATACTTGACACGGCAGCAGTTTGCACGGACCAAACTGAACCCTTCCATTCAGATATGGTATCCTCAGAACAGGCGACTCCGGTCTAGGGGCAACATCTCTGGTCTTCAGACATCGATTGTAATTCGACATCTCCAGGTGTCCTGCATCCTATACCTGGCTTAGATGAGCTCGAGGTCTTTGCAGGGCTTATCTGGAGGGATGCTGCCTCTGGCAGGAGAACGGACCTCGTTTCGGAACCTCTGAACAATGGGCCTCTGCATAACGCCAAATTTGGCCGGTCGATCATTGACCACACTTTAGATACCGATGATGGAGACCCAGAGGACCCCATTCACATATTGTTCAACAAAACGATACCGCCCATTCAGCTGAGGCCTTGTCGGGACCTCAGTCCGTATCCCCATGGCGCGGACTTTGGGATCGAGAAGGACTCCTGCAATTTACAATTCTGTATGTTCTTATCATCTTATCGTCTTATATGAGTCACAGACTCCATGCGGGATTCAAGGGGCTGACTCTCATCTTCCTCGATACAGTTATTGAGAAATGCGTGCCGAAGTTCACACCCTTGTGGAACATGATTGATAATCCCTTCGTTTCGGTGGCAGTACCTGCTTCGTTCGACTCACCTCTACTACGCCACACACTTCACGCTACGTCGACGAGCCAGTTGGCATTATCTTCATCTCGTCGAGAAGCAGATTTATTCAAGGCTCTCTGGCACAAGCAAAATGCAATGAGCTTTTCCGAGAGAGTATAGCAAGCGGTCTTTCTGACCCCACGACTTTGATATCATGTATCTTGCTCCAAACCATCGAGGTGAGTGTGATATCACGTCCAATCGGGAACATTTCTTGGCTAACTGATCTTAGGTGCTTGACTCTGGCGTACAAAACTGGCGCCATTGGCTGCAAGGGGCAGTCCTCATCATCGAGCATAGAAACAAACTAGCGCAGGATGTCAGAAATAGCAACGCCTGGTCAACATTCTCCAAAATCGTAGTCGCAATGGAGATTATGGCAGCCGTGACCTCGGAATACCCTATCTCTCTGTCCAAGAAATACTGGGATACCTTTTTGCATTCGCCATATGGAAACCAGGAACCGCATATTTCAGAAACGATGCATATCCAGGCACGCTGTATGGAGGACGATTTCTTCGAAAAGCTCGTGGGATGTCCGACTGTCGTACTCTTTGTCCTGGCCAAAATCTCAGCATGTTTCAACTCTGGCCGAAATGCTGATCTAATTGAACAAGTGTCCACGGATCTTGCTCGACACATGTACTACTTGGAAGATCTTCTCGTTCGATGGTCGCCGTCCAGCAACACTCGAAGCCCTACACTTCATGTCACTGAACCACGCTGTCGATGACTTCAGCAGCTGCTATGAGATCTTCGTCTTTGCAGTGTCTGCCAACAATTTGGATGGTCACCGGCTGTGTTTTCCAGCGGTCGGCATCGTCTGCAGCAACTATCATCAGCATACTCATCTCAATGGTCCCTGTAGTAAGACTTACATATCTCCCAATTGGGCCGATCAAACGGATTTGTTTCTCGTGGGCAGTAATCCTCTGGCTTTGTGTCCTTGGTTGGGTCGATTCTAAAATCTTTTAAGGGCAACACGAGCGCAGGATAGTCGACGAGGTTCCAAAACATTGTGTATCCCCACCAAGGCGTAAAGTCATGAGGAAGGCAAGCCATTGGCGCAGTTGGGCATATGATGCAGTCAATCGGCTCCCCCAAAGGGGTTTCTCGCGCCGTGCAATCCCAAGCCTTGACCAATGCAGATTTGTAGGCCAGCTGCTCCCTGTGCAGTTGGAAAACTTCTGCTACTGAGTGCTCCCGGACATCGAAAGTTTTCAGGACATTTGCAAATTGCGGGATTGGTGGCTCTCCAGACTGACTGAGAACATCGAAGATCTCTTCTACGCCTATCTGGAAGAAAAGCCCCAGTGTAGTTTTTGCAGCTTCCCAGGAGTCTATTGGAGGTTGGAATTCAACGACTTCGTGACCGGCGGCGCGGAGCTTTCGTGCCGTCTCATTCAAGGCGCGTGAAATCGGGGAATGTGGCTCGACAACCTGGTCCGTCATGAAAATCCCGACTTTGAGCTTCGACTTCTGTGCTCCCTCATGCCAGTACCCTGGGATACAGGTCGGTTCGTTGGGCACTGTCGGGTGGGTCAAGACCAGTTTCGTCGCCAGTTTCAAGTCACTCATACTCTGTGCACATGGACCACAGGTCGATTTGATAGAGATCATGCCCATTCTTGTTGATGCCATGCCCATACCTGGACATCGTTCCGCGGTTGGACGCATTCCGTATAGGCCGTTGAAGGCCGCAGGGAGTCTGATACTCCCCCCAACATCGGTGGATATGGGTGCACATGGAGCTCCATGCATGGCGACGAGGACGCCATCTCCTCCAGAAGAGCCACCCGCCCCAAATTCAATGTTGAAAGGGCTCAGAGTGCGGCCGAACAACGGACCCACTGTCTCGACGGCCATACCAGTTTGAGGCATGGTAGTCCTGGCAAAAACGATGGCACCAGCGTCTTTCATCACCCGAACCAATGTGGCATCCTCCTGTTGAGGAGGCCTGTCGTACCACGCCACAATGCCAGCGGTCATTCGCTTGTCTTTGACTTCATAGGTATCTTTGATTGCGATCGGGATGCCATGCAGCACACCGACAGGAGCTTTGTGCTGAGCGAACTCAGCATCGATGGCTTTTGCACGTGCAATGGCCTCTTCTAGGAAAAAGTCTGTAAGGCAGTTGAGAAGCTGATGAGCGATTGCTGCGCGTGCACAGAACGCTTCCGTAACTTCAACGGCAGGGGTGTAGCCGCTGAGGAGTCTTGGAATCAGTTCCGACACAGTGAGATCGGTCAACTGCAGTTGCCTGTCGGACAAGATACCACACGTGTAAGCAACCCTCTGTAGGTTTGCTGTAGGTTTATATGCGGTCTCCCAAACCCAGCGGGTAGTTTCCATTTTTGAGGAATTTGCTCCAACACCGCGCGCTGGGCGCGCTTGGCGATTGTTTCCCATGATTTCTGCTCACTCATTGTACATAGCTGCAAAGATTGGATATGGAAGTCCCCATGAAGCTGTGCGGAATGACCCAGGTATCTTATGGTCAGTATCCGAGGTGCTTGGTGCCTTTACACTCACTACCGAACGTGTTGGTCAAACCCCTTTCGGGTGCCGTCATTGTCGTTGAGGCCAAATGTCGGGGTCTAATGCGCTCCGAGGACCTTGGACCCACCCAAGGCTGTATGAGACGCTGCTATCTGCTGTTCCCTGACCCCGAATGCCGTAAGGGATAAAGGTATCAACAACTATGCCCTGGGAATCTAAGTGCCGAGTGCACATGCCCGTTAGGAAGCCGAAGCTATCTTTCAAATCAGTTAGTTACCGAGCCGAGCATGTCTAAATGTCGTAATTTGTGCTTATCACCGCCTCAGTTCTGGGATATCATTCCCACTACGAACGATTGATAACTTTCCTAAAATGGAAGTTCGGGGCTTCGTACCGAGAAACCCATCCTTTCAGCCAATGATTTTGGGTCAAGTGCCGAGTATGTGGGTCGTACAGTATCTATCTCGAGACTCCGCAATCCTCGGCTCTACTATGTATGTACTTATCAGTGACCACTCCGTACCGCGCCACGCTACGCAAGTGCTGGATAATGTGGAAACTAGATGTCTAGGCTCGGTAGCTAGGTAAGCGGAAGCTGGAGACCCCAGATGCTAAGGGTTTTTTGCAACTGCGGAATGATACCTCGTACATGCGCCACAACACACCAGGTCCTAGATACCATTCAAAGTGCTTCGCAGTTGGGTTATCTCTCGATCCTCACAGGGATGATTCGAGAAGTTTTTAAAGAGCGTCTGCTTTCTCTCTGCTGGCGGCTTTTCCCTTTATCCTCCCCCATCTCTCGATCCCAACTTCCAAATTACACATCCAAAGCATCCCATGCAACATGGCAGAGTCCGTCGCCAGTGGGCAGGCAGTAACAAAACTGTCGTGGTTTCGCCTTAACAAGTGAGCTTCCTCTCCTTCTGCTTGTCACTTACTTCGACGATAACATCTTTATCACCAGTCCATCAGTCCAGATTATCTTGTCGGCGGCATGCATAGCTCTCAATCCGGGCATTTACCTGGCCCTAGCAGTAAGTCTTTCAGCTTCGCTGCGGTGTCTGCAGTGTGTGAGATCTATTTGCTGATGGATATGCGACAGCTTCTAGGAGCTGGTGGTGGTCAACCCTCGTCGGCAACGATGGCCAACATTGCCAACGCCACTGCATATGGCGTGTTTGCCCTGTCGGCTCCTATCACAGGCTCAATCCTCAACAAGGTCGGCCCCCGGATTTTCCTGGTTGTCGCGTGCACAGGCTATCCCATCTTCAGTGGCTCACTCTGGTATTATTTGGAGCACGGACATCTGTGGTTCCCAGTAGTCGCGGCCGTCTACCAAGGTCTTGCAGGCACCAGCCTCTGGACCAGTGCCGTCTACATGTGTAACGGGTACGCGGAAGAGCACTCCAAGGCATTTTGGCGGTCGGTTCAATGGATTTTCAACATGCTCGGCGCTGCCATTGGTGCATCGGTTGGTCTCGGTATCACCTGGGATTCAATCGTCCTCGGCGTACCCAAGTCGGTCTACATCACATTCGTGATCCTTCAATGCTGTTCGCTTTTCTTCGCATTACTCGTTCAGTCGCCGCAGAACCTCCGACGAACTGACTGAACAGCCATTGCGAGTTTTGGCCATGTCCGCTTCAGGGACTCGATCCGAGTCATGGGTAAGCTTCTCTGTGAATGGAGGACGCTCCTCCTGCTCCCGGTTATGTTCTCGCCCGAGTTCTTTTTCCCTTTCCAGGCCAACATCAATGCATATGCCTTCAATCTCAGGACGCGCAACCTCAACACCCTCTTGAATACTCTCTTCCAATTCCCCGTCACGGCAATTCACACATGGATCATTGATAGATGTGCCAAATCCCGGAGGAGACGACTGTTCGTCGGCGTTACCGTTAACTGTGTGTGGGTCACGGGGGCCTATATCGCGCAATCCATCTGGCTGAACTCCTGGGACTTCAACTGGAAAATCCCGGGACCGGAGATTGATTGCACCGATAAGGCGTACCGAGGTGCTGTGGTGGTTTACCTCTTCTATGCGGCGCAGTATGGCATGTTTCAAAGTCTTGTGCTGTATGTTCTCGGCAGTTTCACCAATGATCCCGTCAAGACTGCGGCTTATGGTGGTATGTATACTGGAGGTAAGTTCAGCCCATACAACTCGTCCAACTATCAGTTTCTGACTATCTATATAGTCCTCAGTGCAGGTGCTGCGGTGTCGTTCGGCATTAACGCCAGTCTGCTTCCTTTCGAGAATGTCAATGGTGAATTCTTTGCCATTTCAACTCTATGCCGGCCTATCTTGTACTTTGTCGTTTGGAAAACGGCCACAGAAACCAGCTATGGCACGGAGGAGGATGTTATCGTGCCCGTCCATATTCGACAGGAGATGGGCATTGGGGACGATGTCGTCGTGCATGATCGTTCCGAGAAGCTCAGCAACAGCTTGAAAGAGACGGCCGTCTAATGCTTAGGCATCGAGATAGGGTGTTGTGCTCCAAAATATTCGGGAAGGATAAGTTTCTCTGCACATGGGCAGGACTGGCGGTTATAGCTGATCAGCCAGATCTCCCCAGTCTTGATAACCTCTGTTTCAACGCCAAACTCGCATCCCCTCGGTGTTTATTTGAAGTTATTCCGTGACACATTGCTCCACATTTACGATAGCTAGCCAGCCAAGTCGCGCACCTAAAGAACTACAGGGTCTCTACCCCGCTATATACTACGGGGACTTAGTCTAGCCGAAGGTAAGGCACCCCTCTGGAGGCCATTGTCCCTCAAGTGGCATACACTAAAGATATTTAGTTTAGCCGCGATTTACAAGACTTAAAGCTCTCAAGTCTCAGAGCACCCGCGTGCCCTCTCGTACTTCGCCCACGTAGCCTCACCGTTCCTAATTCCAGATAAATTATCCCAGTGATACATCCCCAACAGCACTTCTATGTCGTCGCGGTGGAAGCTAAACACTGCTTGCTTAGTCTGTCGCAAGCGAAAGGTCAGGTGTGATGGGGAAAATGGAAGTCCTTGCACCGCTTGCAAGAGAGCAAGGATTGAATGCAGGTTCGCCCATGATCAGAGGCTGGACACCTCACAGCTCTCATTGTATCGTGGGATGCTCATCCAGTCCTTAGTTCCTTTCTCCCACAACATGCACAACCTTTACTTGCCCCCAAGACGAGCTTTGGGCAGGATTCAACCTCAAACGAACGATTAGACGAGGTGGTTGGTCCTCTCAGCGCAGAAAGTCATACACGTTCGCCAGTATCGTCACAGCACCTCCCAACAGCCAAAGGACAACCAGACGAAAATCTTTCGCGATTCTTCGACCACGCCGTGGTGTCATCAGACTGGCATCTCTTCGACCAGAATGGTGTCATGCGAATCGCTTACATTGGCACCGATACTGCAAACATGAATAACCTTATGCGGACCCATGAAATGCGAGTCCATGACACCCATCGGCCTCAGTACTTGCACTATCCCATCCCTTCATTTCACTCTCCGCTACCTTGGAAACCTACCGCGGACCTGCTCAGTGGACATTATATGACACCAGATGCCATCACTGACGTGACTAGCTTCCCGTTCGTGAAGTCCGCGACTCCTTGGTCGAAACTTACTTCACCGAGATCCATCCCGGTATCCCCATCATCGATGAAGCAGATTTCCGCCGACGCTATGCTGATCCCGAAAACCCACCACCCTTACTCCTCTTCCATGCAGTTCTCCTCGCGGCAGCCCGAGTCAGCGACTGCCCGATGTTGGTAAGGTCTCGGGCCACTGCTACAGCAACCCTGTATCGCCGTGCCCGGGCGCTCTTCAACCTGAGATACGAGAACGATCGTCTGCTCCTGGTTCAGTCGTCCATGCTCATGGCATGGCACACTGAGAACTCGGACACGGTTGGATGCAATGGCTACTATTGGATTGGCAACGCTGTGCGGGTTGCGTTGGGTCTAGGCATGCACCGCAAAGCGGCGACCATATACCTGCCAACATACGAAAGGCGAACCCATCGAGTCTTCCACAAGGTGTGGTGGCTTCTGGTCTATGCCGAAGTATTTCTTGCCTTGGAGTATGGTCGACCGTGCATGATCCGTCGCCAGGACTTTGACGTCGACGGTCTCGAGGAAGCGGATTTCATGAACACGGACGATAGCGATGACATGCTTGTGAACCGCGAGTTCTGCTGTACAACATCTGAGCTGTGCCTTCTAGCATTGGACATTCTAGACCTTCACGCTCCGCTGTCCAGGACGAGAGACGACGAGGCTGCTATTATCGAAATCGACTAACGACTGGCTGGGCTTGCACTTCGTATGCCGTTCACCCACGACTTCCTGTCCTGTCAATTTCGTCTCAACTACAACTTAGTGGTACTCGTTTTGCATCGCACCGAGGACAAGACCGAATCAGCCTCACTGTGCTCGGAAGCGGCCTCGAACATCCTCACCACATTTGAAATTCTTGCCGTACAAGGTACGCTCCGGATGTGTCATCAAAGCGCCTTAACGGCACTTTTAGCAGCGGCCATTCAATTCTCACGAGAGGTGAAGTCGGCAATGGCCAAAGGCTCGGCAATGAAAGCGGTTTCTGCGCATGCCCAACCGGAAAGAATTCTCCGTCCCGCAAAGATGTTCGCCGACCATGGAGTCGAGATTGAGGCAATCTACCAGCTCTGTCTGCGCCTCTGCTCCCGTGCCGAAAACATCATCAAGGACCTTCGAGCCCCTGGCCCAACCCTGCCGTCGAGGCTCGACCATCCTGTGGATACAGACATTGAATGGCAGACTATTTTTGCCAACTATCAACATTACCCCCCGGCACAGATGTCACTGTCAGACACTAACTTCTGGTTCAATAATCTCTAAGCCGCCTTAGAGTTCGGCGTCTAATGGTCGTTCTAGATGACAGTCAGTTCTGGTGTGTGATGGGCTGGATTGTCGTCTCTGGAAGGATAATCAGACTTTGCCTATTCGGGAACCTTCCCCATTAGGAAAGTATTTTAGACTTGGTGACTCGACTATCCGAAATACTCGGCACAGTAACTTCCCAGCCAGAGTCGTGCGATGGTCGCCCAGACTCGCTCACGTTGCAGGGGGGGGATCTCCGCCTCTTCGCTTCTGCATGTGCTCCGTACTCCACGCAGATAGATGTGGTGAAGACGAAGACCTGCAACAAAAGTCCAGTGGACAACCGACCACCTCGTAGTTGGCACCTTATCACACATATCTCACCTACAAGCATACTTGGGAACTAAATAGACTCAGAGCTGAAGATCGGCAGTGCCAGCGGAAGCGTTCCAGCTGGTGCAATATGTTTTGTACAAATTCTGGCCACTTCCCCTCGCGAATCTCTTACATCATCGTCAATCTCGTGGTATCAGACCCCTTTGCCCCTTGTTGATTCGACAGCATGTCTACACTGGATCATTCTACAGCGATATCGATCTCCCCTTCAAAGAAAGAAAGAATTCAGCATGTCAGAGAGCGAAGAGATGCATCGATTGCCAAGGTTCAGCCGGCCATACCGGCCTTCGCGGAGCGGCTTTCTTCCAGTGTGACCACGGTACCAGGCAAAATTCTTACCGACGATGAGATCTCCATCACAGAAAAGCCAGTACGAGAACTTCTCGATCTTTTGGCCAAGGAGAAGCTCACAGCCGTCGCCGTCACCCGTGCATTCCTGCGACGAGCTGTGGTCGCTCAAAATCTTGTAAGTTATCAAGACCGGTGATGTTGCTCGCCTCAACGTACAGTGGACCCGCATGCCGTTGGAGCTCACTCTGATTGCATGCTGTTTAGGTCAATTGTATTGCTGAGCTCAAACCGGTTGAGGCATTAGAGCGCGCCGAGGCCCTGGACAAATACTTTCAAGAGCATAAACGGCCCATCGGATCCCTCCATGGCCTCCCAATCAGTACGAAGGAGCACATCAATATGAAAGGATGGGAGTCGAACTTCTCGTTCGTAGTCCGCGTGGGAGTGATTGCCAGCACAAGTTTGGCTGTTTTGGAGACTCTTTATGACGCTAGCGCAATTTTCTTCGCCAGAACGACTCAACCACAAACCTTGGTAAGCATCACGCATTCTGGCTGTGGGTCGCGTGGGAAATTAACTGCTAACCCAGCTTGTAGGTGGCCATGGACACTTCATCCGAGCTTTATGGAACCACGGTCAATCCGTATAACACAGAGTAAACTTGCGGAGGCAGTTCGGGTGGCGAAGATGCCTTGTTAGCACTGAGGGGAAGTCCCTTGGGTATTGGCTCCGATACTGGTGGGAGCATTCGCCAGCCTGCAGGCGTCAATGGACTCTACGGATTCAAGCCCTCCTCGGGTCGGCTGACGCTGTTTGGAATGTCGGGTCTTTTCGCGAGAAGAGAACAGATTCCCAGCGTGATTGGGCCCATGTGCCCCAGTTTGGACGGCGTCGAGCTTGTCATGAGAGTCGCCGCTGGGGCTCGACACGACAGGATTGACCAGAGCCTCCCGCCTCTGGGATGGAGAGAAGACATTGACTTCCTCAAAAGGGGTGACGCCACACGCAGGTCGAAGGTCGGTATCCTGTGGGACGATGGCCATGTCACACCACATCCACCAGTGCGGAGAGCTCTTCGAGAGACTGTGGAAAAGCTCCGTGCACAGGACGACATTGAAGTGGTGGAATTCCATCCACCTGACCACCAGCACGGCCTGGAAATTTGGGTGCGTGACTGTGAAATTTATTCTTGTACAGGCACAAGCACTAATCAGTCTGTCATCCTAGGCTCGCCTTATTTTCGCTGACAACGGCGAGGGCATGTTAGGGTTATTGAAGGAGGGCGACGAAGAACTAAGACCTCTCATCAAATGGGCATTCCACGAGAACCCTCACATGCGGCATCACACTCTGCATGAAGTCTGGGAGTGGACTGGGAAGAGAGACGCCTTCAGGGCCGAATATCTGTCTCGCTGGAACGCCACGACTGGAAAAGCAGGTTCCAGTTCATACGAGGACGCGATGGATGTGCTCCTCTCCCCGAACTTCCCTGGTGGTGCATTCCCCATAGACAAGACAAAGTACTGGGGGTATACCTCAATCTTTAACCTCCTAGACTACCCGGCCCTGGCCTTCCCCGTCACGACCGGCAATCCGGAGAAGGATCGAATTGACGCTGATTTCAACCCCCGGAACGAAGACGACAGATTGGTCCACGAAGTCTGTAAAGTGCTCGGCGTTATCGCTCCCTACACATGCATAGGCCTGACCTAACCTCTATCTAATTTAGATGACCCGGAGCTCTATCGTGGGGTCCCAATTTCCTTGCAACTGGTGGGGAGACGATGGGACGACGAAAAGGTAGTCTGCGCTCTCTTTGAAGCATTCGATACTCAAACTAACGACTAGACGCCAGGTTTTGCAAGCCATGCGGTTCATTGAGGAGAGGATCGGAGCAGCGGAACTCGCCAGTTCAGCCACGTAATACATAATCTCGGGTTGGGAGCCACTGACCAGGGAAGATGATTTGAGCCGTGCTCCCTGTGAGGGAGCAGCCTCTGCGATGCGAGAAAGAAAGTGGCAGGTGATTTCTTTCCTTTTGACGAAGGAGGCTTCTGCGGAGCTTGATGTCGTTACTACTTGTATGTAAATAAACCCGCGGATATCATCTGCCGGTTGAAGGATCGGCGGGAATCAAACACCGAGATCGAATATATCGTTCGTCTTCCCCTCGCACGAAGAACGGAGCGTCGACACAGTATCACACACTTGGTACACATATATATTGTTTGGTGGAGGCAATTCACACACCAACCTCTTCCCGAGCACTCTCACATCCCCTTGAAGGCCCGTAGTAAGAATTGCTCCTTCAGGCTTTTCTTTCTAGTCTGTTTTGCAGAAATGGTACAGCTAGGCTCCAGCGGCCCTAGTCTGGCAACCCCAGGGCCCAAGTATGGACATCTTTCCGAGGTTGACCCCAACTTTGCTCTTTTGAAGGACGAGGTCGACAAAAGCTTTGCAAATCTATGGGCGCTTCCCTTGGAAGAGTTCAAGGCTGCATGGCTGAGTGCGCCAGTCCCATTGCCAGACAATGCACCCGAACCAGGGAAGGACTATCAGGTTCTAAACAAGGAGGCTGTGGTCAGGGACGGTGCCCGAATAGGTCTGAAGATATACAAGCCTCAAAACTCCAATAACGATACAGTGCTGGTTCTCAAAAGCCATGGCGGAGGTAAGTAAGCTATCGTGTTGACCAAAGAAGGAGTCTCATTGTAGACAATCCAGGTTGGGTAGTTGGTAGCCACGAGGTCGAGGAGGTAGATAATCGCTTCCTCGCTGCCAAAGCCGGTGCGACGGTGGTCAGTGTGGACTATCGTATGGCACCTGAGTATAAGTTTCCATACGCCATCAATGACTGCTTTGATGTGCTGAAGTGGGTAAGTTCATCAGACCAGTCTACGCATACATGTATGATGATACTAACATGATCTTCAGTGCAAATCACACGCTTCGGACCTAGGGATCAACCCCGACAAGATAGTCGTCGCTGGGGGAAGTGCTGGAGGCAATATTGTGAGTGTGACTGGCGATCAAATGTCTCCATCCTGCGCGAGCTGTAGGTTAGTAACATGTCGGCAGGCTGCTGTCCTCGCACTCAAGGCTCGAGATGAGGGTGTTACGGGAATTATCGGCCAGATTTTGAATATTCCTGTCACTTGCCATCCGGATCTCTTCCCGTCAGACAAGTATGAAGGCGGCAGCTACCGGCAGAACAAAGATGCGAGTATCATTGATGCACCCAAGATGAGGTGGTTCTGGGATCAGTACCTGCCAAACGTGCAGCCCGATCCTTATGCGAGTCCATTGCTGGCAGAAGACCTCAGCAACCTACCTCCAGCTCGTAAGGGCTTTCCATTTCAGCGCAAATCCGATATACTGACTGTAGCTGTAGTTATCCAGGTCGCTGGTATGGATCCGCTTCGAGACGAAGGCCTTGCATACGCCGAAGCACTCAAGGCTGCCCAGAACTCGGTGACGGTAAACACATTCAAAGGCCTCCCTCACGGCTTCTATTTCTTTCCTCAACTTCCGCAGACGCTGGAGTTTTGGGACAACTCGGTCAAGTTTGTTAAAGATCTCGCGGCCAACGCGTAGTTATCGAGACGCCTTGATCCTTGATCCTTGATGTCTGTCTTAGCATACAGATTTCTGCGATTGAAGCAGAAATAGCAAGGGATTGAGCAAGGAAGCAAGGGACAAGGGCAATGTTAGGGGGAGCTCCACAAAATCCAAGTAGCCGAAACCGCTATGTACGGATTGAGCATACTAAATGCCTACGCCATACCAGCTTTGTACATGCCACCGCGGGGAGGATTGTAGCTTGAAAAAGGCGGGGTTGTGGAACAAGTGTCAACTACCGACGTTGGAGCATGGAGGGGCTGAGTTGTTGAATTCTTCATTTCTACATGCTCAAAGAAAGAGTGAGAGTATCACAAACCTCGTATTGACGCTGTCAGATTGCTTACGACACCATCAGGGGTAATCACAGCTCTCTAGAACTCAGAATCATCAGACCTTGCGCAGCCCTCATTCATCATGTCATTCGATCAGCAGCTTGAATCTGCCGCCACGCCTGGTCCGAGCCGAAAGATTGTTGGGGCTGTCGCGATAGCAGCTGATGCTTCCGGTGAAGTAGCCTGATTGCCACCATCACGGAGTGGCTTTGGCTGACAGCGTCCAGGAAATACCATCTACCATGGCGCAAAGGGCTTCACCTCTGTTGTCCCGGAGACTGCCAGGCCGATGACGGAAGATACCACCTTCTGGATCGCTTCGTGCACAAAGCTGCTGACTACCATTTCGGTCATGCAGTGCGTGGAGCAAGGTAAACTGAGCCTTGACAACGATGTCTCCGCAATTCTCGATGAGTGGAAGTCACCAGACATCTTGACGGGGTGGAAGCCAGACACTGGAGAACCAGAGCTCAAAAAAGCAACGAAGAAGATAACTTTGCGCCAGCTGCTCACACACTCTAGTGGCATGGGTTATGATTTCCTTTCGCCAGAACTTATCAAGTGGCGACAATGGCGTGGGGAATCAAGCCGTCCAGGGGACGGTGACATTGTAAGCACCATACCTTGAATATTGACATCTTCTGAGCTCTGACGCCGTGATTCAGCGTGAAGGGTACGTGATGCCTTTGTTGTATGAGCCAGGGGAGGGTTGGAGCTATAGCTGCGGCATCGACTGGGCCGGCAAAATGGTCGAGCGCGTCAATGGGGGCATGAAGCTTGGTCAGTACATGAAGAAGAATATTTGGGATCCTTTGGGAATGGCGTCCACGAGTTTCCGTCCAGAAGAAAATGAGTTGGTGCGCAGTCGACTATGTGCCACGACCGCCAGAACACCTGAAGGAGACCTTGTGCCAGCCGACCCATACCCTCATCATAATCCGAAAGACGACCTCGGTGGTGGGGGTTTATATTCGTCCGCACCAGACTATATCAAGGTGCTCATATCCTTGCTCAAAAATGACGGTCTTCTCCTCAAACCAGAGACCGTAAAGATGATGTTCTCCCCGCAGCTTTCGAATGACGCTTATTTGACTGCAACAATGGCCACACCAGGGGCAGGTCCCATGTTTCGAGGAGGCGTTGACAGCTCGGCCTGGAATTTCGGCCTGGGAGGCATTTTGAACATGGAAGACGTGGCTGGTGTTTGCAAGAAGGGAACAATGACCTGGGGTGGCCTCCCAAACCTCTTCTGGGTGCGGCAGTCCTGAAAATACCTTGTCTGACTCTGAAGCTGACCGTTCAACAGTGGATCGATCCCGCCGCCGGTAATTGCGGCATATACGCATCCCAGCTTCTTCCTCCAGGCGATCCCGAGACTATGAATCTCGCGGTTGCTTTTCGCAAAGACATCTTCGCTCGCCATGGTCCATAGTGTCCAAACGGTGCCAGAAGTATCGACTGAAAAATGCTTTGATACCTTCGGAGCAGGGCTTTGTGTGAGGATATCTATCGATGATCGGTTGACGTTGGTACCGGGGATACTAGGCATCTTCACCGCTTAGAGAGCTGACAGATGACAGCTTGAGCCAACAACATGAGCAGTGCAAATCAATCAAATCCCATTCTTCACTCCTCGCCTGTGAGGATATGCCTTCTGTAGTGACCGTAGAACACTGGTTCGAGGGAGGGAGCAGCAGCACCATCGTGTTAGCTACCTAGATAAATGCGATTTACATCAGAAATGACGCTTCATCCAAGTATCCAAGTCAGGAAAGAGACGGTGACGGAAACAGCCCAATGTTAGATCGATACCCATTGCCGAATATGGCAAACCCGAGATATCCCCGAGCCAAGATCGACTGAGACCAGGCTAGGTAGCATCGTAAGTCAGATACCTTCATTTCAGGCTGCAAAGGCGTCCCGTGACGTTGCTGGTGATTCGGCTCAACCAAGCTGGTTCGTTCTTGGTCATTCATGGAGGCTTGAAAGACGGTACCAAGGTTTTGCAAATACGGGTCAGCTGTCGACACAAATGCAGGATCCATGTTCATTTTTGCGCCCTAGATTGACATGCTGACAAGTTTTGAGTAACGTAAGCCGAGGATTTTGACCCTAAGGTCGATTCCAGCGCAGATAGGCACAGGTTTCCATGCAGTTCTCGGCCATAGTGAACATGCGAACGAATCGTAACGTGGGGAAAGTCACGGCCAACGTCTGGAACACATTTCGAAGGCTGTATGACAACAGGTCAAGGAACGATAGTTGGGGTCCGCCCTTCTGTCTGCAGCGTATTGACCAAATGATGGCGGGGGGGTTTGATACACAAGGTATAAGAAGAGACTCTTTGCTCATCGATAAATCCGACAAACGACCATAAGTCGACACTCATCTCCGTAGACCTCAATTCCGTTCTTTGAAACACCTCGCTATGCCAACTGGAGGGTGCCTTTGCGGTCAACTCAGATATGAGTATACCGGTGAGCCCGTTATGAAGGTAAGAGTCATTCTTGCAGTCTCTTCGCGGGTTTGTGGCTAAGTGCTCTAGGCAATATGCCACTGCGTAACCTGTCGACACGTCAGCGGCAGTGTATTCACTACCAACATCGTTGTCCCAGAAGGAAATTTCAAGATCACAGCGGGGACGCCGAAAAGATACGCAGCAACTCAGGACAGCGGAATGACGTTGACATATTCCTTCTGCACTGAGTGTGGATGCGTTATCAACAAGGTCGGAGACGCTGAGGCTTTCCGCGGTGTCATTCTCGTTGTGGCTGGGTCTCTTGACGACGAGTCCGCAGTGGACACGGCTGATCCTAACGTGGAGTTCTACGTTAGCAAGCGGGCCTCATGGCTTCCAGCGCTTGATGGCAAAGGGCAATTTCACGAGTTCGATAACAAAAATGCTCGCATGTAGTTCGGCAGACCTGCTTGAAGCGGAATTTGGGGGAGGGGGAGAATCCGTGCAGGTCTGGGGTCATTGGGGAAGATAACACAAGCCACAGATGACTGTGAGCTTCAATCAAGTCTGATTGTCATTCCGTATAACGAGACATCGAGGCGACTCGTTCCACTCGAAGATCTCTTTGTCTACCCGAGGATGCCATCGTCATGGATGAGCACACTCCCCTCATTGCGACCGTCTACGTAACTCGACGTCGACCAAGATACCCCCACACGACACTCAAACGCTTCTGTTCCATCGCCCTCGCAAGCAGTCTCATAGCCATTGCTATCTGTTTCCTCCTTCCGGGCGCCATCCTACCTCGAGGTCACGATTCTGTTTCGTCCTACCTCCCTTGGTCCCCTCCTTATCCTCGCTCATGGCCGCAAAGTGCCGGTATCACCTTTGAGCAGCTGATTGAGCTGCTCCTGGAGACCCCCGATGAAGAAAAAGCACGTTCGTGGAGCGAGTATTATACGTCGGGTCCCCACCTTGCAGGCAAGAATTTGAGTCAAGCTTTGTGGACAAGGGAGCGATGGGAAGAGTTCGGCGTCAAATCAGATATAGTCGCCTACGACGTCTTCATAAATTATCCGAGTGATCATCGGTTGGCCTTGTTGGATGGGCATAAGGTCAAGTATGAATGCAGCCTGGAAGAAGATATCCTCGACGAGGATCCCACAACTTCGCTGAAGGATCGCATCCCAACATTCCATGGCTACTCCGCCAGTGGTAATGTTACCGCGCCGTATGTGTATGCCAATTTCGGCACATATCAAGACTTCGAAGACCTGCGAGCTGCAAATGTCTCGTTGGAAGGGAAGATTGCCCTGGTAAAATACGGACACATATTCCGTGGGCTCAAGGTCAAGAGAGCCCAAGAGCTGGGACTGGTCGGGGTAGTAATGTACTCTGACCCGCAGGAGGATGGTGACATTACAGAGGAGAATGGCTACAAGACGTACCCAGATGGGCCAGCGAGAAACCCAAGCAGCGTTCAAAGAGGCAGTACGCAATACATCAGTGCGTTTCCCCCGAAAGACCGCAACTGACACATACTGACAGGTGCAGGCACACTCCCGGGCGACCCAACAACGCCTGGCTATCCCTCCAAACCAGGTGCACCTCGCGTTGATCCACATGGCTCCACGCCTCGCATCCCGTCGCTGCCCATTTCTTATGCCGATGCCCTCCCCCTCCTCAAAGCTTTGAACGGGCATGGACCCAACGCAAGTTCGTTTGATAAGTCCTGGCATGGCGGAGGTCTTTCTTACAAGGGTGTTAACTACAACATTGGTCCGTCACCCGACTCTGTGGTTCTCAACTTGGTGAATGAGCAGGAATATGTCACAACGCCACTGTGGAATGTCATTGGTATCATCAATGGCACAGCCAAGGATGAGGTCATCGTCGTTGGCAATCATCGAGATGCCTGGATCGCTGGAGGCGCAGGTGATCCTAATTCAGGGTCAGCAGCATTGAATGAAGTAATCCGGTCTTTCGGAGAAGCACTCAAGGCTGGATGGAAGCCACTTCGGACGATTGTATTTGCAAGCTGGGATGGAGAAGAGTATGGTCTTATCGGCTCGACTGAATGGGTCGAAGAATACCTTCCGTGGCTTTCTAGCAGCACTGTCGCCTACCTCAATGTTGATGTGGGAGCGCGCGGAAAGCACTTTGAGGCTGCTGCCTCTCCGTTGTTGAACAAAGTCCTCTACGCTGTGACCAATTCAGTGCCCTCGCCCAATCAGACCACCAAAGGGCAGTCGATTGGCGATGTCTGGGACGGTCATATACGCACAATGGGATCTGGCAGTGACTTCACAGCCTTCCAGGACTTTGCTGGAATCCCATCGCTTGATTTCGGCTTTGGGAACGGACCGGAAGACGCGGTTTACCATTATCACTCAAACTATGACTCTTTCCACTGGATGAATGCTTATGGGGACAAAGGATGGCACTACCATGTGGCCGCGGCCAAGATATTAGCACTGGTGACGGCGCAGTTGAGCGAGACCCCCGTCTTGTCCTTGAGCGCTGAAGACTACGCCAAAGGTCTCTCTGTCTATTTAGACGACGTCAAGGAGAGAGCAAAGACTCACATGGCAGGTTCGAGCTTCAGCTTCCAGGCACTCGACAATGCCACTGCCGAATTCCGCCACGCTGCCACAAAATTCGACGAATACACCGCCGGCCTGACCAAAAAGCTCGCAGAGGACGTGCCCTGGTGGGATTGGTGGAAGAAGGTGAGGCTATTCTACGAAGTGCGGAACGCAAATGAGAAGTACAAGACACTGGAGCGTCAATTTCTATTCTCTGGCGGTTTGGATGACAGGTCTTGGTTCAAGCATGTTGTCTTCGCCCCTGGCCGTTGGACTGGGTATGCGGGTGCTACCTATCCAGGCCTTGTTGAGAGCTTTGAAGACAAGAACATTACAAATGCGAAGAGATGGAGTGTGATCATTGAAGAGGCGCTGGGAGCGGCCGCAAAGCTCTTGGAATAGCGCATCAGTGGCAGCAGCCAGCCCGCGTGTTTCACCGCCACAAGGCGTGGAGGATGACGGGCGAAATGGTTGGCTCGCTTGCATCGAAAACAAACCAGGAAATCTTCCTCCCACACATGGTTGTTCGTATGGGCTTACTGTACTTAGGTAGTAACGTCAAAATCGTATAAGGTAATACTACTCTGGATATCATGCACCCTCCATTCATTGGCTATTGCCACACAGCCGCCCTTCACAAGCTTTAGCAAGGGCGAAGGTTGTAAGCATCAGTGTGCCAATGCGTATTTGGAATGTCGTGTTGCGAGCAGGATTCAATCTTTGTCCGCGGAAATGATCCATATACTGTTCTCTATCAGAGATCAGAGAACACCGTAAGCACAAGTATCTGAGAGGGCATGGAACACATTGCCCTGATGAACAAGGTTGCCGAAAAGGTAATGTTGACCTCGGTCAACCCTGGGTCTCGAAATTGCTTCAAAAGTTTCACACGCACCAGCTCCCAGAGTTCGGCATTTTGTTGTCATCTGAAATAGACACGGGTCGAGCTTTTTTCTTCACGAGTTCGGGACCCCAGCCAGTATGGCGCATGTGCTCAAGTCCCAATTGCCATGGACATCGTCTCCCCTCATTGTGAATGCCCCCATGGGCGGCTTTGCCGGGGGGCACCTCGCAAGCGCCGTCACAAAGTCAGGTGGTCTCGGGATGATCGGCGCCATCATGTCTAGCGACTTGGAGAAGGAACTGAGTATCGCCGCAGACAACCTCAAGGCCACCACTGCGCCAGGTGACATGCTGCCCGTCGGTGTGGGCCTGTTACCTTTCATCGTCAAGGCCGAGTCTGTGCTTCCCATCCTCGCAAAATATCAACCCACCGTGGTCTGGTTGTTTGCTGCAAAGGATCCGAAGGATTACGCCACTTGGTCCACAGAGATCCGGGGACGGTGCCCCAATTCTAGGATTTGGATTCAAGTCGGCAGTGTGAGCGCCGCTGTCGAGATCGCCCAGACGGCCAAGCCTGATGCTTTGATCATGCAGGGCGCGGACGCAGGCGGCCATGGATTCGAAAGAGGCGCCAGTATCGTTTCAGTGCTACCAGAGGCGGCTGATGTTCTCGCCGAAAAGGGACTCGGTCATATTCCCTTGCTCGCATCGGGGGGAATCGCAGATGCTCGCGGTGCTGCAGCTGCATTCGCGCTGGGGGCATCCGGGGTAGTGATTGGGACGAGGTTTCTCGCGGCCAAAGAGACAATCTCACCTCCTGGATATCGAGAGCTGGTACTGGCAGCAAAGGATGGAGCTCAAAGCACCGTCCGAAGCAAACTATTTGACAATGTCAAGGGTCCCAATATCTGGCCAGACGCCTATGACGGAAGAAGCCTGGTCACGGAGAGCTATGCCGATCACGTCCAAGGTATCGATATCGAGCTGATAAGAAAAAAGCACAATGAGGCAGTGGAGGGAGAGGATGGCGGCTTCGGGACAACCAACAGGGCAAACGTCTGGGCAGGGGCTGGAGTAGGGCTGGTGAACAAGGTACAGAACGCTGCCGATATTGTGCAAGAGGTCCGAAACGGGGTCGGCCAGATCCTAAAAGGAACTGCAGCACGCTTGTGACATAAAAACCTGAATATTTTCGGGGGCCTAATAAGAACGCCGTATCTTTAACTTCCTTCTTCGAACACGACCTAGTGGTTCAAACTTCGATGCTGTGCGCCGATGATGCTCAATAATAGCTCGTTCCGCCAGCTCCCAACCCACTCCTTGTAGCTCCGAGGTCGCTGCTGTATCTGCGGGCACCGAGTGGAATGACACCGTGGCCAAATCCGATAGGGCTCGGGACTCGTCGAAGCTGGAGACTGTGGCGGCGAGAAGATCGTTGCGAGGTCCTCGTAGTAGCGGGTGTCAGAAGACGAGATCCCGGCATCTCCTCGTCGTCTTCCACCGCCTCTTCGGCAACAGATGGCGCACTGGACTTCCGAGAATGTGCTCCAGCGGTGGCAACCGAAGATGCTTTAGCGTCGTCGTCATTGGCGTCTTCGTCGTCGTAAATATCATCATCGTCTTGGTCACTTTCATCATCGTCCAAGTCCCCCCCAAACCCTTCCATCTCCACCAGAAACCACACTGGGACGGCGCCCACAATGGCGACCAGGGCCAATATCCACCAAGAAATTACAACATAACCGATATCGACTCCTTTGGTGAACGTAGCGCCCGCTAAAGCCGGTCCGGCAGCTCTTCCAATGGCAGAGACACTGGTTGCCACCCCATTCAGCGTCCCTAGTATCTTCAAACTAGCAGCACTATTGGTAAGAAGAATGGTGGAACAAGGGAACGCAAAGATGCCGCAAAAGCCCTTGACCATCATCAGCAACATCATGATACCTTGCCTTGACGAGTCAGTAGGCAGCAGGGCCGTAAAAGGTGTCGCGACGTAGACCAGGGGGAAGGCTAGGCAACAAGCCTTGAGACAGTTCAAAACGCCGTACCTCCTAGCAAAGGGGGGAAAGACAAAGAACTGGATGAGCATGCCAAAAACGCCGTAGACAGTAAACAATAGGCCAATCCTATTGGAATCAATGCCGAATCCGCCAGCAAACTTCCAAGGTAGATGGACCTCGGGGTCTTGAATAGATTGCACCGGGTAATGCATGAATATTGGCAGTAGTTGGTCGTACGCCACCGAATGCATGGCCAAAAAGGTATACACACCGAGATTGATGTTTGACTGTGTGGAAAAGACCTCCGCCCAGCCTGGGTTCTGTTTGGGGATCTCAGCCGCGACAACGGAACCAGATATCGGTGTGGACAGTTCACTGGAAATCCCAGGGAGAAATGGATCCGACTCTTCGGTATTCGACCAAGTTCTGGTCCTGGATCGTGGCCTTCGGGTGCAGGAATTGGTCAGGAATTTGCCCATTATCAGGCCGTAGTCCCTGTGGGATTTCTTTTCCTCGAGGGTCTCGTGTAAGAAAAGGAAACCGGCAGTGATCCCGCACATGAAAAGAATGCTGATCAGAAGGTTCGGCAGCGCAAAGGGATATTCCTTGAGCAACTTCAGCTTTCCAAACACTTCTGGATATCTTTCCGCAGGATGGACCAGAGATCCTCCAAAAGACGGCCCGAATATACTGCCAATGTTCCAGACGAGCGGCATAATACTGAATGCCCGCGGTTGTAATTCCTTTTGAGGTACCAACTCTGCCACAGCTGTCCGAATGATCCCAACATTCCCGTTCGAGAGGCCTTGCAGAGACCGTGTGACAAAGGCCCAGGCAAGATTTTTGGAGAAGCCAAATAATATGGACGAAATCATGGTGCAGGTCAGGGCGAGGATGATTATGGGCTTGCGGCCAAAGCGGTCTGAGGCCCGACCCCAGGCGATTCCGGTCAGACACTGTGAGAGTGAAAAGGTCGCAGACATAAGTCCGGCCCATTTGGCCACTTTATCATTGGGGACATTGAAGGATTGAATCATCTCCGGCTGAATACAGTCAGTATGGGTGAACAATCACATTGCTGGGGGATTTGGATCTTGGGGACTCACAATGTATGGGTAGACCGAGGTCATTGCAACAGGCTCTGCGAAGCGGCATACTGCTAGAATGAGCAGTTGCTGCTTGGGCAACTGAAGTGCCCGTTTGGCTCCTTTGACCATGGCTTGAGTAGGGTGAACGAACGAGAAGAGCCATGGACCTCGTTCTCAACCCCAGGACGTCGTAGGATAGCCGTCGATGGAGATTTGCACGGTAAAGGAAGTGTGAGAAAAGTTCACAGGCGGCCATCGTAGAGGAAAGATGGGCAACCCATCGAAACCCGCAGTGTGGCCGCTTCCCGCCACTGCTATTACCGGGGTCATTGTGGGTGATGCGAGAATTACCCCAACTTCATCCAATCCGTAGGCTTTTGAATGAAAAGGGCGTTTAGAAGTGGGAAGGGGGCGGCAGGAAAGGCGTTACTAGGCCAAACGAGGGGCAGGTGATGCCTGTAGTTGCCCGCTGATCTCCTTGCTAGAAGGTTGTCTCGACAGTTGGTTGGAGGAAAGTTCGGACGGGGATTAGGCGGGACGACGGGTTGGAGGGAGGGACTGCAAATGGTCCGGTGCCGATTGCCGCTCTCCACATCTGAGAACCGAGCACTCCGAATCCCTCCTGTACAAGTATCTGGCATATATCATGGAAGAGATCGTTTTGCCAGACCTTATGTATCCTTTGATATGAAGTCTCCAGCATGTCCGACCAATCCCTCCAACGACGAGAGCACAATGGCGAGAATTCGCCTGCGGCAGAATACTTTGTTTTTTGGCTGACAACCACACCTGTCTCAAAGTAGATGCTATCACGTTGAACAGAATACCTATCACGCAATTTGTCCGTCCCTATATGCTGTGAGACAGCCGCTGAGGCTATATCCCAACCGCCAAAGTCATGGAGCTTACTTCGAAGACCAACCTCTTCCACTGCGCCACGCCCCTGTTATCCTCTGACCATAACTCCGAAGCGTGGTTCCATCTTACGACAAAAGTTGGGATTGAACACATTGACGACCTACTAAAAATGAACAACCTTCTGTTTGCTCCGTGCTTGGGCAGGTTCAAAAGAAGTACCTCACAGTCAAAATATAAGCAGGCACGGTCGAACGCAAGGGCCCGGTTAAGGTAAACTGACGGCTATGGTCGAAAGCCCGCTTCTTCTCTTTAAGTCGGGCAAAATCAAAAGGGAACCCAAAGGCTACGTGTTGGCTCTCCAAGCGAATCGTGTAATATTCTCATTACCCTCAGCTGGTCGAATCCAGCTGCAAGAAGTGGTATTTGGCTTGAATGTCTTCATGCATTATTCCTTCCAATGCCCGCTTTATACCGCGCCAGAGCCCTGTCTCGCGACTCTTTGTGATTGACAATTGGCCTCGGATAGCCATTTGCCTCAGCAACCTTCCCATGGCCACGGTTGTACGGGTCATGGATTCCCCTGCTGTCTTCGATATCTGCAAGCTCTGGCACCCATTTACGGATATACCCTCCCTCGGCGTCAAACTTCTCGCTTTGGAGCAACGGATTGAAAATGCGAAAATAGGGCTGTGGGTCGACGCCACAGCTGGCACTGAATCCCCAACCGCCGTTGTTTGACGCAAAGTCACCATCAATGAGGTGCTCCATGAACCACTTTTCGCCCATGCGCCAGTCAATCAAGAGATCTTTGGCCAAGAAGGAAGCCACAATCATCCGACAGCGATTCGGCATGTATCCCGTATACGCTGCCTGGCGCATTGCAGCATCAACTATTGGGAAACCTGTCTTGCCCTGGGTCCATTTGTCGAACTGTTCCATGTCGTACTCCCACTCGATATTGCTGTATTCTGGTTTGAATGGCTTATTCATGCTGGCAGGATCTTTCAGCCATCATGACTAGCAAGAATGAGCACAACGCACTTACCAAATATACGGCCAGTGGCATAGGACATGTTTATAGAACTGCAGACGCTGTCAGCCTGGACCAGGACACGACATATGGGAGAAGGTCGCACGTCTCTCCACGCTACCTCGGCAATCCACATTAAGTGTCCTTGTTTCCGGTCATCTGTCACTCTCTTCAAGGGAGCTGCGTCACGAGCCTCTCTAACAACTGTTCGTGCGGCAATTGTACCTGCTGCCAGGTGTGGGCTAAGAACGGACGTCCCATTGCCTCCAGGTAGGTTCCTGGTATCATGGTACTTGGCAATTTTCTCGAGCACGAACTTGTGCAGTCGATCTTGGGCTTCACTTTCTCCTGCGGGCCACATGCTACTAAATTTCACTCTTTCTTCCTCGGTCAGCTGCTTCGAGGGAGGTGCCGCTGGAATACAAGTGCTGAATAACGTTGAGTAACTTTCCCTCGCAGACCGTGGGTTGTGGCCTGGTGGAGGGAGATAGTCCAGTTCTTGGGGGTTTTGGTTGAGGTAGGTGCACCACTTTCGATGCCAGGGACTGTAGACCGATATTGGACCACCGGAGCCACTCTTCAGCTTGCCAGGTTCGACCACGCAAGTATCATGGATGACACTGAAGGATATTCCACTCTCCAAACAAAATCTTGTTAGAGCAGCTTCTCTCCTGAGCTCGTCCACCTCGTACTCGGCGTTGCAAAATACATGGCAAGCTCCCCATGCCGCGCATAAGTCGAGGAGTTTAGACGGGATGTTCCTTCTCCGCTCCACCGTCTCAACATACAATGGGATGTCCAAATCATCCAGATCCTTCTTCAACATAGCAAGGTTACGAAGAATGAAATCAACGCGTACGGGAGCTGTCAGATGGGCCTCGAAGTCTTGAGGGGAGATCAAGTAAAGGCAAACCAGGGGCACATTGTGCAATTTGGCCATGTTGCTTGCTAGGTGCAGTCCCTTGTTGTCCGTCGTCCGCAAGTCACACTTGAACCAGTGAACCACACACTTTCCTGGCGGTACTTGGTCTCGGTCGGCTTGTGTTTCTTTGGCGGCTTTTTCCAGTGTCTCTATCGGGCGCTCAATCTGTCCGGTCTTGTATGCTTCGGCTCGCTCGTTGGTCATCTCCGGAGGATAGTACTTGGGGAGGATGATTCCGTACTTGAGCTCATTTGTCGAGTCTTTGTATTGATTCGAGGAGACTGTGATTGAGCGTGGCTTCTTGTGCTCAGGGTCGACAGCTATTACCACGTTGTTTGGTTTGCGTTTCATTCTGCGCATGGTTGGAAATGCTTGTCTTGAGACGACTTTCAGCTATCGTTCACGTAGTCATGCGGTCGACACGTAAAATCGAGGAGCATTTCACGCGTGCAGCAAGGAGTAGAAGTCAAAGAATGCACCTTTCGTGAGAGCTACACCTTTCACTGATGCTAGTAATTTAGCAGTTAGCAGTGGTGATGTAAGAAAAATGAGGATCGGATCTACCAGCGAGATCGATCAGATCTCACTAATATGCTGTGGGTCGATCTGGCGTCCCTGCGCCTAATTCGCCCACGGACCACGGTGGTCTGTGCTCTATATATACTATACATATATGTATGTACCTATTGGTGCAGGGCTAATGCCCTTGTCTTGCTACCAAGTGAACTCCGTTGGAGCCACTCTTCTAGTGTTGTAAGCATTTGGCAGTTTGTTCAGTGCCAACTACGCACACCATTCGTGCTCAACGACTCGAACTCGTCCGTCGTGAATCTCGCCCCCATCACGGCTTGGCTGGCTGGTGCAGCCAGATATATTCGTATTCAGTTATGAATTGAGGGGCTCTCCCTTACCCCCCGATATGGAACCGTGAATTGTGATACCTGCAATCCTAATAAATTGCGTCTTCCATAAACTTTTTTCCAGACCCTAGCACTCAGATGTGTCTTAAAGTGCCCATACCCAACAGTATAGAGCCCAACTCCACACGCCATCGCTGTCCATATGCACCACCATCTGAAACAAATCTGAAATTTTGGATACCCAGGCAAACAATAGGCCACCAGTAGTGACCTCTCTCGGCATGAGTGTGCCTAGCTTCCACACATTTTCCTTATACCCAAGATGAATAGGAGTACTGTTATACAACTGATATGGCTGATTCTGCGGCGCTTTCCGCCAAGTCAGCCAAAGAGAACTGATCGCGGCGATGAAGCAATCATGATAGAGGTGAGACGTCGCCTGAGTCCAACGGGTCAATATTGGGCTCCTTGTATGTGGCCTGACCGTTTTTCGCTTGTGGCGCTGCATTCTCGTCTGAGCGAGGCACCGCAGTTGAACTTCCCTCGTTTTCCTCCTCCGGAATGGTTGCACAATATTTTTTAAGGACCTGTTTGAGAGCAGGTCTTCGAATCGGCTTGGCCAGAAAGTAATCCATTCCGGAAGCCATGCATTCGTCCTCGTTGGACTTTTCGGCAAACGCAGTAAGGGCGACAATAGGCGACTTGAATCCCATTTCGCGGATGAGTCTGGTCGACTGGATTCCATCAAGGTTGGGCATTTGCACGTCCATAAAGACTAGATCAAACCGTTGCCCGCTCACCATGGATTCCCGAACCTTTTCAAATGCTTCTTGTCCGTCCTTCGCAATCGTGACATCTATCAGACAGTGAGATTGTAGCATTACACTGGTTCAGGGGACTTACCATAGACATCTTCCAACCTCAGCATGCGAAGGACGACTTCTTGATTCACTTGATTGTCTTCTGCCACGAGCACGCGCACTTTTCGACCCTTTTGTGCAGCTTCATTCTCCACCTTCTTGATCTCATTGAGTTTTGCTTGGGATGCGTCGCTACTTTGTATCTCTTTCGCCACATAAGGTTGAGTGAAGCCGACTATCCTTGGAACATCGGCCAGTTTGGGTTGATCATCCCGGGCTGAGGGTAAGGATGTCGTGGAACCAGTGTGGTTGTGCGGCGTTACGTCGGGTTGGTCATGCAGAGCTTGTCCAACAAGACTACTGGCTTTGGAGGCGGATTTCCGTGTCGAGGAGGCCATTGACGGGGTGCGCTCTGATACATAGCGAAGCGGAATCCGCATAGTAAACTTGCTGCCAAACCCCACTTTGCTGTCGAGAGAAATGTCGCCACCCATCAAGGCCGCTAGTTGAGCGCAGATGCTTAAACCCAATCCAGTACCCCCGTATTTCTTGCTCAGGCCTAGGTCACCCTGTACAAAGGGTTCAAATATCATTTTCTGCTGTTCAGGTGGAATCCCCGGGCCTGTGTCTTCAACCTCGAATTCGAAGCTCAAATCTTTCGTATTCACTGGTGGGGGTGACATGGATCGCTGCCTTTCTGCGACCTTCGGTATATGCGTTGTGCCTCCAGCCACGTTGATGCTAAGTTTTGAGTCTTCGACTCCCCCAGAATTCGAATGACTCTTGTCATGATCGGCGCTATCTGGTGGAACCAGGGAGCCATCTGACATCCGTACTCGCTTATTGCTCGAAGACTTTGACTTTCTTGAGTTCAGGGAGGACTTTCGCGCGCTTCCTGCTCTACTAGGAAAGCTCTCAACAAGACCCGTGCATCGAACACGGACTGTGACAGAGCCATGCGCAGGAGTAAACTTCAGACTGTTGCTGACAAAGTTCATCAGGACCTGAAGCTAGTTAGTAGGATGTATCTCGTTTTCGGGACTAGACGGACCTGTAAAATCCTGTTCTTGTCACCCCAGAGACACATGTCCCTAACGCGGCCTGTGCCAACTGGGCCATATAGCTTTTCTCCAGACAACTCAGAAGCGTCACCAAAAGCGTCGTTCGTACCAAGGAATAGTACTTTGAGATCCACCTGTGCCTCGCGAGCCTGTTTTTCGAAGGTAGGCATCAGTTGGGTGCTCAGATCACTGAGTCTGAATTCCGCTTCGTCAATCGACAGCTGCTGGCCAACCTCATTCTTGCTGAAGGTAAGAAGATCGGTCAACAAGTGGAGAAGCAGATCTCCAGATTTGTAGATGGTATTTAATGTAGACCGGATCCGGCCTAGATCATCCTCGTTCATACAAACGGTCGTAAGGCCGAGGATACCATTGAGAGGCGTCTTCAACTCGTGAGAAATGTTAGCAATGAAGAGTGTCTTGCTCTGATTCGCCGCTTCGGCGGCCTTCTTGCTTTTCTCGAGCTCCGCTGTACGCTCCTTTACCCTTTCTTCGAGCCGCTCGTATTGCATCGTTAGCTCGTCAGACATCTCGTTAAAGGTGCGAGTCAACTCCGTAAGTTCATCAGTGATGAGATGTTTTCGCTCTGGAACTTTCCTAGGTATCCTGAATGTTCTTCGCCGCAAGTGTCGAGGAGTTGTCGATCGATCTGGCTGTTTTGGCTTAGAAATCCTTGTCAGAACACCGAAAAAGCCTTCTTTTCTAGCCACCTCGCGTTCATCAGAGTCCAGTATGTCCTCCATCTCCGCGGCTTGGTGGCCAAAAGTACTGGAATATTCGCTATTATCATCAGGTTGATAAGGCTCTACCGTTTTAGCAGTTGCAGCTGCGAGATACCGGATTGGGGTGATCGAATAATGTGCCATGGGGAACATGACGAGCAGGAGTAAGCCAGTCACAGAGAAGACACAGATGAGAACAACATCGCGCAGATGGTCGATAGGGGCAACCACCTCGTGGTGTGATTGTTCTACCACAACCACCCAATCGACAAACTTGGTAGATAGCGTGGCATAACCTGCGGAAACTCGTTTTCCTTCTTCGTTGCGCGTTGAAATATAGGCGCCCGCATTATTGATGGCCTGGTTCTCCTTGGTCCACGCGGAAACGACTGCCGGATAACCTGAAGCTGGAAATGGCTCGGTGGCATTGTTGACGCTACTTCGGGCCTGGTGCCGATAATCCAGCGTAGAATTGCTTGCCGGTGGTAGCACATACCGGACGAGTTGAGATTCCAGGTAGGACTTGCTAGATCCCCGGACCTGTTGTCCAAAATGGTTATTCGACGACGCTGGACCAATAATAAGAGTTTCCCCGGTTTTATCGAGTCCTTCAGGCGACTGCTGAATTTCATATAGCATATTAGTATTGGCCAGAACCGTCATCCAGCCAAGGACATCGGACCGAGATGTGTTGTTGATCAGCGGAACTGTGAGCGACAGAAGGGAATAAGTCTCATTCACAACCAAAGGTCCTAGGAAAAGGGTGTCATCAGGTCGAATGATTTGACCTTTGTAGTATAGAGTTGAAAAATTGGTTCCTGCTTGCGGAGGGCCATAAGTCAAGTTGGGATACAGTGAGGAGGGGTAGCCCAGGCCCGGGTCTCCCAAGTAAACCGCTGAGCCATTCGTATAGTTGTATGGTAGTTTGATTGTGCCGTCCAATCCAATTGCAGTGACGTTGAGCAGTCCATTGACCGCAGTCTCGTTTCCATTGAAGGCATTGGGATATAAAATTGCCTGGACCAGAAGGCTGCCATCGGCGAGAGCGCCCTGGAAGTCACTCACAGATCGTTGCCAATTCTCGTTTGAGGTGTTTCCTACTCAGTGGTCATGATTAGCATTAGCACTTTGATGAAGAAGGTTCTCGGAAGGATTACCCGAATTATATCTTCCCAGAGCACTCTGGATTAGCAGCCGCGTGCTGATCAGCCTGGCCTGTGAATCATACAACAGTAGTGCACTCGTGAACTGTGCTGCTTTGAGAGATGCCGTCAAGGACAGTCCGGATAACCTGTCAATGTCAATCAGCGCTGAAGGACTTCAGGATTGACAGGCATTTTCCCTGACCTGATGCCGGTAATGAAATTGTAGTTTTGGAACCACTGGTCATATTTCACTCAGTATCATCCGCTGTCAAGATTTTCCACGCGACATACCACTGCAAGTGCAAGCACCATCAGAGATGTAAGGGAGCAAAAGAGGACGAGCAGTCCGAGCTGCTCTCGTATCGAGATCCGCATGGCCGCGGCTGAACACCCTTCCTTGCTCTTTGCATCTCAATATCAACTGCAGCATGCGTCGTGTTCCCAGTTTTCCCTCAGCGTCGCGATCGGTACATCATAAACGCCGCATGTTCAGCGTCCTAGACTGCGAGATGGCTGAAGGGCACGCAGGGGCGCTCTGAGACGCTCTGAGGCGCTCGTGATTTGGTCTCGGTCGCAAAGAAACAACTCAGTCGATCAGCCGTCCGTAGGAATCGTTCACGATCGTGTATGAAGTGTCGAAGAACGCAGGTCAATCCCAAGGCAGGTTGTGGGTGTGAAAACACTAGGACGGTCGGCAAAAGGTTGCAGGCAATTAGATGGACCGATAGAGGGGATTGGGTTCGCTTGCGGTCGAGACCGAGGGGCCGGGATGTATGGAGTAAAAGTGAAAAGGTTCAAACGAAAGATACCAGAACTCAACAGCACGACAATCTTTACTCAGAGTTGCACAGGTGAAGGGCTTGACGAGACCCAACGCCGGGGGTCCAGGTGCGGGTAGACTGAGAGAGATGGCGAAAGGCGAAAGACGAAAGGGCAAAAGAGAAACGATCAACAGGTGTTGGTGCGAGGGGGCGTACCCAGTGCCCACGCACCCACCCCCAAGCCCATGCGGGTCTCAGAGCCGGCACAATTAGCCTGCAACGCTTAAAAAGGTGGCCTTGCCCAACACGGGCCAAGGCACAAGCATGGACTGGATGGGATACGTACCTGGGGTGCCTTGATAGGTATGGGCCTTGGGAAAAAGCGACACCGCCAACACCGAAAAGCCCACGAAAACGCCACTTCTAAGCGAGAAGGGGAAGCTCCCCCTTTCCTTTTCCATGGCATCTTAGGTACAGGGGACAAGCACTCCGTACTTAGCCCGCTCTGGAGCATTCCATTTCTCGAACGTGGTCTTATTGACCATGAGGTGGGGCAGCATGCCAACTGGAGGCGAAAGAGACGAGGAGGCTTAGAAGATGCCAGAGACACTACCTTCATCTGTTTACCCTAAAATTCACATGGTTTTTTTCTTGTTTGGTCATTTAAATTGAGGGTGGCTGGTGGCAGTATCCGCATATTAAGGTACCCAGGTGTTGTGCTTGCGTAAACCGGGGGTTGGATTGACTTGATGGGGCGATGAATGGTGCCCCTCTGCGAATGTTTATCCTGTGAGACACCCCCTACGAATACCTTTACAAGAACTGCTTGTATGATTGCAAAGCTCGAAACTCATCTGCTTCCATCCACCTTATGGCTCCATCACAAAGAAAGACTGCACCAGTGCCAAGCCTCAGATGCAGCCCTCAGATGCTATGTTGAGACGAAGGATCCGGCACCATGATCCAAAAGAATAATTGCCCCTAGTTTGAGATCCATATCTTAGTAGCATAATATGAAAGATGGAGACCAGAGACATGATTCATAATAGACACGTTCCCGACCTCCATTTCCCCTCGCCATTGTCACTTCTACTTCTCAACTGGGGGCCTTTGGGCCTCGACAGATCAGGCCTTTTGGTCTCAACGCTACAGAACTCTCCTCACTGCCTCATCATGCAATGTGCACCAATGTGTCAAACTTGTGGCGCGCGCGGCCATTTCTGATGCAGAACAGAGTTTGCAAGCCGGCCAGTTAAAACCCACTCTGCACCTCCAGAACCCCTGCTCTGTTGGAGACTTTGCAGCAAATCCCCTCAACAATCAAGTAGCCCATCAGCCTCACTACAGCGATATTCTGCTTTGGCATGCGCTGTTTTAGCCCCTCTCCCCCACCAAACCTCCCCAGACGTTATGACCTTCCCTAGCCAGGATGCAGCCTCGTGTTCGCAATCATTGTTTGTGTGCCTACTTGTTCGCTCATGCTATATCGTCTGGGAATATCGGCAACCTTGATTCAACACTGCTGATATCTTCCTCTTGAGCTAGTGCACCTAATTCCATCGATTTTTGGCTTTCCTTGCCCAAGGCTCATCCAGCATGACCGCAAGAAGTACGTCATCTCCAAATCGAGTCCCTACCCGGTCTGATGAAACTGACTCTGACTCCTGCGCAGGCAACATCGCGCCCATTATTGACGTCGCCGGTGCGGGCTTCAGACTCTCGCTGCTTCTCAATGCGATTAGTTCCGAGTTCTCAAATGCGGGCCTCGAGGTCAAGAGCATATCAAAGGGCGTCACAATGTTCTCGATGATGCTGAAGCACACGGGTCAGGTTCTGCAGGCAACAGACTCAGTTCACTCCCAGGAAGCTATCGAGACAGCAAAGTCGATAGCAGATGAAAGCACAAGAGTCTTTGATGAGATTAAGGACATGTGGGTGCGTGTGAGTGCGCAGGACACACCCAGCACCACTGCCCACACTCTTCAACAGAGGTTCAGAAGGACATTCAGAAAACACAGGGTTGTATACCTGCTCGCACAACTCGAAAGTCTTCAATTAAGCCTCTCGGTCATGTTGCAGATAGTCCAGCTAGGAAAGGTGATGGCGTCCACGTCACGAAGGTTTGACATTTCGTCAAGTGTATCGCAGACCATTGCTAACGATGAAATTGCAGCGACTCCCCGGAAGAGGTCTCTTTCAAGAAAGAAGAGATCACTCAGGAACGCGCCGAGGCCCAAAATGCTTTGATTGTCCGATACTGGCAAATGAGTAATATGGACGCATTATTTGAGGCCTCGCAACGAGAAGAGGAGGAAGATAGAAAATCATCCATGAACAACGGTGCCGTGCATGACGACCAGTCGCTGGCGTTTCCTGTAGACAGCTCTCAACACACCTCCAGCCCCATCGCTCCCGAGCAACCCCCCTCAACCGCTTTGGTGAGACTACCAGTGTTTTCTCTCGGCGAGCTTGATCACATGCTACATCAAATTCGGGATTCTCCTCGAGATATGGTTCAGGTATCCGATCGCGCGATCGACCCTCTCCTCGAAAGATGGACCATTTGGCGTGAGATTCGAGAGAGGCGCCACAACCGTGACTCTGGTTCCAGATACGCCCCTTCAGTGCACAACCTCAATGAGGAGGACGAGGAGATCCCTTTCCATGAACGATATCGAGAGCGTGACGGGAGCCCTCGTGGCTATTACCTGGAAGGCACAACGACCGACTGGAGGAAGCCGAATTCTGCCTCTGCACGCCATGAAGCATTCATGAGACGGAAGCAGTACTCTGGTTACCAGCCAAGCGTGAGTGCGGCAAGCAGCGACATGGAGGATTCCCCCGGAGGTAGCCCTAGCTCCAAGAAGCGATCCTCGCGGCGACACGTGCTTGACTCAGGTTCAGAATCATCTGCCTCCGAAGCCGAAATGGCCCAGCCCAAACCTCGGCGCCGGAGTAGCGGCAGCCCTGGTGTTGAACGGAAGATACAAGCTGCTGGGGGAGACGCACCCGTAGCACACGCCTTCACGGCGCCGGTTGAACCACCACCATGGATCACAGCTGCTACCGCTGGTGTCAATCGTCCGCCCTCGACTCAGCCCTCCGTGACGTCGGCTCAGTCGACGGCATCAAGATTGTCATCTCCTGCATACCACCCACCCGGTCATCGTCCCTGGGTAACGCCCGATCAGAACCCGGTGCACCACAGCGTCTCGTCGCCTCTACTGCCAGCACAGATGCATAATGCCCCGAATTCAATGGTGCCTCCACAGGCAGTTGCATTCGGACGATATGGCGGCCAAATGCATCCACAGGGACATCCGTTGATACAACAACATGGGTATCCGCAACTAACTGGATACCTACCTCCTTCCTCTCAAACTCGATACATTCCTCAATCCTCAACCCGGATGGGCCTATCGCCGAGACCGGTGTCCCAAGATGGCAAATCCGCAAGATCACCGTCCCGATTGTCCCAACATAACACCACATCACGCATCCATGATGAGAAGAGGCACTCAAGGGAGAAATCCACAAAGCAAAATATCCGCGAAAGTGCCACTAAGGGCCTTCTGGGCGCTGGAGCTATTGCAGGGTTTCTAGAAGCATTGGAGGGCTTAAGTCTCTAATCATGCCTCGTCGTAATGTATCATAATCTTTAGTCAGGGTCTCTGGAAATTGATAGTTGTGCCTGGCACTGCTGGACCATGTCAATCTAACGATGTCGATCACAACTAGAATAATTTCGTCACTTCATTCTTCCCAAATATGTCCCTGTAGGGGTATATTATATTGCATGCTTCACTTACGGCGAAGCGACCCTGCTGCAACAATGCACCCTTCCATATCAGATATGAAAGAGAGAATGCTTGGGTGAGATAAACCAGCAAGCCTGTGGAAACAAAAGTTAGCACAGCACCCCATACTAAATACCCTAGTCAGACCACATTGTCCTGCCTCTATAGCATTCAAAGATACTTTTCTACTACCCTCTCTAGGGATTGTTATTAAGTATTACTATCATTATATAGCTCATGAGCTCGTGATTGTATCTAGAGAATAAAATTTATAGTTTTATACCTAAAACTCTTAAGAGATAAAATAACTTAGGGGTATGCTAGTCATTACTTGGCTGTGCCACTTAATTTTTCCGCTGGCTCGCCAGCTCTTATTCGGAATTGGCCGCAAGTTCGGCCGTTGGACAGACACGAGAGATTCCCAAGATTGGCTAGAGCACTCATCCCGGCTACAGTAATACAACATGTTCAAGAGCATTCTGGTCGCTGAAAATTCTGGACGTTGGGACCCGGCTGATGGTTATCAACTTTCAGCCTGATCAGCGCAAACTATCATCCAAAGCGATCAATCACTTAATCTCCCTGAGGCGAAGACTGGACCAGGGATTTCCTCTCCTTGAGGCAGTCTGCCGACTAGTTCATGTGTGACAAAGACGTCATCCTGCCAGGCGAGACATGGACCAAGGCCTCGCTACGGATGAGATTGCCGTTGGGGGCTCACTACCCGTGCCTCAGAGAATAAGTGTAGCTTTCCCAATCCTCCAGCCAATTAGTGTCGGGGAGTTTTTGCATCACTGGATGCAGCTGACGAGGTCCCTGTTCCCTCTGGCGGGATGTTATATGAGTGTGGTGGTTGGCGGCCTTGCAGGTTCAAACTTCTGTCTATCCGCATTGTCTGTCGTAGACACCGTTGGATCTTCTGTTATTTCTGAAGCAGAGACGGGTACTGGTCGTGCTTGGTGAACAGTGGCAGATATGATGGCAGATGATGGCAGATGTGAAGATCCTGAGAGCAAGAACAGCTGCCTCGCCTTACTCGTCCACACTGGTCACGCCGGTCATGCTTGTACATGTGGCTACACCGCTAAAGACGATCATCAATGCTAAAGAGAGGACAGTGATCTGGGTAAGTTTCGACACACCGTTTCAGCTTGAACCCAAATTGTGCATTCCGAATAAAATGTGTTAGTTCTATTCTGCCTACGCAGGTACTCTCTAGGCACTGCTGTACCAACGGCTCTAGCTTCCACTCGTCGGTTGCATGACCACCTAGAATCACTGTCCAGTATCCATGCAAAAAGCATAGATCGCCTTCGCATTATCGCGAGGCACCCACATGCCATTCAAAGCCAAGGGTTGTGTCGAGTCGAGTCGAGGCTTGGATTGGGCTTGCCGAGTGGCTAATTGAGGATTGGGTTAAACCGCTCCCCCATGTCCCCGCGACGGGGCCCAAGGTAACCAATGCGCGCCATCCCAGGGGCACCTCGGGTCGCTTTGGGGCACCAACTTCATGCAGCCTCAACTTTGGGCGGTGCCCGTTGGTTGTGGCTCGTGGCGGCCCCAGGCGTGTCTTGTGAGAGGTACTCTTTCCCACCTCGCCCGGTACCTCTCCCTGGCTGTCCCTTTTGTGCCCGCTGATGCCATTTGGGCATCTGCAGCGACGATCTCGCTCTCAGGAGGTTCACAGTAGTTGCGCCTCTCTTGCGGTGGACAGTCCACACCATCCCTTTTCCCACTAACAGACCTTCCTCCCTTCCTCTGAATCGAGAAAACCACCCTACAATTTTTCCCTATCATTACTCCTATTCTCCGTCCTCCCGCCCTACGTTCCTCACCGTACACTTTACACTCTGCGCCCGAGGGCCCTCCCTTCTGTCGCCTTCAGACCCTGTTAAGTCATTCTGCTTGGGCGACACTTTTTGCCGTTTATCCGCTTCGCACCTAGCGTCTTTTTGGGCATGCCCAGATCCATCCCACTCGTCGCCCAGTCCAACCCATCCAACCAACCCTGTATTATCTGTCGGAGTCGATCGAGTTAACCAGCTTAATATCTCCCACTCTGCAACCACCTAACTTCTCGTACCTATCGACGACTCTGTTGAGCATAAAATCTCCTTCTCCATCGCCAATCACTTGCCCGCGAAATCGTCTTCGGTGAACAAGGTGGCTCTCCGGCCATTTTGTGTACGCTGCTGGACGCGGCCTAGAACCAGGGCCCTTTGGCATACGAAAACCACCTGCAACCATCCTGTCTCGACCGCGCCTCATGAGGAGGAACACTCTATAGAGGATTTCGCATCGTCCATGTCTCGCCCGGACGAGACACTGGCAGCCGCTGCGGCAATTCTGCGTGGATTGGCCAAGGGCTCAACCTCGTCCACCTACACCAATGGCTTGAAGCTTCCACCATACAAGCTCTCTGGCGACGATACACCGGGAAAAGAAGACTTCGAAGCTGAAATAGCCGCTCTTGCAAGACGGATACACTACCTGGAATCTCGGGCGGATGTTGTTGGGCGCTCACTGCCAGATACTCCAGGTGAATTTCAGAGCCCGGCTTCGCCGTTGTCCCGCCCAGTCGAACCACGGGGTTCTCTGGGCGAATCTGGCGCTGATTTCTCTGCAGACTCTTCTGAGAGAACACCTATCAATTACAATCAGTCGAGGCGCGTCAACACCCTTCTCGCTGCCAGAGATTCCTTTCGACCTTCGGAACCGGACCGTGCAGTGAGCGAAGATGATATTAGCATATTGCGAGAACATGTCGAGAGGCAGGCGGAGCAGATAAAGAGTCAGCGAGACACAATTGCAGAGATTAGTCGCGGTCTACGGAATTCGGAAGAGCAGGCCAAACAAGCCTTCATGCGGGTGGAAAATGAAGACGTTTCGATCTTGGAGAGGGAGCTGCGGAAACACCAGCAAGCAAACGAGGCGTTCCAAAAAGCTTTGCGTGAGATCGGTGGCATCATCACACAGGTTGCCAATGGTGATTTGTCCAAACGAGTCCAGATCCAAGCTACGGAAATGGACGACGAAATTGCGGCCTTCAAAGTCACCATCAACACTATGATGGACCAGCTGGAGATTTTCGGCAGCGAGGTCACTCGTGTCGCCCGTGAAGTGGGGACCGAGGGCATTCTGGGTGGACAGGCTCAGATCAGCGGAGTGCAAGGCATATGGAAGGAGTTGACGGACAACGGTAAAGCTTCTAATTTGTTGCTGAAAGGATCTGAACTAACGCTTGAGCAGTCAACATAATGGCAGCGAACCTGACAGACCAAGTCAGGGAGATTGCAACCGTCACCAAGGCCGTTGCACGTGGTGATCTCAGTCAAAAAGTACAAAGTCGTGCAAAGGGCGAAATATTTGAACTACAGCATACTATCAACACCATGGTGGACCAACTGAGAACGTTCGCCACCGAAGTCACTCGCGTTGCCACTGATGTCGGAACGGAAGGCGTGTTAGGTGGACAAGCCCAGATCGAAGGTGTCCAAGGTACCTGGAATGAATTGACCAAGAGCGTGAACGCAATGGCAGACAACCTCACGACACAGGTCCGAGACATCGCAATGGTGACCACAGCTGTGGCAAAGGGCGATTTGACACGAAAGGTCACTGCGAGCTGTAAAGGAGAGATTCTGCGACTCAAGATTACGATTAACAACATGGTTGATCAACTACAGCAGTTTGCTCAGGAAGTCACAAACCTGGCCAAAGAGGTCGGAACCAACGGTGTTCTGGGAGGTCAAGCTACGGTGCACGACGTCGAAGGTACCTGGAAAGATCTTACCGAAAATGTCAACGGCATGGCAATGAACTTGACAACCCAAGTGCGAGAGATTGCTGCAGTCACCACCGCTGTCGCCAACGGCGACTTGTCAAAGAAAGTTACCGCCGATGTCCAAGGCGAAATTCTCGATCTGAAAGTGACCATCAATTCAATGGTTGACCGACTAAACACCTTCGCATTCGAAGTCAGCAAAGTGGCGAGAGAAGTCGGCACAGACGGAACACTTGGAGGGCAGGCCAAGGTCGATAATGTCCAAGGCAAATGGAGAGACTTGACCGACAATGTGAATACGATGGCCTCGAATCTGACAGATCAGGTACGAAGTATCTCGGACGTCACACAAGCCATTGCTGCTGGAAATCTGGACAAGAAAATCGAGGTACAAGCACAAGGTGAAATCTTGACACTGAAGGTCACTATCAATAACATGGTAGACCGCTTGGCAACCTTTGCCCATGAAGTGCGACGAGTTGCTCGCGATGTCGGTGTCAATGGCAAAATGGGTGGCCAGGCCAACGTTCACGATGTCAGTGGCCGATGGAAAGAGATCACAGAGGACGTCAACACCATGGCCGAGAATCTGACTGCGCAGGTTCGTGCATTTGGTGAGATTACGGACGCGGCAACGGAAGGAGATTTCTCAAAGTTGATCAGCGTCAATGCGTCCGGTGAAATGGATGAATTGAAGAGAAAGATCAACCAGATGATTTCGAACCTCAGAGACAGCATACAGAGAAACACGGCGGCGCGTGAAGCCGCCGAATTAGCCAACCGGACAAAGTCCGAATTTTTGGCAAATATGTCCCATGAGATCAGGACCCCTATGAACGGCATCATTGGCATGACACAACTGACGTTGGACACCGACGATCTGAAGCCGCACTCGCGAGAGATGCTCAACACGGTTCACAACCTTGCAAATAGCTTACTGACCATCATTGACGATATCCTGGATATTTCAAAGATTGAAGCCAACCGTATGGCGATTGAGGCTATTCCATATACAATCCGAGGTACTGTCTTCAACGCACTGAAGTCATTGGCTGTCAAGGCGAACGAGAAGTCATTATGTTTGGCATTTGATGTGGACAACTCGGTACCGGACTATGTCGTTGGCGACCCATTCCGGCTGAGACAGATCATCCTCAACCTGGTAGGCAACGCGATCAAGTTCACCGATCAGGGGGAAGTCAAAGTGACCATCAAAAAATCCAAAGATCTTCTGTCGAACTGCGCAACAGACGAGTTTCCGTTCGAGTTTGTGGTCTCCGACACTGGGATAGGCATCCAGTCGGACAAGCTCGACCTGATCTTCGACACTTTCCAGCAAGCGGACGGCTCAACGACAAGGAAATTCGGCGGTACCGGGCTGGGCCTGTCTATATCGAAGCGCCTGGTCAACCTCATGGGAGGTCAAGTTTGGGTCACCTCCGATTTCGGGCACGGTAGCGAATTCCACTTCTCGTGCATTGTCAAATTCGCAACGGACGACATCAGTGTCATCAGTTCCCAGCTTTATCCTTTCCGAAAGCATAAGGTGCTCGTGGTTGACAAGGGCGTGTCCAAGTTCTTTGAACGCGTCCCTGCAATGATCGAGGAGCTTGGGCTACAAGTCAGAGTGGTGAAAGACGAAGCAGATGTGCCGGATCCTGGCATCTTCAACGCCGAACGCAATCGCAAAAACACCGACGGAGGCTATGATGTTATCGTCATTGATGAACTACAGACTGCGCAGAAACTGCGAGAACTGGACAAATTCAAGTACATGCCCATGGTTTTACTGAACCCTACTGTGTCTATCAGTCTCAAGACTGTACTTGACCTTGGTATCGCTTCATACATGACCACGCCCTGTCAATTGATCGATCTGGGTAATTGCATGATCCCGGCTTTGGAGGGCCGGTCTACGCCCGTCATCAAGGACTACAAGAAATCCCTCAACGTGTTGTTAGCGGAGGACAACGAGGTCAATCAAAAGGTGGCCATCAAAATTTTGGAAAAATATAATCATGTGGTGACGGTAGTGGGCAATGGGTTGGAAGCCGTCAATGCCATCAAAAACAACCGATTCGACATTGTACTTATGGATGTGCAGATGCCAGTGATGGGTGGGTTCGAAGCCACACGAGAGATTCGGCAGTATGAAAAGGAAAGGGGACTGCCCAGAACGCCCATCGTCGCTCTAACCGCCCACGCCATGCTCGGAGATCGCGAGAAATGCATCCAGGCACAGATGGACGAATACCTGTCCAAACCACTGAAACAGAACCTGCTTATGCAAACGATTCTGCGAGTGGCTTCCGACAGGGTGACCGATATTTTCAACAAGCAGGCACGATCAAAATCCAATGGAGCTCGTAATGGCACTGGCGGTGGTGCGGACGGAAAAGACTCCCATTCAAAAGCTGGGGATTCTCGAGGGGCATCGAGCTTGAGGCCCCCGTTCAGCGAGAGGTCGGTGACGGCGTCAGGGCCAGTGAATCATGGCAGCGTCGAGAGTCCTTCATTGGGCACAGATGGCGAGCCCGATCCGATGTCGGCAGCTAATAGCAGCGTACGTTCGATGTCATGGTCGGGCTGAAGACAAATCAGAGCTAATTGGCGTGACCAGGTTCTTTTGAGGGCTCACAGTCAATGAAGGTGTTACTTCTGATGGTTGCTGGACCTCTGCAATTCTCCCAAGCATCAATTGATGAGATTATGTTCTGGGCTCCCATATTTGTTGACAGCGTGGAGTACTTCGGGTTTTGGCTCTCTCTTTGGATGTTTGCATTGCGATGTGACTTTGTATTTTTGATTTGCGGATCTCCCCAGGTTGATGCAGGACGAGATGGATTATGCATTGGCTAGTCAGCCAGTGCAGTGTCTGTACGGTATGGATTGAAGACGTTCATGAGAAGTCGATTGCTTGTAGGTCAAGACAGACCATGCATAGGCTGGACATGGGTACGGAAATCGGTCGGTGTCAGAGATCCTTTAACAGAGCCGAGGCGAGTCCATAAATCGCTCATATATTTCATCTGGAATCTCCATGGAACCACCAGAACTTGTCCACATAAGAGGGATCCGTACAAGTGCACAATGTTTTGTACGACGGCCACAGTAGGTCTGTATTCCCCGTTTGTGACCCCAATCAGCCGATCTCAGTGGAGTCGATCTTCACTGTGATGTAGCGGAAACTTGTAGAGAAAGCACTGGACAGATGCCCAGCCTTTCCGGAGGCAGTAGGATCCCCGGATTCCCGAAGTAACAAGGCCTGCCACTAACAACAATCAAAGAAAGCCAGTTTGTGCGAAAAACATTGGGGGAGACAGGTCTCGTACGAAGAAGGGAGGGGCGGAATGATCTGCCCTCGACAGACTTTCAGCAACATCCAAACTCGGTGACGCATTTGGCATGTAATAATATGATTTCGCTCCCTCTTCTATTCGACCTTAACTCGAGCACTCTTCCTTTCCCGCGTTTCTATACCTGTCGGACAGGTCCCCACAGGTGTTCAACATGAGTCGCGCATGAGGACCATTACCGGCTCCGTACTCCGAACATGTCACAATCCGTCGATGAAGGCGCTCAGTCCGGCGCTGAAGCTGCGATAACCGACTCTGGTTTGGTCGCTGCTCAAGCCGCGACAGACAATGATCCGACCTCCAATCCATCTGCGCCTCGCCTAAACCCACGGAGTTGCGTCACATGTCGTCGCAGAAAAGTTCGGTGTAACAAAGAAAACCCATGCGCCAACTGTATAAGAGCAGGGATAGAGTGTGTTTTTCCTGGTCCTGGAAGAGCACCTAGAAAACCGAGAAAACCACCCGATGCGGAGCTGTTGGCCCGGCTGCGCAGATTGGAAGGCGTGGTTCATAGTCTTGGTGCGCAGGTGGACGAGAACGGCATTGTGTCGCCCACTCTCGCAGGTTCGACAGATATCCGGGCACGCTTCGGCGATGTACAACCAAGCGATTCACCAGCCTCCGATCGTTCGGAGTCGAAAAGACAGTCTATTGACAAGCATCTCGGTCGCCTCGTGATCAGTGAGGATCGCAGCCGCTATGTGAACAACGCGTTTTGGACTGGCATGAGTGATGAGGTGTGTTGTCTCTCTGTTTGTGCTCGATAAGACCGGCTGACAGGTTTGTTCTCACAGATTGCTGAAATGCGGGACTTGCTCGACCCGTCAAGCACCGACGACGAAGATGAGGTTCTTTCCCCCGAAACCGATCGCCAGTCGAACCACCAAGCCTTCCTATTTGGGTACTCGTCAGTCATGCAGGATCTGAGAGAGCTACATCCCACCCCGAGTCAAATTTTCATTCTTTGGGAAGTTTTCAAGGAGAATGTGGACCCGGTGGTCAGGATACTCCATCGACCTACAGCCAGAACAATTCTCATGAATGCTGCGAGCAGTATCGATCGAGTCTCCAAGCCAGCAGAAGCTTTGTTGTTTGCCATCTACTTTGGTGCCGTAGTCAGCTTGACTCCAGAGCAGTGCCAGCAACTATTGGATGAGGACAAGCAATCACTAATAAAGAAGTACCGGTTCGCAACAGAACAAGCTTTGGCCCGCGCGGACTTTTTGAACAGTTCCAGTCTCATGTGCTTGCAGGCACTGTCATTTTTCCTCATCTTTGTTCGGCATTGTGACGATTCAAGATTGGTATGGGCATTGGGAGGGTTGGCTATGCACCTGGCACAGTCGCTGGGCATCCACCGTGATGGAACGCATTTCGGATTGAATCCATTTGACACGGAAATGCGACGCCGGTTATGGTGGCAGATATCTCTGCTAGATAATCGAGCTGCCGAAGACCATGGCGTAGATCCTTCATTCTCCGACGAGTTTTACGATACTCAGGTCCCTGCGAACCTGAACGACGACGATATCTATCCCGGAATGAAGTTCTGGCCCGCAGAAAGAGTCGGAGCGACCGAGATGACGTTCTGCTTGATTCGCTATGAAATCAGCGCCTTTTCGCGTCGATTCAACTTTGGCGCTCCTGGGCCCGGCACAAAGCAAGTTCCCGACCTGTCCCTGGAAGAAAAGGAGAGATTAATCGATGAGTGTCACCGGAAGCTCGAAGAGAAATACTTACGGCACTGCGACATGAATACACCAATCTACTGGGTGGCCGCGACGGTCGCGCGTCTGATCCTGGCCAAGATGTGGTTGATGGTGCACCATCCGCGAGCGTACTCCAACAACAACGAACCCTCACCAATGCCGCCGGAAATCCGGGATCGAGTCTTCATCACCTCAGTGGAAGTGATAGAATTCTCTCACCTGCTTGAGAAGAATGAAAACACGGCGAAATGGGGTTGGCTATTCAGGACCTATATGCAATGGCAGTCTGTGGCGTTTGCTTTATCAGAGATCTGCGTGAGACCGCCTGGTCCCGACGTAGATCGAGCATGGCGCGCGGTCGAATCGGTCTATGGGCAACGAATGATGAACTCCAAGTATCAGAAAGGAATGCTGTGGAAACCCTTGCGGCATCTCATGGCCAGAGCAAAGGCCCGAAGAGCGGAGCAACAGGCACAGTCAAACCAGGTGCCGCAGAAGCAGGAAATCATATTTGCCGATATGGCCAATCCAACTCCGATGGAACGATTCATGCAAGACTATCCAGTCAGTGCTGCCAACGCGAATACAATGGAGGCATTCGACCCGACAAACGAGCAGCCCTACAACAATACGGGATTGGGCCTAGATCCACGAGTACCAGAATCTTTCCATGCAGCAACCGGCAGTACGACGAGGGAGAGCAGCCACGCCATGATACAGGATGATCCCAGCGGTGCGGGAGTGAACTGGACGCCGGAGCCCATGGCGATAGGGAGCAACGATATATTGGATTTCGGATGGTCGCCATCTGTTGGCGACTTTACAGTGCGAAGTGAACCCTTCCAGCGCTATTTTGTGACCATTCAAGAGAATTGGTTTTGATGACTCAATATGATAAGACGGGAATACACAGAGAGCACTTCGATTGTTGTTCCCCCTCGCAACAAGCCCCTCCCAAACAGTACTCAGATACCCGACCAAGGAAAAAGTCCATCTGCAGGTAAGACTGATGGGCTGAGCATCGGTTACAGCGCTAAGTCCCAGATCGGGTATGGCATGGCTTATTGACGGCATCTATTTCGGGGAACGAGGGGCATCATGAGCATTCTAGATGCTGGTGGTGTTGATTGTGGCTTTTGCGAGAGTAAGCGCCAGTTGACCAAACCCCTTCCTGCAATTGGTTCAGGCTCCAACGATTATTTCTTGGGGGCTCCCCTCAGGCACCGAGCCAGGGGTCCACGGGGCTCAGAGGCTGAAAGGCTTACCTGCGAGTGGAGGCTCAGATGCTTAAACTCCCACTTTACTCTGCTAAGCTTCTCGGACCCCGTCAGGGCCATGCCCTCGGTGGGCTCTGGCTGGCTCGAATCTATCCAAAGTCGTTAGGGGTGAATTTGGGCTTCCAGGCATTGGCTAGGCGATGCTCTCCCACCTCCAGTTACCCCTGTGCTTGGGCCAATCGACTGGATGTGCTGGGCCTCTGAAGCCACTCAGGTTCCATTCTGGCCACTATCCCTGCGCACTGCACGGACCTCCGCCATTGACTGGTTTGCGAGCATCAACGCCGTCAGGGGATCCATCGTTCCCCATGCTTCTCTTTTCAGCTCAAAACAACATCTGAAACCCGCTTTTACTTGTTCTCGAAACAGACGCATTGTCGCCTGGCCACTCGTGCTCTACCGAGCAGATCTCTTTGCCCTATTTTTTTTTTTGGTGATAATCTCACGGGCGCCTGCTGACTTGGAGTCTGTCTTCCTCTTTTCAACCTCTCGCTCTCTCTCACCTCTTTGCTCATTGCTTCTTTGTGTTCTGTACCGAATCTGAATCTATCTCATTACCTGCCTTCGCTACCTGTTCAGCGTTGATACTGTCCTTCATTGCACCAACCCAGTCCCATACTCCAGAATATAAGTATCGTAATCTCAGAACATCAGCTGCGAGCATGTTATATCACTCTCAATCCAAGATCAGGATACTGATCAGCCTGTTTCTGACCAGTGAGTAGCAGTCTCTGCGTTGTCCCCAGCATTGACGGAAGGACCATCCTCGCTGACCGTGGCACCGACTTGCAGCCTACATTTTCTCAGCGCAGGCCGCTGTTCCCTCTTCCACGTATGTCGGACGGGGCACCTCGCCGGACCCAAATGATAATATCACTGTTTCCATCAACGTGCCCAGCGACAACTCCAACTCTCTCTTCTTCCACTTTTCGGCGCCTGCAGACCAGACATGGGCGGCCTTCGGCCTGGGCTCTCAGATGGCGGGGGCGTTGATCTTTGTTACATATGCATCGGAGAACGGGAAGAATGTCACGGTCAGCCCTCGCCTAGGAAAGGGCCATGTCATGCCCCAACACACCTCGGACGTCCAGGTGGACGTTCTGAGTGGCAGTGGTATCATTGACGGATCTTTCGTTGTCAATGCGAAATGCTCCAATTGCCGAAACTGGAGTGGCGGCAACGTCAACATTGACAGCACAAAACAGTCCATGATCTGGGCTGTTGGTCCAACAGGCACCCTGAACTCCAACGATGACAACGCGCAAATCAGACAGCATGAGGGCTACAACTTCTTCGATCTCGACTTCAAGGCTGCAACAGGTACTGGCGGCGTCCCGGTCGTGAGCGCTTCTTCGGACACTGTGGTTGGTGGCGGTGCCATTGGTGGTGGTCACTTCCGTGGCGCTACTGGTTTCCACGCCTTCCTCATGGTGGCCGCCTTCTTGATCGTCTTTCCTGGAGGATACCTGTTCCTTCGCGTGTTCGAGAAGGTGTGGCTTCACTGGGGTGTCCAGTCGCTGGCCTTGCTCATGACAATTCTTGGTATGGGCGTTGGAATTGCTCTTAGCAAACGAAACAACATTGTGAGCATTTTCCCAGTTCCCATATCTCTTGGAAGGACTAACATTTCTAGTCTCCTAATCTGACTGCTGGCCATCAAATCCTCGGCTTCGTCGTTGTCGGTCTTGGGCTTGTTACATGGGTTGTCGGGCTAGTTGGGCATCGCATTTACAAGAAGACGAAGCAGCCCGCCAAGGTCATGAAGGGGCATCGTGTGCTGGGTCCTGCGACAATCACCCTGGGTCTGGCCAACTGTATCGTTGGTTTCCGGTTTGCCGACAACACCCGCGGCACTATCATCTTTGCCATCGCGATGGTCATCATGTTCATTTTCGTCGGGACTGTCACCTTTTTCAAGCGACGCCAGCAACAGCGAAAAGCGCCCATGAATACGCCAGCAGCGGCCAACTTCCGCGAGGGCCAGCAATCCGAGCCGCCCAACTATACGGGAGAGGCGCCGTTACCCCTGTACGGCCAGGGCGGCATCCCCCTGCAGAGCTATGCGAACAACCAGGCTCCCCCGGTGTATCGCTAGGAAGGTGGGCTCGCAGATGGTCTGACTCGCGGTGGTGGCAACATGGGCTCCACGGGAGTTCTGGGTTCAACGTGGGCTCTAGGCCCAGCGTGCCCTCTGTGATGATGGTCGATGAAAGCGGTAACGAAAGAAAGCGTTGTTCACTTTAAGCTTGGGCGACTGTGCGAAAATCTGCAGGTACCCGGTGCGTTTATCGACTGACGGGACGGTTTTAGTCCTCGCAATAATATATATGTGGTGTCACAGGGATATTTTATGAGACTATAGTGTGTTTTTCTCCTGACGATTGCCAGAGATCTGGTAAAAGGCAGAGTTCCATGAAGCTTGAGGCCGCAGAAAAAGTTGTCCAATATGAAGTCTACTGGCCGGGAGTATCTCACCGAACTGAGCAAATGCAAAGATATTCTGAGAGTACTTGGTTGTTTTCTATCAACTTTGGCCAAGCCTATCGCTCGTTGCCACTTTTTTGTGTTCTGACCATCTCTACCTCGTACCGAGTACATCATTGCCCGTACTGCAACTCCATCAACAAAGGTTTGGGGCATTTTCCAGGTTCGTCCACGAGCAGGGAATATCTCTTTGGAGGCAGTTCGTGCATCCATTGTCCGAATGCTTTTGCACATTCACTGCGATTGTTGTTAAGCGCTTACATTACCATCATCACCACCACCACCACCAATGAAGCAACCGTCACAATTGAACCGCATGCCCCGCGGCGGCTGACCAGGTGCTTGACCGACCCAGATGTTTGGCAAAGTCGCACCGGCACTGATGAGCTGCATCTTCATCCAGTCGATTGACATTGCTGTTGCTCGCGGACGCGGTGTGGTAGATGCGCCCTTGTGCTTGATCGTGACCTGCTGATCGAGGAAACTGTGCGTGACTTCCATGATGCGAACGGCTCCAAATTCCATCATTTGGCTGTAGTCGTTCGGGATGCATCGTTGCTCGAGGGAGCGGATGATTGCGACGGCTTTGGCATAGTTCACCAACATTCCCGGCATCCTGTCTGCTGGTCCCTGGACAATGCCCCAGGTTGTCGCGCAGTGGGAGGTATGATACTGACAAGACACAGCAATTGTTCCTTTGTTTTTCTCTCTTCTTTCTTCTGGCGTTTGGTGTTCGGCGTTAAAGTAATGGCTGCCCCGACCAATACTTACCGATACTGACCTTATTTAGTTCACATTTGGCTTATACTAGTGGTGTTCGACACTCACACCTACCGTGCTTGTGATACTCGACACTTACACTCGCTGTTCTGGCAGTGTTCACTGCTTGCAATCGCCAAATCATTTTGGCCTCATGAGGGTCTGACCATTATTATCGTCATCGTCATCATAGGCAGAAAACCCATATCTTCTTCGTCTGGTCTGTCAGTGTAACCATATTTCGCAAAGTATATCGAGGAACCGTTTTGAACGAAGCGTTAGAACGACACATTTGTAAGTATATACCATCTCGAAACAACCAAAGAGCTATGACAGTTTTTGATCACAGCCAGCAGATACGTTGTATTTTTCTATTCTGAATAAAGTTTCCCTGGCATGTGAGCTGTCAGCGCCGTGTTATTCGTTGGCCAGACGCGCACGGACCTGCTGCAGGCAATCAAATCTACTCACCCTTGCCATGGCACGCATGGACAACCCCAAACTTCAAACTTGGAGATTGGAGCACAGATTGCCGGAGTTGTTTCGGCTGGAGGTGGACAGGTTCTTGTGCAGAACCTTGGCCTATGTATAGAAGAATTAATTTCCTGTAGACGGAGAGAATCTAGGCCAAACTCAAATACTACATTCCTCGCCTATTAAACGTCGATGAAGCCGCCTTCACAACCTCAATCTACAGTACCCACAGAGATTCTCGATGTACCAGTATTTCTATCCTACCTGGACCACCCGTTTACTCAGCACGAATGTCTACATTCAGTAATAGGACCAGACCCTTGTCAGTCCACTAACATAAAACTAAGTGAGAACTTGTTTTGACGAGTTAACATTCTCGGGGATGTTCGTCGTGGATATATGTCTCCTCTGGAGTTTGGGACGAATAGACGGTTCAAACACCCTCCCAACTCCAGACAAAAGTCGGCGTAGTCAGTTGTTTCCGACATTTTTGGGTCACCGTCTGTGGGATTCGAGAGTGACAGCGTTGTCGACCACGTGGATATCGCTATACCTGGCTTTTTGAAGTGGTAAGGATTGACCAGCCCACGGATGAGGGCACAGAGACGGATAGGGATCAGAGCACCATGTCCGCGGCCCAAGCATGTCCTCTGTCTTGTGGAGGAACGAGCATACTCCTCAACGAGCATCAAATGTGGGATTGACCAGATATTGACCGCCACACTTTTCGGCAGTTGCTGATCATCCTCCACGGCCTGAGGGTCTCTTTGAGAAGCAACAAGGCTTTGATGGGCGTACCAAGGAGCTAGCCCGGTCACTCCCCGTGAGCTTGATGTTGACCACACATCCACAAACATCTAGGAGACGGTGATTTGTTGACCGGGCCGCCTCCGCAATAGCTCCCCACGTTACTCCATACTCTGCATCCACCAACTTAATCCTTTCTCCAAAAGATGGCAGGGTCTGCGGTAGTATTCCCAGAGGAAGTCATGGGTGCCATGTTGTATATCTATGGCAACTCTCGCTCCAGCAAGGGGCTTGTGCTGCTCCTTGCATGGTGCTTCGGGTATCCTGACCAACGACCAAACCAACGCTGAATATTTCTGGCTGTCGGTGACCTCTACCTTTGCACCACAGTCATAACACAGCCCCTGGTGGACTTTCGACAAGATGGTTGGCGGTGCCCCTGTTTCTGCCAACCCCCTCAAGCTCGACGTGCTAAGTCACAGGAAATGTCTTGCCATATGTGCGGTCGCTACTATGGCCACGTTCCAATATGGCCTTGACTACGCACTCGTGGGCGGGTTCCTCTCAATGCCCGGCTTTCTTGAAGTCTTCGGGTATTACTCAGAGGAACTGGGCAGGTGGAATATTGACCCTACTGTCCAGCAACTGATATCGTCGTTGATGACGATCGGGACTTTTGTTTCTTCGCTGCTGGTCGGGCCGTTCAGCATGAAATTTGGGAGAAGGCATGGCCTATGGGCAGCTACAATCCTCAACTTCGTGGCCACCAGCATCCAACTGGGGACGAGGAGCAAGGCGGCGCTTTATGTCGCCCGTCTGATTTTGGGTGCGGGTTCTGTTCTTTCCCACTGTATCTTACTAACTGCCCCCAGGTGTCTCCGTCGGCTGGTTTCTCACCTTTGCCCAGCTCTACGTTCATGAAGCCGCCCCCGCGCATTTGCGAGGCATTGCTTTCGCGGTGTATCAAGTTATGCTTTCCATTGGGTCCATTGTTGGGGCCGCTGTCGACTTCGGGACGCATACGAAGGACGGCCGAGATGCATATCAAATCCCCTTGGCAATTTTCTTTGTGGCTCCCACTCTACAAGCCATCCTCCTCTTCTTCTTCGCGCCTGAGTCGCCAAGGTGGCTGATGGTCCAGCGCAAGGAGGAGGCTGCCGAGGCTTCGTTGCGGAAACTTCGAAACTCGAATATCGACGAACTAGAGTTCCAAGCCGAGTTGAACGAGATCCGACAGTCAACCAGGGAGCAATTAGAGCAGAACAAGAAGGCTCTGTTCCTGGAGATGTGGCGGGGCACGAATTTGCGTCGGACTCTCCTCTCTATCGCCGTCGTATGTTTTCATTCGGCCAACGGGTAAGTGCACTTCCTCTTGTCCCCGGGCACGGCTGACGCGAAAACAGATCCAGCTGGGGTATTTCTCTACATCCCGGATGTTTTTCAATCTAGAGAGCTAATATGAACGCACAGTTAACACCTTCACCACATATTATTTACAGATGGCGGGTGTTAAGAACCCTTTCGCCTACTCCGTCTTGGTCACTTGCACCGGCTTGATCGGTGTGCTTGTCAGTTTCTTCTTCGTACGACTGATCGATCGACGCGTGGTGCTCTTGATTGGCCTTACGGCTTGTGCCATCTGTCAGCTAATCCCGGCGATTGTCTGGAGCGCAAGTCCTGGAAGTGCGTCGACAGGAAAAGTGGTTGTCGCGTTCATCGCCCTCTTCACATTCTTCTATGTTGCCTACGGTTTGTCCCGCAAATCTTCAAGCTGGTTGAGAGCAGAACTAACAGCGTAATAGCTCCTTATGCATGGCTCTTGGGTGGCGAGTACGTCAACAATCAACTGCGTGCGTTCACGTTCGGTCTGGCCACCGCGATGAACTTTCTTGGCAACTGGGCGGGGACCTTTTCCGCTCCTTACTTCATAAACCCCGCCAAGTTTGGCTGGAGTGCCAAGTACGGATACATATGGTTCGGAAGCAACATGATCTGCGTTGTTTTCACCTATTTCTTCCTACCCGAGACGCGAGACCGTACGCTGGAGGAGATCCACGAGATGTTCGAGGCGAGGCTGCCGGCAAGGAAGTTCAAGGGCTATGTCTGTACTGGAGTGGAGAGCTACGCGGCAGAGGCAATGGGCAAGGACTTGGGAGAGATGAAGAACGTCAGTCATACATCTCATGTGGAGGAGTTGCGAGAGGCGTGAACCCCTTCTACTGTATCGCCCAACGTAGGCGAGCCAGGTGGTATGGACCTGAATGAAAAGTTGGTCCAAACAGACAACGAATGGAACGTTCCCCGGATCTCTACTTTTATCTTGACATTCTTCTTGCCCCAGTCTGAGGGAGGAGTACACCGTGTGCTCTGGTGCCTCTATACAAGATTGGATTGACGTTGGCTTGGTGTATAAAACCCCCGATTCCCCACTTTGAAACCCACTGCGGAGCGCAATAAGCTTCCACCAATCACAACCCTTGCTCTTCAAATTCGACCGCAATTCTCAAATTCCGTTCATTGCCCTGCGTCAGTGTTGATCTGAAAGCCATCTTGTAGCCAAACCTTTGCGCCATTGACCCCAGGCAAGACGACCGTCTCGCCCGGTTCCAATATCCCACGGCACCCATTAGTTCCTACCGCCAACACAATGCCTCTCGACACAATCTCAACCTACTCGCACACCTTGCTCAGACAGGATGGCCGACGATGGAATGAGCTGCGGCGCATCACCGCCTCCATTTCAACTCAGCCTTCGAGTGATGGGTCCAGTATGCTCACTATGGGCAACACAGTTGTCCTGTGTACCGTAACCGGACCAAGAGAAGGGTGCGATTCGACCACTGCGCGATGAATATTCTCAAATTTGGAACTAACATTTTCGTGCTCGCAGACGCGGCCAGCGTGACAACAACAACGCCATAGTCGAAACCGACTTGAACGTTGCTCCCTTTGCATCGATCGAGCGACGCCGGCGAACCCGCACCGATAAACAAATCCAAGAACTCCAATCCACAATATCCTCATCATTTCAGTCCCACCTGTTCACGCACTTGTATCCGCGCTCTCTAATCACCATCTCCTTGCACGTCTTGAGCCTCGATGGAGGGCTTCTAGTCGCCTGCCTGAACGCTGCAAGCCTAGCCTTGGTCGACGCCGGTGTGCCCATGCCGAGCATCCTCGCCGCCGTGAGCTCCGGGATCATTGTCCCTACAGATGACTCAAAGGCAAAAGTGGAGCCAGTGCTGGATTTGAACAATGCAGAAGAGCAGGAGCTGGCATATCTTACCCTCGCCACAGTGTCTGGGGGCGAGAAGCAGGAGGATAAAGTGTCGGTGCTGATGATGGACTCACGGGTCGAGATTGCTGCCAGCACCGGGAAAGTGGAGGCCATGTTGGCCACCGGCGTGGATGGCTGTAAAGAGGTGAGAAGGAAGATGGAGGATGTGGTCAAGAAACACGGCGCCAAAGTCATGATGAGTCGGCGGTGACCTTGTCGTGATAAGACGGCGCATGCGAGGATTGATAAGATACTCGTCTTACCTTACGGCAGACGTCAACCAGCTTGTCTCGACTTGCTCAAAGGCCAATTCAATCTACACACCTTGATTGGAGGCTAACGAGATATTTGGTCCCACGCGGGAGGAACACGATCGCGTGAGTGCGATAGATCATGAGAACATTGGATAAACTCAGCGAGACCAACTTCGATGAAGTGTTGTGTTATACCCATGAAACACCAGCGCTTGGAGGGTCCTGCGGAAGGCAAACACGAAAACAACCTTTCAGATCGTCCATCGAAGCCTGTCTTGCAACCTTGGACCGACATGATCTTCTCCTATTCCACTTCTCCTTCGACCTTTTGAATGATGTCCACCAAAGCGTCATTGCCTTCGTCGAGCTACTGCTTCGGCTCTTCCGACAATCGTCCCTCTTCTGTCGCGCGACTCTGTGCCACAACGTCAGTCGATCATGGAGACAGCAAACTTGGGGGATCTAGGTAACGTGCCCATGGGGTGTTCTGGGTGGTAATCCTTGATGTTGGAGTATTGGCATGTTCATCCTCATCCGCACTATCCTGGCACATGTTCTTGAGGTAGGCGATCACACCCTTGAGAGTCTTTGCCGGTTGGCCATCTTCGATCTGGCCTCCTGACAATCTGTCGAGAAAACGTCCCAGGAACGGCCTTTAAACTGGCGTCTCACATACTGTTTTCCTCGTCACAACGGATCTATGTGTAATGATTCCGTTGTGCGTTTGTGTCTTGAAAACGACGCCGAACGAGGAAACCGAGGCGTACGTGGAGCACCGACTGCGGTCAAGGCCCGTGTCTCGTGACGGTCGAGCAGCCACAGGGGTATGCGATAAAGTGGTCAATGATATGTGTTTGTGGTTGGGGAGAGCAGTCATGAAGTCAAGCTAACCACGCCACCTTTGGACAGAATACCACCAGCTTGAAGTAGGGTGAGCATCAGCATCTTCTATTGCTTGGACGGGGTTGATATTGCGACAAGATGAGTGCTTGCTCTGCTCGGCGGTTACGGTCTCATCACTATGCGCATGGGCTGGCCGCGATCAGATTCTTACTTGGCTAAGTTATTCGAAATGATACTAGCACATGCGTACGATTCGACATGCCCAAGCCATCAGACCTAGCACAATGGAACGTTTTACGGCCCTTAGTGCATATAGACGAGAAACCACCAAAATTTCTAGGCCAGAAGAAAAGGCTGTGTTTGTGCTATGTCACTTTCATTAGCTCTACCGATCGTGGCATCAAGAAGGTCATCCTAGATTTTCACTTGGACCTCTACGTATTCCGATATCTAGAGAGATCGCAACCTAGTCGAGAACACATATACAACCACTTCGAGCATTGACAAGCACTTGTTCCCGGCGAGCCTTAGTCTCGGAGTTGCTTTGTATGTGTTTTCAAAGACTTGCCGTCCATGAGAGTGAGGACCATATAAGATGTTTCCACTGGTAGTTTACGTGGAGTTACACTGTATGGGATTGGTTGAGGATCCGTACTCGTTCGTAGCTGGACAACAGGATGGTATGTTTTTGAGAGGAAATAAGGGTGAAATCCGGAGGCAATTTTGTAAAGGGTCAGGAATGGTACGATTATCTCGCACTCGGCATCGCTCGAGCATCAGATTGTTCAGGGTCAGTGGATCTGGAGTTTCGGCGCAGGGAATGCAGGCTGGTGCGGCGGCGCGACAACGCGCGTTGCAGTGGCACAGATGCGAACATCTCATGCAGGTACAGAACCTGTCAAGGCGTCATGGCCAATTGTTTCTTTGGAGAGGCAGCTGGTGCCAGCAGAAATCTCAGATGCCGAATCGGCCCACAGGGAGAAACCTGCATTTGATTGATCTTCAGCACTTTTTTCACCCTCTAATCAGGGCAATCGGCAAAGAAGCTGCACCAGCTGTGGCGGTGAAAACTGTTGGAAGCGGCCCAATCATCCGAGTTGGTTGGATAAAGAATGTGGACCTGAACAACCCCAAAGGACCAAAGAAAGGCCCCCATCCTGGACTAGGGGGCTGGAGATACGAGTAGTATCCAGCCGGAACCCTGCCTAGGCACCTCCCCCCGGGAACAAACCTGCTGGAAATTTTATGGGCGAAGACACCAGAGATCCCATGGATCGCTTCACGACTTCAATCGCCTAGGACCGAGTTGTATCTCTCTATGCTTCACCCCTGCGACTATTTCCCTCCATCCTCCCTCCCTATCCCGAATATCTTTTTGTTCAGCCCTTCAATCGCTACCGAGTGACCTGCTGTTGCCCTCGCTTACACAAGGTACACATCGAAACACCCCAAATCGCAGTTTGTACCTGATTCTCCAACTACATTGGTATGTCGTCGCCTCCTTCATATTACCCTCGTTGACCGCCACTTGAGAAGCGACCTGTCTTTGATCTTTGTCTTCGTTTCGTGCAACTTACAAAGTGACGTGCAGGATTTGTGCTGTTCCCTCGAGCATGGAAAGATAGACGTCGACAGCCCTCGTCCCACCATCCTTGTCACCGCCCCCCCGACGACGCCCTACTTTCTTCCTCAAAATGCGAGGCTCCCACCTTCTCCCCAAGCAATTGCGCTCCCTGGGCAAAACCGACAGCTGGCTAAACCGCACTGTCACTTCCAACCTCCTTGCTATCTCCAACCTCGCTTGCCAACACCCGATTCACACCGTTGTCGCAATCGCATTGTTCGCCAGTACCTCTTACGTCGGTCTGCTGCAAGAAAGTTTGTTTGACAGCGGCATTAAATCGTTACAACATAATGGAAGAGTAGATGTGGAGGCTTTGTTACAAGGAAGCAGAACATTGGAACTATCAGAGAGAACAGCATGGAAGTGGCAATTCCCAGACGATTCCAGCGTCCCTTTGGCGCCTCTGGTATGTCAATTCAGATTCGGAGTGACGTTGAGATACTTGCAGCGCTGACATTATGCACGCAGGGCTTCAACCATTACGCTTTGACAACCTTTGTATTCCCAGACTCTTCCTCGTCTCAGCTGGCTCCTGATGCCAATGCTGTTCCGGTACCGGCAAATGTCACGGCGACTGGTATCCCGACCACTTCCCATTTGCTCTCGCCTATATCGCATGATACTTCCCTGGCCTTTTATACCTCATTTTCAGAGCTTCCTGATTTCTTGCGCGCTGTCCAGGAGCTCCCGACACAACATGAGCGGTCCGATGATGAAGGCCGCCCGTCTTGGACCATGAAAGGTGTTCGCCTAAATGGAAACAGCTCACGTGGTGCCTACCGAACATGGCTGAGTGAAGGCTGGACCTCTTTTGTCGACCTGCTAAAACATGCCGAAACCTTGGACATTATCATCATGTCGCTCGGGTACTTGTCCATGCACCTCACGTTTATCTCCCTTTTCCTGTCCATGAAACGTCTCGGTTCGAATGCCTGGTTGGCTATCTCAGTCTTGTTTTCGAGTCTGTTCGCGTTCCTCTTCGGGTTGGTGACTACAACCAAGCTCGGGGTCCCGATCAATATGGTTTTGTTGTCAGAAGGCCTCCCTTTTTTGGTGGTCACAATCGGGTTCGAAAAGTCCATCATTCTCACAAAGGCTGTTTTGTCTGCGTCTTATGACAAGAATCGGCGAGGCCCTGAGACCGGAGCGGCGAACGGCAGCGCCAGTGGCCCAGTGGCTACGACAATTGGCCCGAATTCCATCCAAGATGCTATCCAGATCGCAGTCAGGGATACTGGGTTTGAGATTGTCCGGGACTACGCCATTGAGATTGCAATTCTCATTCTGGGTGCTGCTTCGGGCATCCAAGGTGGGCTCAGGCAATTCTGCTTCTTGGCTGCTTGGATCTTGGTGTTTGACTGCCTTCTACTTTTTACCTTCTATACGACAATCCTGTGCATCAAGCTGGAGATCAATCGTATCAAACGACACGTTGCCCTGCGCAAAGCGCTCGAGGAAGACGGAATAAACCAACGGGTCGCTGAAGACGTTGCGACAAGCAATGATTGGCCTAGCGGCCAGACAAGTCAAGCAGGTGCCTTCAACATCTTCGGGCAGAAGATCAAGGCCAGCAGTGTGCCCAAGTTCAAGATTTGGATGGTGACTGGCTTCGTCATCATCAACGTGATCAACCTGTGCACAATACCTTTCCGGACTGCGCGAAGCATCAAAGCGCCTGGGCCTGCTATTCCCAGTGTTTTGACCCCAGCACCTATCGACCCTTTTAAAGTGGCCGAAAACGGCTTGGACGCGATCTATGTCGCTGCAAAGAGTCAGAAACTCGATACCTATGTTACCGTTCTACCACCAATCAAATACGAGCTCGGTTACCCTTCAACTGCTCGCTCCGACTCGCCAGATGATCTTGGATTCTTTGAGTCCGATTATACGGATCAGTTCCTCAACGTGGTCGGCGGGAGAGTGATAGAGAGTTTGCTCAGCAGCCTCGAGGATCCCGTGCTTAGCAAATGGGTTTTGATCGCGCTCACGCTCAGTTTGATCCTGAACGGTTATTTGTTCAATGCTGCCCGTTGGAGCCTCAAAGAATCACAATCCGCAACGAGTTCGCCCGCCGCATCTAAGCCCCCACAATTGGAGTTGCCCTCGACACCGAAACCCCGAAAAGTCAGCCTTGACGTCTCGCAGAACTCAGACAGGTCACGAGCAGAATGCGAGCAGATGCTGAAGGACAAAAAGGCCGCGTTCCTCACAGACGAGGAATTAATTGATTTGTCACTCCGAGGAAAGATTCCAGGCTATGCCATCGAGAAGACGCTGGAAAACACCGAGGTCATGACCCGAGGGGAAGCATTCATTCGGGCTGTCAAGGTCCGTAGAGCAGTTGTATCGAGGACACCCACGACCAAGAATTTTGCCTCTGTACTGGAAGCTTCAAAGGCTCCGTACCGAGACTACAACTACGAGCTCGTCCATGGGGCATGTTGTGAGAATGTCATTGGTTACTTGCCTGTTCCTCTGGGGGTTGCCGGCCCGTTGATCATTGATGGTGAGAGCTACTTCTTGCCCATGGCCACTACCGAAGGCGTGCTTATAGCAAGCACTAGTCGAGGGTGTAAAGCCATCAATGCTGGTGGTGGAGCCGTCACCGTTGGTACTGGCGATGGGATGACCCGAGGTCCATGTGTTGGCTTTCCCACTTTGGCTAGAGCGGGTGAAGCGAAAGTGTGGCTTGACTCGGAAGAAGGGCAGCGAAGGATGCGCGAGGCTTTCAATTCTACAAGCCGATTTGCTCGGTTACAGTCGATGAAGACGGCTTTGGCCGGGACCTATCTCTACATCAGATTCAAGACGACCACTGGTGATGCAATGGGCATGAACATGATCTCTAAAGGAGTTGAGAAGGCCCTTTCGGTCATGGCCACAGAGTGCGGGTTTGATGACATGGCGACGATAACCGTGTCTGGGAATTTCTGCACCGACAAGAAGCCCGCGGCGATAAACTGGATTGACGGAAGAGGTAAAGCCGTGGTTGCAGAAGCCATCATCCCAGGAGATGTGGTACGCAGTGTTCTCAAGAGCGATGTGGATGCGCTTGTAGAGCTCAACGTGGCCAAAAACCTCATCGGCAGTGCGATGGCGGGCAGTATCGGCGGCTTCAATGCCCACGCCTCCAACATTGTCACGGCCATGTTCTTGGCCACAGGTCAAGATCCGGCTCAAAATGTTGAGAGTTCTAACTGTATTACCATCATGAAGAAGTAAGTGGACAACCTTGGGAACTAAGAAGGACAGTTACTTACCTCTCGCGCAGCAACAATGGCAACCTCCAAATCAGTGTGTCGATGCCCTCGATTGAAGTGGGCACCATTGGCGGAGGGACCATTCTCGAGGCACAATCTACCATGCTTGAAATGCTTGGAGTGCGAGGTGCTCATCCGACAAACCCAGGGGACAACGCTCGAAAATTAGCCAGAATCATTGCAGCTGGAGTTCTCGCGGGAGAGCTCAGTCTCTGCAGCGCCCTCGCGGCCGGCCATCTGGTCAGGGCACACATGGCACACAACCGCAGCACGGCACCCACGCGGGCAACCACGCCAGTGTCGGCAGCTGTAGAGCCTTTTCTGCGAGCTCAAAACGGACCAAGTATACCTTCCTCTCTGAAAATGACGAATGGAAGATGAGACCCGTCGGGTCAGAAATGGTGTCAAAATGAACAATACTGTATATATTGGCGATGGCGATTTACCCAAGGGGCGTTGTGAGGTGTTGGGCGCTGGTCTGCCGTTGACTAGTGACCAGATATTCATAATGATCAACGACAATGGCAGCGGCATGATGGCCAGGAACTTACCGCTATGGAGAACACAGAAGAACCAGCCTGTAGGGACGGATCTTGTACAACAACATATCGAATACACACAATAGAACAGGCAAGAGCAATCGGCACTCGAACGTCAAAAGCGCAAAGCACGAAACCCCATGTGTTGAACATCCAGACGAAGTCTTGTATTAAGCTTTTAGATCACGGCTTGGTGGCGCCGTGCAGGCGGCAAGACGGCGCTCCTAGGCGGGTTGTCTGTGGTCCAAATCGCAGTTGTGGTTCCTGACGAAAATCCAGAAGATGGAGGGTGGGAAGGGCGATTGACCAATTAGGAAACATTGGAGACTAGAGTTTCTAGATGGTGGAGATTCTTCTAGTGCACCAGGATAGTGGAGATGCGTTGTATTGGATTCAGAGGTACTCGGTACGGAGTAAGGGGTTGGGAAAATGGGCTGGCAAGCGACGACCCTGGTGCAGGTACGAGTATGTTCTGCATGAAAGATACGAGTAGATCAACTCATCAATTGGGGTGCGATGCCAGTTAGTATGGTGTGTGGACGGCCAAGTCAAGGAATGTATCGAGGTACAATTGGGAAGGTAGACAATAAAAGGGGCAATGGTGATACCACTTGGTTTTCACCAGTAGATATGGGATTTGAGAGACAATGGCAGGTGCAGGGTCAATACGGGCGCCTCTGCAATAAAATAAATTATATGGAGTAATAGCTAGGCACGAGTAAACGCAGGCATTGTTCCAGTCACAGCCTCTCATTCCCTGCCCCCTGGTCATGGCTTGCACTTTCCACCAGACCCTAGTAACACACCTGCATGTTTCCACCACCCACTCAACGCCTGCGCACAATTACTACATTACTCTACTTTGTACTCTCCCTCTTTTTGTCATTCCCGCCTTGACTAGGTAACTCGGTATACTCTTCTTATCATCTCGCTCGTTCAATAATCGCACCCACACTCGTTTATCTACCTACTCTCACATGGCCGTCTGCTGGGCAGTCTGCAGGAATCCCCGAGTGCATCAATCTCAGTCGCGCCTGCGTCTTGGTCATCTGCCCTCGTCCACTCCTTGACCCGCTAGAGCACAACCGCACCTGACTTCACTTCTGTCCTCCGACGTTTGCTGCCTCACATACCTTGCCCCCGTCCAACTGGCGCGGATTGGTCGAAAAGAACAAAGACGCATAGAAATCTCCTCCCTCTGATCGTCTTTGACATTCCGACAAACTCAAGTACATGAACTCGCAGTATGCAAGCCACAATGCCGCCCCTCTCTCGAGGGCCCGAACTCTCACCTGTATCCACGACGAGCGAGTGGTCCGGTGTAAACACTTATAACCAACTCCCCCGGAACGACGGCCCCTTCGCGAATGTGCCTATGAAGCCTCCGGGTGACGAATACCTACCCTCTAAACCTCAGCCGTCGATGCGTCCTCCTCCGAATGCGGGCATGAATTTCGCTCCTCCATCGTTGGATGCCATGGGACAACGCCGTCCGTCTGAATCAGGCTCCCGAGGTTCCTCACGCGCCGGATCTATAGCCAATTCCCGTTCCAGTGATGGCACCATCTCGGACGAACAAAGCAGAAAATACCGGAGGATGGAAGCAGAGCTGTTTCAGCACTATACAATTCTGAAAAGTTTTCTCAAGGGCGCTTCTCAGGCTCCTCCGCGCCCTAACAAGGCTCGAGATAAGCTCCTACGACTGTCGCCCGTCCAGTTCCACGAACTGAGCACAGATGTCTTTGACGAGTTACAAAGAAGACAAGCTTCCGTCCCCCTTCCTGGCCGCCCACCGCGACAACAAAACATTCCGCCCTTCCTCCAACCACGACCTGATTTCCACGAGAAGAGAAATCAGGCCAGGCAAAAGCTCTCGTCGCTGCAACCCCCCAGGTTCCGCGACCTGTCGACTGACGTCTTTTGCGAGTTGGAACGCAGATTCCCACAATTTGCGAGACCGGACGGCGGAAGGAGAGACAGTGGCCGTTCGCAATCCAGAGGTCCAGCAGCCTCCTCCAGAGATGGGTTGCCTGCCCCAGGTAATGGCTTTGGCGTACCACCCAGAACCCAGTCGTTCGGTTCAAATGGCGCACCAAACTATCCTCAGAGGCAAGAATCGGTGTCCAGTCTTCCTCAGTTCGATAATCCTCCCCCGCCCGGCGACTATGGGCGGCCAATGGCGAAGCAATTTCAGAGTAACACCATCACACCCAATAAAAGTATGATGGTCGAGGATGAGGACGATTCTCAGGCCACGGAGTCGAAATACGATCGATCTAGCGATGCTTTCGGGCTTGAAAGCTCTCTTACGAGTCCAAGGAGCGATAGGGATACATCAGCGACGTCGCAGAGTGCTGCCAGCATGAACTTTCCCAAACCCAGCGTCCCCAGTTTGACCGAATTACAAGAGAAGGTTTCCGATCTGGAATCAAACCTTGAATCAAGGGACGAGGAACTCCGTCAGCTGAAGAGGGAGAACGAAGAATGGACTGTTACAAAGCAGGATTTGGAGAGAAGGCTTGAAGAGGCAGAAAACTTGAACAAGTCGCTCAAGGAGGAGATCGAGAAGCTTAGGGCAGAAACACCACACTACAGCGGTGACAATGTGCTTTGGAAGACCAAATTCCTTAAATTGGATCACGATCATGGGATCCTGCGGGAGCAGCTGGCGCAACAACAGCAGTTGACAGAGGAAGTCAGCAGACAGGGCCAGGCATACCTTGAAGAAATGAGAGCCATGGCGGACTCTGGCGGAGGCAATTTGGAACGAGAAGAGAAGCTGCAGATCGATGTCCAGAAGCTCGAAGAGGAAGTCAAGAGTTGGAAAGCCCGGTACGTGAAGGCCAAAGCACAGCTTCGAAGCGTCCGTACTAGCTCGCTAGGGCTCAGCATTGCCCGACCCGATGCAAGTCAGCATGCAATGGCTCTTCAGGATCGGGACGGACTGGTCAAGGACGTCCACGTCACCAAGTTCCAGATCGCAATTGATGAGCTGCTTCAAATTGCCAGATCTGATAGACCAACAGCTGTGCTCGACCATATGAAAACGGTGGTGTTAGCAGTGCGTGGGATCACGTCAGACATCGACGCCGGATTATCAACAGAAAAGGATGAGGAAATGGCCAAGCGACGACTCAAGCTCAAGACCAAGGTCTCGGCTACAGCGAACAATTTGATCACAGCTTCAAAGAATTTTGCCTCCGCGAGTGGTCTCTCCCCTCTGAGTCTTCTCGACGCCGCGGCTTCGCATTTGACGGCAGCTGTTGTTGATCTCCTTCACACCGTCAAGATTCGGCCAACCCCAGCAGGGGAGCTGGAAGACGACGATGAACCGACGTTGGAACCGCTGCAAAGCAACGGTTACTTCAACGTTGCCGAGACCTTAAGAAGGCGGAGCGAGGTTGAAAGCATCTATAGCGCTCTCAGTACGCCATCGGCGACGAGGAATGTGTCCAATCGAGCCGGGTCAGGTCTCCTTCCACGCAGTATATCGACTTTAATGAATGGCACCGGACTGGGGATCAAAGCGGAGTATGCGACCACTCAAGAGGAGGCTGATCTGGAGGATCTCAAGGTAAGTCGAAGGATAGCCAGTAGCAATTTACAATGCTGACCCAGAATGCTCAGATGTACCTCGAAGATCAGACTGATGGATTGGTTCAATCTATCACCTCATTGGTCGATACCATCCGGAAGGACGATGCCATGACCACGATCCAAAATCATATGACCACAATCTCTACCACGATTGAAAACATTGTGAACTCGGTGGACAGGACTGGGAACGAGCCTTCTTCATACCAGGCAACTTTGAGAGAGAAATCAGGCCCGATTGTTGACATTCTGCGAGAATGCCGAGAGCAGATGTTACAAGCAGGCAACGAATCTCCCGAAGACAAGGAAGTCCTTCAGCAACTACCTCCTCTTTCCTTCAAGATCGCACGTGAGACCAAGGAACTGGTATCTAGAGTAATGGCCATTGAAGCTGGGCCTGTGAAGAGCGGCGATGATGATTTTAGCTAAGCACTCATGTGTGTAATGGCGACGAGGAAAAAGCAGCCTGCACATGTCAGCCTGCGGGTGACACATGTTGATGTATCACCAGACACCCAGCCAGATAGACAGTAATGCCATTGAATGCATTGTCTGAACCACAATGTCCCAGGACAGTCTACTTTACAAGACCCCTTTTTGTCTTTTATTTGGTCAGCAGTGTTGATTGGCTGGAGACGAGCATATAATTTGCCAGCCAGTGGGTACCCAGCAAGGCCACCTAAGCACCCAGTAGGGAGTAGTCAAGGGGTATTTCAGCTGTTGTCTTCTCATCAGCAAGCTCTCAGCTCGATCTCCAACTGGACTTGCGCGCTCGTCTTCTCGGGATCTTATTGTACAATACTTTGTGTATCAATATTTCGGCACCGCCCGGCAGGATAGCATTTTTCGCTGACGTTCGCTTCCCCCAGTCAGGCAGATTGGAAATTGACCACGCCCGACACTCCGAGCTCTTGTGGAAGCTGGTCACTGGTATAGGACAGCTGGCAGATAACTTCGTCTCTTGTCTGAGCATTGTTTCTGTCTCTGTTATTCCACAAGACATCTCTTTGTAACCAAAGAAGATACAGGAACTCAGCTGGCAGCTGGTGAGTGTCTCATACGCGTCAAAACTCTGATGGAGATGAAGGCGTCTGTTTGGACATGTGAAGTGGGCGCGGGTGGGCTGACTGATTCTTTCTGCGCAGTTTTTTTTTCTTGCATTCGCCACGATCGCGATCACGTGCAGCTCCCACCATCACCACCCAACCACCATCGTCATCCACCATTGTGCATTGCGTTGACACGAGCGACCGCCACTGCCACTGCCACTGCCACTCCCACCGCATAACCGAGAAGGCAGGCCCCCTTTTCAACCTAGAAACGCCCTCCCACTTTCCGGCTACGCTCTTAACGCGGCCACCACTGGCAGTCACTGGTACCAACCGCAGCACGCACCACGCAGACGCAGATCACCCCTCATTGAAAAAACAGCCATGTCGCTCCCCCGCCATGCTGTCAGTTCCTTCAAATTTCACCACACTTTATTAACCCCGCCATCCTCGTCTTCCCTTCGTCTTCAACGGTATCTCTCTCATTCCATTCCATCCTCACCAGCCTCTTTTGCAAGACTCTTTTCCTCTTCTTCTGCAGCCATGGTTAAGACTGCTTGGTTTGAGGTCGAATGGTCCGACGCGGACCTCGACAAAGCTAGAGCTGATGCCAAACGCGCTGGAAAAACTCCCCCTCCTCGTAAGTGACATTGTCCTTTGATCCCTTCTTGCTTCTCTATGCCAGCCATCTCCTTGGTTGTCATCATCACCTTGGACATCTATTTCGTTACGTGCTTGCTGAACTGGCTCGTCGGCTAACCACCTGCTCTCACCATACAGCTCACCGCGGGAGGATCAACTTCAACCTCTACGACGATGTAGTCCCCAAGACTGCCGAGAACTTCCGTGCCCTCTGCACCGGCGAGAAGGGCTTTGGCTACAAAGGCAGCTCCTTCCACCGAATCATCCCTCAGTTCATGTTGCAAGGAGGTGATTTCACTCGAGGCAATGTCAGTGGCTCCCTATTGGAAAAAAGACGGACTACCGGCAGACATGTTAACTGACACACGTTACTAGGGCACTGGCGGCAAGTCCATCTACGGTGAGAAGTTTGCCGATGAGAACTTCAAGAGGATCCACAACAAGCCTGGAATCTTGTCCATGGCCAACGCTGGTCCTAACACGTAAGGAAGCTTGTTGCCCATTGATCTTTCTTTTCCTTCCCCTGCTGAAACACGATACTGACATGGCTGGTTTCTCACAGCAACGGCTCCCAATTCTTCATCACCACCGTTGTCACCTCGTGGCTGGATGGCAAGCACGTCGTCTTTGGTGAGGTCGCCGATGATTCGAGCATGGAAATTGTTCGGAAACTCGAGGGAACCGGTTCTGGGTCTGGCCAAGTCAAGCATGAGGTGAAGCCTACCATCGTTGACTGCGGTGCTCCCTAGATGCTACAACGGTGGTCTTAAAAAGAGCAAACTTTAGTCCCGAGTTGACTTTGCAGGAGGCAAAAAGTGTCAAGAGTCCAATTCAAACAAGCATGAGCAGATCATGTCCACAAGAAGCTTCATTGCCACGGGCAGATACAGTGCGAACATACGTAGTAGGCAAATGAAAAGTTGATCATCTCCATCTCTGTCAGTCGTGTCCTTTTGAGTGCCTGAGGCCTCTCCGAGGGTTCAGAATGTGTTTATACCTTCCGATTTGCTGCTTCATAATTGCTCTTAGCGACCATGAACACTGTCGGTGCTTGCCCGTATCAAGAAGAGAACTCTGTCAACCCAGATTACCTGAGACTTCTGCTCGATCGGGGCTTTTTTGATGACGCGAGAGAGAGAGTCTCTCAAAGTGGTCGAAAGCCGGGCATGTGGAGTGGACGAGTCGTCGAGTCGACCGAGAGCGAGCCCATTACCCATTGTCCCATCATTGACCTCCAAAATCGGGTTCGGACGAAGAAGATCCGTACGACCCCTCTTCCTTCCCTTCCTCCCTCTTCCATCTCCCAACAAAAGACATGCCAGTCCCAGTCAACCCCCCAACCCAACCCAACCCAACTAACCCAGCCATCGTGATAGAGACACTCGTTATGCCAATGCCAATGCCACTGCCAACGCCAATTCTTGCTTCGCCGATATGCTCGGTAAGCGACCATATCAGACCTGCATCCTCGGGCACGTGTGCTGTAGGGGGAGTATCTTCCTCTCAAGGGCAATCAATATTAGTCCCAGTTGTACGCAAATACATATACAAATACATACATGTATGTATATTGCGTGTGTGGAAAGACTCGGCAGCACAAGGTGAGGCCTCGCCTGTAGAGATGGGGAATTAATTGTATTGTTTGGTTAATACTATTTCGAGGGGGAAGGTGGTGAGCTGTCGTCGAACATACGTACGTAGATTCTAAGGGATAGGAGACGTGTGCCGAGCTGACCTGTGTTGTAGTGATTGCGAAAGGTCAATCGAATCCCAGCTGCCATGTTGTATTTGATTCGACTCGAGAGGACCATGAAGAATGAATAGATAGGTAGAACAAACAAAACATGATAGAACCCAAGTGGACATGAATTCCATGTATCATGCCCAGTGGTATGTCTTCTCCGTCTCCCTCGATACATGTAGGAGTTCTCGTTAGATCTTGATATAACCAACTACCCCAGCTCAATTAGGGGATAAAGATTGTACCTGCAGTACAAGGAGCATGGATGGAGAGATGGCCAACACCCCTTTTTAGTACATTATACGTACACGAGCTATGAACCGTAGAAACCCGCGGTCGAGCTCAGCCTCTTGTCAAAAGCACTTACGCCACCTCTACGTGCTAGCCCGGCACCTCCGCCAGCAACCACGCCGTACCGCACTCGCAGCCTCGACAGCGTGGCTCGGGTGGTCGATGTCTTCCTCGCCTCGCTGACAACGGACTTGATGTCCTCGGTCTGGCTGTTGAGGATGATCTCGCTCGTGGTGCCCAGATGCACGTTGGGAAGGTTCGCCTCGGAGTGCATGGCGCCACTCAGCGCGGCCACGAGCACGACGCTCAGCAGGACCAGCGCCGGTGGGACCAGTAAGAGCCAGCTCCGTCTCGCGTCGATGCGTAACATGGGAAGTCGGGATTCCAGGATGCCGCTCTCGTTGGGGAAATGGCGCATGATGGTTATGGCCAGGGCGCCGGAGCCGACCTCGATAAAATTGCGCAGAATCTCCTGCGGCCATGTGTACGACGTGGGAGCCGTGGAAACGCTGGTCCAGGCAACAGGCAAGGTGGCCGAGAGGTTTCCGAGCTGGGTGCCTGCCAGGACGCCTGGGTTCGCAAAGGTCGGGTAGAACATGGGCTGTGTCCCGTAGATACTCACGCCATACACTTCGACGGCAGCGGCGAGCCAGACGGGGATGCAGCCACTGCATGGCTGGCCGAGGGATTCTAGCTTGGAGAGAGTCATGCTTGGGGGCGGGCACTTGGACGGGTCTTTCATGGTGCAGACGACGCTGTCCTTGAGCTCCACGTCAATATCGCATGCCAGTGAAGAAACGCCCTCAGTGTAACCCAGTTCCAGCATGACTTCGCTTGGCCCGTTCTTGTGGCCACCCTCAATCGTGCCGTTGATGGCAGCGAACACCATCGTCGTGACTGCCCTTGCGTCGCTAAGATTCTTCCACCGATCCACCCACAGTGAAAGCAGTGGCTGTTGACGAATCCAAAGATCAGTGGCCGACATGTTAACCTGGACAGTGAACATGTCCGCGTACTCCGAGGTGATATTGATGGGCGTAGCTGAGCATGAGATAGTGGTGTGTTTCTCGATGGCGTGTGCCGAAAACGCTCCCACAGCTGAGAGATTGGCACGGTCAATGATGAAGTTGCGCTGTTCCGGCATGGGTTCGCTGCTCAGGCCGTTGGCCCACGACGTGTAGATCGAAACCGCATCTCCAGCGGCGCCGGGGAGCATGCCAGGAGGGTTCATCTGGAAGCCGTCGAAGGGAAGACCCATGCCACCGCCATCCGAGTGATTGCTGAAGTAAGTCGTGGTAACATTCGTGGCCGAGTATACGTACCCGACAAAGATGGAGCTGGTCAATTGGAGGATCGCAATGACTGTAGCGATGAGAAGAACAGCCACTGGACCGAGACCTCGAGCTTGCCACAGGGCCCTTGGCGACGCTGCCAGCGATCCTCGAGTCAAGGCTAGATAGTGGTCCATGTCGCCCAGTGAGAACGTTCTCATCGTCAGAGCCGGCCAGAGCGTCGTCTCAGCGACCCGGAATGTCGCGTACGCCATCATGGCTACCGATGCGCTATAGACGGCGGTGATGATGCCCTGGACCTGGCCTAGGTGGGCCACGACGTCGGCAAGGAACTCGGACACTGAACAATCGAGTGCCCAGTCTGGGCAGACAAACTTCTGCGTACCCAACCATTGGGTGAAGACGACGCATCCCACAGCAAAGGCTGTTCCTATGCCGAAGACAATTGTAATCGAAGGGTTGTGCCATATGAAGCTTCGTATGCCTTGCTCAGGCTCCTCGGGTGGTGGTACCTGTTGGCAAAACACTTTAGATAGTGGCTCGTCATAGTCAGACAGCATCGATGGTAGGCATCTACTCACCCCGGAAGTCTCTCCATATCGCAGTAGTTCATATGTACTGTCCTCCGGTTGTTTTGACGCCATGATTCTCAAATCCAGCGCGTGGGAGCGTCTCGGTCCGATGGAGGGCACAAGGCTCTGTGGCAAGCACCCTGCACTGTGGATGGATTTACCACATTATTTAAACATATCCGTCAATAGAGGACGAGGCCCGTGGCGAAGAAATCGGGGGATTTTCAGAGTATGTAGCTGAAATGTTAGGTACACAAGTTCCCTTGGACGTTTCCCTCAAGCGAGAGGTATGCGCCAGGACTACACCGCGACCCATGCCTAGCCATGCCTAGCCAGGGTGTCGTCGCAATCTGCTGGACGTGGTGGCCTTGGGCGAGCCAAGCGCGGCCAAACACGGCTCGGAATGTCTCAAAGATGGCCCCTGTGCCTGAAAAGGCTGAAGCGAGGGCAGGCCCGCAACCTTGACCCTACTGGTATCTGGGAGCTTCTCTTGGTAGGCAGTTGGGCTGGCGTTTCCGTTTCACTCGAGCGTTAAACAGATTGGGGGCCGGAAATAGACGAAACATGGGTACTCAGCCACATGGCCCAGCACGAATACCGAGTAATTCAGGACCCGTGCAAGTGGGACGAATGACCTATCAAATAGAAGACAGATTCCCTCTGCGACGGCAGCTAGGCGTGGGTTGCATGCCGCGAGCCTCCCGAGCGGCTGCAACTCTGGATGGGACGGACGCTGAATCCTTGAGAACTGGAGTGAGCGCTTGATTGAGGCTCTCGAAAGCTTTCGGGCTTGCTAGATGAGATAACAACTCCGACAATCCGAGATCTCCTCCAAGCCAGAAGCTGGGCGTTTTTACGGTGTGCGCAGAGAGATTTGGTGCTAGCCTCACTCTGGTGGTTGGACAAGGCAGCTGGATCAGACTGCGATAAGGCTACTTGCATATGCAACTTTCTTCTCCTTGTCGATGCCTTGGACGACGGCCCGGAAGCAAGGGCTGCGAGCCTGCAACCTCCTCGCACTGCTGGTTCCTTTGAGGGCCTTAGCAACCTGCTGGGTTCCCGCCAGTACGAGTTTGCCCTCAAGAGGCTTGTTGTCTCTGTCCACTCGTTTTGCGTTCACAACTCTTCCCAAGCTGCACGACCACACCAAGCTCGCTCCTTGAACTGCTCTGGTCTGCTGGGAATCCTAGCACAGGTGACTCCGATGGTCCCGGTCTGCGCTCGATATTAACCACACTATCGGCTTCTCCGTCAGTTGTCCGTCGTTGAGAGGGAAAGAGGCGGCAAGTCTGGATGTCAAGACCATTGCGACCCAGCCATGACTCCAATGTTCAGCGAAGAGCTGACCTGTCCCAAGCCCAGCTCGAGTCCTGTTTCAGGCTGAACTGACCATCTAACCATGGAGCTCACGATCTGCGATGCAGCAATCTGAAAGCCCGTCAAAGGCTGAATTCCAGAAAGCTCGGCTAGCTCTCTGTTAAGTTCCATCTGCCAACCATCCAGTTGCTGCTGTTGTGGTTTTATTCAAACTGTCTATTTCTCCCGTCCCTTCCATTTCAACGTCATTGTTTCCAGACCTAAGCCATTTGCGTAATGAAGAAGATCGCAGAGCAGTGTAGACGGACGCATCGCCTTGATTTTACTGGCGCGAATTGGGTCGACCGAGGCTCTGGTAGGATCGAAAGGAGTTGTGTCCTGCAGTTATTGTAGCTCGGAGGAGGACATTTTTCCACCTGAGGGTTGTTGATGTACTCATAGACTCCTAGGAGTTCACTCACTCCCTCTCACTCGCCATTGCTTCAGTTCTCTTGACACAAGTTTGGGTAGATGGTGGGCATGACAATAGGATTATGACTGCGGTGATAGATGTATGAAGTGTTAAAAAAAGGAATGTAGCGATTGCAGGTGCTCCGTGCATTTAACGAGTTGGCAGGAGCCATCAAACCATGAGTGCATCTGAAAAGGTATCTCAGCCTCATAATTTCACACGCTCACTTAGACCAGGCCAGCAACCCCTGGCTCGCTTCTCTGCGAGGAGCTAATTGTCGTGATTAACAGTCACGACCTTGCTCTTTCATCTAGATAGACAACTTGACCATGACGGGTACAGACAACTGGTATATAAATACATTCCATTGATATATGAATAGGCTGGTACTGGATGGCGACAGGCCAGAAGTCTATCATCGCCAGAGCGAGTCAAGGCCAAGAGAGAATGGACCAAAAGGTAAACGTCCTTCTGTGTGGACAAGAGGCATTTCTGTTGCTGTGGCTGACTTCCAAAGTGCTAACAAGTCGTCGTGTGATTGTTTCATATCGCCTGCGCTCACCGCTGGCTGTGCCCTTCCTCAAAGATGAAATCTCGATCTCCCCTCGTCGTAGAAATGTTTCCTCTCCTGTCATTCCTCTGCTACCAATCTTCCTCATTCTGGCTCTAAAAGATATCGTCACAAACTGTCCAGTCCTTCTCCGCCCTCTTCCTCCAGTACAGTCCGTTATGCTCCCAATAGGTTTCCCCGGTAATGGGGTCGACCTTCTTCTCAAACCATTTGGGTTTCCACTCTTCACCCAAATTCTCACGCCGACGACGGGCTGCACGCTGTTTCTCCTCCACACGGTTCTTCTCCGTTGCCGCGAAATCATACTCCCCGTCCTCCATGGCGCGTTGATCAGGACGCAGGCGCGTGTCGGTAGGCGGGAGGTGTGGACGCAGGGTGTCGCTGACGGCATTCAAAGTGACGACAAAGGGGGTGAGGTTGAAAGGAATCCCCTGAGGACGTGGATGTGCTTCCCAAACGAGGAAGGCCTGCTGTCTATCGGATTGAGTGCCTTTGCCCATGCCGGAGTGTAACCGACCTTCCCCTACTGCTTGGTCCTCGAATCCCTCTGTGACTCGAGCGTAAATCTTGTCGTTCCACCTTCCACCGATACTCCATTTCGTGACACCGTCAACGTCCATGACTTTGCCAAACACTTGATATGCGGAACTGGCCTTCCATCCGCGTTGTTTGAAGTCAAGTACGCAGACTTCACCCGTTGTCCAATTCTTGATCTCCATGGTGCCATAATTGTCCACTGTAGGGTTTCCAGTAATAATGCCCACGACGGAACTTGTAACCTTCTTCCAGGTGTATAGCTCGGGCGGATCCCCGTTTGAAGGGCGAAGGCGCAGGAACCATGTTCCCAATGGATTGATGTCGAATGACTTGCCGTAGAATTTTGATTTCACGGCTGATTCGCCCCAGTAGTCCCAGCGTGCAGACTCGGCATACGCAGCGCCAATTGGGGGATGATGGCTGACTTGTTCGATGAAGAATCGATATCCTTTGTCGGGACGGACGTATTCATACGTTTCACCGAGCAAGGGGTTAAATGGCTTCGCGACGCGCCCAATTGTGCTGGCGTATTCCGAGGCAGCAAACGCGGCCACATACACAAGACGCTCAGTGGCGTCCGGGCGATCGGCTGCAATGTCGAGGAGATCCGCATATTCCATATCTTCAGCAACACGCTGTAGAAGGGAGGTTGGTTCGTTGAAAGACACCGGCAGCGTCATCTTGGTCATATCCTTGCCTATCATAGACTTGAGAATTCCCCAAAGCGAAATCTTCGGACGGTTATCGGCATCCAGTTTCAATCGTTCACGGACACCATCTTCATATCCTGCGTAAGATGGCTCAATTTCCATTTGCTTTCTGGCTCTTTCGTCGGCGAAGGGCTCTTGTTCTTTTTCCAAGGATGATGGGACATGCACTGGCGGCGGACTGAGAAGAAGCGGTTCGACCACCTCGACCTTGCCTTCATCAATTGCGTCGAAGAATTCTTCGTCATCTCCAGATTCAGAATCGGAAAGATTGGTGAGTTGCGCGATGATGGATTTTCTTCTGTTACCATCTCTGGTGACAGATTTCCGACGCGCTCTCGTTGAGATTTGAGCTTCTGCTCGAATGTCCAGTTGGTTCTCTACCGCTTCCGCGAACTGGATGTGTTCCAGCGTCTCTTGTTGGAACATTGACCCCGGACGACTTGCGGGCACCGATTGTCCTTCGAGAGCCTCCTTCAAAGCCCGTTTCGTGCGCTTGCGCTTGTCTTCCGACTCTGCGATCGACCTCTTGAGATCTTCGTGCTCATAAGCGATCTTGGCCATGCTTTCTTCCCACATCCTCCGAGCATCTGCGTCTCGATCAAGCCGATATTGCCAATAAGCGTCACGGTCTCGAGCAATCTTCAACAGGTCTGCAACCAGGCCATTGAGGCTGTTCACGGCCGTTTGATAGGTGAGTAGCGCTTGTGCGACATCTGGATCGGATAGTGTCGTATCAGCTCGCGATGTTTGCCGGGCAATCAACGCGTCGGAAACTCGCGCCAGAAGGTCGAGTTGCAGCTTGGCAGACTGTGCAGTGATATTGAATGCATCTTTACTTCCTGGCTGGTGTACTTCACGACTGCTAGCGTCATCACCATCGACATCCTCTTCCGCGTCGATATTGGTCGCGGGATTGGTAGGCACTTTCTGAAGGTCTTCGCCTTGAAGACTCGCGTCGTACGAATCGTATGCTGATCCACCTTCCACATCAGAACGGAAACTTACCTTGGATGAGCTTCCTGCCACCCCCAGCGACTGGGTTGGCTGTTTCGATCGGCTGGCCGTCGCGCTCAGAGTGTCGGATGTATCGGTACGGGCATGTCGAAGGCTTTCTGTGTCAAGAGTACGCCTTTTCTCTTCTTCTTTTGCTTCATCCTTTGTGTACTGAATGGCATTGTTGAGCGCCCAGAACCATCTTTTGGCCTCTACGACATGGTTGGCCTTCAAATGGTACTTGACCGAGGACTTGCCATGGATCTCGAACCTCGTCTTGTCCTGTGGGTCCATGTGCAATTTGGCGATGCGCATGTTGATGGCTCCTCGACAGGCCGACCCAGCGTCATCTTGATGCTTGTAATAGCTGAGAACTCCTTCTTCAAGAACAAACCATCGTAGTTTATATCCACTCGTGTAATTTGTCCACTTCTTGAGATAACCCTTCATTTCTCGAGCGTCTTTGCTTGCATCACTGAGGCCAGCTCCAGCCCTCGCCTGCGATGGGTTGTTCCCAAGAATTGCTTTCTCCTGTATTCCTCGCTGAGCAGCGGCGGCTGCGGGGGACTTCTTCAAGATGGCTTTGGTCCGGTCGTCTTGGGTTACATGCTGTGGGAGCCTCCCTTTCCGGTCTCTGCGGAATGGGTCTGCTCCGTGCAACAATAAGATCTGCGCCAACTGGATGTCTTTTTTGCGTGCAGCTTCATGCAGGAGCGTCCCGCCGGTCTGAACTGTTATAGGCTCAGTTGGTAACTCCAACGCATTGACGTCGAGTGTCCCCTCGACTCGAGGCTCTGTTAGGATGGCCTCGAACTTCTTGTAGTCATTTTGGAGCAACGCAGCATGTATCTCCTTGATCTTGTCATCCAGGAAGATAGAACGCGCTAATTGGAGCTGTTGAAAGATGTCTGGGGTTCGAGCGAGGTCAATGGGGAGTTTTCCTTGCCGATTTGGAAGGGCATCGTTTATATTGGATACTTCGAGCAGGTCTCGGACAATAGGGGCGCGACCAAGCTGTGCCGCTAGATGTAAAGCTGTATTTCCCTCTTTATCCTGCGCATTGACATCAAGACCTTTTCCTTCCCTCAAAACCTGTTCTACCACCTGAGGTTCTGCGCACTGGATGGCTAGGTGGAGTATTGTAGTGCCGGGAATGGGCTGCGGATTGGAAGAGGAGGGTATAGATTCGCTGATGGCTTTGGAGATTGCGGCAGCGTCCTTGCCGCGGAGAACTTCAAAGACTCGAAAGGTGCGAACAGAGTCCTCAATCGAGGTGTTCTGGCTAGAAGAGACGCCAGATGGGACGTGGTGCATGTGGTGGGACGAATCTGATTCCCTAGAGTACTCGCTCGAGTCCATGGCTAGCTGAGAGTTTCTCGTGGTAGTCGGAGACAGTGGACTCAGCCGCGGACCGTCACCCGGAGTCAAGGGAGCCGTCGAGGAGAAAGGGCCAGTGATGGAGGTGGTCGTCGTTACCGGCGACTCTGGATCTGAGCCGTTTTCTCGAGGAGGATTGTCGTTGCGGAGAAGGTTGAGGACTCTGGCGCTCTTGGAGCGCTTGTGGACAGGTCTTTCTGTCATATTAGCATTTACAGCGGGGGCGAGAGAAGATGATGAGGAAACGGGAAATGGAGAGAAAGTTAGACGCAGGGTTGGAAAGCCACTTACCTTACCCGATGGATGGGCAAAGACGAGTTAGTCGATGGCTCCTTGCGTTGCTGGGGGAGGGAGTTCATCTTTCACCCCGCCATTCCTTGTGATGATTGGTGAGCCTGCGGCCGCAATCGATTGCGACAAGGTCGATCAACCACAGAGTCGAGTGTATGCACAATGACGAAGGCAGCAGCGGGAAGACTTTAGCGGCGGGCGACTCGAAGGGTCGGAGGAGTTCAAGCTTCCTTTCCACTTTGCACCTGTAGTATTCCTCCGATGAAGGCAGATCCAAGTTATTTCGTTGGGGCGGTGGGGTTTCTTGTCTATACAGAGATGGGACGGCAACTAGGTATCAGTGAGGATGAAAAGAACGGTCTTATGAATACACAGTAGTGGCGAGGATATGCGATGGCAATCTTCTGTCTGGTTCAAAGGGTCCGAATGGGACACAGCCCATCATCCATCATCCTTCATCGGATACCGCCCAGCCACCATGGAGAGCGCGTCCCTGGCTCGATCTTGCCATCCTCTTATGTATCATCACCACAAATCCGTTCAGGGATCGGATCGCACTCCGTGATTCCTCGATCCCGTCTCACTCGCATTGCCTGTCGCCATCATCATTGGTCTTCGCCGCCTGTAGCATAATCGGCCCCGTATAGAAAAGCACCCGAGCCTACCGACTGGAAAGACATGTAAGGAGTTCGATTATGGTCAAAGACCCTGGATTTTCACGAGGCCGCGACAAACAAAGCAATTATGATTTCTTTCATTTATGCAAATCGCACAAGGGGCTGTGTTGCTGGAGCTGCAAATGTCTCTTTTCATGGTTACGGCAAATTCAAGGATTTCTCATATTTCGTCTACCCCAGCAAATCGTCCAAGCCGTTGCCCAAAGGCGTGCTGGGTTTGGCTGGTCCCGAGGCGGTGTTAGTGCTCGAAGCCATCCCTCCAGGCCTTGGGGTTGTCGAGCTCGCTGCTGATGCTGCTCCCCAGATTCCCGCTTGGCTCTTTGCTTTGGCCATACTAGCTAGATCTGGACCCTTCTGCGGCCCAGTAGTTCCCTTGACTCCTGCTTTGGTGCTTGCAGTACTCCAGAGATCTCCAAAGGCATCACCACCTTTACCTGCTGCAGTTTTGGAAGTGGGCTTGCCGAGTGATGCCGCAGACGTGGAGGATGTGTATGAGGGGGTGACCCCGCCCAGAGGCGTTGAGGCATTAGATGTGGCAGTGGACTGCGAGTTTATCGACACCGGGACTGATGTGAAATAGTTCGGTCCGGAGGGTTTGAACCCGGCAGGCTGTAAAGGCTGAACAGGTTTCTGTGTAGGTGGTGGTGAAAACGTCGATGTCGTCGGTGACATTATCGAAGAAGTTGTCGATGGTGCTGGGGATGTAGTTGTGAAGATGTTGTTGAGGCTAGCGGCTTGTCCTGGAGCCACTGGCTTTGGAGCCGCAAACTGCGTGGCCGAGGTTGTAGTTGAGGTAGTTGGTGGAGGAGCAATCCCAGCCAGAGGATTTGCAACTGGCTGTGTCGCCGCTGGACTGGTAGCGGATTGAAAGTCATCAAAATCGTCGTCGTCATTTGCCGTGCTACTTTGTAGGCCGCCAAAATCATCCAGACCACCTGACTGAACTGCTGGCGCTTTGCCGCTTGATTGCTTCGTCGCACTTTGATCGTCGCCGAAATCAAAGAGATCTTGTTCCGGTTCCTTCGGCTTAGGCGGATCTCGTTTTGCAGTAGTCGTCGGCGCCGTTGTTCGGCTGGCGGTGCTTCTTGTCGGTCTTGAGGTCTCGAAATCGTCTGCCTCGTCATACTCCTCAAACTGGTCGCCACGGCGCTGGGTGCCCGAAAAGTCGGTTTCGCGACCGCCAAAACCACCACCATCGCCGTAAACCTCGCCTTGGTAGCCTCCGAATCCCCCAGTCTCGCTGCCGAAGCCACCATATCGACTTCCGCTCGAGAAGCCGCCACCCATTCCCATTCCACCTTCTACTCCTCCGTATTTGTTGCGGTTTGCGCGTGCTTTCTTTCGCTCTGATCTAATGGTATCGACATCACTCAGGAGTTTTACCAACTCTGCAGATCGGTTCCGGACATTCACACCCTGGTCTTTGCCATTTTGATCAATATAATGGAACTGGCGTAGCATTCGCAGGAGGGACAGGTGTGATCGGGCATCATCGATAACTCGCTCCGACCCATTTTTGCAGAGAAACTCGAGGAGTTGCAAGGCCTACCCCACCCCAACAGTGAGCACAACGATGTCTCGAGGGAGTCTTGAGCCCGTACCTTGTATATCTGCCTCCACTCTTCCGCAGTCTTGTCTGTGAATCGTTTATAGATCATGGGCATGATTTCGTTCAATTGTTGGCTGCGACAATCAGCTTGTGATTCTAAACCGTGGAGGACGCGACGGACTAATTGTGTGTACCCTGGGCGATTTCTTGCATGAGACTTGCCGATGCGCCCCATGGATCTCCGTTTGTAGCTTCTCGAACCTGATGGGAAAGTAAGATACATGCTGGAGCAGTGGATTGAAAGGGGACAGTGGCTCACCTTGGCCTCCATCTCGGTCAAGTTCATGACGGCTTCGTCAATGTCAACAATCTTTCTTTAAAGTAGGGAGATCGACTTACCATTTTGAACCTTTCGGACCCCAGCTTTGAGGTCGTAGAGGGTCAAATTGCTAACCTGGTTCTTCAGACTTTCGAAGTCCATATTTACTGGCGGTGAGGATGAGATTAACAAGATGGAATGGAGGAGAACAGAGTCAAGAAAGGTGACGACGGCCTTGCTTCGAAGAAACAACGAGTGAACGGAGCAGTTCGCTATGTAGATGGCAAAACAACTGGTAGGAATTATTCCCCCTGCGTTGTGATGCCAGATAATCTGCGAAGGTCCGCAGCCTCAATTGAGGTTCGCGGTTCAGCCAATCATGGCGCAGCCGACAAGCCCGGACGAAAGCCTCCCTGACTCCCAACAACATCAGGTTCAGAAACCAGCTCGCCAGGTACTCTGCGCCGGATCATCCCCCTTATCTTCCTCACACATTCGGTTCTCCTCTGGCGTGTTGATTCCCAACGCTGAGAGAGGGCACTTTGTGGCTGATCTGAATCAGTTGCAGGAAAGGCACACTGCTCAGTCGGTACAACTAAATGCTCTTCAGGAGTCTTCGGTCGAGTTGCAGGCATGTGACGTTCTTACAAGAAACCGGCTCACTTGTTCAAGGCCCAACCTCGAGGACCAAGACTTTCAGATAATCCGTCACCGTTCAGTAGAGAGTGTGCAAAACTTCTTCCCAGAGACTGAGGAGGTCATCACCAGCGAAGTCTCCATGAGCATCAGAGCGGACCATCGCAGGGCGGTAAGAGAAGTGACGATGAAATATTGGATCTGCTGAAGAGCAGGATGCTTACTAGCACGAAGAGGCTGCTCTCCGGCCAGACCGGTCCTTGGGTCGAAGACGAAGTTACCGCTCACACAGAAAAGATAAACATTGACTAGAAACCTCGACCTCCTGGGTCCATCAAAGCTTGTTGGTGCCGGAATTATCGGCTTCACTCGGTGTAGGCAAGTGACAGCCCTGTGTATGGCTTGCTCCTCTGGCACACCCTTACTCGATGTCGCGAGACCGTGTCCATCGGATGCGTTTGCGGGTGGTGACATGACAGGGAACGCTGTATTGATGGCAATACGAGGCAGAGCATCGAGACCTCTCTCCATCTTTTTGGCATTCGTTGAAAGGACCGTTCTAACGCGAGACAGGTAACTACTTGGGGGGGAGTACAGAAGGTCAAGAAGAGGGGTAAGCAAATGGCCCTCATGCTGTTGCACTCAAAGTTGACGAGAGAAAACAACCTCTCCTGCATTGAGTCGCCTTCAGCATGACACTGTCTCTCCAAAACCAGACTATACCTTTGGGTCAGCTCGCGCACAAGGGCTGCGGGGTGCTCATGCACCAACAGTCTAGGAAATTCCCTGCATATCATTTGGCATGCGAGCCAGGTTATCGCCATGGGCCTTTATCCCCGGAAGATACGGTCGGCATGGCTTACCGAGGCCCTGCAAGCTCAAATGTGCAATCAGGATATATTTCCCTATGACACTGGTGCGAGGCTAAAATGCGTGTCGCCATGTGGTTGTCGCTTGCCTCAACGCCTCGCATTGCCTCTTGAGGGAGCTGAACTCCCTGTCTAGCCGAGAAACCAGGAAGCGGCGTCGACCTGGTGGTCATTGTCCACAACAAACCCTCGGTAGGCTACTGTTGGCATTTATCCAAGGCGATACCCGAAGTGGGTTTCGCTGTTTCCAGACTAGCAACTTGTCCATCAGAAGACTTGACAAAGGGCTCGTGTCTTCAGGCTAAAGGCTGGCTGACCTCGCTGTATCTCTGGGCTGACGGCCCCTGGCCCTACCAACTCCATGAAATGTCCGCGCGGGGGAATGGGTTTGTGGAGCCTGGCTCACTGCGAAGGCCTGAAGGTGGTCGAACCGGCAAAATCCTCGTTTCCCCAGATTGCACAAGTTCCAGTTCACGTGTCTCGGTCTTCTGCTTCGCTTCGCTATGAGAACGGCCAGCATACCACACGAGGCCTATTGGAGTATGTTTTCCCTGTATCCATTGCAGGTAGGTCCTTCGTTCCGCACCTTTGGTCCTTTCAGCCACTTAACGCCCCTTGACTTTCACCCAAGCATTTCCTAACGCTGTTCGGGGTAGCGCTACGGTATAAGTTGACTGCCCTCGCCGTCGGCCGATCCCGTCTATCCCCGACGGTGTATGGTGCCTCGACCGTCGGTGACGTCTTGTTCGAAAAGCCTAAGAACATTACCGCCTTTCCTTGCGCACCGTATATCATGCCATGCAAACGCTTTAGCCTAAATACTGTCCGCAAATGTGTCCTAGGCTGTTGCAATTACCCCCCGTACTTCTGCGGAGACTCTCCGGACGCGGCAGTTCGAGATGTGGGGAGATCATCTATTGGCCGTCCCAAATACTTCATATGTATGCAAGAAGGACGTGGGAGAATGCCCCGAGGTGATCACCGTCCTCCTAGATCTCAGTTTCTCTCGCATGTTCACTGAGAGCGCTGCCCAAGTCAAGCATGGCTCCTCAAGAGAATCAAATTGTCGTCGGTACGAAGCGAGGGGACACAACCATTAATGTGCAGAAACTGTTGGACAAACCATGGTACAAGTACAAGCATTTGCGGAAGCTCTATGGCTGGCTCTGTGTGGTGCTCATCGTGCAGGCCACGAATGGCCTTGACGGCTCCATCATGAATGGAATGCAGACATTGACCTTCTGGGTATGTTTCGCCAAAGGATCCTTTGGTGGTGATCATGCGACACCTGCCCAACTTCATGTTGGCAATCACTGACTGTGTGAGGACAGCAATCCTATTTCAACCATCCGACAGGCGCCCAGCTTGGTATCTTCAACGGTACTCAAGGTCTCGGCGGGGTCATTTCGCAGTTCTTTCTTTGGTGGCTCGTCGAGAAGATCGGCCGCAAATTGATCATCATATCTGGAGCGGTCATCATCATCGTAGGCGTCTTTTTACAGTCGTTCGCGCGAGGGATTGCCATGTTCGCAGTTGCGCGCTGTGTCATCGGTCTCGGACTCAGTTTCGAATACACGGCCGCTCCCATGCTCGTCTCAGAGCTTGCGCACCCAACCCACCGTGCTCAGTTATCCACGCTACTCAATACTCTGTATTACTTCGGTGAGGATCTCGTGGACCGAGGTTCTGGCACGTTGCTGACATTCATTCTCCAGGTGCGGCCATTGCAGCTTGGATCACGCTCGGAACCCTGTCAATCCAGAGCGACTGGAGCTGGCGCAGCGTCTCATTAATTCAGATGTTCCCGTCTCTGATCTCCGTCACCCTTACCTGGTGGGTACCCGAGAGTCCGCGCTGGCTCTGCTCACGAGGTCGAAACGAAGAAGCATTCAAGACTCTGGTCGACTGGCACTGCGGCGGCAACGAGGCCGATCCCCTCGCTACCTTCGAGTACAATGAGATTGTGCAGACGCTGGCCTTCGAGAAGGAGAACGGTAGCAGAAGCTGGCTCGACCTCGTCCGCACGCCGGGCAACCGTCACCGTACCTGGATAGTTGTGACCTGCTCGATTCTCAGCCAAGCTACTGGCCAGACTATCATCGGCTATTACCTGGTCTTGATCCTGACAGGAGTCGGCATTACCAATCCCCGCCACCAATCGATCATCAACGGGTGCCTCACGATGTGGTAAGTGTCGGGTCTTGTGGGCTTTTTGCAGCGAATGCTCAACTGACATGACTCGCAGGAACATGGGATGGGCATTCTGGGGCGCATACGTGATTGACAAGTTTGGTCGTCGGCCCATGCTGTTGACTTCCCTCTTTGGCATGCTGTTTTGCGGATTCTTACCGTGGACCATCTGCAGCGCTTTGTACGTCCAGGATGGGGTCAAGAACGCCGGCCCCGCGGTGATTGCATTCATCTTTGTCTTCAATGCCTTTTACGCCACGACCTGGAACGGCATCTTGACCGGCTACACGGTCGAGGTCATGAGCTACGACATTCGGCCGAAGCTCATCTGCACGCAGAACCTGCTCGTTCAAGCGACCATCACCGGCTTCAATTACTTGGTAAGATTTGAAATTTTCTTTCTCCACTCCCCCCCAAGATTCTGCTAACATTTTTCCGTCACCCAGAACCCCGTCGCGCTGAAGAACATTGGCTGGAAATACTACCTCGTCATCAACATCATCATCATCATCACCATTGTCGTCGTGTACTTCACGTACCCCGAGACCTCCAAGATCACGCTCGAGGAAGTCAGCGTCATCTTCGACGGCAAGAACGCCGTCAAGAACGACATCCTGCAGAAGCAGGAGATCAACGCCGGCGACGAGGACGCCGTGGGAAGCGACCACAAGAAGGGCACCGTCGAGATCATTGAGCGCGAGCACATTGAAGTCAAGGAGTAGGTCTCGAAGGAAGTTGTAGTCTTGCTCGTCTGCATAACTGGGGCTCAATAAACGATGAATGGTAGATGTCTCTTGTCAGTTATCTAGACTTCCCATCTTCCTGCGGGTGAACCTCCATAGACAATAGTACGATGGCTGTCAATCTCTGTGACTATCTGATTGAACCATGGAACATTGAGACTCACAGAGCTTGGAGCAATAACCGGACCTCGTACCATCATGGCACTGTTCGGAATGTGAGAATGTGCAAATGTCAGCCTCGTCACGAAGAGAATCGAAAGCCAAGACGCGTTGGGAGAAGCTACGAGGCTAGACCATGTTAGGCTTAGTGAATTTCATGTCATATAAATAACTAATGAAATGCTTTTCGCTCGGCTGGCTACCCTACAAACCTTCTCACTTCTGAGTTTCTATACCATCCAGGTCCAAAACACTCTTTACTTCTCTTGCTCACCCGCCGCGCCAATGTCTCACCGGTGGAAGTATCTCCTCTCCAACCATCTGAGCGGCACATACGTGACGGCAGTGAAGGAGAATGCCAACTCAAATCCAATGTCACCACCATACCCGATCCCGATCAGCTTGCCGATGGGACCAATGTACCACACTTGCGCCATTCCCATTGCGGCTCCCAGCACACCGAAAAGGAACGCACTCAAGGCAGCAATGCTGGGAGGCAGCTTCTTCGGCTGGTCGTAATTCTCCGGGATATATCCAGAGAACCCACGCTTGTAGATGAAGTGTTCTGGCAAGGCGATACCCTCGTAGATGGCGAGCCAGTAGCCAATCACCAGCATGAAGTTCTCCAGCACCGACTCGAAGTGGTCAAAGCCCGGAATTGCAATGGCGCAGTAGACGACAGTTCCAACAAGCGTCCAACAGAATCGCGGAACTCTCTGCGCATAGTGTGTCAGGTTTTGCAGAGAGAAGGTGAGGGAGTAGATATTGGGTGCGTTGTTGGCGATTGTCGACAGAGCCAGAACGACAAGACAGAAGCTCCCGAAGCCACCTAGGCGCGGAACGAGTACTTCATGAAGAAGACCTCCAACGGCGTTCTTGTCGTAAGCGTCCGAATACGCCTGGTGGGAGGGGATGGCCGTCGCAATGGCCACGCCCAGCATCTGAGTGAAACACAAAGGGAACATAAGTCCACAGAATACATAGAAGAAGACCTTGGTCCGCGGAGTGCTGACAGGTTGATAGCATGTGTAATCGCTGGCGTAGGAAGCCCAGCCCGTGGCAAATCCGAAAATCGAAGCAGCAAAGGACAAGACCGAGCCTGCTTCGCCTTCGCCACTACCCATTGGAATGTTGACAAAGTCTCCCCGATGGGCAAACACGCCCAACGTGATGAGGAGAATGATGAAGGAAGGTATCCAGGACACCATCTCATAGATGTGCACGATCTTGTAGCCGAACAAGGTGATGATAAAGGTTCCTGCGGCCAAAACGATAATGGCAGCTGCGGCGGGTACGTCGTCGTTGACTGCTCGGAGGAACTGGGCGCCCACTATGACATTGACAGAAGACCAACCAAGACATGCCAAACAATTGAAGATCGAAATAATCTTGACGCCGTAATACCCGAACCAGAATCGTCCGAGGATCATCTGGCGCATACCGAATCGAGGGCCAAAGGTGGAGAAAAAGCATACTGGGATAATACCCAGCAAGTTGATGAAGAAAATTGTAAGCACCGAGTCGACAAAGCCCAGTGCGAAAACGGGCACAGCAAGGACACCAATGGCGAAGGAAGAGACGACCATGTTGGCAGCGAGCCACTATTTTCACGTCAGATAAAAGGCTCCGTGACAAACACAGTTTCGGGGAGCAGGGGGGACAACTAGACATACCATGGTGCCGACCTTAAATGTACTCTTGTCCGTCCGTTCATCCTCAGGGACTCGTTCAATACCTCGCTGTTCAATATGGAACCGTCCTGCAAGACGTTGTAGTTTTGCATAGGTGGAATCTCCAACGACGAATGACTCTCCATGGACGGCGCCTGAGGTATCTGGAGGGACGACCGAGTGGTGTTTCTCGCCCGCGGAGACAGGATATTGGTATTCGACATCGTAGCCGTTCTTTTCGTAGGAAGCCATTGTGCTAGAGTCAAACTCCCGCGGATCGCTTGTGGACAAGACGTAAGCCCGTAGAAGAAGCGAAGACAAAGAAGCTTAAGGGCCGACAAGACGAAGCAGGGGAGATTCGAAGCATCTGAGCCTGAAGAAGGCCAGAGGAACGTGAAGTAATATAGCATTTCATATCGGCAGTTGCCACAACTGATTCAGATGGAGGGCGCCGTCACTCTGGGCGTCGGGGACACCATCAACATCCTTCCATCTTTGGTGCCCCACTGTGTTGTGCGATCTTCGAGATAAGAGCCTTGGACTCTGGAGCTGTCCGCCCTCGCACCGACATGGGGTCTACTTCGACTAATGCGGTCGAGCCCGATGGCCTGCTGGTGTGGGCATGGATCGGTCTGACAATATGTCCGCCAAGTCATGCTCGAAACCAGGTACCTCTGAATTTGTTCTTCTGCATCCCTGCTCTTTTCAACCCCCTGTCGAGAAATAGAGACGTTTCCTGCGCTGAGAGCCGTTCTCTGACTCGCGTGGAAGACCGGAGATCGCCTTCACCTTGGGGTCACCGGGTGTATTGTCCATATCGAGGACCTCACGGTGCGTGGGGAAGTTTGAAGGGGTAGATCAAGGGCAGCTTCACTGCTTCTGGAAAGAGGGCAATAAGCGTGCAGCTTGACGCTTGGCCCGTTGCTTGGAGACAGAGATAAGCAACTGTGGCTGCTCTTGTCTCTGGCCAATGAACTGTCCCTCAGCAATGCATATTGGTCAGGCTGGTCGCCGGTGGCCGGGCTGATCTGCTGAGTCCAGAGCGCATCGACTGCTTCTCTGATCTTTCCTTTGTGCTAGCTGAATCGTCGGCTCGTGGCGCTGGTGATGGTGCCCCGTGAATTTGACGTAAATTCAGGCGAGGAAGCCCTATCAGTGTCAAGAAGGGGATGAGACCAGAGTGCAATGGTAGGACTAAGGTGAAGGAAACCACTTGTGGCAGTAAAGATCCAATAGATCCATCCGCACAACGTCGTGTTCGAGTACAATAACGCTTTTGTACTCCGTACTTCGTACAATAATGGCAACCTCCGTGTATTGTTTCACGCCTGCTCTGTCAACCTGTATAGCACTCTGGACTCTAATTCACATTAGACAATCAATTTTGCGTAAATCATCTGGGATATCTATGTCAAAAATAGAAGACGTCAACCCCCCGTTCGACAGTGACCGCAAAGACCGACCAGTGCCCCCAACCCGTCGAATATTACATTCCTCCACCAAGTGCATCCCCGCCCGTCAGATCACTTCCTTGCACGCTGTTGAAATTATAGGGAAAATCCACTATCCCGTCCAGCATCCAGTTCAACGGATCAAAGACATCATAGCTTGCCTCGCCAAAGTCCATCCCGGCGTCGTCGACCATTCCAGTAGCCATCCCAGCCATACCAGGCACAATGGTGGAGTTCGCCAACATGGGGTCGTTTACCGTAGGCTTCGAGTCCAAACTTGATGCCGGTATGATGATCTGATTGTCGGGTTGCTCGAGGGTGGGATTGCGCTGCCTCACTGCCGCTTGGTCAGCATCACCCTCGAACGAACTGGGGTTACCCGTACCATCAGATGGTTTCCCCCCTCGGAAATGAAAGTTCTGCCGCCACTGCCACACCGAATCAAACACCACAGACATGGACATTCGACACTTGACCTTGAGTTGCAGACTGTCGTCGGGACCGCCCTCGCCAATGTTGTTGCGATTCGGCTCTGCCCGAACTCTTCCACTTTTCCAGACTTGGGCCAAAACCTCCGACAGGCGCTCTGCGAGATCGTTCTCCACCACACTCATATTTCGTAGCGCCCACACCGTCCTCGAGAGGAGTTCAGATGCTCCTTTGGCATCGAGTTCGTGTTCGCCCAGAAAGTTGTGCATGAGTTTGAGAAGGGAAAAGCCAGCGCCGAGCATCATGTGGAATATGTAGTTCGTTGCATGCGACAGCGATAAGCCGTGTGAGTAGCTTGAAGGTAGGTTCACACTGACGTTGGACTCGAGGCTGAGACACGTCTCAAGGAACTCAGTCGTGGCATAGTATAGCTTTAACATGTCGGTCCGGTACGAAGGCAGCAAGGACGGTGAGAAAAAGGCACTCAATCTCATATGCAGAGCGGCTGCCTTGAGGTATACCTTGGTGATTGGTGACGTATCCTTCCGTAACCTGTCCTCAAGTTCCTCCAGCTCATGTGCGAGAAACGAAACGTAGGTAGGGCGCTCCGTATCAGTGGCAAGCCCAACGGGATCGTGGGGATTCATGTAAAGCGTCCTGGAGACCTTGTCCACAAATTTTTCGATCAGCAACCGATTAAAGATGGGAGCTGGCAGTTCGTAGTTTGGGTTGGTCTCAATCGGTTTGGGTCCCAGAGTCCAATCGTAAATACTGAGAGGTGGCTGCCCATATGCGGTACATATTCTCTGAGCGACAATGTTGCACACACTCCAAACCACCACTCTATCCTGTAGTTCCACTTCTCGAAGTTCCACCCGAAATTTGGAGAAGTCTTGAGCATGCGTTGGACGATGTAGACCGATCTGTAAGGCAATCTGCATCATCATTCCACAGAGCATGAAGGTTGGGTCTGTCGAGGTGCTGCTGGTGGGCAGAGGCCAAGCACAGAGCAAGATGAGGGCCTTGACAATATGATAGTTTTGAGGTACCTCTGAGATAGTCGACCAGACAAGCCGCATCACAGGTCCAGTCAGGGAGCCATAAAGATCTGGCTCTGGGGTGTAGTGCCGTGCACCCACCGAAATGATTGTCCAAAACAGCAAAGGTGATCGAGCGTAGTATTCTTCGGGGGTTCTATCAGGGTTGAGAAAGGGAAGAAAAGGGTGATGAAACGTGAAGAAACGTTGAAAGAGCTCCTGCGCCCGGTCGATGGTCAAGGACACCTCTTCCAACCGTCTGAAGATGGGTCTGCCTGAACCACTACCTCTCAAGTCAAGTAACCCTGCGGCGGCAGCATCTGAAGTAAAGGTCCCGTCTGCTGAGGGTGATACCTGCAGATTGGCACCTCCATTTGTGTGAGAACCGTTTGCCACACCTGCGGTATGCTTTTGTGCAGCCACTTGCTTGCGCAGCTCGATGATCTCGCGTTCCATTTCTGCATTTCGTGATCTCTTGCCAATCCTCTTGAAATTGTCCTCGATTTTGCAGTCGAGATTGAGTCGCTTGCAACGGGTACACGTCTGGAAAGGTTCCTGAACGACATCGCATCGCAGCTGCAGAGAAACACTGTTAGCACAGAGGTTCCATGGCCTGGAGAAAAGATCGCGAGGGCTCGGCGCAACCACGACAGTGATTCGACGCACAGTCCACGAGGGGCATCGGAAAAGTCGGTCGCACCACTTCAGGCATGAGGTGGTGTCCTGCGACAACCCTTCGTAGCGCGCACGCAATCCATTGCATCAAGGCTCACCTTCTGCTGCCGACACTCATTGCAAGCTCTTTTCACCGGCCTCCGCCTGCCATCACGCATGTGTTCGTCACCATTGTGATCTGGTGACTCAAGGCTCGCGGGGGAGCTGTCGAAGCCCGCAATGGAGGCATTTCTCTTGTGGCTCTGAGTCGGACTGGTATAGGCCGTACCAGGGCCATCGCCCGGGCTCGCGGCAGATGTAGAAGCCAGGTTGAAATCGTCGCCAATTTCCAGGCCGATGAGGGTTTGGATTGGTATTGTCCACGCTGCGGTCGCCATCCGATATCGCAATCGACTTTGCTAAGAGATAAGATAAGATGGATGTCTGGGTGAGGCGGAGCGGTTGGCACGCAGCTGCGCAGATGGTTTTAGAGTTGGAGGCGCAGGCAAATTGCAATAATCATGAAAAAGAGGCGGGTCGACGTCTATCATTGGCCACCATACCCAGATCCTCCGTGCCGAAAACACCATCAGCACCTTTTTCATCACAATCTGAGAGAGAGTCGCCCCAGAAGTCCAATGGCGGGTGATGAGAAGAAGAAGAGAGAGCTGTTAAAGGGTCCATTGGAGAAATCACAGCAATGTCCTAAAGTGCCGGCTTCCAGAACGACCATCTACTTCGCCCAACCACAGACCCAAGACCAGCGCGGTATGGATCTTATGAGTCATTTAATCAGCGAATGATGTATGGCTAACACGACGGCTCACAGTAACCGTTTTCGACTCCAGCATAACCTCTGAACCATTCCTTGATTCAGTTGTGCTTGAGAATCTCAGGAAGAGGCAGCAGATGGAGAGCGACACGAAGGGTGTTGGTGTTGGGCACAATACGACGGCGAGATGAATCATATAGAAATCAATTGCTAAATCGTCATCCATCTGGTTCGGCCGTGCTTTCTAGTTGTACAGCTCGTCAATTCATCCCAATCATCAGTCGTCAAGACATCAAGTTCGTGCCATAAATCTTCAGTGTCCCTGATCGAGCAAGAAATCAACAAGCAGTGGAAAGATCCTCCCCAAACGCCCAAACGAAAAGAAATCCATAGCCACCAGGGCCCAAATAGCACAGTCGAACATGATATCGTGTAAACATGAAATGACGACCACATACTTGTCCATCAACACGATCCAGACGCAGGAAAACCAGCTCCACTGCCGACGGTGTGAGAACAGCATTCTGTTTGGGAAACATCTCAGACATCCCGTGAAAGGCTCGTATTGCTGGCTGGGAATCTCGAGTCTCCTTGTGAAATCACGTAAGCTCCAATGCTGCGTCGAAGATCGGCCCGCCGCCGTTCTCTCTTCTCGTCCTCTTTCCGTTGTTTGGCATTCAACAGCCTTTCTTGAATATTCTTAATCCCTACCAAGGAAATATGCAACCGCAGTGCCGAGCCCGACAACTTGTGTAGTTTACGGCTCGCTTGCAATCTAGCGAGACTGGAATGGCTGGATTGTTTCACAATCCCTCTCTTCTGCTTGCGTCGCTGCGATATTCGTCGGATCAGGGATACTGGACCCATTATGACGGTCCTCTCCTGAGGCAATCCAAGAGAATTGTTCACGATCTCACGATCCAGAGACCGTTCCTGAGGTTGCGATTCAGGGCGAGGATTATCGACGTCGTCCCAAAAGGCGCGAGGCCGCCAGAATGGATGCAGGCTTCCGTCAAGATCCTGATCAGCCTTGCGATTGCGCGCGTTTTTAAGGCTCAAATTCCGTGAAAGGGAGCTCATCAATGACTCGGACCGTCGTCGAGAACCGCCTGGCCGCTGAACAGTATCGATTCTGTCTTCCCCCAACTGCTTCTTGACTTCCTCATCGGCAGGAGTGGGTGGAATCAGCTTAAATTGTGGTGGCTCAGGCGGCTGTCGAGGGTTGCGCAACGGTGACTCTACTTCGATTTCTGGAAGCTTTTGCTTCTGTACCTCCTGGACCGCTTTTGACTCCGCTACAGGAAACGGTTCAATGAGCTGCACAGAATAGTTATTGTGGGGGAAGTAGTTGATCGCCCGTGCTTCACTGATCTCAGGAGATCCTGACTGGAAAGAAGGTTGTGAGAAGGGTGTGTCGAAGATAGACGGTGGTCGGAGTGCCGCCCATTCCTTTGTTCCGGGCATCACCAAACCTAGCGGGTTTGCTATTGCCTCACCTTCGCCAGCAGAAACAACTTTCAGATTGCTTGGAAGTGTGGAGGATTGCGGCTTAGAAGTCCCCGAAGATCTGTCGAGTCGTTTATTTCCATCTATAACCTCCCAGTCTCTCAGGCTATTGACAAGTCGCTCTGATTCCATCCTGTCCAAGGTCTTGCGTAAGTCCTTCTCGGCTTGTTGTCTGCGTACATGCAGATGCTCTGAAGTGATAGAGTTGGCTCGTGACGTGCTTCTGGATGTAGGTGCGGACAGTGAGGAGCTACGAGGAGGGATCAGAGGGGCCTGGTGTTGTTCCCTGCCACGGTCAGAAGACTCAGAAAACGCCCTTTTGTGTTGCCAGGAAGAGGGTGGGTTGTCGGACGTCTTGCGAAATTGAGAAGGTCCAGAACTGTTCGAAAGCGATTGCCGCTGGTTAGTGTGAGCAGAGGAGCTCAAGGAGGAGCTTCTCTCCGGAATCACCGCCACGCGGATGACTTCGGTCTTGGGGAGCACCGCGCTTGATGCCAGGCTGTAAGATCTCGATGCTTCGGATCCAAAACTCCAGCGATTTTGATTGCTCAGTCTCGCCTTTTTGTGAACAAGACGATGAGGTGAGTCTGAAGCGGAATTCATGGAGTTCCTGTTCGAAGCTGGCAAGGGCGAGCTCACAGAACGAAGGGATTGGTGCTTGCTGACATGGCGCAACGTCGTTTTTCGTCGCGGCAAAGAGTTTTGTTCGAAGACATATGCTTCCACAGTCGAAGTTGTGGAAATACCCGAAAAACGGCGATTGTCATCGACTTCCACTTGTCGATCTCCGGCTACTTCATCGATTGGCACGGAATTGTTCCAGCCGATGATGTTTGCAAACTTCTCAGTCGATGCTGATGGATCCTGGCTCTGCGCCTCCAAAAGTCTTTCGCGCAAACTCTTGCCCCGTTTCAAATCGGGCTGGCCAGTACTGTGCCGAACAAGATGAGTCGGTTCGGTTTCCTCAGCTAGAGACAACTGAAGGGGGTCAAGATGTATGCGGATTTCCTCGCTGTTGAAAAGTGCGTCGCTACTCTTTCCTGATGTCTGATTCTGAGGGCAAGCCTCTGGCACCCCATGGGTCTCACTTGGATTCACGTGCGAATGATCGACTAAAGGTTCTGGAGACTGACTGACAGCAGGGTGTACTCCGTAAAGCTCGGCTAGAGGTGATCTAGGCAAAGAGCTGTGCCGCAGACGATGAGACGCTGCTCCAAACCTGTCAATGGAACTCAATGGCCATTTGAAGCCATTATCCGGGCGTGGCGTATAGCGGTCAGATTCTCCTTCTGACGTGAAGTCTTCATTAGCGGTCTTGAAGGATTCTGCATGCGTTGAGGCTATGGATGGCTGTGGGTCTAGCAATGGGCGCCGGGGAAGTGCCCCGTAACGTTGCCGAGGAGGAGTGTTGTCAGGGGTCGGCGGGCTGTTCTGGTTTATGGGTGTCACTAAGCTGGATCTAAACACTGCAGCATCTGAAGATGAAGCCGCCTCTTCTGGAGCCGATGGGCTAGTTTCATTGTTCGCGCCAGGGGGTGTAGGAGGGAGGTTTGGTGAGGTAGGTAGGACCGTAGTCACAGAGTGGTAAGAGTGTTCCTCCGGCTGGTGGTCAGCAACATCTTGCGCTGAGATGCGGTAAAGGGTTCTGAGGTTGGTCGAGCCAGCTCTGGATCCATTGCGAAAGGGTAGCGACCTGGAGGCTGAAGGAGGAGATTGATCCGGGGAATCTCTGGCCGGCCCCATAATGGTGTATTCGATGGTCCTCCCCATCCGAGAACGGATTTATAGCATTGAAAGAGTCTCAATGGTTCCACCGTTTCATTGCGACATATAGCCACGGGGCCAGAGCGAAATCTGCGGTTGCACCTCAGGGCATGGGGAGGCGGTTCGGATATTCAGGAGGACGTTTTGAGAGTGAAGACAGGGGGACGTCGGAGCTTTGAAGGATTCGTGAGGCGTGACGAATGGCTGGGTGCGTGACGCGAAGTGCGACAAGTCCGCAGCTGCTGGTGCGCAGAAGTTCAAGACTGTCTGCCGTTGCGGTTCGGAGGAATCATTCAGTCAATTGGCTCCCACATCGATTGTTAGCCGCGATAGATCGACTGCGGGTAGATTACTATGTGGATGAGAGTCTCTGGTTCGAAGATACAGCGCCTTAGGCTAGATCTGCGGCCGAGGAGCAATCGAGGCCTCTGACAGAAGTATTGGACAAGTGCCTGACGGGGATTATCTGCTCGTACAGACACGGGCGACGTCGAGCGAGAGAGGTGCGGTGCGACCGCCTTGGACAAGGCAACGGTGAGCGAATACGAGATATGTCGGCGGATACCAAGCCTTGTGAAGTGAGCCGAAGATCGAATGTTGGATTCAAATAGCGATGCGAAAGGTGAAGAGAGAAACGATGAAGACCAGGATCTGGGTAGAGAAGCTGGACGAATCGCAGCTGAGCAGCGACAGCGGATGAAGAATCAAGGGCAGCTCAGCCGAAGTCACACAGGATTCAGGTACAGCTCCATCCTCCCAGTGCCTCCTCAATCTTCACTCCTCGCCCATCATTCATCGCGCAGCAACCCCCTTTTGATCCTTTGGATCCCAATCATGATTTCGGCGTGCATTACCCCCTGAATTCCTCCTCCCAGTACGTGCGTATTGATGAGAGCCGCCGGAAATATAAGTGTATCTCCTAGTGCTGCCATTATCACCCTCCCCCCTGGAGCGACCGAAGCATGATTTCATTCACATTCCCTCTCTGTCACTCGCCACATTCCGTGGTGCACACGCTTGAGTCTCAGCTTCAGCCCCAAGGCACAGACAAGGGGGGCCAGAAACAATTGTGTACAAACACCACAACCGCGTGCCTCTATGGATTTGCGCAGGGCTGGAGACACGACTGCTTTCAGATGCTCACCGCAGTTCGAACTTCTGCCAGCCCAAGTATGCGTGTAAATTTCCTTTCCGTGCTGACTCTTCAGCCTCTCAAAAGGATACTTTTCCCTCTCAGTTCCCAACATCCATGGTTGTCCACACTCCCTCCAATTCAAGATGTCTTCGCGACACGTTATACCTCTGCGTCTTTCCTTTCTATTCGTTCTTTTTCCTTGCCCCCAAGTCCTTACGTCTTCTGTCCCTCAAATCATTGAACCTGACCCCGGCCCTCTCTCCTTTCTCGAACTTGTTCAGGCAACGTTTTATCGAATTATTGAAACAGGATTTGTTAAAGGCATCCTTATTTCATTGTTCGTCCTGGGCTGTCTCGTCTGCCTTCTCATCGGTGTTTTGGGTGGCCTGGCTGCTTATCTTAGGCACCATGATACAAAGCTGTGGGAAGGACATGAGGAGCTCTACGTCTTCGAGGGTGGGAAGGACGAGGACGAGGAAGCGGATATTTCTTGCGTTAAAAACAACCTGAAGAGATCCGGTCTGCGATATAGCGACAAGTCGCAATTGCATAGTCAAAGTCGAACTTCTCGCTACCTTTCGTCCAACCTTTCAGTACCCGTAACAAGGATCAGCATCTATGGCCCACCGCGGCAGGTGTCAACCACAAAGAGTGATCCATCCGCGGAACCTTGGACAACGCGAGGTTCGGAACGAAATGCTATCGGACCGCTCCGCTCTGCCCTCTCCAAGTCTCCGCCATCGTCGAAGGGATCCCCACGGGTGCAGTTTCCTCTATCCAGCGAGACCAGGTCAAGGAGAATAAGCATGAGCTCGACTTCTCCAACCCCAAAATCCGTTCGCTGGGCGGATGAGATTCAGATGACAACAGTGGAAGTCAGCTTTCCACGAGAACGGGCGACATCAACTAAGGCGGGTTCAGGTTCTCATATCGCGAAAGACGCTAGATCACGCGGTACCGATGGTCAGGCTCTTGACATTGGCTATGCGTTACCTGACAGCTCCTCGCCCACTTACCGCACGTACTGCTTCTCTCAGACGCCTCAACATAACACTACTTTCTCGAAGACGTGTATTCAATCGCAGGATACGGGACACCCATCCGACAGAGCAATGTCGATGAAACTGGAAGCCGATACCTTTTGACTGGCATGTGGAGGCTTCAAGACAAATTCGAAACGGTGACTGTCAAATGCCGAAGATCATCCTCGCTCACAAGATGGAATTCGGATGTGAGGATTGCTTTAGAGGGAGTCGTTGGTGGAGAATGCTCTTGAGGCTGTGACATTCGGTCTGTTCTTTCGCTCGTTCTAGCAGATATGTATGAGTAGTTTCCTTGCTCCACGGCTGCCAGACTTCATGGACAGTCACTGCACAGAGTCCAACACAGAGCGTCTAGCAGGAAATGCTCACGCTTGGTTAAGACCGAGCGAATCAATTTCTCCTCGCAGCTCGATCCCTGTTATGGTCATCTCTCTGATCTATCAGGCGGAGGCGTTGACCCTTGTTCAGAGTAACATCCCTCTTGTGCCTATGGCCTCTGAATTAAGAGCTACAACAACGCCAGGCCAACACTCTTGGTCGATGTTTTATATCTTAGATCTGAGGATACTTCTCAAAATTAAAAAAGAAAATTATGTATATTTAAAGAGACCGAGAAGCCCCATTGAGCGCACTTGGGCTCGCTTAGGACTGACTAGTGTTGGAGTTTTCAATCACCACTCAAAGCGTCGTGGAAGACGTGATGACAGCGGTTCTACCCACGAGTGAATATCGATGAGGATTCGCAGGGGATTCAATGCTCGAGAACTTCTTGCTTCTCTGGCATCGGACTCACGGGCGTACCAGTACCAGCCTCTCCCTTCGCCTACCTCTATCCGCTTACTCGAGGTCCATTCGGCTTCGCCTTGGCCTGAAAGCGGCGCGAGCATAGGAGTCTCACTGCGCACGTTTTCCGTCGACGATGCCCCTCCGTTCTATGCCCTGTCTTACACATGGGGCTATCCGTTGATCCCAGAGTCGCGCCCGTCACGGAGCAGCAATTGGCGCCGCCTCGCGTTCGTCCAGCGCGTGCAAGCGAGAGCTCCTCGTCTGCTAGATCCGGATGGCCACGGAGGACTGGTTACCAGCACTGGGACACCATCTGCCCCGAGACCGCAGGCCGCGAGTCTCTCAGGACTTCGTACCAAGATCACAGAAAACACGCCGTGTTTCCCTGTCAAGTGCGAGGGTCGCAATCTACGCGTCACGGCGAATCTGCACGATGCCCTCGCCATGCTGGCCGGTCGCAATCTTCGGGAACTGGACGGTCCTGCGGCGGGGCCCAACTACATTTGGGTGGACGCCCTGTGCATCGACCAAGCTTCGCTTGCGGAGCGAAATCAGCAGGTGAACCTGATGGCGGACATCTTCAAGGCGGCGCAAGGTGTGGTTGTGTGGCTCGGTGAAGAGGACGACTTTACCCAGGACGCGTGCACCGTGGTGGAAAGAATCGCCGCTATCCCGCGAGAGGCGTGGCCTACGGTTCCTTACACGGGATTTTACGACGAGAGCGGCTCATGCTATCGAGAGCTGGGGATCGAGCCGCTGAGCTATCAGAACTGGCTTGGTCTGATCGCATTCATGAACCGCCCCTGGTTTTCGAGATGCTGGGTGGTTCAGGAGCTGGCACTGGCGAGAAACGCCACGGTTATCTGTGGAAGTCGAGTACTACAGTGGGAGCAACTGGCCAAGACGATTGAATTCATCCGTGCAACGAAGTGGTATCATCACTTATCGACCAAGAAGATGCGGCATATCCGTGCGCTCAGCCGGAATTCAGGAGCGTACAGAAAGCTGCTGGCAAGCAACACCAGATTCAGCCTCGCGCCTGTCTACCTCAACAGTACAAGGAATGTTCTGCAGTCGCGTTCCCAGAAAGACAAAGGTGCGGGCCCGTCGCTGAGGATGCTGGTTGATACGCATAGGTATACCGCCGCGACTGATCCCCGCGACAAGGTGTATGCCTTTCTCAGTCTGTCGAACTCGACAAAGTCGCCCTCAGAGAAGAGGCCCATGGAGATCAAGCCAAACTATCATACCCCGGTACAGCAAGTGTACACAGAAGCCGCATGCACTCTTATCCGGGCCGCTCGGAATCTGAATCTGCTGTCCCATGTGCAAGATCGATCGTTGACCAAGATCAAAGGACTTCCAACCTGGGTTCCAGACTACTCTGTACCTCTCACGCCATATCCGCTTGAATTCCGGGGGAAATGCAGCTGGTCTGCTTGTGGCGACGTGAAATGGACACCTCCAGATGACGAGACAACATTGCGTCGTGGCTTTTTGCCAGTACAAGGTTTCCACATCGATACAATCGCCGAGAAAGCCATCATGCCACATGAAGCGACAGATGCTGGCCAGCCATGGGCCAGTATTGTGGATCTAGTTTTCCACCTCCCAAATCCCTACCGTGTGCCATCAGTCCGAGGGGCCCCTATCTCACGCCTCGACGTCCTCTGGCGGACGCTGACCACAAACACATACTCTCGCCAACATCCGGCTCCGTCTGCGTGTGGAGGCATGTTCATCGACTATATCCTCAATCTGCAGATACGCCACCGGTTAGCTCCTTGGTCGTCGCATGACACCGATTTCCAGCCACACCAAACACCGATCTCGACTCTTACCAACCCTAACTGGCACGGTCTGTTGGCGTCCGAGCCGGAAGACTCTGCGTACAATCTCCCTTTCTATCGCGGTCGATTGACCGCATTGGTAGAGAACATGCTTTCCAGCGATTCGTATTCACCACTTGACCTTGCCCAATTGCATCATGATATCGGGTATGGGTCAGGGAAATTGCGAAGGCTGTTCCGGACAAAACGTCTGTCTCTTCTGGGAACTGGATCGCGGTCTCTTCGGGCGGGTGATGAGATTTGGATTCTAGGTGGTGGTAAAGTGCCATACGTTCTTCGTCCTGCCAAAGGCAGGGCAGATGGCGAAGGTCTGGGTGAGAGAACGCATGGTTTGGTTGGCGAGGCATACGTCCACGGCCTGATGCACGGCAATCCTCGGCGGTTTGAATTGGACATGTTGAAGACGGTCTTGGTTTGAATACTGTCATTCCAAGAACTTCTGTTTTCTCAAACAGAACCAACCCATAGAAACATTCTTGTAAATAAAAGAGAGTTGCCGACATATATGGATATCTTGCGGAAGGTGATCGTTGGAGTTTATACATAGTATTCTAATGGAAATAGTCAGCATCAGCTTACATCGGAGGAGATGGGACATCAAAGCGGGAATAAAGTGTACATCAGAAAAATTGAGAAGATATGTATGTGGCTGGTTGTTTTAGGCATTGCGTTCAGTTCACCGTGGGTTGCGTGACAATCCAACAGCTGAAACAGAACGCTTCTCTGGCCCCAGCGGCCTCGTCATTGAGCAAGATAGAATCGGAGGCGAACGTGGTAAGCACTTACTTGTTCGGAGCCATGGAATGCCCCATGCTTTGTAGCGGGACGTTGTTGCGGCATACCGGCCACACCGGAGGGATCAGCCTGCGCTGATTTCCAGTTTGCCCCTCCTCGCCCTCATCTCCTCGACTTTCTTCTTGTCCTCCTCGAACCGCTTCACCATCTCCTCTTGCTCCTGCTTCCGTTTCTCGCGCATCTGGAAGCGATAAAAGTCCTCCAATGCTGTGGCTTTCTCCTTGTGTCTTTCCGCCGATTCCTTGGCTTCGTCGACCCGTGCACTACCTCTTGATCCTCGTGTGACAGTAATAAAGCCATCGTCGTCGGGGACTGCGCGTTTGCGTGCGTTTTCGCGAGACCGCGACTCCTCAAGCTGGGCGTAGGCAGTCATGTATGCGTTGACTGAGCGCAGAAGGTCCTTGCGCGAGGGGTATTGTAGTGATTTGTGGTGTTCGTATCTCGGCAGCCCGAGGCGCGGCACCTCGTTGAACCCGGCGTCTTCCATGTCTTCCCACGCGATCGGCGTGCCCGCCTTTGCGGCTCGTTGGGCACTTTTGAGCGTGAGTTCCATACTAGGTTTGTCCACAAAAACAACAATCGCAGACGCGCCACTCTTTTGGATTTCGCTGTCGAACACGCGGGGGAGGGAGTACGTGTCCAGTCCAGCCTCGATTTCTTCAGCAGTCATTCTTTTGCGCTTCCGACTTGATTTCGTGGCGGAGGCGGGTTGTCTGCCTGGAGCATTCTCGGAAAAGTAGACTTTCTGTATACGTCCACCTTGAAGCTGCGTCGTGAATAGATGTCTCAGGGACTTTTCGGTAGCGCACACGGGCACGTTGACCAAGAACAAAGATCTGGGTGCGTCTTCGTCGGGGACTTTGGGGTCGTGAGGTTTCAGGTAGAGGTAGTGAGTGGCTGTTCGGGGGAAAGATGCTGTTCTAGGCAATTCCAAAGGCAGAGCGACGCAGCCGCCTACCTCGCGGGGAGCCCTTCCCATAGTGAATGTATTGCCTTTGTGGACTAAACAATGCTGCCTCGAACTTTTTTAATGAGAAAACTGCGCAGTGTGGGGTTGGTGGCACAGCCTTGAATGACAGCGTCTGACGGTCATATGGAGCCATTGTGTCACAACAAGGCTGATCTTGCCAAGGCTATGTAGCTCCACTGCTCCAGACTCACTACCTCGCGTGCTCACTCGCGGGGTGCTCCAATACCCCTCCATCGATGACAAGATCTATCTGCGTCTGTTTACGCTTGCCGTCTCTTACTGATCGCTTGAATCGAGACTAGAACTAGCATGCGCACTGAATGCGTACTCCATACCTGGCCATCGACTAGGCTCTTCACAGTATTGCATACACGCCTTTTGGTTCTACCCGCCAGCGCTCCTTAACTTCATGTCGCTCTCAGAATCGGCGCCAATGAAGGTCATGCTGTCAGTCCAAACCATGTCATCAGCATTGAGCTGACATACCGTCGCCATAGATCTCGGGGCAAAGGGCTTGGCTATTCGATCTTCACTGGAATATCTTCAGCAACCACGAGCCGTGTCTCAGTCTTTGTATGTTACTTGCGCACTAGCTCGCCGTCGATGGTGTCTGTGGCTTCATTGATCGACTGATGTAGGTTGTATCTTTGTGGAACCAGCAGACTTCTATGTTAGGATTCATCCTCGCGGTGCTCTCTGTCCAATTCCTTCTGTTGAATGCGAGATTCCTTCCGCGGCAACACTCCGTGCTATTTTCGCGGAGGTATGGATGGCCATTACATATGACGAATAGCGATGGGACAAAAAGACCCCAAACCTGAGACACAACACCCTCACATGTGAGAAAGAAACGGCTGGAGTAAGTCGCCCTGGCTGCTCAAGACGTCTTTACCTTCGAAGAAGATCGAGGGGACCTTCATGTAAATACACCAGCGTGCGAACTGGCTCTGAATGGCTTATAAAACTTTCCCTCGGGGGCAGGAGAGGGGCCTTGTTCGCTCTTGGATTTTCTACCGAATCAGAACCTAGACATGACTCGATGGTATCTGTTGCGCCAACATAAAATCGTAAATACCTTTGCATTTCCTCTGAGACCTCTTTTCTAACGTTTCTGGTAAAGCCTACTGGGGCAATTGCGACTTCCTGTCAGCGGAACTTGTCGGAAGAACAGAATCATTTCTCGGATGCCAACACTGTAGAGTGCGCCAAAAAGCCTCGGATCCAGTACACGGAGGGAAGTAGGCTTCAAACGATTTGTGTGAGATAGAAATGTCGGGAATAATATGATGGGCAAAACTCACCGAGGCCGGGAATATTCCGATATCAGCATGGCGTATAAATAAAGAACACTAGACGAGTTCCGGTATTGGCTAAGAGTGCCCCACACTCGTACCTATTTCAGTCTATATGGATTTAAGTGCGCCGACTAGCCTGGATAGGTATTAAACAGTGATATAATTGGACAACCTGGCAATGCTACAAGTATAGTAGTCAGCTACAGGTAGGAAGTACTGCCAACGCCACTATACCTAAGTCAGCAATACCGTTCTACGTGGAAGTACCGAGCATCGCATTGACAACCCAAGAGCGACCCGGTGGAGTCCAGTCTCCACAACATCAATATTGTCGCGATAGCTTTCCACATGAACATTGACATCAACATCGGCCTCTGACAGAATTGCTCCGGAAGGAGGGGTAAGGACTCCCCAAGGAACGGGCCAATTCGGGCCAGAATACATAAAAGCTCACGGATTTGAATAAGCATGTCGACAAGGCTGGGGACCCTTGAAGTTCCTGGCAAAAAAATATAGTTGTCTGGGCAGTAGCCATAACTTGAATCATACAGATCTCGATTATTCACTCTCCACATCTACTCTTGCCTCTCATTGAATACTTCTTGCAGGATGGATGACTCCCGTGTACCGCCCCTCCGCATGTACACCATCTTTTCCTGAAATAGTCGAACTCTACCACACTCCACCTCTCTGTGGTGTGGCCATAGAGTGGTCAGCAATGTCTCACATCCTTTCAAGACAAGCCTGAAGAATCAGTATAAGTCACCTTCATTTCCAGCAACTCTCGTCCCTCATCTTTCGCTCTGTCCACAAAGAATCAAAGACGTTCACTCGTTGCTGTCTCACCCGATACATTCGCTCGTCTTCCGGTAGAATACTACCAATTGTTTTACTTCCCTTGTATACTTGAATCTCTCAGTGAATCTACACAATGTTGGCTGGGTGCTCACTGTTGCTCGCGGTCCTCGCGGGGTCTGCCTTGGGTCTGCCCCATCCGCATGAGCAGAAGAGGGATAACACCGACTATCAAGAGTACAGCACTTCGGCCTATAGCACGGCCTACTCGGAAGACAGCAAAGCTTCCACGTACTCTTCACCGGTATATACCTCCGCTTCCGCATACTCTTCACCAGCATACACGTCGACTTCCACATACTCACCAGCTTATACGTCCGCTTCCTCCTACTCTTCACCGGCGTACACATCCACATCAGCCTATTCATCCGCATATACGAGCACATCGGCATACTCGTCTGCACACACTAGCTCCTCAGCATACTCACCCGTGTACACATCCACGTCAACCTACTCATCTCCAGCGTACACAAGCACTTCGACTTACTCGTCTGCATACACTAGCTCTTCACCTGTGTACACATACAGCTCGTCATACTCCTCTCCAGCGTACACGACCAGCTCAAAATACTCCTCTGAGTACACTTCCAGCTCAAGTTACTCCCCAGCGTATACGAGCACGTCAACATACTCATCCGTATACTCACCTGTGTACACCTCGAGTTCAACATACTCTGCGTACACGAGCAGTTCTTCCTATGTCTCTTATACCAGCTCCTCGACATACTCCCCAGTATACACATCTAGCTCGGTATACTCGTCACCATACGCTTCCAGCTCAGCATACTCGTCGGTGTACACGTCCAGCTCAAAATACTCTTCCTATGTCACTTACTCTAGCTCCTCGACGTACTCGACATACTCTACCTACACCACCCCAGTGTATTCCACGAGCACGTACACATCTCCCTCCAAGTATACCACGTCGACGACGTACACTTCACCAATGTACTCCTCATACACTACTACATCCGTCTACTCCTCATACACTTCACCCGCCTACTCATCGTATACTACTTCCGCCTACTCCTCATACTCTTCGCCTGTCTACTCCTCGTACACCTCATCGGCATACTCTTCATACACTTCACCTGTCTACTCCTCATACACTACGTCCGTGTACTCACCAGTCTACTCTTCGTATGCTACATCCACCTACTCGTCATACAGTGCCCCCGTCTATTCGTCGTACAGCGCTCCCGTGGTCTATTCGACGACTTACTCGACCTGCCCTGCTCCCGAGACTACCACCAGCACAAAGACTGTCTACGCAACAGTGACCGAGACAAGTGCGTCGACATACACCGCAACGTCCGTCTCGACGTACACATACACCGCCACCGTGACGTACACCACCAGCAGCGTGGTCTACTCCTGCACCCCAACCTACAGCAGCTCCAGCTCGAGCTACTACTCGACCCCAACCTACAGCAGCAGCTATGGCCACAGCAGCTCGACCTCCACCTACTACTCGACTCCGAGCTACAGCACGTCGTCAATATACAGTACCTACACGACGCCAGCCTACACGACCACGTATAGCACCTCCAGCTACCCGGTCTACACCTCCTACACCACATCAAGCTACGGTTCTGGCTGGTAATCCACAAACTGTACTTCCCGACAACCGAACTTCTGGACGGGGGAACGTAGTTCCCATCTAAAAAAATCATTAAAAATATATGGCCCCCCGAAAAGAAAGATTATTTGGTATTTGTCTCGATTTTCGTGACGACCAAAACAAAATCCATTCCATAATGTCTAGGCAGGGATGGTCAAGCGTGAAGGCGCTTGACTTCAGAGCCCGCGATGTGGAATAATCAGTGTTCCGAAGGATTGGATGAGCAGGTCGCCCATGCACTACGACAAAGGCAATGACACTCTCTTAATGTTTTCTCTACGATACATAGCTAGCCACGCTCCTTAGCAGCTCAAAAAAATGGGGGGAGAGACCTCCATAGATAGTTGGACTTCGCTAATATAGTTGTCTCAACCACCACAAAGTCTGGCTCGCAGATAATGCTAATGGCTCGTAGTCTCTACTCCTCATCTCCTACCCGGGTCGATGTTGGAATTCTTCTTCCTCGGGCCGGAGGCCGATTCCATGATCAAATACTGTCGGCTTCCCGAAGGAAGATCTGCACTCCATGTCCCATCGATTCTGTTTCGGCAGGTTTCATTCCGCCCATACCGTGCTTCGTATTAAAGCAGCCGCAGCTCGGCGTCGATGTTACAACTTTGAGGGACAACCTTCCAGGGCTTTCCACTACTGCGACTGAGTGTCAGCCCCGCTAAGAAGTCGTTCCGCTCCGAAATGCCGGGATGCCGACTTCCAGGACGCCTCATTGTGGCTCACACCGGGTTCGATCATGGCATGAGATTGGGGACTCACTTCTACTGATGCTGCACTCGTGTGTACCTAGAACGAAAAGGTCTCGGTCATGGTGACGTTGGAAGAGTCTGTACTGAAAAAGGTCGTTGAGCTAAGGGGAGAAGAGATAGAAAGTAGTTTGGACTTCACTCTGTGCCATCAGTACTTACACAGTGTTCCGCCGAATGATCCTATCTGAATAGCGGTAACAAACGCGAAAGAATAATCGTCATCTCTCGCCATCCCTCGTTTCGCGCTCCGCCATTCCTCTTTCCAGAGTGGTCCTTCCACCTCCAGCTAGCTTGTCACTGCAGATTGATTGAAGCACAGCAGCTTGGAGGGCTGCCACCGTTTTGACGGCGATCGGGCCAGGATGTGCCGACAAAGCTGTGCCGGAACTCAGGCGAGGCTCCCACACTGAAGTCGTCTCACTCCTAGAAGCCTCGTCTACCTCGGCCAACATGTAATCACCCAACGAGCAGGTGGTTTTGCTCGTTTATCTTTGAGAAAACAAATTCCTCGTAAACTACACGGTTTTGAGGTGAGGTGCTAGATTCCTCCTTCCACGTCATTTTCAAGTGTTGTTTCTTTTGCAACAAAGGTTCAGGCTTTACTTTCTCCAGCGTCAACAATGGCGAACGCACCTGACAACCAAGCCTACGTGCTTGGAGTGGGCATGACGAAATTCATCAAGCCTCGAGGGCTGCGCGAGTATCCGGAGATGGGCTACGAGGCCGGTGTCAAGGCCATGCTGGATGCGCAGATCAACTATGACGACGTCCAGCACGGGGTGGCCTGTTTCGCGTACGGCGACTCGACGTCGGGTCAGCGCGTGTTCTACCAGTTTGGCATGTCTACCGTCCCCATCGTCAACACGAGCAATGCCTGTGCGACAGGGTCCGTGGGCCTCTATTTGGCCCGGACTCTCGTGAGGAGCGGCAACGTCGACTGCGTCCTGGTGGTGGGGTTTGAGAAGATGCAGCCTGGGAGCCTGAAGAGTGTCTGGGGCGACCGACCCAGTTCCAGCGGACGTTTCGCCGCGAAGATGAGGGAACTAGTCGGCATCACGAAACAGGCGCCGTTGACGGCACAGTATTTCGCCAACGCAGGCCGGGAGTATATGCAAAAGTGAGCCTGCTCTCCGCTCTCTCTCTCTCACTTTTTGATGCTTCGCCGGATGCACTCAATCAATCAGCTTACCAAAGAGACTTCCAGGTACGGCGCCACAGCAGAAGACTTTGCCGAGATTGGCCGCATCTCGCACGAACACTCTCAGCGCAACCCTTATGCGCAGTTCCGCCAGAAGTATTCTCTCCAGGAGGTCCTGGATTCGCCCAACATCTTTGCGCCCCTGACAAAACTCCAATGTAGTCCCACTAGTGATGGCGCCGCCGCAGCCGTGATCGTCTCGCAGAGATTCTTGGATGCCCGACCGCATCTGAAGAGCCAGGCGATCGTGATGGCGGGACAGTCATTCTTGACGGACTCGGAAAAGGCTTTCCAGACAAGTGCCATTGAGCTTGTCGGCTACGATATGACCCAGCGAGCCGCACGGGCCGCCATGAGAGAAGCCGGGATCGGCCCGGACGACGTCAAGGTCTGCGAGGTGCACGACTGCTTCTCCACCAATGAGATGGTGGTCGTGGATGCTCTGGGGCTCTGCGAACCAGGCAAGGCCCACGAGATGGTCCGCCGAGGCGACATCACCTACGGTGGGAAGGTGGTGGTGAACCCGTCAGGCGGCTTGATCTCCAAAGGACACCCTATTGGGGCGACGGGCCTGGCGCAATGCGCGGAATTGACCTGGCAGCTGCGTGGATGGGCCAACAATCGTCTCGTAGACGGGACGTCTGTGGCGCTGCAACATAACCTGGGCCTCGGAGGCGCCGTGGTCATCAACATCTACAGGCGCGCCGATAGCCAGGTCAACCGGAAAGTAAGTAACGAGGAAATCGCACGGACCAGCTGGTTAGGCTATAATCCTGCGGTCGAGGCCCGGGGAATCACAGACCAGGACGCCGACAAGGTCAGGAGCAAGAAACACCGCAACGATTTTGCATTGGGGGACATCCGAGAGAGGCTGGGTGCTCAGGCCCACTTGTAGATACATCGGATCGGACTACTCACACACACACCTCACATCAAAAATTAGAATTGACGATTCTACACCTACCGGAATAACGTGATGAATACCTATAGTTTACTGTGGCTTTGGCGTTGGAATAATCTCGCCACGCCTTCTTGAACGCACGTAGCGACCAAAGTGCCCCGATGGCTCCAGATCCGTCCCGTCACCAGACCTCTCTCGTGGCCGGCCCACGGGCTCTCCATCTCGAACAGGAGCCACTCGTCGGCGCGAAAGTGGCGCGGCTCGTGGAAGAAGACGGTGTGGTCGAGAGTCGCCATCGTTTCCACCCGTTGGTCGTTTCGGGGGGCGTCTCGGTTGTCGTCGCGCTCTTCTTCGGCCAGCCAGTCAAAATACTCCTGCGCGGCCGCTGGGTTTGATCCTGCAGCGGCGGCGGCGGTCTTTGTCCTCGCCAGCATGGGGTGCGGTGACGATAGGCCGGAAAAGCGAGAAGCGTTGTGGACGCGATAGGTGGTGCCGATGAAGTAGTTGTCGCTCATGTAGGCCAACGCCGCGACGTGCGCCCGATGTCCATCTTGCGAGCCGGGACCAACCCCCCTGTCATCGCCGTCAGGAGGGGATGTCTCCCCAATCTTGCCACGGGCTCGCACCCACTGCCGAGCTCGTCGCTCATGGGGTAATAGATCTTTGCTTTCTAGACGAGAGCGCACACAGTCACACGGGCGGTCGTTGCCCGCTTGGCCCGCGGCAGACTGTGCGTGGGCCTCAAGATGGTCAGGGGGCGGAATCTCGTCGTCCGGTAACGACGATGCATGTTCAAGTGACTTGGCCCCAGCCCTCTCCCGAGTAAAACTGGCGGTCGCCGAGGCGACGAGCCTCTGCTTCTGTCTCGCGCAGACGACTCGAGTGCTGAAGTTTGATCCATCGCGAACTCTCTCCACGTGGTAGACGATTGGGACGTCGACAGTCGCGGCATTCAGGAAATGGCAATGTATGCTATGCACGGCAAATGCCGCCGGCACGGTCTCGTAGGCAGCCAGCAATGCCTGGGCGATGATCTGTCCGCCGTAAACCCCTCGAGCCCATGGCGGAAGCGTGAGGGGCGCCTTATTGGTGAAAACCTCTTCTCCGCCACCAGAATTATTCCTTACTCGCGAAAGAGAGAGCTCTCGCTCGATGGGGGACATGGACTGTGATCCTTCCGTAGAGCTTCTCCGTTCGATGGTTGACATGTCACCAGCGAGACAGGGCGAGTATTTTGTGGAACTCAGAATCAAACGAGGCGTATGCCTCTCAAGAAGGTATTTTGAATAGACAACAGGGTCGATTTATGGGGTCGTCATGGGCCACGGCGGCAGCACATTTCATGTGAAGATAGCGACTGCTGATTCCGATGCCGTCAACGATGATTAGAACGAGTCAGAGGCTGCTGATGACTGGAATCAGGGATCCAGTTGGTCTGAACCGCGTCACTAGAATAGCCTGATCACGACGCGAACAGCCTTGTGCATGCGTTACACGAGCCTGCTCAAGCTGTCACGTTTGAGTCAAAGGTCCAATGCTTGTTTCTACATGCCTGAAATCTCGGCCCGAGGAGTGAGCAACTCGAATCCTCGGCAATGCGCACGTGCAGAATCTCGTTAGTCGACGCGAGGCTGAATTTTGCCTTGTTGGTAACATAATATATTATGGATGGGAGTTCTTGACCCGGATTAGACTGACTCTACTCGGTACAACCACTCTACGCGTCACCACGTCCAAGAAATCTTTAAACGGATGGGACAAGTATTACATATCAACTCTCGCGCTCAACACACGGGAACTCCTTCAATAGTCATGACCTTTCATGAGGAGATCACAAACACAATATGAGTGTTTCTCCCGAGTCTCGATCTCATACTCCTGTTCCAGAGGTAAATATTGTTGAGTCGGCGTCAAATTGAACCAGCGCTTGGAGCAGGTCGGCCTCGGCGTCATACTCAGTCCACATATTACCTTGTGGGTCAACGTTGATGGTGTTTTGTAAGTCCGAATCTAGAAATGATGAAGCTTCCGTACGTGATGGCAAAGTCGTTCCAAATCCCTGCCTATTGCTAAGCATAGTAGAACCACTCACGCCAGTGTTTGTGGTATCGGTGGGCGTGCCTCTGAAGTTCTGGAAGGTTGAGTGTAGGTTGTCCGTCGTGACGAGCTGACCTACTGGCTCAATCCCAGGCGGATCGACGGAATTGCTGGTAAGTCTTGTCGGGAAATGAGATTCTCCGGGCTGTGGGGGTGGGAGTCTCGGACTCGCAGGCAACGGATCCATCTTGAACATGGGGATGTGGACGTTGGCTTTCCGGATGACTGTCTCCAGAAAACATACAGCGTGGTCCGCTGAAGCATACATCTCTCGAAGATGTTGGAGGGCTTGCCAGCACTGGTAGAATCTCCCTATCGAAGTATACCGAGCTTCCTCTCGGCAAGAGCGAATGTCGATTAGGTGAATGAGGATGGCTGACACGAGCACCGGAATTGTGGTAGTAGAGGCGTAACGTATCTGTCCCGAGCAGCAGAGATCATACACTATTTCGGTGATTCCGATCGCGGCGTCGGTGACCTTGTTGCCCGACAGCAGGACATTCATTCGATTGTCGGCACCGGCGCTCGCATTCGAGCGCAGTACCCACGGTCGGTGCAAGATTGCCGTCGCCGTGAGGTAAGCCATGTGTATCATGGCCAGATGGAAGTTTAAAACTCTCCGACTTTCGTCGTATAGGGTTCCTTTTCCCTCTTCGACTGATGGACAGCCTTTCTTATAGCGACAGGCGGGATCGAGGTTTTGCAGCCAGTCCTGGAGATTGACATCACATTTGATCATGTCGTTGATTTGCTCGGCAGACTTGCGAGGCATCACCATCATCGTCATGTTCTCCTCCGACGCACCAGCTGGGTTGCCGAGGATCGAATACTGAGTGAAGAGAATATTCCCAATATGAATACAGAGTTTTGTAAGCTCAATACAAGCCATGGAAATGCTTTTCTTGGCCACAGTATCTTCCGTCATGGGCAGCCGTCCAAGGTATCGTAGTATATCGTCTTTGAATGGCACCGTCTCAAAATCGTCCAATGTCAGCATGGGGACATTAAAGTCGCCCGTTCGAATTCGTGTTGGCCGACGCATTCCCAGGGCCATAAGGCGATCTCGTATAAAGCAGGACCACCAGATTCTTTTCCGCAAGCGTTTCACTGCCGGGCCGACGTCCAGGTAGTCAGGGTTTCGGTGCATGCTCAGGACTTGGGCCTGTGACAGCGCGATGCCGGTCCAATACCACGTGTCCTTCTCGTCCTCTGGTGTCTCATACCAGTATGTCATCAGTAACACAGCCTGGAGGATGGTGGTTCGGTCGGTCTCGCAATCAAAATCGTAGAGCAGCCGTACCCTCTCGAAAAAGATCTTCCGCGCCGATCTGCGGCTCTCGTATCCTCTGGCCTGAAGATACTCGAGGTCAACGAACGTGACGCTGACGAACATGACTGCCTGGAACAGAAACAAGCTAACCGAGCCATTCCCATCGCCGCGAACAATCGGTGAAATGAAGGACGACAGTTCCAAAGCTGGCATAAAGGGATAGATATATTGGATGTATTTTCGAAGAAGTTCACGTTGAAGCTGGCGGTCCGGTAGTGTCAGAGCCCCTTTCTTTGTTAGATATTCAAGGCCTTCCGGACTCAGTAGTCTGGAGAGCGGGCGGATATACGACGGCAGTCCCTGAGCTTGCTGATCTGCTGAAAGGGGTGAAGGACCCGTGGAAGTCGCCACGGGACTGGCCGTCGAGCTTCTACGTGAGTTGGCTCTGTTCCCGGTGGGGGATGAGGCTTGTATCGCAGTTTGCGCTCCTCGTGAGCCTGGAATTCAAGTAAGTAAGGGCTGTTTAGTCCTTTTCATCTTCAGTGACAAAGAAGGGGGATTTAGCAGTCGTGGAACTTGAGAAAGATGAGATAAAGGAGGTGAAGCGTACCTTCAAAGGTAAGTGCCACCGGAAAATCAGCGTTGGCATCCGCGTCAATGTCAGCATCAGCGTCAGCATCAGTGCCATTCACTCTGGTAGTTGTTTCAACCGTTTCGCTTGATGGACGAACACGGGTGCGAGTCGACTCTCTGAGAAGACACATCACGTTGTCCAGGCGGCAATTTGTGCAAGGCGGCCCATCCCTCAGCACATCGCAGCGGACTTTCCGACTGCGGCAAGAGAGGCAGGCTCTGGCGGCACGTCGCTTTCCGCCGGCGTCGGGCGGTACCTCGTTTGCTTTTCTCTTGTTAATTTCATGGCGCTGATGTTCACGTTCAACGCTCGGCGACGACATAATGGAAAGGAGGAGCAAGAGTTAAGTGACACACGCGAGGCGAGTACGTCTCCTCAGTAGAAGTAAAACAGCAAGCCCCGATCTAGCCGCCTATACAGAAGCTGAAGCAAAGATGCTGCAGGAGACCATGGCAAATGGTTGAGCGAGAGGAGCGAAGCATACAGACCCTCTCCAGGAGGAAGCGGGCAAGCGGGGAAGCTTGGGGGGTCCGGGGTGCGTGGGGGACTCCATGCTCCAGGCTCCACAATCCCACGCAAAAAGTGGCTGTTCTATTCGGTATAACTACCGTTTACCTCGTACTTGTACGAAGCATTATTGCGCTGCACAGAATTATGCATGCTTAGAGTAACAATACATCGGAGATGCGAACACTGTCCTCGGCCCGCTCTTGAGGACACTTCATTCCACCTCGGCTGCTATCAAACTGAGACGTTGTGTTGGAAGTGTAGACGACCGGGAGCAGTAGCTGGGGTATACAGAACCTGTTATGTTGTCAGTGTGTCCCCAAGTTCGTTGTTGGTGTCTTTCGTATTGACATAAGCTTCCCAAGCTTCTGAACCACATTGTCCCCAGCCCCGGCCCGAGGTGTGCCATGGCAAGGCTTAACACAATGTCATCCTGCTCTGTCGCAATTGCAGCTGCGAATCTGAGGAGTCTTCTGATGATGTACAATTTTGGGATACTACTGTGAGTCTTGGAGGAAACCTTGATGGAATTCAAGTTCGGTGGTGCCTTGCACGACTTGACCAAAACCACCTACTACACAGTGAGCCTCGCATGCTGCTGAGCGGTGTGCCATTCTTCTGGCCATGTCGCGTGAGTGACCCTACTTTCTGCGCGGGGAGTCATCTAACCGGACAAAGTCTCCAGTATGGCGGCAGTCGTTGCTGGCGGTCTCGCCGCAGCAGCCTATCTCGATGCTCGCTACTTGATCAGGCATGACTTATCATCCGATTCTCCAACAAGGGCTAGACAAAGATCACTTGACTTCATCTCCAAAAGGTTTCAGCAGGGAAAGCCGCTAGTCTATCACCTCATTGAAGACCACGCCCTTGGACCCAACGCAGACAATCTCTTTCTCATCTTCGAAAACAGGGCTTTTTCTTACAAGCAGTTCTTTCACGACATCCAGCGCGTGGCCAACTGGCTGATGAAGGATCTTGGCATCAAACGGCATGAGATTGTGGCGCTTGATGGCGAGAATAGCCCGGAATATCTTTTGATATGGTTTGGGCTCGAGGCGATTGGAGCCTGTCCGTCGTTCATCAACTACAATCTGACTGCCGCAGCCCTTGTCCACTGTGTCAGGCTGTGCGATGCAAGATTTCTTTTGGCTGCGCGTGCCCAGCAGAAACTAGTGCAGCCGTGTGAAGAAGAGTTGGGTTCTCACGGCACGCAAACTCTCTACTACGATATCGAATTCATCGCCTCTCTTCAAGAGACTACTGCGATCCCCAATGAGAGATGGCAAGGCCTGAAACCCGAGGACCTTTCTTCATTGATCTACACATCCGGAACGACGGGTATGCCGAAAGGGACTATTAAACAACGCGGCCGCGAGATCAACGTTGCCAGGACTATCGCGCAGTACCTGAAACTGGAACCAAGGAACAGAATGTACACAGCTCTGCCACTTTATCACGGAGCAGCCCATGGGTTGTGCGTCACCCCTTCCATCTTCGCTGGTTCGACAGTAGTGTTGAGTCGAAAGTTCAGCCATAAAACATTCTGGCCAGAGGTGCGAAAGTCCAAAGCCGACACCATCCAGTACGTTGGAGAAGTATGCCGATACCTCATCAACGCTCCGGCAAGCCCTTTAGACAAGCAACACTGTGTAACCAGGGCGTGGGGTAACGGTATGCGACCGGGTGTCTGGGAGCCTTTTCGTCAACGCTTCGGTATTGAAACAATAAACGAATTGTACGCCTCAACAGACAGCTTAGGCCTATGTTTTAATGCTAATAGAGGCGAATTTGGTCGAAACGCCGTTGGAATTCGGGGTTTGTGCTGGCGTTGGATGAACAACGATGCCGAAAAGCGTGTCAAGATCGATGTTACTACCGAAGAACTCCTGCGGGACAAGAATGGATTCGCCATTGAGTGTAAGACTGGCGAGGCCGGCGAGGCAATCCACCGACTCGACCCTGCCAATCCGGGGGCAGCATTTCCTGGTTATTATAAAAATCCACAAGCGACGGAAAAGAAGATGATCAAAGATGTCTTCAAGAGAGGCGATCTATGGCTCAGGTCCGGAGACCTCATGCGTCAAGATTCCGAGGGTCGTCTTTACTTCGTCGACCGTCTGGGCGACACTTTCCGCTGGAAGAGCGAGAACGTCAGTACCAACGAAGTTGGCGATGTCCTCGGCGCCTTCGACCAAGTTGCCGAGATAAGCGTCTACGGCATCCAAGTTCCCAACGCTGATGGCAGAGCCGGGTGTGCCGCTATCCTCCCTGCGGCTGGGGTGTCTGTGTCCAATTTCGATTTCGCGGGCCTGACCAAGCATGCCATCTCAGCGCTTCCTCGCTATGCGGTGCCTCTCTTTCTTCGCTTTGTCTCGCAACTAGACTACACGGGCACTATGAAAGTCCAAAAAGGCAGACTTCGTGCCGAAGGCGTGGATCCCGACAAAGTCAGCCACCCCGACCGCCAGTCAGCAGACGTCATATATTGGCTCCCGCCGGGTGCGACTCAGTATATACCGTTTACGCAGGAAAATTGGAGGAGTTTGAAAGCCGGGCGCGTGCGACTGTAATATCACTTCCTACCTCTGAGAGAGTGGTGTAAGAAAGCCACTCGCCGAGACCACCGTAGGATCTGAACAGTCACACATATGAGAATGATAACATCATCTTCCTCCCCATATGGCTGCTCCACTATGACTATAAGAACAGAACAGTGCGGTTGAGTCCGGTTGGATAGACGTAAGAGTTGAATAGGACCCGATGCTTCGAGTTCCCCACCCCTCAGTCTTCAAGGTTTTGGGCTTTAACCATTTACGGTGCCCTTTAATAACGATCCTCTCGGGGGGGTTTCTCTCGGCTGTAAGGAGTCCGAGAAACATGCACAGGCGAGACACACAATACCCCAGGAAATATCAGGTGTCTTCTAGGGCGCGGGGTTGGTAGGTGTACGGTGGTTCCGAGTGTATGGGGAGCACCCGAGGGCAGGTCCGAGGGCCAGGGTCGCCGTCGATACTGTATTGCTCTATTTCTTACTTGGTGCTGCCTTGACTATCAACGGATACCCCTCGGACCGTGGCCCAAAGTGAATGGATACAACAGACTCGTTGTACTAATATGCTCCTCCCAGACCATGAATTGGAAATTGAACCTTCCAGAGCTCGTCTTTCTCTGTGCAAAGTCTGAATTCAACGTCTATTATCATGACCGCCGAAATGCATTCTCCACCTGCGACCAGGGACAAGTTAAATGTCTATACTTTGATCTTGATCTGTTATCTCGGACTTGGTTCAATGAGCTTTGGCTATGCAGCCTCCGTCATTGGAACGTTGCTAGGTAAGTCACTGTCCGACACTTTCGCCATCAGGGGGGAAGTCACTAATCCAAAACCAGGGCAACCATCTTTTCTGGAGTACTTCAACCTCGAAACATCGTCCAATGGAACCACTCTGATCTCGACCATGAACGGTGTCTTTCAGACTGGGGGCTTTCTAGGAGTGTTGTGCTTGCCATGGGTCGCCGACAAATACGGCAGGAAATGGTCGCTCGCAGTGGTAAGCGGCACTGCAGTTCGGACATCTCGTTTGTCGGCTCACGTCGCAACAGCCTGCTTTACTGATTATCGTGTCCGGTGCAATCATGGCAGGGAGCACCAATGTGGCAGAGTTCATTGTCTTCCGCTTCTTTTCGGGCGCCGGCGCCTATATGTTCGTTGCGGCTCCTCCGGTACGTCCTTTGACCTCTATGTTCACTACCCCTGGGAACACCTTGCTAAGAATCTCTGTCGTAGCTGATGATGAGTGAACTCGTACCGGCCAATCTTCGTGGTGGATTGGTTGAGTTCCATGGGGTTTTCTACGTCTTCGGGTACTTGACAGCAACATGGATTGGATTTGGCTGTTTCTTTTGGCCTAATAACGGCCACAACTGGCGCCTGCCGGTAGCTCTACAATGTTTATGGCCGTCATTACTCCTTTCAGGGCTTTTTGTCTGTCCGGAAAGCCCCAGGTAGCCAGCCTATCTTCGTTAACGCTGTATTCTCACTGACTCCAACAGGTGGCTTGTCATGCGAGGCCGCGACGAGCAAGCGAGACAAGTTCTCACCAAGATACATTCTCATTCAGGAGTCGGTCACGATCGGGCGAACCTTGAGTTGTATCAGATCCAGAAACAAGTGGCTATTGATCGCTCCCTGCCATCTAGCTGGTACCAGATGTTCAAAAGACCATCTTACCGTAAGCGTGCGTTTCTTGGACTCGCAACGACGGGGATGGTGCAGTTTTCCGGAGTGCTGGTTATCAACAGTGCGTTCCTTCCACAATATGATTGCCGGTTTCTAATATTGGCACAGACTACGGGCCGGTGATTTACAGGCTGCTGGGCTACAGTCCCATGAAACAACTCCTCTTCCCGTCTCTCTGGCTCACCGTCGGGTTCGTGTGCTTCTTCTTTGGTCCGATTCTGATTGACAAAATTCCCCGGAATTGGATGCTGGGTATCGGCATTCTTGGAACCTCGACTATGCTGAGCATCATCGCGGCGCTCCTCGCCAATTTCGTGCCTTCCACCAACACTGCCGCATTAAAAGCCACGGTAGCTATGTTTTTCCTCTATCAGCCATTCGTCAACATCGGCCTCGATGGTATGAATGTCCTTCTTAACTGCGGTTACGACACTGATATCTTTCTAGGAACACAATTCGTGTACTTGGGGGAGGTCTTCCCCAATCACCTTCGCGCCAAAGGAGTCTGTCTCGGCACGTCTATGATAGCGTTCATGAATATAATATGGCTTCAATCGGCCCCCGAAGCTTTGAAGTAAGTTTGTCCCTCTTCCGGTAAGGCTTGGGGGATCTCTAACGAATACAATTGTACAGAAATATACAGTGGAAATATCTCCTCTGCTTCATCATTCCGGGTTTTCTTTCCGGGTTCTGTGTTGTTATGTTCTGGCCAGACACTCGGGATACGCCCTTGGAAGAGATCGGCGCCATCTTCAGTGACGGCGACGAGATTGCGGTATACCAGTACCAGCTTGAGATCGACCCCACGACACACACGATCCATGACCACACCGAACGGCCTGACGCAGAGATATCTGTAGCAGATGTCAAACAAGAGTGAGGAAAGTAAGGAGATGAAGAAGTTGATATGTCAAGTCAATCTTGTGTCAAGTGAAATAGTGTCGATAATGAACCCCCTATTTCACCCCTGAGATTTCTATGGTACCTCAGATGATGCAAGTTCACTGGATATCTAGGGCCACAGCCATCATAATCTGTGTCATGTTGCCATCTGGGTTTCCTCAGGAGCATGGCCTGACACAAGATGCAGTGTTGATAGCAGTCAATCCCTTGATCCATTCCGAAGTCTATCCTAATTAGGTTAAGCTACTACTACCTCGGGCTTAGCTTTGTTCTTTTTCTCAAGTTATTGGACGAATGCCTTTGTCTACCCTTAAACAGTATAGTTTCAACTTCCTACACTACCTAGTACATTTGGAGGGCCGGCGCTTTTCAACCAATTAGGTTAGATGGTTTCCATCAAGAATTGATTCCGGGTGGATTCCGTCGAAGGCGCGTGCGGGGGTGGGGGATGGGGTAGGGGGAGTTTGAATTCCTGCTCCAAGACTCGACTCTTAGCAACCCTCCCCGGCCGATGCTTGATGACGACGGTTCTATGGGAGATGCTAGAGAAAGGTACATCGAAACCGTCCTGCATCTGCATGCAAAGTCCGACAGAAATGATGCGGCACAAATGCGAAACGCGAACCACGCACAAGGCTTAATTGACAAAAGTCCTACGAATATCGAAGTGGACGGAGCAGTCGACTCTACCAACTGGGAAATGTCGGATCTCTAGAGGGGCAATGCTTTGAGATCAATTCCGATCGGCCCGAAGCTCGCGCTCGCGATGGTGCCGCTGTGATTCATGAGCGTCCCCGGATTTAATGGATCCCATTCATGATGCTGAGATGAAATGACGTGCGGTCCGAGGGCCGAGGGTCCCTTCCCCAATTTCATTTATGCGATCGCTAGAAGGATGAGCGTGAATCTCTGGTGTCCTGCAGGCACGTGTTGAGGTAGATGTCAAACGGCTGAGAAGAGATGGTTCGCATGCTTGCTCAAGCACTTACCCTTCGTATCGGGCAGTGGGGGCTGTGACTTGCGGCACCAAGGTCAGATAGAAGCACTCTCACTCTTCAGATGGTATTACCACCACATGTTCTTGAGAATACAGGACACAGCTCTCACTGGATATATGAACTGACTGTTCTGACATACTAACGCCAGCCCGGCCTTGTAAAGTCGCAAAACAAACCCACAAGTCCATAACAGAGGCCCTTGAGCGTTCGGCCCAAGGCTGTGTTGCCTCGGAGATTTCAATTTGCTCTCGCTTGAGGTACGGAACAGGACCCCTCATTCTCAGGAGCCTCGCTCCAACACCATATTATCGACCTAGTGTCGCTCCTCCAAAGCTCCCTCAAAAGCCTTGTGGGGGGTGGGTTGAGCGATTGTGCCATCACTTCATGTAATCATCTGATGCACATTCAGGATGTTGTTCAGGTCCAGATATCCCGACATTGAGTGTATGCCTAAACAACACAACCCCTCCCGTACTTCGCATTGCTAATTCCGTCCTGGGCAAGAGCAGGTCCGAATGATGTGACGATATGGGAATGGGCTTTCGAGGACGCGAGGTACTCGCCGTTGTTTAACTTTCCACCCAACGAGATTGGAGGCTTCACCAATGCAGTCACCCAAGAGCGGCTGGACTACTTCCAAGTCAAGGAGCATGCTACTCATCTATCCACGGCCTTGGTGAAACGATATGGCTTGCAGGTAGAAGATACGGTATCATTGTTCAGCCCGAACACGACATGGTACCCTGTCGCTTTGTTCTCCATCTTGAGAGCAGGTATGTTGTGGAACGACCCCCACTGTCTCATCTTTGACGCTTTGCAATCCCTCAACGTTTGATGTAGCTTGACTGAAGGGAGATTGACGCAAGGTATCAGGTGGAAGAGTCAACGGCGCCTCTCCTGCATATGGCCCGGACGAGATGGCCCATGCCCTCAAAACGGCACAAACAAAGTATATCATGACTGTGCCCAACTCCATCAATGTGGCCCTTGCAGCGGCAAAGAAAGCGGGAATTCCCAATGATCGCATTTTCTTGTTAGAGGGGGAGCTCGAGGGCTACACGACGATGAAGCAACTGTTGGAAATCGGCAAGAGCTACGGCAATGGCCAGACGCCTACATATCGCATCCCAGCGGGCAGCACCAACGATGTGTGCGGGTTCCTGACCTTTAGTAGTGGAACAACTGGGCTACCAAAAGCTGTGAGTGAGGGCCGGTCATCACCAATGTCTACTCAGAGGCCTCGAATGAGCGACTGACTGTATGAATGACAGGTGATGCTGTCACATAAGAATATGATTGCTCAATGCCAACAGCTGAAGGACGTTGCGGGACCGCAGAAGAGACGGTTTCTAGCATGCCTCCCCTTGTTTCACAGTAAGCCATGCCTACAGCAGGGAAATTTGTGACAAGTGCTAAACCGATCGACCAGTCAGTGGGCTCATGCGTTTCCTTCACTGGCCTATCGCCGGCAACGACGAATGCATCATGCTCCCACAATTCACTATGGAAGCGTTCCTAGGTGCCATTGTCAAATACCAGATCACAGATCTGACCCTGGTCCCGTCCATTGTCATCCGACTAGTACGCGACCCTATCGTTGATGGTTACGATCTCACTTGTGTCAGGACAATCGCATCTGGTGCAGCTCCTCTTGGGCAGGAGGTCATCCGCCAACTTGAACAGAAGATGCCGTGGACCGGATTCCGGCAAAGTTACGGTATGACAGAGTCGTGCTGCTGTCTGACGACCCACCCACCTGAATTCTACAGCTACAAATATGCCAACAGCGGGGGTGTGCTCCTTGGCTCGACGGCAGTGAAGATTCTCGACGTGGTTACAGGTGAAGAGCGAGGGCCAAACGAGATAGGCGAGATTCTTGCCAGTGGTCCCCAGATTGCAATGGGGTATCTCGCAAACCCGAAGGAAACAGCCGAGACGTTTGGAGCGGACGGCTTCCTGCGCACGGGTGACATTGGCAGTATCGATGACGAAGGCTTTATCCACATTGTTGATCGAATCAAGGAGATGATCAAGGTCAAAGGTCAACAGGTCGCCCCGGCAGAGCTGGAGAATCTCCTGCTGGGACACCCTGCTGTGGACGATTGTGCCGTACTGGGAATACCTGACGACTATAGTGCCGAACGACCAAAGGCATACATTGTGTTGAAGCCCACTGTGAAGCCGAGCGACGAGGTGGGCAGGGAGCTGATACAATATGTGAAAGATAGGCGAGTGCGCTATAAATGGATCAAGGAGGTTGAGTTCATTGCAGAAATACCAAAGAGCCCCAGTAGCAAGATCTTGAGGAGGGTTTTGCGGGATAAAGAGAAGCGAGGGGAGAAGGGCCAGATTGTCAAGGATATCTCGGACCGTGCGAGGCTTTGATACCAGTTCTTTCATCAATGCTAGGGAGGCTGTTGCAATTTCGATCCATTCTTTGTTCTGGGAGCCTAACATGATGGTCTGCGGAATAGAAGTACAAAGTCCCCCAGAGTGATATCTACGAAGAATTAATTTCGAATCCATTTTTGGCCCGTTGAATTTTCTGTTCTGTCGGAATCATACACTCCTCGAATCCAGCTGGTCATTCTGCGGACACACTGGTAGGCCGAGGGGTGGTGATTCAGAACGGGGTATTAATTTGCCCTAACCACAATACCCTTGAAGGGGTTGCCTCGTCCCTCGGGTTCGGCACTCACAATCGTCGTGCCAAAAGAGGCGAGAAACCACATATGGGTAACGTCAAGATCCTTCGAGCCTCCGTCAAGGACACCACCAATACTGCCCTTCATGTGTGGAATAAATTAACGGACCCCGTGACGTCGGAATTTGCTTTTCCTGGTTGTGTACTGTGAGCTCTGCTTCTCACTCCCAACACTCGGTATCAACATGGTAGATTTACGGCTTGACAATCACGTTGCCATCATCACGGGTGCTGGCAGCGGCTTGGGCAAGGGACATGCTCTCTATCTTGCTTCGAGAGGTGCTAGCGTTCTCGTTAACGATATCTCCAGAAAAGTACGGCATCGTGTCTCCACCCTTCACAAGTCCATGAGTTAACGCTGCGGTAGGACGCCGATGAGGTGGTCGGACAGATAGTCAGTGCTGGAGGAAGATCCGCCGCCAACTACGACAGCGTGCTCAACGGCGATGCCATCGTTCAGGATGCCATTCAAAAACTTGGAAGGCTGGACATCTTGGTCAACAGTGCAAGTATCTTTCGAGACGCGAGCTTCGAAAACATGACAGACAAGGACTGGGACGACATTGACGCCGTTCTTTCGAAAGGAAGTTCCCCCTTCAGTCCCCGCAAATACAATGTGCCAGATGGGGTGCCGGATTAACATTAGACTCCAGGCGTCTTCAAATGCACCCAGGCCGCCTGGAAGATATTCCGCAAACAGAAATACGGAAGGATCATAATGACATCCTCTACAGCAGGGCTTTTTGGCAACTCTGGGCAATGCAACTACTCGGCGGCCACGTTGGGCGCTGTTGGATTGACACAGACGTTGGCCAGGGAAGGCCTCAAGTACAACATCCTTGTGAACGCCATCGCACCTGTCACTGCGGCGGACATGACGGCTACAACCACTTCCGCCGAGCTGCTACAATACCTGAGACCTGAACATGTTTCTCCTCTGGTTGGGCTGCTCGTTCATCCCATCAACAGGGAATCCGGCTCGGTCTTTGAAGTCTTCGCTGGCCATATTTCCAAGTTTCGATGGGAGCGATCACCAGGTGCTGTACTGAAATGTGAGTTGAGATACGAGAAAACCTATCTAGATTCAAGATCGCGCAATTGTCACAAGCACGAGCTTCAGATATTCAAAGCGACTGATATTCACATTTCCAGGCGACGAGACCTTCACGCCCGGCGCGATATTGAAGCGTTGGGCAGGCATCAATGACTTTTCGAAGCCTGATCATCCCACCAAAACAGCTGACATGGTGGCCAACCTTGAAGCCACGCAAAAACAAGATAGAAACGATCCAGGGGAGGACGTTAGATATGATGGCAAAGTTGCAGTCATCACTGGTGGCGGTGCTGGGTAAAGCTCCCTTTCAACATGTGTCCCAGGCTGAGCTGTTTCTAACATCTACAGTCTCGGACGTGCCTACTGTATCGAATTCGCAAAACGAGGTGCTGCTGTTGTAGTCAACGACCTTGTGAACCCACACTCTGTGGTGGAAGAAATCCGTGCCTTTGGAGGGAGGGCGGTCGGAAACAGTTCTTCGGTTGAGGATGGGGCTTCAGTCATCAAAACAGGTAAACCTCACTGCGCCCTGTCCACAGTTTCGTCCCTTGGAGGAGTTCTCAGCGGAACAGCAGAAGCTTACTAGCGCCTACACACACTTTCTTTTAAGAAGCTGTGCTAATTGGAAGACGTGTTACAGCCATCGACAACTTTGGTCGAGTCGATATTCTGGTCAACAATGCCGGAATACTGCGAGACAAGGCTTTTATCAATATGACGGAGAAACAATGGGATGACATTTTCAACGTCCATCTGCGTGGCACCTACGTCTGCACGAAAGCGGCCTATCCTTATATGATGAAACAGAAATACGGACGAATTGTCAACACATCCAGCACCAGTGGGGTATACGGAAACTACGGCCAGGCCAACTATGCGACAGCGGTGAGTCACCTGCCTCGTACCTATCACAATGCTTCGAACTATTGATGACGATCTAGAAAATGGCTATACTGGGATTTTCGCGAGCTCTCGCTGAAGAGGGAGATAAATACAACATCTACGTCAACACCATCGGTCCCTCGGCTGGAACGCAGCTTACTCGCACCGTCCTGAGCGAAGAACTCGTCCACGCACGCAAACCCGAGTTTGTGGCACCGTTGGTTCTAGCGTTATGTTCCGACAAGGTGCCTGACCGACCAACCGGAGGCCTCTATGAAGTGGGCTGTGGCTGGCAAGGTCGTACGCGATGGCAGCGTTCTGGGGGATACACGTTCGACCTCGACATATTTACTCCGGAAAACATTCGAGATCATTGGGACAAGATCACCAACTTCGCAGACAAACGCGCCGATAGCCCCCGAAACCCTCGGCGATGAGCAGAAGCACATCATTGGTATCGTTCGGCGGCTGATGAGTCGCCAGTCGTCAACCTCGATCAACGGTAACTCATATCCGGCTGCCCCTGTAGCCAAACTCTGATATTTTTGTTCCTGGACCCATGAGGTTCCAACGGTTGAATGCGAGGGATTTGCATAGACTATCGCTGCAGCTACGGAATGACAAAACTCCCTTTCATTTCAGATCCAGTTCCCTGTCTATAGGAACTAGGGCTCTGAAGCTCTCCTCTGGCCGTGTGTCAAAGAGTGTCCCATGAAGCCTTTTAGTTTTGCTTGCCATTTTCCATTCAACGTTCAACCCTCGACTGCTTAGTGCTCAACCAGGTGGGGACTTGTTCCTAGCTTGATACTTTGGACGATTAATAGGGCCGTACTGGTACCTCTATCAAGCCAAAGTATCTACGTGAGAGATGACGTCGAACTTGCATACCTAGGTAAGTGGAAGAGTGATTAGTTACGGGAGGTGCCTTACTCGATTGGGTTTCCCGAGGAGCTCCCACGCCAGGCACGAGGCTAGCTACAAGGGGGTCTCGATAGGGCAGCTAATGCAGTAGCTGTCGCAGTCAACACAGAGAATGTCTGGACCTCGGCCGGCTATGCACCAAGCACTTCTGGTCAAGATTACGGCCCGGCTGGGCGCATTGCGGGGTCAGTATTATATATATCCTATGGTCTGGTTCAAAAGACAGGCATTGGTTATCGGTCTCTTGCTCCATCATCTCCGTCAATTTGTCAAACGACTGTCGCCGAGTCACATTTGGTAAACAACGGGAAAGACCTGGGCGAAAAGGCATGGCCACCGAACGAGCGATTCCCATACCATTCGCAGAACCTCCCTGGCTCCTCGGCCAGCCATCCCCGTACTACAACGAATCACACCGGGCCTGGCAGAAGTCATGTCGAGCATTTATCGACGAACACTTGTCTTCCCACGCCCGGGAATGGGAAACCGAGGGCGACGTCCCGGACCACGTCTTCAAGACGTTCTCGAAGCACAACATGCTGATCCCGAATCTGCCGGCACCCCTGCCGGTCAAATTGCTGAAAAGCATAGGCATCACGGAATTGTTGGGCGGGTTGAAGGTCGAGGATTTCGACCACGTCCACTTCTCCATCTACATCAGTGAAATGAGACGAGCGGGACTCGGGGGCCCGCCCTCCTCCTTGTCGACCGGCATGGCCTACGGCGTGCCTCCGATCATCACCTACGGCAGCCCGCAGCTCCAAGAAAGGTTCCTTCCCGAGTTGCTGCGGGGGGACAAGCGAATATGCATCGGTATAACCGAGCCAGATGCCGGGAGCGACGTCGCGAATATTTCGACTACGGCCAAGAAGACGGCTGATGGCAAGTTTTACATTGTGAATGGTACCAAGAAGTGGTGAGTTCGCGACGTGACGTTCAACACCCAACGAAGCTTTGTTACTGATCAGGAGAATCTGTCAACAATCAGGATCACCAATGGGATTTGGTCGCATTACTGCACAATGGCCGTTCGAACTGGAGGTCCCGGAGCCAGCGGACTTTCTCTTCTCGTTGTGCCGCTTCTAAACCACGAGGGCGTCTCCCTTCGCCGGATCAAGACCAGCGGAAACACGACAAGTGGTACTACTTACATCGAGCTTGATGACGTCAAGGTTCCCGTTGAGAATCTCATTGGAAAGGTATGTTGCCTCTAGATGGCTTCCATTCACCCATTTGCGTTGAAATGTCCGAGCCTCCAAGTACTCCCATTGACCTTTGAAACGTTGGTGTCACGCGGTATAGGAAGGGGCAGGGATGAAGATGATCACCAACAACTTCAATCACGAGAGACTGGCAATCGTTGTCGGCATCACTCGTATCTCTCGCGTCGCGCTCTCCGCCGCCTTCGAATATGTGATGAAGCGCGAGGCCTTCGGAAAGCCGCTCATTGAGCAGCCCGTGGTTCGAAATCGACTAGCCAGATGCGGGGCGGAGCTTGAGTCTCTGTCTGCCTGGGTCGAGCAATTCGTGTATTCACTGTCGAAGATGAAGAAGGAAGATGCGGATACCCAACTGGGCGGCTTGATTGCCCTCGCCAAAGCCAAGGCGGGCTTGGTGCTGGATGAATGTTCACGCTGCGCAGTACTTCTCTTTGGAGGGAACGGCTTCACGAGGACGGGCCAAGGCGAACTGGTCGAGAAAATCTACCGCGAAATCCCAACCGCCCGGATACCTGGGGGCTCTGAGGATGTCATGTTTGACCTGGCCGTCCGACAGCTGCTCAAGAACTACCGTGCACAGACAAAAGCCCTGGAGGCGGCGAGATCTCCCAGGCTTTAAGACCTTGGAGGGGAGAAAGTGTAGTAGAGAAGGTTCAAGAGTGGTGTTGCTGCGGAAGGGGGGCCTTCAAGAAGAGATTCAAAGCATTTAGGTCCCGGCGCCGGCGGTTATATCTGGGTATCACATAGTGGTGTGGTAGTCGCTGCTCTAGTGCCCAATGGAGTCACTCAGACTTCCTCAGGGCATTGCGGATATGGATAGTTCTCGCTCCGGCCATGCTCAGGGCAGTTGTAGAAGAGACTGACCACTGATTCTGACCTCCGAGTACAAAAAATAATAGTGGGAAGCGCGGCCCGTGGTTTCCAACTAAGCGGTGCGATGGGAGCCGGGGGTGAGCATAGGGCGGCATCATCCTCGTCCGAAAGTGGGGCGAGCTAGGTAGCGAATTCCCTTCGTTTTGGCATCTTAAACTCCGAGACTTTGTTGATTTCGAAGCTCTCGATTCGGCTCTCTATCCAGTCTTATAAGGACACCATGAGGGCAAATATGCTAAGAGTGTCTTCGTCTGTCGTTCGCGGTTTGGAAGCCCATCCTTCGGTCGGTCGGCTCGCGACGCCAACAAAACGCGCGATCTCCTCAACCAGCACATTGTCCGCCACTGCACTCCCAATCACTGCAACCGGACCACCCCCCAGTGCTCCCGTTCCTACGTCTCCCCAATATGGCGACCGGATCCAAGAACGAAGACGGAAAGCCGAGCTGCTCAAGCAAGGAAAAGAACTTCGGGCCGCGAGCCAGCCGGGCGGGAAGACAAGCCCTTTGAGGAAAAGGTTTTGGAAAGATGTTCATGTCAAAGAAATCCCACAAGGGTATCAAGTGTATTTGGACCAGAGACCCGTGCGGACTCCCAGCAAATCAATCCTCACAGTCCCGCGCTCCAAGCCGCACCTGGCCCATGCCATCGCCATTGAATGGGATCTGCTCGAATCGGCGCAGCAGGCATTGAAAAACCACAACATCCCTATGACCTCAATATCGGCTCGAGCGCAGGATATTATCGAGACAGAGGCGCGGGGTGATGGCAAGATCCGAAAAGACATCATTACAGTCATGATGCGTTACCTAGACACGGACACATTACTGTGTTGGGCACCAGCGAACACTTCGGCATCGCAGTTGGAAATGCAAACCGAACGGACAGAATCACTACGTGAGGTTCAGATTCGGACAGCCAAACCCATAATCAGTTATCTAAGCACGTCCGTGTGGCCTGGTGTTGACATCAAACCCGTACTGGATGAAAACAGCATCATGCCTACGCAGCAGGATGAAACGACGAGAAGCGTGATCCGTGGGTGGATTGCTGGCCTTCCTGCATATGAGCTTGCAGCTCTTGAGCGTGCAGTATTGGCTACGAAGAGTCTACTTGTTGGTACAAGACTGTTGATTGAGTGGAGTGAGGAGTTCCGGGATATGCAAGAAAGTGGGAGTCAGAAGCGATTTGGCATTGAGGAGGCGGCCGAGGCCTCGAGCCTCGAGGTAAGATGGCAGACCAGGATGTGGGGGGAAGTCGAAGATACCCACGACGTGGATAACGAGGATATCAGACGCCAGCTAGGAAGTGCCATTCTGCTTGTGAGTGGAAGCCGATAGCGTGTCAGGGGCATGTGCCAAAACCATGTATATTCATTTGCGGTGCCAAAAAGGCAGTGCTGAGTTCTCTCTGAACACAGATGTTTGAACTGGATCACATGTAAACTAGCAATGGGGCGATACTAGAGGAGGAATCATACGACATGATCCTCGATAAACTATTAGACCTACATATGTACGAGGTAAAAGTAGCTGGATGGTGAGCAGCGCCTCACCGTCGTCTCGCCTTGTTTGTTATGGTCGACTCTCAGCTACCAGCTAGTAGTGAGTGAGTAACAATCTTCTCCCCTTCCCATCACATACTTCATACATACTTTACTTGGACCCGTATATCAAGACCCTGACTGTGATGAGACGGACTCCCGTTGACAAAACGTGGTATTGGCTCGGCCCGATTGGCGACGGGCCAGCCACAGCCACCACCACCACCACAAAAAAATGACGTCTTGTTCGATCCCCAGACGTCGACGATCTCCCCGATCAACGCTTCGGAGACTTGTTCTGTGCCATGCTTTTTCTTGTCTCGGGTGGACTTTGCTCGACGATGGTATTTCCCGGCTGGGCAAAGAACCTGCCTGTCTGCAGAGGTCCCTGCGTTAGAGCGTTAGAGGCGTTCGATGGGGCGCACAGCTCAGCACCGCACCGCCCAGCGGGTTGAGAAGTGAGAAGTGCAAGTGAGCAGGGGGGGAGTATATGATGACGATGGATGCTGCAGCTCCTACAAATGGTACAAAGCATTCTTGAAATCTACGCTCTCTCTAACCGTTACTCTTTGGGCTCACAGTATGAGCAGAAGGACAGACACTTGAAACTGCTTCGACATCGCATTTGTTTGTTTGATACCGACTACCTCTGTTTGTCTTTATTTCCTTGCGGGAAGGAATCAAACCCACACGCTGGCATTATTCGTTCCACTGCACAGAAGCTGCACGCGAGGGACTTGGGTTACCTAGACCACCTAGACCCCTCCGGGACGTGCTTCCACCAGGCACAAGATGAGGATCCCGCTCTTCAAACGCCTGGTCATCACGGCCTTGAACATCCTCTTCCCGCCGCTGGCCGTCATGCTCATCACGGGGCCGAACGAAGACTTCCTCTTCAACTGCGTCATGTTCATCCTGGCCATCATCCCCTCGCACATCCACGGCTTCTACATCTCGCTCACCTACTTCAACCGCAAGAGAAAAGTCCGCAGGGGTGTCTACCCGGGCAGACCGAGGCATTTGATCTGGAGCGACCGCGTCAACAACGGGGGTGCCTCGAGGAGGGAGATGGAGAGATTGAGGTACGAGAAGGACCAGGGAAAGATTGGTCGGCGAGTCAGCCACAGAGTCACAGGGTCGTCCGGGAGTGGTGGTTCTCGCAGACGGATCGAGGACTGGGACGACGGATACAAGGAATACGCGGTGAGTCCGCAAAATAGCCGGGTTGGGAGACGCAGCACCCGCCACAGAAACTACTCTTAGATCTGAGATCGGTGAGAGCGGAACGAGGTCCTGGTTGCCACGACTCTCCCAGCAGAGAAGCAATGTTCTTGACTGCTATCTCTCACTCCACCTGGCGGACGGTGACTTGGGAGGGGCTCTCACGATTCGGCCATCCTGGGTTACCGATGAACGGTATGGTTGTGCATTCCTGATAGAACTGGAGTCGGTTGAAGGCGTGAATGCACTCTACCCTCTCGCGGCTCTCGCGGACATCCAATGGCCTTTGTATTGGGACGACGATCAAGACCACAGCCTCAAAAGGACTTTGCGTGGCCGAACAGACGTTCCCATTGTCTAGAGAGAAAAGGACTGAAGTAAAACACGACTCGGCCCACACACCATGGTTCAAACTCACTCGACTTGCACGTTTGGAAATTTCTCTGTTTGTTCTTCCTCTATTTTCTTAGTGTCAGTATCTATATCCCCTTGAGATTGTCTCATTTGCAATACTAGAGGAGATGTAGAGATCGGAGTCAGCTCCCTCCGGGCAGCTTCGTCTCCATGCGCTGGAAAGAAGATACATCTCTTCTTGCGCGTTAGTACGCTTCGCAGATTCATGTGTACCATATCCTCATCCGTTGTCCGTCCAAAAAGCCCATATTGTGTGGCCCTTTCCTACCCGCCCACTGCCCGTTTGTGGCCGTCGAGAGTTTGCCTTGTGGCATAATCCATGGGATATCATATCATACAACACATTAGAGAATAAAAATTTATCATGCCATCACCCATGCAGCGCAGGCCCAGTCTAACGCGTGTCGTTGATTCCTGGTCTTAACCGTGTTTCTTCCGCCGCCCCGTTACTATCTGCCTCTCCATTGAGTTGGAAGATCGTTAGAGGGGAGCAACCGGAACAGGGTACTAGCTTATGTCGGTCGCCTTTTCTCGTTCTTTCTCCCTCTCCTTTACAGAATTTTCGTCACCCTTGGAGGGTAAAGGATACGGGCTGAAATCGCGACTGCTAGTGCTAAAAGTCGACTGCACCGGAGGATGCTTCTCGCCATAGGTGCCACCATTGCTGCTGGACTTGTATGAACCTTGTTGCTGCGGAGGAGGAAAATCATGGTTGTTCGGTACCGGCGTATTGATCGACCCAGGATCCGTTGACACAGGACTGATGATACTGTCCATGTTCCCGTCACCATCCAAAGTCACAGCATTTAACCCGCGTAGGCCGCCTTCGATGTCCCTAACCAGGCGTACAAACTCTTCGGGCACCAGTCCACTCTCGCCGGTCCTGGGATTTTCGGCCACCAACCAACCTTGGCCATGTCGATATGACACTAGAATTATCTGCCCTTCCTTCAAGGGCAATTCATTTTGATGCTCGCTTTCGAAATCGAAGAGTGCGACAGCCTTGCCGTGCATTTCCTCGTCGGGACTGGCAATCGTAAACGAATAGTCTTTTGAGAACCGGGTATCGTCTTCGGCGTCTGAGTATTCGTCTTCAGAGCCGGGACCTCCGTCGCCATAAGGGGAAAGATTGCGTTGTAGAGGTTTGGCAAAGTTAGAGTCGCGGTGTTGAGGCTCGTGCGGAAACCTCAGGGTGTTGGTATCGTATGTTTCGACAGCTTCACCGGGCCCGTCTGCCTCCTCAGGATGACCGGCTGCGCCAACCACAACGCCGCGATGAGGACCTGCTGCTCCGGGCGACCTCCCTCGCTCATTGGATTTATGTTTCTTGTGCCTGCTCGTGGTGACAATGGGGGATTGGATATCCTCATCTTCGCTATAGGGGGGCCCATCGTCTTTGAATGTCATGGCAGGTAGCCGATCCCGACTAAAAGCGCTGGGGTTTGTTTCTGATATCCAGGGCGGCGTCGCTGACCATTGGCCTCTGGAGTCGTCCCATGATGAGATCGCTGGGTCGGAAAGTCTTCTTGACTCACTCGCTGGTGTAGAGAGACCCGATTGATGCGGAGGGGGCCCGTAGTGTAAAGGGTGCGTTGTCAAATATGCAAAATCTCGGACGAGGGTATATGGTAGACTCGAGTGGAAGGCGGGAAAGACATAGGACGTCGGTCGAGACTGCGGAAGGTAGGAACCTTTTGAAGTTGTGGAATAAGTCGACATCCGTCTTTCGGCATATGAGGTTGGCCTTTGCGAGCTCGTCCGCCGCGTATTCGGGGTGGTAGTGATTAGAGGAGGCAGACTGGGAGGAGATGTGGTGGCTGCGGCCAACGGAGGAGACATCGCAGGTGGTGAGGCTGTGATGGTGGCCATCCTGACCGTACAAGAAGGATGGGTTCGGTCGCGAGATGTTTAGATAGCCAAGGAGGCACAGGTGTCGCAAACGAAGAACGATTGAATTGTTATCCTTCGCCGAAGCGCACCTATAGGCACGAGAACGAGCCAGCGAAGAGCGTGCGTTGGGCGGCTAATAAGGCGTCCCCAGTGCCAATGGCGGCGGTGAATCTGGAGAATCGAAGGAACAGCGCAGCGCGCGCGCTTAACAAGGAGGGACAATGTCGAAGACGAAGGAAAAGAGTGGAAAATCAGAAGGGCGTCCCCAGCAGCCAGCTACGAGCAGCTGAAGGGTCCTAATTAGAATAACGAGCAGTGTGAGAACGTCGAGTCCAGTCGTCGAGAATCAGGCTAGGCGAGAACGGCGAGAGCCAGATCTAAATATAGCGATCAGAGACAGACGTGATGGGCCGAAACGCAGGCAAAAGTCCAGAGTATGCGCAGGGATTAGAAGAGCAAGAAGGTCAGGCGATGTGTGCATCGAGGAGGTGGTGTTGACGACGAGTATGACCAGAATTGCGCTGGAGTCAGGTAAAGCAGGATGATCAGGCCAAAGCCTGGTAAAGGGACCGACTTGAGAGTAAATATGCAAGGTAGTCGAGATCGAGGAATTGGGTTCGCCTTGAGAATGGACCTGGATCTTGAGAAGAGAGGAACCGGCCTTGAGTGGCTAATACTGCTGTAACTGCTGTGACTGGGCCATATGTAAGCCCTGGCTCTGCCTCCAACTGGAATGGCACCTAAACGGGGGGTAAGAGAGCACAGGCAACCTCCAACCACAGGCGGCCACAGGCACTACAGGCTCCCCACAGTCGTCCGCTAGGCGTTTCAGATGCCGCCCAGGTCCCGCTAGGCTTCGTGCTTCCAGTCCTCGCTTCTATCAGTATGGAGAAGTTTAGCCGCATCTTGACCCAGAACCGGGAATTTTCTGCCTGCGCTCTCCGATCTGATCTCGAGTCTCGACAGCCTGGGCGTTAACCACCAAGAGGGCCAAAGTACCTTGTGCAAAATATTCGTTCACAAAGGAGCTCGCAAGTTGGCCTGTCCTGTTCTATCACCAGGCTTTATTCAAGCCGCGTACCAAGGTCAGTTCCAACACACCAGCATACCCTCCCTCTCCCTCTGCGCATCTTGTGATGACTATCTTATTGGAGCTGTCCTATTCTCTTTCTGCGGACATCCACGAATAATACGCAATTTCAAACCTCTGACTTCGCCGCTTTGTGGCTTGCTTAAACTACTTGTCTCTCTCCACATATCCAGAGAATCCGCTGACCTAGAAGCCGGCAGTTATACCATGTTTGCTGTAGAACAATAACGCAATTCTGTCCTTCTCGCATCATGTCCGCAGATCCTCGACGTGCTCGCCTTCAGGCGCGAACACAGACGCCGCAACCTGCTCAATCAACACCACAACCCCCATCGTCGTCCGTGCAAACTCCTCCCTCTACCGTGACTGCTCCTACAGGACAGAGTCATTTGCAAGTCACGTCCTCTACGGGCCTCGACGGTACCATCGATCCATCCACTCCGCCCGCCACCGCGACGTCGACAACCCTCGCACCCGCCACACTGACATCTCCTGCTCTACCTAGTTCTTCACAGAATGAAGTCCCCTTTAAGCTCAAGTTTTGTACAGTCTGTGCCTCCAACAACAATCGCTCCATGGAGGCCCATCTTCGTCTCTCTACCTCGGAGCACCAATACCCCGTCATCTCCTTTGGGACGGGTAGCTACGTCCGCTTACCAGGTCCCTCTATCTCACAACCTCAAGTCTATAACTTCAATACTACCTCCTATACGAAGATGTACGACGAACTGAACGCGCAAGACGCCCGACTGTATCGGAATAATGGCATATTAAACATGCTTGATCGGAATAGGAAGATCAAATGGGGACCAGAACGGTTTCATGACTGGATCGTTGGCGCAGCCAGGATGGAGGCCTTGAATCGCGGCGATAAAGGCGCTGCAGGAACGGAAGGAGGCGTTGTGGACGTGATTTTCACCTGCGAGGAACGTTGTTGGGACGCCGTCGTGGACAATTTACTCGACCGTGGAGCGCCTTTGAATAGGCCTGTTCATGTCTTCAACATCGATATTAAGGATAACCATGAAGAAGCGCTGGTTGGTGGAGGAGCGATTCTTGAATTAGCCGATAGCTTGAATGAGGCGGCCATTCAGGAAAGGCAAATAAGTGGCAGCCAAGGGTGGGAGAACGGAACTGGGGCGGCCAGGATGAGCTTTGACGAGAAAGTTCCTGAGATTCTTGCTAGGTGGCAGGAACGGTGGCCGAATCTACCAGCGTTGTGGACTCTGTCGTGGTTTTAGAGAGGAAAGATGGCGGTCAGATCACAGGATGACATGTTGAACCAGGGTGGTTCGTCACCCATTGAATACTTAGCGAGGCGCTGGAGGGTTTTCGGTCATGACAATAAACCCATGAATTCAAACCGCGGTAATATATGCATATAGGGCTTTCTATATCTTACTCGCCTTGTCTATTCCCTTTTCCCTTCTTTCCCGCAGGACTTCCTTTCTCAGACCAATCTCTACGTCTCTTGGCCCTTCTCTGTTGAATTTGACCAGCACAACATACTCGTCATCTCCCTTCAAAGTCGAAGCCTTCAACTCAGGACCAGGTTTATCCAGGGCAAGCACGCTTCGGCCATCCTCGCCGAAGCTCGTGCCGATGGGGGAAATGAACTTATCCTTCCACGGCACCGGGGTCCCTTCGGTCTCAATCCGCCTCTTTAGTACGGCCCTCTTCCTCAGGATGTCTTCCTCGCTGTCACCAGGGCCGTCAAGTATCTCCGAGACCAGGTAGAGGAGCAGAAATTGCGGCGGGAACAGGATGATGTCCCCGCTCCTCGCCAAGCTCAGCCAATCTCTTGCGGATCTCCATTCTGGCGTCATGGTCTCGATCTGATCTGCTGTTGCGTGCACGCTGGGATTGCCCTTCTCTGCCGGGTCGACAAAGTAGACGTACATCTGCGTGGTGAATCGTTTCGGTACATTGGGTGGGGTGATCCAGTGGGTGAATGGGATGAGGCGGTCCGTGTCGAGGACCGCATTTGGGGAAACCGAAGATAGCCAGGACTTGAAGGAAACCTTGCCCTTGTGTACAGATTCGCGACCCTCCTTTCGTACGGCCGTGCTGACGGGGAGGAGTGACTCTGCGGTCCTGGATTCGCGGGCCAATAGAATCCCCGTCTCTTCGAACAACTCCCTGATGGCGCCCGTGCGGTAGGCGATGTTTTCCAGATGTCGATTCACATCTGTAGGATCGCTCGCCACTTCCCCGTCGCTGGGCTCTAGGTTGCCTCCGGGAAACACATGTGCCGAGGGAAATGCACTGGAGGTCTGGACACGGTGAAGAAGGAGAATCTCATTGTTCGGGGAGACGAGAATCGTGCTGGCCGAGGGAGACGCCGGCTTGGGAGCTTTGTGCTCGCTGTAGCCTCTGACCTCGAACTTGGGTTTCTGTTTCCCGGACATGGTGAAGGCTCCGTCTGTACAGCGGGTTTTCAAATTGCCGACAGTTCGGTATCGGTGGGAGGCGAGGCAGTACTGTCTAATATTCGAGTATAGCAGTCGGTACAGCAAACGTCTTGGTGATCGAGGGGAGGAGAACCGACAAGGATACAGGTATAAACCACTAGAGTCTAAAAGACGAATATATGAAGACGCAAATCTACATTTCGAGGTCCGAGGAAACAAAAACATTGGAGGAAAATTGGTTGTTAAATCGGGAAATTCGAGTGAGATATTCTGTAGACCGAGGCTGATCAGAAAACAGCAATGACCTGTGGGGGTGAGAGGAGGATGGAGAACGTGTCATGGTCCTTCGTACAGAGTCACAGCTGGGCTACTAATTCGGCTTACACTTATGTGCGAGGCGCGTGTCATTCGCTGGACGCTCCGGTGCCTTGCAGAGCCGACAACACGCCGAGGTCCATATTATTGAGTGAAGGGCGGAGAAGTACAAATAATAATGTCTATAACCTACTGTATTGGGTAGTAAGTCAGACAGGTGTGAATTTACAACTTTGGCCCGTGACTTGTACGATGTATGTATTTCGAACTGCCTGTGGGTATGTCATTCCAATCATGAAATCATTTGCAACGTCGAAACATTTGGGATGGCGTAAGCATCAAACTCCCGCAGACCTAGACGCCCCCTTCGCCCTCGCAATGCTATTATCCCGCGCTTGTGTCAAGCCTCTTAGGAGTAGAGCTTCTTCTCAAAACTGTCCAACCCATGCACGTTTCCTTCGGCTTGGGCACTGACTGTCCGGAGCTCAAACCGCACGTTCCCACTGGCCACTCCGTTGCGGAACTCGGCCAAACTCTTGCAACCAATATCTTGCAGAGAATGTTGCACACCAGCTAGCAGGTAAGGGACGAACTTGGTAACAGAGCCTCGATCCAATACAGCTCCCGAGACACCCTGCGCAACCAACAATCGATCACCTTCCGAAAAGTATCTCGCCGTTCCGGCATTGCTGGCCTTGGAGTTCTTGCCTCCCCCACCGGCCTTCTTGTCTTCCATGGCATCGATACTGCCCATTCCACGATATGCCTTGACGAGCTTACCTTCACGGTTGATGTAAGACTGGCCAGGAGATTCCGTAGTACCTGCGAGAAGACCGCCCATCATGACTGTCGAAGCACCCATCGCGATGCCCTTGACAATGTGGCCAACGTTCTGAATACCTCCGTCTGCAATACATGGTACGCCGAATTTGGCTGCAAAGGACGATACGGCGTGAACAGCCGTAGCTTGGGGTCGTCCCACAGCCATGACTTCCTGTGTGATGCAAGCGCTGCCGCTGCCCATGCCAATTCTCAGGCCATCGGCACCAGCTGCGATCAGGTTTGCGGCTTGTTCCCTAGTCACCACATTCCCTGCAATCACATCGAGTTGAGGGTATTTCTCCTTGATGTACTTGACCATGTCGATTTGATACATGCTGTTTCCCTGGCTGCTGTCCAGGATCACGATGTCAAGTCCAGCTTCGACCAATTTCTGCAGTCGGATCTTGTCCTCAGGTCTGGTACCTATCGCCGCCGCCGCAATCAATTGTTTTGAATGTGGTAACTTGGAGGCAAGAGGGTAGTTGAGGTTCTTGAGAAGGTCGGATCGCGAAAGGAGTGACACTAGGTTGCCGCTTGCGTCAACGATGGGCAGTTTACCCTTCCTGGACTTGCGGAGGACATCGTTGGCCTCAGCCAAGGTGGTGCCAGCGGGTGCAGTAATCAGATCTTTCGACATGACCTCTGTGACCAGGTCGTCAGGACGTGGGTGGAACTGTATATCGCGAGTGGTAATGATGCCAATAAGCTTGGACTTGAGTTGCCCGTTTTCTATTCATGGCTGTCAGTTACTGCATTCACCAGTACTCGAAGACAGAACGCAGAATGTGGCATCTTTCTCAGACAGAAATCTCCATAATTCCCCATTGCAAGTTCATGCTGCGGATGAACGAAAGTTTAAAAGGGTAAATAGTTTTGGACATCATCGAAAGGCATGGGCAAATTGACCCTTGGCAGCATAGGAGGACGTACCGGTAACTGGAAATCCGCCAAATCCCCACTTCTCTTTCAGCTCTTTGGCCTCCCCAACGGTAGTCTTGGGGCTCAAGACAATAGGGTCGGAGATAAAACCGTTTTCATATCTCTTGACTTTGCGAACCATATCGGCCTGCTCCTCAGCGGAGCAGTTATGGTGGATGACACCGAGGCCGCCAAGCAGAGCCATATGGATAGCCATCGAGTCTTCTGTGACGGTGTCCATGGGAGAGGAGAGAAGGGGCGTCTTCAAAGAGATTCGTTTGGTGATTGGTGAGTCGAGGGTGACCTCAGACGCAGCAAAGCCTGTTCAGGGGTATCAGAAATATGGTCTCCGAGGAAAAGAATTCTGAGAAGGACAATACCAATATATCCAGGCAGAATGAGGAAGTCATTGTAGGTAAGAGCACCGTTTTTGTTCGAGTCCAAAAGACTATGGATGTCCAGGCCATCACGAGTATCGTAGTCGGACTGGAGAACTTGGAGGGCTGTCCGATAGTCGAGTATCTCCCCCTTTCGCGTGACAGGGGTGCCGTTGGCGATGTCTCCGTTGGCGATCGGCATTTTGATAGTAAGTCTGAAAGAGGTTCTACAGCAGAAGAGTGTCGGACAGTTGGGCTGCTGGGGTCAGGGAGTGCCTTTCCAAAGGAAGGGGAAAATTTCAGAAAGTCTGGATCGGAAGAGGAATTTTTGAGTGAAAAGGCGGAGAGTGGTGGCCCCTGCACAGCCAATAGCCTCTGTGTGCGTGACTGGCCAATTATCGATGCAGTTCGTTAGCACTCTTGGCACCCGCGTCCCACCATCCGTTTTGAGACCAGATGTAAACAAAGCGTCAAGTGAGAAACTGCAGGGTTTTCCTTCTGCCATCAACTCCCCAGGTGTCGTTCAGTAAAGTCAGACTGCCTGTCGAGTTCAATCTCACTCTTTAGGTCTCGCCTATCACTGGCTACTATTCAGGTTGTCAAAACGTCGAATTTGCAATTGTCGAAGTCCCATCACCGAATCGAATGACACCTTGCGCAGACCGTTGAGGATGCGACGCAAGCCTCGAGTACGATCGGATCCAAAGCTCTTCTATGTGAAAACTGCGTCTGAATTATCTTCGGGATGTCGCACTACGCTCTTCGCCGAGCACAAACCGACAATCAATTCGTCTTTCCTCAACGGCAGACATCAGCAGCTTCCACTGCTTCGTCCGCCTACTCTGGGGCATCGAGTGCTTTTCTCCCCAGTCGTACAAGCACCGTCACTTCCACCAACTCCAGTGTCTACTCTAGGGCCTCTCCGGGTCACAAGCGAGCGAACACGGTCATAGAAGAGATGACGCCCACCAGGACATATGGAGGAAACAGCAGCGTGGAAAACAGCCCTGACCATGTTTATCGCAATATCCGCCAAAGTCTGCGCCCACTTCCTCAAGCTCCATCGCCAACGTCGACAACCAATGCCCGCCGACCGAGCCCCTACCATGTGCGAGCTCACACCATCGACCGTTTTCCTCAGACTTCCTCCGAAGATCCGTTCGTGGACAAGCATCTACATGAGCATCATCAAGAGATGCATCAACCCAGGACGCACACTCACCAAAGTGTATCAAGTCCGCATGCGAACACCTTCAAAGCCCCTGACCTCCAAGAGCTACAGAAATCTTCTACGACCTATCTGAAAACCTTGTCAAAATTTGCCCAGGGCGGTGATACCGAAGAATTTCGAATCGCAGCCCCTCGTCAGTCTGTCACCGGGCTACATAATCGAAGGCAGTTGAAACGCACTGACTCGGTTGCACCGGGCGCTCAGTCGATGACAAAGAATTACGGCTGGGGTGAGAGAAACTGGATGGACAAACAACGGCAATTTTTGCAGGCGTACGAATACCTCTGTCATATTGGTGAAGCGAAAGAATGGATCGAGGACATCATCAACAAGCCGATTCCACCGATTGTGCAACTCGAAGAGGCTTTGCGCGATGGAGTCACATTGGCAGAAATAGTTCAGGCATTTCATCCAGACCAGATCCTCAGGATCTTTCGCCATCCGAAATTGCAGTTCAAGCACTCGGACAATATTGTTCTGTTTTTCCGGTTTCTCGAGGATGTCGGTCTCCCGGACCTATTTCGCTTCGAGCTGATCGATCTATACGAAAAGAAAAACATACCGAAGGTAATCTACTGCATTCATGCTCTGTCCTGGTTGCTCTACCGCAAAGGCATGGTTGACTTCCGAATCGGAAATCTGGTTGGTCAACTCGAATTTGAGCATCATGAACTGGAACAGACGCAGCGAGGCCTCGACAAAGCTGGGATTAGCATGCCTAGCTTTTCGGGAATGGGCGCCAGCTTTGGTGAACCTGAACCTGAGCCAGTGGAAACGGAAGCCGAAAGACAGGACAGAGAGTTACGCGAGCACGAAGACATCATCTTAGACTTCCAGAATCAAGCCCGCGGTGCATTGGTCAGACTGCGACTAGGTGATCTGATGCAGAAGCTTTGGGACGCTGAGGAGTTCATCGTCGACATCCAGTCGCGCGTGCGCGGTGACTGGGCAAGGCAAATTGCCGACTACAGGCTCCATATGCAGCGTTTCGCCACAAATCTCCAGACTGCATCCCGAGGATTTCTCGTAAGAGTACGACAGGAAAAAAAGGCTCAGCAATGGAAATCAAGAGAAAAGGATGTTCTCAAGCTTCAAAGCCTCTTTCGGGCTGGCCAAGTCCGGACCCAAACTCGTGCCGTCAAGTCACGGGTGCGAACACATGAGGCCAGTATCTGCAAGCTGCAAGGTGCCATACGAGGAGCACTCTCTAGGCGGGACGCTTTCGATCAATACGAGGCTACAAGGACAACCGAAAAAGAAGTCATGTTGCTGCAAGCTGCAGTTCGCGGGATGCTGGCCAGAACCGCGCTCCATGACGATTACGCATTTCTGGAAGGCCAAAGTGATGCAATCACTCATATTCAAGCTGTAGCAAGGTCGTTACTCGCAAGAGCCACTCAGAATAAGATGCAGCATGGACTGCTCAGCTCGACACCAGCATGGATCTCGTTACAGGCCACTCTACGAGGGGGTCGAGTCCGTGCCCAACTTACTGATCTGAAGCGGTCCTTGAGATCGCAATCAGCTTCTATCAACAAATTTCAAGCGATCCTCAGAGGCGCAAATACAAGGGAAGCCTTCAGCTCGCTCAAGTTGTCCCTCTTACGACAATCGACTAGCACTATACCTTTGCAGGCCGCAATCCGTAGCTTCACATTGCGGAAGCAACTGAAAAAAAAGCACCAAGATCTGGAAAGACATGCGCTTAAGCTCATCCAGCTTCAAGCACTTTCTCGCGGAGCACTTCTAAGGATCCGAACCGGAGAATTGCTCGCGGAACTCGGTGAAACCCAGGAGGAAGCAGTTCAACTACAAGCTCTGATTCGTGCCATGCTCTGCCGTAGTCACGTCGGAGACTTGCTAAGTGAGTTGGACATGCACGATGAATCCGTTACCGAACTGCAAGCCCTTATAAGAGCTGCCAGTATTCGCTCCCAGTTCAGAGAGAAGAAGCGTTACTTCAAGGAGAACATGGAAAAGGTTATCAAGATTCAGAGCGTCGTTCGGGCCAAAATCCAGGGAAAGGCATATAAAAGCCTCACAGCCGGAAAGAACCCTCCTGTTGGGACATTGAAAGGTTTTGTGCACCTTCTAAATGACAGTGACTTTGACTTCGAAGAAGAGGTGGAATTTGAACGACTTCGCAAGACCGTGGTACAGCACGTCCGCCAAAATGAGCTTGCAGATCAGTACATCACACAGCTAGACATCAAAATTGCTCTCTTGGTCAAGAACAAGATCACCTTGGATGAAGTTGTCAAGCATCAGCGACACTTTGGCGGCCATGTTGGTGCTCTCCTTCCAAACTCAGATATTGCTTCCAAAGATCCGTTCGATTTGAAAGCACTCAACAAGACCTCGCGCCGAAAACTGGAGCATTATCAGGAACTATTCTTCCTGCTTCAAACCCAGCCTCAGTATCTGTCGAGACTGCTCAGACGCATCAGGGAGCAGGCCACTGCGGAGAAGGAGTGTGATCGAGTCAAACATCTGGTCATGGGCATTTTTGGATACGCTCAAAAGCGAAGGGAAGAATACTACCTTGTCAAATTGATTGCCCGGTCCATCAAAGAAGAAGTTGACTGCTCCGCATCTCTTCAGGAATACCTGCGGACAAATTCCTTTTCCAATAAGTTGTTTGGAGCCTACAGCAAGTCAACCCGGGACCGCAAGTTCTTGAGAGACATCCTCGGACCCCTCGTGAAAGAGAATATCATCGACAACACTGCGCTCGATCTGGAAAGTGACCCTCTACAGATATATGTCTCTGCCATCAACAATGAAGAGCTGAGAACAGGTCGACGGAGCCAGAGAGATCCCAACGTGCCAAGGGAGGTGGCCATCCGAGATCCGGAAACTAGAGCAACTTTCATTGCCCATATGCAGGATCTTCGAGATATCACAGATCAGTTTTTCCTTTGCCTGGAGGACTGTCTGCATCGAATGCCGTTTGGTGTCCGCTTCGTTGTTCAACAGACACACGGACATCTCGTTGCACGATTCCCCGGCGAGGACGCTGATTTTGTACTTCAGCTCGTGGGCCAGTGGCTGTGGCGTCACTACCTCCAACCAGCTCTGTTAGAGCCCGAGAAATTTGGTGTCGCTGATCGAGCCATGACACAAGAACAAAAACGTAATCTCGGGGAGATAGCAAAAGTGTTGAACCAGGCCGCTTCAGGTCGTGAGTTCGGCGGCGAGAACATTTATCTGCAACCCCTGAACAATTATGTACGCGAGTCTATCAGTCGATTCGCGGCGATCTGGAGTCATGGTAAGTTGATCAGTCCCGGTTGAAGTTCTTCAAGCTAACCGTTTGGGTAGTAATATCAATACCGCCAGCAGAGGAACACTATGATATTGACGAATTCAACGATCTTTATGCGAAAACAAAACCGACCCTGTACATCAAAATGGCTGATATCTTCTCCATCCACAAGTTGTTGTCCCAAGAGATCAGTTCAACATGTCCAAACCAGGACGATGTTCTCCGCGACATCCTGAGGGAATTGGGTAGCGTCCAGAGCAATGAGAGTGAACTCAGGGGTGTGAGCTCAAGCGAGATCAGCCTGACACTGAGCCCCAAACTACTCAATTCGGAAGATCCAGACGCGGATGTAAAAACTCTGTTGACCGAAACAAAACGATGCGTCCTCTATATTATCCGAATACAATCGGGGGCCAACCTCCTTGAGATACTGGTCAAACCAATTACACCAGAAGATGAGGAAAAGTGGGAGACCTTAGTCAATGATGAACTCGGCGCTGGCAACGGACGGCGTGGTGCTTATACTGACGTGCACAATCATCTCGACATCAGTTCACTGTCATATCCCGACCTCAAACGCATTGCTTTGGAAAACATCTTGCAGCTAGAGTCCATTGGTCGATTGACGCGGGCCAATCAGTACCAAGATCTTCTCAACGCCATCGCCATTGACATTCGAACCAAACACCGGCGAAGACTGCAACGACAGCGTGAACTTGAGAATGTGAAGACCACCCTCGCACGACTGAACGAGCAAGCATTGTATCTCGAGCAGCAGCTGAAGACTTACAACGACTACATTGAACAAGCCATGGTGACTCTGCAGAACAAGAAGAGCAAGAAAAGATTCGTGATGCCCTTCAGCAAGCAGTGGGAGCACGAACGCGAGCTCCAGCGTTCTGGGCGATCCTTCAAATTTGGCTCATACAAATACTCGGCGCGAACTCTGGCGGACAAGGGCGTGCTCGTCCACTGGCGTGGCTACAATGAACGGCAATGGGACCGAGTGGACTTGACTTTCTCTTCAAACGAAGTCGGCGTCTTCACCATTGACGGCAGCTCAGGGAACATGATGATCCCGGGAGCCAATGCTCAAGTGCCGCTCGACGATCTTTTACAGGCGCAGTTCAACAACACGCAATTCATGGAGTTCTTTGAAGGAGCACTGCGAGTCAATGTCAACTTGTTCTTGCATCTGATAATGAAGAAGTTTTATAATGAATGAGTGATGACAGCATGCGTTTGCATTCCTACAGACACATTCGGGGGATTGGATTGGGCACTCCTTGATGGAGGTCCATTTGGAAAGCGAGGAGGATCACATGGGCAGTGAGATGGTAATTGGCATTCTAAGCAATAGAACTGGGTTCAGCCTTGTAAAGTGTGCCACAGCCTTGTTACAAGGCCAGTGGTTATCTCGAAGTCACATGAGCATAGAATAAAAAGCCATTCGACCAAGTAATTTTGCTGTCGAAGCCTACGATGAGCACAGACAGGCTCTTGCACTCTGTCTCCTTCCCGTATTTTCTTTATGAGCCCATATGAGCCAAGGTCAAGTCAGTTTCCCCGAACTCCAAGTTGTTGTCTAGTGCTATCAGAAGAAATATCTGACCGGCAGCACAAATCTCAGCACTGGTGCACATCTCTATCCAGGAGCCCCTCCAAAGATAACTTCTAGCACTCACCTGATCACGTTCATAGAGGTCGATGCCATCCAGTGTTGGTAAGCGCAGCAGTGGGATCTGTCGCAGATCTCGGGATCCGGCCTCCCATATTCCAAGGCGATAGAGGTAGACAGCAACATATGGGTCCCGCGAACGTTTGACGAATCGAGAGCCCAATGTCCGAGTCCTTCGACCGCGTCCGCCCTTCCTCTCCCGTGTACATCAGAATCCTGTGATCCCTCGAGCTTTGTGGCAACGGTGTTGTTCCTTCGAAGGAGGACAAAAACGTCCGGCATTAGATCTGAGCGTGGGAGAGATGATTCGTCACACTGGATCCATACCCTGTGCACGGTCGCAGGATCGAGAGACTGGATACGCCACGCTACGAAGGGTACACGGATCGACCGTCTGTGCGGATCAGGATGAGGAAAACATGTGGTCGATCGTTCGGTTTTCTTGACAAAAGAACGGGACTGGAGGTGACGAAAGCGCCACCGCACCGCACATCAGCGCGCATTGCATGCACCACCCACACCAACCACGACCAACCTCGGAGAGAGTGCGTGATCGGAATGTTAAACACGCACGAAAGGGAAGGCCAAGGGAGGTTATACTTTGGCGCACGGCCGGTGATGATCCTGGCGTTCCCTGCCACACCTGCCTGCCAAGTTGTCATCAGCTTTTGCTGGGAGTGGAACTCTTCAAATGGTACCGTGTTTGGTGACGATGATGATGATGACGACGATGCAGGGAACAGACGCAGGACGCCGTGTCCTTTTCGACGCACGGCCGCTGCGCTTTTTGGTCGGCCGATGCCCCAGTCTTGAGCTGCTGAGATACAATGCTTGCTCGTTCAGCTACCAGGGCGGTTCTGGAGAGAGAGAGAGAGAGACAGGAAACTCACCTAAGCAAAAGGCGCTTTCTTTCTTAGTCCGTCGGGCTCGAAAGATCTTCTGTCTTGGTTACCCGGACCGTGAAAGCTGCCTCTCTGCTTAGACGCAGACTCTCCTCCTTTTTCCAGAGCTAGTATGGTTCTTGAATCTTATACCTCCTCATACCCTGTAAAAACTTATCTAGTCCAATCAGGACGAGACACAGTTCTGGCTTAATGGTGTGGAGTCAGGAATTCTTTCAAATCAACTCGCTGGCTCACGGGCCGTGGCCAAAGTGTATCCAGCTAGTACCTACCCATAGGTATACCGCAGCTACCGCAGAAGCTGATCGGCGGCTGGGGTTTTTGAGGCGGTGTTTGAAGGGTTCACCGAGCCCGGACCGAGTATGATGAGCCTACCAAAGCACCAGACAAAGGGTGATCGACGGGGACAAGTTTCAAGCCCGTCCTTCGTCCTCTTTTGCAACAGTCGCAGATCCTGGCCTGATTCGTTACAGCGAGAGTCAGATCCATTACTTGAGGGGAATTAATTCATCGAACCACGTTTGGGGCTGCTGGTCGTCCCCCTCTCTTCCAAAAGCAGGAATCGTCAATATTCCGGTGTGGTACAATACAGAATTCGCCTTTACAGAGACGAGGTCCTTTTTGACATCTGAGGAATTCTTTTCCGGATAATCTCTCCGGTGGTTAACGTTCTGAAATAGACGCCGGAAATGCAAGCTACAGCCAGGTACCCGAGTTTGTGCGCTGCAAGCTCCCCTCGTATTATCGTACCTACTTTGAAGAACGGCGGTTCGGTCAGGTCAGAAAGGCCCACTGCCCTCAGTCCCGCTACATTCGGTTGCCGGCGTAACCTGATCAAGTATTCGGTAGTCGAAAAAGAGACTTGGGGGAACCCAAGTCGGGGACAGGTAGTTCAGGAACAAGGACCTTTTGGATCTGTCCTGTCATACGATGAGATACAAATGCACCACGTGTGAACTAGTACTCGTATTTTGGGAAAACCAAGCCCCAAACAGTGCGACGGAGCGCGGACTCGAGATTGGATTATTATTACGCGGGGTGGAAATGTCATGAGACTCGCGAGGAAATTGTATTTAACAAACCACCCCGAGTCACGCGGAACCCAAAAAAGAGTGGACAGAGAGACGATGCTTAGCGAAGTGGTGGCTTGGGGCTGGACTGGCCGCCAGGCAGATGGCACTGGTACACCTTGGGAATGGAATTCATCCTGACAGCGCTCTTGATCACCCCTTTTTCCCATGGGAAATCGCCTGGAAGAATGCATTGGGATGGATTCCGCGGGATTTCTAGACGCGTGTTGGACGCGAGTTAGCTTTATGCCCTCGTGTGGGACATAGGGCATTTGTACACCAGATATAATATGCATGATGTCAATGGGAGGTTCCATAGGAAGAATGCGGGCTGGCTCTGATGGATTCAGGACCCGTCGATAAGATGCTACCGTTAGACAGGCTCTCCTATAAGGTCTCACCCTTTGGACCTGTCGCTTTGCCATGTCTGGATATCTGGGGGAACTATCGAATCGGAAGCGAAGTCGATCAGAAGTGAAGTGACGTGTTAGAGCCTCGACGCTTGACGAGGTGGAGAGCTCGGTTGGAGCTACGAAGAGCTCGTGGACCAAAAAGTTGGTATCGGCTCGTTAAGCCTGATCCCCCCTTGCATTGGAATGGCTGAAACGGTCGAATCATGGTGTGCATGACCTCCCTCGCACTCAGGGGTACCACCATCATGCGAGCGCGGTTTCTGCAAATCCCCGGTAACACTCCATGTGATATGGCCGATAGTCTGAGTGGGTAACATGCTTGAGAGAGGCTGTCGCGGGAGGGTGAGATGGTTCATCCCCGACCAGTCTTGTATAGCTGTTGGGCCGGACGGAAGTAAGCGGAAAAGATCAAAAGGATAGGAATAGCCGTTAGAATACGACACATGGACCTCTTCTTCCTTTGCTTCTTTGAATTGTCTTTCATCCCAGCTCGTGACCGAATATACCTCCTCAGGAAAGGGGGGAATAGGTGTATACCAATCTTGTTCTCTCTCTTCCCCGTACACCAAATATCTACCGAGCCGCAACACTTTTTGTCAGCGACCTTTACGCCATGGCACATCACCACAGAAACCCATCGATAGCATCTTCTACCAAGACTGTCACGCCGACAGACAGCTGGGAGTCGTACTTTGACTCGTGGAGGTTGGAGGATGGCGACGTGTCCGACATGGCACCACCCCCTGCGCCCACCATTATTGAACCGTTGATAGTAGATGACGAACTCTACCACCCGGAGAGCCTCCTGAACGCCCGAATCCAGCTGGATCGCAACCTGGGTTTGGATCTGGACAGGGATTTCCAGGAGTATCACCACGACTACCAGGACAGGTGCTCGCCCAAGGTGTTTGGGAGATTAAACGATGCCAACCCGGCCAACAAACGGCATGCGATTTGCGTTTCCAACCGACGGGCAATGGCAGCGGGATATTGTCAAAGCCACAATCGAAGAGATCGTCGCCCAGTGACAGTGTCAACACCAATCGATACTCGACCTGATGACGTTGATCGGACGGCAAATATGGGGAGGACCCAGCCTCGTCAGCCATTCGCGGCAAGGCAGGAGGAGAATAGCAGATCTGGCCATGCGTGCCATGGCGGCTTTGCGAGGAGGACCCTGCATCGGCGTCGATCGGAATGTCGTTTGGAGAGCTCAAGCACCAAAAGGCCACACAGGGCACTACAGCGCAAGGAACATTTCAACGGAGGCTTGGGGAACCCACAGCGAGCGGAGCCACCTGTAAGTTATTTTGTTTGTTTGCCCCTGGGGTGCGGTCGGGCCCCCTATGATGTGCCCTGGACAACTGCCCACGGGTATGATCTCATCACTTCCCCCTACCCACGCCACCCATCCACGCCCACAGCCTCCGCCTGTCATCCCCCGTCATCCCTCATCTGAAAGCCAGTGCGCCCCCAATTACGCAGCACCGGCACCACTGGGAAGTACCACTGCCACCAACTGGTACCTATTTCGCTAGCTGCTTAGCTACGTCTATTACCTGAAGCCTTACATACTTCGGGGTCATTTTTGCCCCTCCAACCACCTCCTCCGTCGTCACCCATCCGTCACTGACTCTGTTGTCTGCGCACCACCTCACCACCGTTCCCCTTCCGTTCCTTTCCAAGTTTCCCTCTCTTACAATCCAAACCATCTACACTCCCAACTCATCACCTCTCTCCTTTCAAATCTCCTCCAGCATATCTCCACTGTGTTTCTACCTCACCACATCTCATTTTCGTTTCTTCGTTTACGCCTGATACGCCCGCTTACACTTCCCCCCTCTCCGCGCCCCGCTTCCACCTCGCATCAGCCATCTCAAAAAACCAAGACTGGTCATTGGCACTTCACCTTATTCCGTCAAAGCTGCGTTCCGCTTATCCTGCTGCTGAATCATCCACTTCGCCGTTTCCTGCAACCACCGAAAATCTGGGCCCTGGGACCCTGCCTACTACTGCCTCCTGCCTACTGCCGTGAACTTTTTCTTCCATCTCGCAACCTCTTGTGTTACCCACTGGCACCGACCGCAGTCTCTCGAGATTCCTTCCACCTCTTCCTTCTTCTCTCCTCATATCGCCGCCCTGTGCGTTGATCTGCACAGGACCATTGGCTAAAATGAGCACCATTCAGAACCTCAAGAACTTTATACGTCATGGGAAGCAAGCCCGCGTTGCCGACCCTCCCCGCGATCATCCCACCACCAACGTCTCTGCAGTTCATGCTCAACAACAGAAGTATCACCACGGCGTCAGCGAACCTATAGGCAACCATCACAGACAGCAACAGCACCATCAAGTCCAACCTCAACCTGGTGAATATTCCGTCGCCGGCGGCGACAATCGAAATGTGGCTGCTCAAGCCGGAGCTGCCGCAGCCCACGCTGCGGGCAAGAACCAGAAGATCCAGGCAGATATCGAAGCCATTGTTGCCGAGGAGAGGGAGAAGGCCAGCAAGATGCCCCGCTATCCTGGTCTGGAACGATTTATCCTGGTCGAAAAGATGGGAGACGGCGCTTTCAGTAACGTCTACAAGGCCAGAGATACCCAGACCGGAGACGAGGTCGCCATCAAGGTGGTCCGTAAGTTCGAAATGAACTCGAATCAGGTATGCCGGGAGTCATGGGACACTGCCATGTCTCGGAAGCTTTCCCTTCCCCTTCCTTGCCCGCGCCCCAGCTCTGTCGTCCCTCGCATTGCACAGCTCCTCCCCACGTCTCTTTCCACCGTTCATTTCCTTCTTTAAAACCAGCTTCAAAACCAACCTCTTCTAACCTAGGGCGATGCTCACCTTCATCCGAACTTCAAAAAACAACCAAAGGGCGTGGAGGTGCGCACTTCCACCCTATCCGAACCTCCCCCTTACCACATACACTCTGACCCAATTGACGCATTCAAAACACTCCTAGCCTCCATCCGAATAAAGACTAACCTCTTGTTATAGCGAGCCAATATCCTCAAAGAAGTCCAAATCATGCGCCAACTGGACCATCCCAATATCGTGAAGCTCATTGACTTTTCCGAGTCCCGGCAGTACTACTATATAGTTCTCGAGCTGTGTCCAGGTGGCGAGTTGTTCCACCAGATTGTCCGCTTGACCTACTTCAGCGAAGACTTAAGCCGACATGTCATTACTCAAGTCGCCAATGCCCTGCTATATCTACATGAAGAGACCGGTGTGGTCCATCGGTACGTATTGGGACTGTAATGGCGGGTTTTGCGGGAGTAGCTAACCTCGTTCTAGTGACATCAAACCAGAAAATCTTCTATTTTATCCCATTCCATTTATTCCAACTCGCAATCCCAAACCCAGAGGGCCCGAAGACGAAGAAAAAGCCGATGAGGGAGAATTTATTCCAGGTGTCGGTGCTGGCGGCATCGGCCAAATCAAGATTGCCGATTTTGGTCTTTCCAAGGTGATATGGGACTCTCAAACCATGACACCTTGCGGTACAGTCGGCTACACTGCCCCTGAGATTGTCAAGGATGAACGCTACAGCAAGTCGGTTGATATGTGGGCTCTTGGCTGTGTGCTGTACACCCTACTTTGCGGATTTCCTCCTTTCTATGATGAGTCGATCCAAGTCTTGACGGAAAAGGTCGCCCGGGGTCAATATACCTTCCTATCACCTTGGTGGGACGATATTTCGAAATCAGCACAAGACCTAGTGTCACATCTTCTGACCGTTAACCCCGACCGTCGCTATACGATTCAAGAATTCTTGAACCATCCCTGGATCCGGAATACTAATGAGCCCACCTATGCTGCTGCAGATGCACCACCTCTCGCAACACCTTTGTATGTTCGCCAGAAGGAGATCGCCCAAGCGGGCAACCTCCCTGCTGACTTCCTCACCACACCCAATACACCGGGAGCAAAGCGAGCAGACTTCCGATCGCCTGGGGCTGTCAACCTCCGTGAAGTATTTGACGTTGGTTATGCCGTACACCGACAGGAGGAAGAAGCCAAGAGGAGAAAGAACTTCAAGCAAGGCTACCGAGGAGCAGGAATGCCTGGTGGACTAAATCCTCTAAATGAAGACGAAGACGACGAGGACGAAGATTACGAAGAAGAAGTATCCAGCAAAGTGCCGAAGAATCAGCAACCAGCCGACGTGTCGAGTATGGAAGCCAAGATGCGTCAAACCAATCTCGGAACGCAACCCTCTGCCGCGGCCCAAGCACGCGCAGCAGCAGCACCTGCCAGAAGCCAACATCATAATACTCAGCAGGAGCAGAGGGGATATGGCCAGCATAGCGCAGCAGTGGCGGCGGCTGCCAAGCAAAGCGTTGGGCGGCGGAACAAGCAGCCATTCGAATTGAGTCTGGACAACTCCACGTTGCTAGGCAGGAGAAACAAAATGGTAGCAGCCAACCCGAATGAGCCATCTAAATTGAGAGAGGAGCTGAGTGTGAGATGACGTGAATACCACGGAAAACAAATCATTGGAAAGTCACACGGCAAGAGGACGCTTTCGGGAATTCACGCCACCATCATACACTCTGTCCCCCCCTTGCGCACCAGAAGATCCAACAGGCCCATGGGCAAGAAAAGGAATGTGAGCGAGCGTTTAGTTATGCTTTGTCGATTTTTGTGCATACGGAATGGAACTGGGAGCAGCACGGCTGCAGGAGAAGGACGATTCGCAACCTAATGAACGGTTCTAGAAATGAATGCGACATGACAAATACAGAAACCACTCGCATTTTGCTCTACCTTTTTCTTTTACTTTCTTTGCCCTGTGCGATTGTTTTGTTTCTAGTGTCGAGGATTTCTAGCAGTCTCATGGACAAGACAGTGACATAGACGACACTCCACGAGTGTACAACGCTCGATAAATGTTTAATGTACGACATCATGTACGAACAACAAGTACGAGGTACGGATGGCCTCTCCACACAGAGCCTCGGCTTCCCCTCATTCACTCGCTCTCCAGCGCTTTATCTCTTTTGTTTCCCACAGCCCTCGATTGCGCCCGCCAAAAACCCACGCAGCCGCTCTCCACACACAGCACATCACAAGTCAACACTTTGTTTCGATGATCAATGCGTCCTAGTTGGGAGATCCACCTCCACACAAAAGTTGAGAGCGGATATGACCGATTTCCTTCATCAGGCTTTTCCTTTCTACAATGGCCCTGGCTCGGTTTTGGTACGACAACCGCCTCTTCGTCTTGCACCTTTTCTTCTTTGCTCGTCATCTGCCCTGTCTTGCCGCCACAGATTGACTCTGTTGTCATTGCAGAAATTTTGAAAGATATCAGTCAAATCAGATAAATACATATTGGCGGACTCTTTGGTTGAGATTTCCCCTCTACATTTCTCACCAAATTACGCCGACCACCCAAGATCAAATCTAACAGCTGATCTCCGACGACCATCAACAACCATAAGACTTCACCCTTCCCCCAAAAGAGTACAGTCCATGACCTTCGATCACTCCAAAGAACAACAGCAAGGCCACGGAGCTCCCCGGGGTCAACAGAGATTGCCTCCCGAGGCAAATCATCTTTCAGACACTCATCCCCCTCGCCCACAGTCACCATGCTCAACCCCCGGTAGGAGCAGGTCGGGCTCACCGACACCCAGCCAGAACCTCGAAAAAGAGTCATGGAAGGACAGTGAGCAAACTCTCGGTGCCTTCACCATTCCGACTGGAGGAGATGCAGAGGTAGCCGAGAAGCAACCGGGATACATGGCTGTCGGGGAGACTAAAGAAACTCATGAAATCACTGAACTTCAACGGTCCGATCTCGGGTTGCGGCAGACCCCATCCGCGGCACCATCCATAGCTGCAGCACCATTCGCATCTTATTGTTGTGGCCTTGAACAGTCGCATAGTCATGATGCTTCCGGGAAACCACGAGCCAGATCATCCTCACAGGCATCAAGTTCCAGAACACCGACACTGCACGAAGTGCCCAGTGAATTGGCGACTGCCAGTCGGGTCTCTACCGATGCTTATGGCAATACTTATCCAGAGGGAGGCAGAGACGCGTGGCTATGTGTGTTTGGCTCTTTCTGCGGCTTGATGAGTGCGCTGGGGATGATGAACACGTTGGGAACATACCAGGCATATCTTTCCACACATCAACTGCAAAGCAAGAGTGAGAGCACCGTTGGTTGGATTTTCGGCATCTACGCCTTCCTCTCCTTTCTCCTGGGCATGGAGATTGGGCCAGTGTTTGACGCCAAAGGGCCTCGTTGGTTGGTATTTGCTGGGTCTGTTTTCATGGTCGCCTCGCACCTCCTGATGGGGGTGTGCACGGAGTACTGGCACTTCCTGATTGTTATAGGCATTGTAGGTGGAATTGGGACATCTTTGGTGTTCACGCCCGCCATTGCCGCGATTGGCCACTACTTCCTGAGGAAAAGAGGCCAGACTACGGGACTGGCTGCCGCTGGCGGGTCCATGGGTGGGATCCTGTTCCCGCTGACACTCCAGGCACTGTTTCCCAAAATCGGCTGGGCGTGGTCGACTCGAGTTAGCGCATTGATCAACCTTGTTCTCCTCATCTTTGCCAACTTGTTCATCAGATCACGGCTCCCGCCACGCAAAGCCACCAAGGAAAACATTCTCCCCGATATCCGCATCTTTCGGGATCCGGTCTTTGCGTTGACCACCGCAGGGGTCTTCTTCGTTGAATGGGGTCTTTTTGTCCCTCTTACCTATCTGAGCAGCTATGCCCTGAGCCACGGCGTCTCGACCTCGTTCTCATACCAGATCATCGCAATCCTGAACGTCGGTTCATGCTTTGGTCGATATTTTCCAGGTTTTGTCGCTGACAAGGTCGGCCGGTTCAACGCCATGGTTGTGACCATCTTTTTGTGCATGGTGTCGACGTTGGCGTTCTGGCTTCCGGCCAATGGATCCATTGCACTGATCATCGTCTACGCACTCGTGTTTGGGTTCGCTTCCGGCTCAGGAATCTCGCTGACACCCGTCTGCGTGGGACAGTTGTGCAGGGTCGAAAATTATGGACGGTATTATGCTACCTGCTATACTCTGGTGTCGTTTGGCTCCCTGACCGGCATTCCAATTGCGGGACAATTGGTGACGGCGTGCAAGGGAGAGTATTGGGGGTTGATTGTATTCACCAGTTGCAGTTATGCGGCGTCGTTGATCATGCTAACGGCGGCAAGAGTGGTGGGCGCTGGATGGAGTATAAAGGCCATATATTGAATGAGATGACGATGATGACATTGGAAACCAGCTTATAGAAATATAATTATGGCGATGAAAGAGGATATAATGACGAATTGGCTGACAGAACGATGCCATCTTCATAGAGTCTAATGTCTATATGAGATCTTGTATACAAAGCCAAGGGATACAGAAGATTAAATGCTCAGCATAAAAGCCCCCCGGATTTGCTAAACGATAAATCAGGATGGCGAGGCAGTTTCACAGTTTCTGTCACAAGAATTGGGGGCCAGAAAATCCCGACTCGGCGAAGCACCTTTTTCCATCTCGGCTTTTCTCGTCTCTTCTCATCTTCGTACTCGGTACAAGACCACAATTTGTGCCCACATCGTACCACAAACTCCAGACAAACTCGCTGGTGTGAACCCTGCCAAAAGTCTACGGCCGGAACCCCAATCAATTGAGGTTGGAGGTCTTAAAGAGCAGTATCAAGGAGCCAGCCATGCGAGCGATACTCCGACGCTGACAATGGACGACCGCGGATTCATTTTAGACGGCGATGCCACTGCGCAGGATGTCTACAGCACCCTCCATGGCGACGAGATCCGCACCTTGCTACTCGCTCCAGGCGATAAGGGCAGCCCTATCCACTGTGAGCTGCAGGTGGTACCGTCTCCCAAAAGTACTCAATTCGAAGCCCTGTCCTACGTCTGGGGCGAAACCATCCCCTCCAAAGTCATCTCGTGCAATGGCTTTGACTTTCCCGTCACTGAGTCTCTATATACGGCGCTTTCTCATCTGCGGTACCCGGATGCCTGGAGAAGACTATGGGTGGACCAGCTCAGCATCAATCAGAGTCAAGGAGAGGAGGTGATGAAACAAGTTGGATTAATGGGTATGCTCAGCCGACGTGCTCGTTGAATGACCCTTCTGCGTGCTTATGCCGACCCAGGAAGTCTGTATTCCTCTGCGTGCCGTGTCATTGTCTGGCTCGGCAAGTATGACCAGAAGATGGCTCTGGCCTTTGAACTGCTCCAGGAGACCTCTCTGAGTTTGAGTCTGGTGCGATCCGACTTTCTGAATTCGTCGAGTGGTCCCTCGACGCCCCGAACAAGATCCCTCACCCCACGGGGCACATCTAAGTCTCCCCGAATGTCGCGATATCTCAGCCGTGCATCGGGCTCGCGGGAAAGCCTCAGCAGCCTCTCCTCCTCAACCTCTAGCCTTAATAGCTTGTCGTCTCCCCGGCCTAAGAACCGACGACACAGCACCCCTCCCACGTTGAAGCATGCACTGTCGATTTTTCAACATGTGTACTTCACGAGGAAGTGGACATTCCAAGAGATCATTCTGGCGAACGCCGCGATCGTCTGCTGTGGCGACCTCGAAATGGCATGGAGTGACTTGTCTCTTTGGTACTTCCATTATGCTTCCAAATTACGCAGCTCGAGTCTCTTGTACGACTCGGACGGTTTCTTTGAAAACATTCTGACCGTTAGAAACGAGCTGGAAAAGGGCACACTGAAGCTGAGTAAGTTGCTCATGCTGACCAGGCCAAGGACGAGCACGAAACCCGAAGACGCCATCTATGCCTTACTGGGTTTGATGCCTGATCTGCTCGAGGCTTTGAAGTCGAGACCGGGTATTCCGCAGTCTTCAGGGACGTTATCTTCCCAGGAGGAGGATTTATTTTACCTCTATCTGAAGGTCTTTCTGTACTGCATCGATAAAGAGAACGACTTGGCTATCATCAGTGCCGCTGGCAGGTACAGGACCAACATCCCAGCAGCCTGGCCAGGCTGGTTGCCGGACTGGAGACACTCCCTGCCGCTTCGACCCTTGATCCTCACGGACTCTACAGATCTCGATTCAGAAGATGCCTTTACCGAAAGCCCACCCAGATCTGCCTCATCCATATCGCAAGCTGGACAATCGCCTATCTACAGGTTGAATCTCCTGCCAGGTTTGACAACTTCATCGATGCCGGCCAAAGCCTTTCTGACGGTATTTGGTGTCCGAATTGGCTGTCTGATTACGCGTTCGCTCTCTTGGCCCAGCGTCTTCCTCGTCGCCGACTCGCTAGCCCAGACTTTGTTGATCAGCAGAGCCGACGGAGGCCAATTCACTCAGCCACTTGCATCCCTCGCGCCAACATTTTCCAACAAGCAGCAAAAATCAAGCCATGCTGCACATCATGGGCTCGAACAGGGATATGCGGCATCTTTGCTACAGGCGTCACTCAGAAATGGCGCACAATGTCGTCCTGTAAGGACCTCGGCCATGTTGGAGTCTGGAGATTGGCTCTGTGCCTTCAGAGGTGGAAATGTGTTGTACGCTGTCCGCCCGGTAGATCATTTTCTTGATGTTCACCAAGCAAGTGCGACGTCGGTGAGGAGGGGGAGATCATTGGGTCATTTTAAACCTCCAACGGCCTCACTCGGCAACCCACTGCGCCAGCGTACCAGATACTTGTTCCTTGGCGAATGCTCGGTACACGGCCTCAATCCAGGCGAGCTCCTAGCCCATCAAGACGAAATGATGGAATTTGAGTTGACATGACTTGAGCGCTGGACCCATCCACTTTCAACAGTCTCGACGGTGCATGTGGTGGTGTCTGAGCTGCTGGTTGTAGGTGGCACATTTCGTTTATGAACCCTGAACCAGGAGAAAACGATACACATGACATGGAACCAGGAGAGTTTTTCGTGTGTCGTCACGAGGATCGTCTGCAATTCGAGCCCTTTTGCATTCTGTCCGTCCAATGCGAGGCCTCAATTCCGGCCAACAGACCAATCACAGCACGCCGTGGCCTTGCAGCGTCAAATCATTCCGGCCAGGCGAATCATGTCGTCGCATTTACGAAGTCCAGAGCGTATCGAATTCCGGCCTCTAGCAATTTCTTACTTAACAGCATTGGGTTCAGAGAGGGGTTAACGGTGGGCTTCTCCTTCTCGACTTCCATTTGGACTCGTGACCGGCGAGCTCTTTGCCCTCCGGCTGGTCCTTCGTCCGCTGCAACCCATATCATGAGGATTCATGAGCACTTGGCCACAACCGCAGACCCAACACCATACGAAGAGCGATACCAATGTATCAAAACCTCTGTTTACTATCAGAGGATACTGGGACAATCCACTGAGCAATTGCAAGCACTATACATCGTACTTGCACTGGATATAGTCAGTGCCAAGACGAGGCTGTCGGCCCCCTGCACGACTTTGTCTGCTTCACCAAGCGGCCAAGGTCATGAATGAGTTCGGATACGGCTATCTGGTCCTGATATATCTCCGCCGTGATGGAATTTGGTGGACTTATCTCACCGCAACAGTCGCTCTTCTCCTAATCATTTGGCCGGAATAACTTCCGGCCAAGGGGCATATAAGCAGCTTGCCCTTCCCGCAGAAATGAGAAGATGTGTCGTGTGTGTATGTGGCCTGCAGGATCTCCGGTCACATTCTTCTCCGCCTCTCAGCTATTATACCGCTCACTCGGGCTGCTCTGGCAAGGCTACAATATCTATTTAATCCCTTCAATACTCTACCAAAGAGGTCTCTCATCATGACTTACCTTACCGACTCACCACCTCTTCCTCCTCTTGCAGCTCTCTTTCCTCACATCCGATCTGACGCTGGAAGCCTCCCACGCTCTGCAGACCCATTTACTGTTACGACCGGTACTGGATTCCTCCCTTGCCGATCACCCTTGCTTCGCCTGCCAGCACAATTCGATGCCCTGTCAGACATTCTCGATGACATGCCAATCGTCAAAGCGGACAAGTCACCAGGCCTGCTGGCCACGTTCAAGCTCGGCCCTCTTATCGACTCGGGTGCCTTACCAGACTTGACTTCTTGCGTGGACGACTTGCGGACCAGCACTGGTGAAGTCGACCTCGAAGCCATAACTGCCGTGTTCAGGGACTATAGCTTTCTGGCCAGCGCGTATCTGTTGGAGCCCTGTTGGGAGACATGGTCGAAAGACCACGAGGCTGGGTATGGGTTGGGCAGAGCTGTCCTGCCAGCATGCATAGCCTCGCCGCTCGTGAAAGCCGCAGACATGTAAGCATCACTGCCAGCAATGTGCTCTAGCCTACCGACTTGTACTTACCCCTCCTTCTCATTTAGTCTTGATATCCCGCCGTTCATGTCCTACGCTGCGTCATATGCACTATATAACTACTCCCTTGCCAATCCCAACCTCGGCGCCGGTGTATATGACAATCTCCGCCTCATCCGTGCATTTGAACGCGGCCTCGACCCGTCAAGCTCAGAAGCGGGCTTTATCCTGACACACATCCACATGGTGCAGGAGACAGGACCTTTGATTTCTGGCGCGATTGATTTGCTTTCGACCATAGAAAACTCCCCCAATGAAGTACCTCTGGCGATCTCTGCGTTCCAAACCATGCTCTCGGCCATGAGCCGCATCGAATCTCACATGGAACAAATGTGGACTCATTCCCTGCCCAAGGACTATCTCTCGTACCGCACATTCATCTTTGGAATCACGTCGCAGTCCATGTTTCCCAACGGGGTGATCTACCAAGGAACCCGCTACGGAGACTCCAAAGCTCTGTATTTCCGCGGCGAATCCGGCGCCAACGACAGCATCATCCCACTCCTAGATCATCTGCTGGAGATTCCAATGCCCAGCAATCCGCTTACAGAGATCCTCAGGGATTTCAGGAGTTACCGACCCAAGACACACCGAGAATTTCTGGCGTGGGTCATGAGTAAAAGCGCCGAGGTGGGCGTGAGGCAATACTGTACCCATCATGGTTCATCGCAGGACAACATGGGCACCGACACCCTGCTATTGCCGACCCTCTACCTCAGATTGCTAGAGCACGTGCGCAGCTTCCGCTGGCGCCACTGGCTGTTTGCGAGGGAGTACATCATCAAGCGCTCCTCGCACCCGACCGCCACGGGAGGCTCTCCCATTGTCACGTGGTTGCCAAATCAGCTGTTTGCCGTCATGGACATGATGGAGGAGGTTTACGCTAAAAGCGGACTGAAGAATGTGGTCGATCAGGGGCTGGAAGATACGACAGAGTCAAAGATGGTCAGGGAGATGATGGAGAATGTGTCGACCCAGAGGGACAAGCTGGACAAGGAGGTCAAGAAGTATTGTGCGGAAAGGGGCGCTTGAGGTGAGGAATCTTGCGTCGGCCCAAGCTTTTAACAAAGTTGTGAACTTGGGGAGAGGTGACACGTCACCACCACAAACAGGAGAGACACTGTGAGTGACGACAACGACAGTGACTCAGGAGGCCGCTGCGAGTCCATAGCAGCAATGAAGTTACAAAACATCGTGACTCGTAACCCAAAAATCCATAATAACAATGTTGACAGTGAATCACTCCAGTGACACCACTTGTTCTCGGCGCCGAGCCTTGCCGAGCCTTTTCGCCCGGGTTTTTGTTTTTCCGCCCCACCCCACCCCCGCGGGTAGAGGGTGCTAGTGATGGTCAACCCCGTGCTGTTCACAGCCTCGTCACAGATTTAACGCTGGGATTGGTGATACGGCTTCGGATATATCGGTTTTCGTGCCAAGGAGACACATAAATCTGGAGATGGGACGAACGTCGGTGACATGAATCCGTTAATACTCGCTCGGCCTTCCTGCCCTGTTTCTTCCCCCAGGGGGGTATAAATATCTGTGAGTCAGCTCAACTGCTGAACTTTCTTTCCTGGTCGTCATCATCTGCATGATCATCATGAACGTCAACATCATCATGGTGCTCAACAGCAGCATCCACGAGACCCTCGTGCCTGTCCGTACCTAGACACTAGGATGTCAATCTCGCGCAGAGATGCAGGACACACACCATCCTCCCAAGCATAGCAATGACCGTCCCGGGACCTGAGGCTTCCAGCTCTTATTCACAACAAGTCTCACAGCAACAGCTTCCGTCCTCGTGCATGACAATCCATTCACGGCCTTTGTCCTGATATATCGGGACAAAGACAGACCCACCACGATTGATATGCACTCCTGCACCTGCAAGATGTGACTTTTGTTCCATGCTCGGACCGATTTGAGGCCAGAGATCTCGGAATCTAAGAGCGCATGTTCAACTGTTCCGCCTCAAGCTCTGTAAGGTGGTCCATAGCAAGTGTATTTGCCTGTAAGTGTTGTGTCGACTTTGACACTCCGATCTGGCTGATTTTGCTGACCATGCAGTCTTTCTCCAGGACCCTGAACTCAAGAAGCCATTCAAGGTCACTCAACAGCAGACCCACCTTCTTCTCAAGACTCGGCTCACTTCGACCAGCCAAGTGGACTGACGTAATGTCCTGACACACCTCTACCCTATCCTCCAGGGTATATATATACACCTTATCTTTGGGCGCGCGACCGCCCATGACGCCGAGTTCGTCTCCCTCTGCTTTGTCACAATGACCACTTCTGACCTCTTCTCAGGTTGCCTCGTTGCCCTTGCCCAGTGTGGTGACATCACTCGTGCTGTGGCACAGTGCGAATCCAGGACATGTACCTGCGCATGGAGCACGGCACCGTTTCCCTGCAAAGCAGATCCTGTCGCCGCCCACTCAGAATCGACAATCAAAGGGGCCTGCGCTCGCTCTGTCTTGGCTCGGGTCTTGATGCGGAAGCCACCAAATGGTGCGCGGTGCCTCAAGCAACCCATGGGTCCTGTGCCGGTCGCGAGTATTATATATAAAAATCAATGGTGGCCAAGTCGAGTTCCGGTCGACGTGAGTTTGTGTCCTTGCTGCAACAAGACCAAGGTCGCGGACCTTTGCTGACCACCGTTACACAGGAACGACGTCGAGTCCTTTCCGTCTTCAGGCGGGGCCGCTCTGAATTGTGGCCTCTTTATATTGCGGCCGGGGTGGACGGTTCAGAGTGTTTGTCACTGTAAGTTTGACATCACCATCACCTGCCAGGGACAAAGCGACCTTGCTGAGTTGTTCAACAGAGCTGGCGTTGAGTGAACGTACTCCGCCTCCTAGTGGCAAACATCGCGAATTGTTGCCTCTTTATACCGTCCTGGCCGCGAGGTGGGCGATTCGAGTGTCTGGCTCTGTAAGTGCCTGGATCAATTGCTCCAAGGTGGAGACGATACTGACAATCCCGCAGTTCTGGCGTCGAGTAGAGCATACTCCGCGGTGTCGAGCCAGCCTTGAATCGTCGCCTCTTTATATTCCCACCCTGTGGTGGCCTGCCCACATGAGGAACTCGGTCAGTATAGACTCTATCACCTCAGTTGAAGATGCTCTACTGACCACCCCCCCCAGGACTGCTGTTGAGGACATACTCCGCCTGTCGCATTCGGCCCTTTCGCACTGCTGCCTTTGACAAAGAATGCCGGACCGGGATGCAGCTCGGGTATGTGTTTCAGCAAAAGCCTCAGCGGTCTTGCTCGCGAATATGCTCGCTGACTCTGTCCTAGCTATTCCGGTGCAGCGAGGCACGATGGCTAGCTCCGCGGCGGTCAAGGCAATGTCGCGCTCTGTGTGAATATCGACGGTGAAGAGCAAAATTGGTAGCTGGAGACTTTACATGGTGACATGGATTCACATAATGTCCCATCACGAAGAAACCATCACTTGGTTTCAACCTTGGTCCTCCATCCAACTGCCTCTCTCCCACTGCCTCTCTCTCTTCCCTTTCTGCCAGCGCGAACAAAGCGCCAACGACAAAAGCAACAGCCCGCCACAGTATCTCCTCCGGCACACGGCACGAGCGAACATGGGAAGACGACGCAGAGAGTACACGGAGCGTGAGCTCGAGGTAGCACACATCCTGGTCACCTTCCACTTGACGGCGAGGGAAGTGGTTCCAGGTGTAGAAATCGTCTACTACCCAGCAGGGTTCAGCGTCCTCAGCAAGTCAACATGACCGTACAGCAACAGCCGCGGGCTTTGCGGCCGACGCCGGGCTGGGTAGCAAGAGCAGGAGCAGGAGCAGGAGCGGCAGCAACAACGGCAACAGGAGGAGCAGTCCCACTGAGAACGACAACGAGGACGACAACGAACCCAGCGTTGCACAGAGGCAGCCAACCTCACCCTGCCCCCAGTACTGGCACATTCATTCGCCCTTCTGCGCCTCTCCGTCCTGGCACCCCATTCGCGCACCAGTCGCCTACACCGACGGCGGGGACTCACCAGGCCGCGATCCCAGACAGTCACGCGCGGCCGCTACCACCGACACAGTCACCGGCACAGACACCAGCACCATACCGATACAGCTGCTACGCGTGCCAATATGTCTCGCAGAGGGTCGGGTGCGTGGTGAACCACATGGTCAACCAGCACGGCGTGGATCGGGCTCGGGTGGACATAGCCAGGATCGAGGCTTCAAGAGTACAGATGCTGTGGTGAGCCGCCGAGGGCCCAAACTTTGGACAAGGGCAGGAGAGCAAGCCAAGCAGATGATGGGGTCGGTGCGTGTGCGGTGCATTGCATTGCATTGGAGAGAAATTAGCACAGCAGGAATGGAGGCGACGAGCTCTCTCTCTGGAACGCAGGCCACGCCTGGAATCTACCGCACAAAACAGCCACCTAAACAAGCTCACTATAGGCTCTGAATATTGACTTTGATTTTTTTTTCTAACTGTCTGACTCTGTCGCTTGCTATTGTTTTTTCCTCTTTCCACCTTTCACCCATGCACGCACGATCCGGAAACACAACGAATTCCACTAAAGTGTTGTTGCTCACTCTGACACTATCAGTAATCTTGACCGCGGTCGCCTACTTCGGCCATGCCGCAGACAAGATCTGCAAGCTCCTTCTGGAACTTGTCGTGCAGATAGGCCGCAGTGAGATCAAGACCATTTGTGATAGCCCCTAGAAAAGAAACGAAGAAGTAAGCAGATGCGCATTACAGGTGAGAAGGAGCAGTGTCTTGAGAACGGCAGATACCGGAAGACCAAATCCTTCCATCTCTCTCCCATCTCCGCGCCACAAAGTTCCCCGCAGGGAATACCTCCTTCAGCTTCCCCAATAGAGCTCTCGGTCCAGTGACGGTCTTGCCGTCCAAAAGCCCTGCGAACCCGGCTGGAAAACTCCCCGTGCAGATGACCAAGATGTCGGTCTTGTCGGCTGCTTTGTGCGCGCGGAGGAAGGCCAAGACATCTTCACTAGGAACGGTGCGTGGGTCTGGACCCGGGATGAGGAGAGCTTCGAGTTGGCCCGGCTGCACAGCTGGCGACGACAGAGAATCCGTCACGGGAAGCGTGGCCGAGGCCGTCAAGGCCATGTAAGTGCCTGGCCCTGTCGCACTGATGTAATGGATCTCCACCGGAACGCCCATGTCGACGAGTGCGCTGGGGAGACCGCATGCCTGGAGGTATTCGGGGGTGATCATGCCGAAGAGATCAATGGCTGAAGCATCGAGGAGTTGGACCGATGGTAGCAGAAGGACACCCACGCGGAAGGGGGTTTTAGTTGGTGTCGTGGAAGTCATTGTGGTCGTCAAACAAGAGAATTTCGACTTGGCCTGTCGTCGTTAAGGTTATTGCTTTGCTGATGAGTACTTTGCCTCTTGCGAACAGCCAGAGAAGTCGACCATGGCGAGGTATAAGTACCTTCCCGCCATAGAGTAAAGCATCGTTTCCCAAAAAAAACTGCTGCCTGATTTTTGCTCAAGACCAAGATGAAGTTCTGCTAGAAGATGAGATTGTCTACCAAAATAATGTCTTAGTATGGGCCTTTCTATGAGCATGGAATGTTCTGATCGGCAAAGTCTTCGAATGGTTCGTGTTTGGGATCATCCAGAGGGTCGACCGGGCCAGAGTGAGGCCGAAGCCTCGTGGATGGAGATATCAAGTTGGCCGCACTTGGAAATTCTCCTGATCTGGTTAGACTGGAAACAGGCGAATGGGACGAATTCGTTCCGGCCCCCAAAAGAACTCCGAAACCTCAGGATTCTTCCGGTCTTGGAACTTGGCCGAGGACATTCGACGAACATATAAGTACTCCGTACCGGGTAATGAGGAGCGGTTCGCTATCTACCTACATGTCTTTCCAGAGGCGTCGCTCGCCACACGGCAGATGCCCTTTCTCCCTCTACCTGGTAGGCTTGCGGCCAAGGCTTCGGAGCTCCTGGCAAGCTGCCTTAGCTGCCGCTCGGGTTCAGCCTCCCTGGGGACCGGACTCGCCAGCTTTTGACGTCAAGATAAAGGGGGAGGCAGCCAGCTTTCACAAACCAGGCTTGGCCAACCTTGGCTGAATTGAGGACTTTTGGTATGGAGTGCCTCTCATCAACGCACAACGGCGGGAAGGAGCCCCTGAGGAGGTTGGAGGTTGGGAAGTTGTTTCCAACGTTTGTCGCCCATCGGACTTTCCCAGTTTTTAAAGTTGTTCCCTATCCGGCGCCTTACCGAGTGTGGTCTAGCCGTCTCCATATAAATAGAGGCTAGCGCCGTCTTTCCGGCTCCACCCCCGAATGGGCAAAACGGTGAAAGGGCCTGCCACCATCTTTTTTCCCATTCTCCCCCAACCCAATCCACTTATCCAACATCCAAACGTCTTGTCGTCGACAATACGCGTGCGCGCCACCGGGTTTTTTTTTTTCTAATTGTCTACTCTCCTACTATCGTATTCGTTTGGCCCTAACGGTCACCGCGTACAATTAAAACTTATTCTCGCCGCGCCGTTTTCATTCTTCTTCTTCTTCACCTCTCTTAGGTAATACTATGTCCCCGTTCATCAGTATGCGGCGCTTTTCTCGATCCGGGTCTGTCCACAATTCGCAACCCTCAGCCTCGACCTCCCATCAATCAGCACCTCCCACCTCGTACACGCCTCCTCTCTCACACGCACCCATGATGCCAAACGGCGGCACGGCGGGCTCTCTGCACGACTCGAGACCCGTGTCGGCGAAGACCAGCTCGAGCTTCGACTTTGCCAATCGCCCCCCAACCAACTACCAGATGACGGCCCTGCCGCACAGCGCCGTCGGAAACCTCTCGCGCACCGACCAGATCGTGTTGCGACACTTTTGGGACATCAAGTACGACGAGAACAAGTCTCGAGACCTCCATTTCGTAAGTTGCTCCAACTCTCGGCGAGAAATGGTGAGACAATCGACTGACTTTGTGCTTCTCAATTTCTTTTTTCGGGGCGGTAAACAGCTCAAATTCCCCTTCTTTCCACAATATCCGACTCATCAGGATTTGATTCCCTACTGTGAGATCTACCACTTGGTCAAGACTTCACCGGGCGCGAAGATCATCAGTCTTGGCAGCGCCAACGGCGTCTACATTGGGTAAGTGATTGGAATTTCCTTTTGAGAGGAGCCGAAACTCTTGTCGCCACGTGGGGATTTGCACGAGGGCGCGCGACTTGGGCAATCTGAGGAGCAGACTGTCTATTGACTGTATCGTGATGATAACAACCTCCATCTAATCATCGTCGATCCCCAGGTTCGAGCTCTTCTCAGGCTCCCAACTCCACATCGACATGGACGACAGCTGGCAGAACATTTCGCACCACCGCGTCTCCTTCAAAAAGTACGACAAGATGCTCAAGGACCCCGCGTCGGACGCGACCTTCAAGTCCTGGCCAAAGCCCCTGACCATTGAATTCCTCGAGGAGCAGTATCAGCGCTGGGTGCTCGACCTGACCAGTCTCTGCTGGGAAACCGCCGAGGTTAGAGAGCTCGGCGGTGGCGGCGGCAGTGGCGGTGGTGCCGGTGGGGGCGCGGGTGATGGCCTAGAGGGGAGTGTCGACGGGGACTTGAAAGACGACATGTTGTAGGTCCTGCGTGTCGTGTGAGGGTGATTCAGACGATCGACCATCAAGATCATCAACGTGAGGCCCTTTCGGAGGGTGTGGCCTGTGATGCGAAAAAGTCAGTGTCGGGGGGCGGCCAAGGGCGCGGGCGCGCGCCCTACTTCTAATCTGGACTGTGGCAGATTTCTGCAATCAAGCGCGGCCTGGCCTGTGTTACAACTGTATGCACGGGCGTGGGCGGCCGCGACGACGACAACAACAACAACTCACAAATCACAAATCACAAAAGCACTACTCCAGCACCACGTCGCAACAACAACAACAGCCAGTCCACAAAAGCAACCAGGAAAAAAAAAAGTTTTAATTCGCCATGAGACGAAATGGGAAGGAAAGCTACTTGAAACTTGACACGAATACACCACACGAGGGAACACGGTGGAACGGCCTCTTGTTTTTTTTTTTTTTTTTTTTGCTGCTTGTTATTTTCTCATTGGCCCTTTCAAATAATGTGATGGATTGGACTGGGATGGGATGGGACAGGATGAGCTGGGACAGTGCTAGATAACTGACGACTTGGAATGACACTGAAAAACTTGAAATGATAACGAAATACAATCAACTCGACGGGAATACCTGGAATTCCTGTGTAGAGCCGGGATAGCTTCTCCCTGTTATCTCCTACTACCTCGAACTTCGTAGACACACCGGGTACATACCTCGTCCTGTCCAGGACTGTCCAGGACAGGCAGGGTGCTTGCATGACGTGATTTCTTGCGTGTGTGTACAATTTTCTTCGGGACAAGGTTTAAACGTATAAACCACACCTGCCTGCCTGCCTGGCTACCTGCTAATGAGGTGTCGCCGTCGCCGTCCTTTGCCTCGCGTCGTTGTATTTCCCACGTCTGCTCGCCGTAAATGTGTGCGCGGGTGTGTGAGTGTGCGTAGCAGCGTAGCACAGATAAATGTGCTGGCTGCTGGCTGCCGACTGCTCATTAGCGGTTGGCGATTACCGTTGAGGCCAGACATCTTGCCTCTACTTCTGCAGGTTGCCGTGTGTCTTGTACCATGATATGTAGCGAACCGACGTATCTGTCGTGTGTTGTTTGTTCCTCCGCCGAGGAAATGGAGCGCCAGAATCCGTGACACGTTCGTAGCCTGGGCAACTTATGTACTGATGCGTCTTCAGCTCATCGTTGTAATCCCGTGTGGATCAGTGCAGCCCGGCCTAAAATATCCCACCCGCTCGCGCTTCATCGTGATATCTGGTACCGTTTCATCCTCACGAGCGAGCGACCTTTGAGGAAAACCGTCGACGTCCCGAGACATGAGGACTACATCAAATAAAACCCACATGGTACACCAGCGAGCGGATGGCCTTGGACCGTACGCCTCGAAGTTACTTCAGCGAAGATCCGAAATACCAGAGTCTGCGTTGGTTGCGCGTGAGATTGACATCTCCAGTATGTGTCTGCCACCACCGACGACCAGGTGGTCGGTTCAACGGTAGAGCTGCCCGTTGAAGCGGAAGCATACTCGTGCCCCAGAGTCCTCGGCGGCGATGACTTAAAACCAACCTCCAAAACATCCTCTAGCAATGCCAGGCTGAAACATCTCCCAGGGCGAGAAAGAGAGGAAGGGGGCTTGAGTGATGAAACACTATAGCACAACTTGCTGTTCCCCTCGCTTCTCTAGTACCCACTAGCTATATACCACTACCTCGAATGATCTAGACTCTACAACAAGAGCCGCGTCTGACAAAAGTACCATGCATGCAAAAGACCCCATAGAACGAGGGTGGATGAAAAACGCCCTGGCGTGTATATAATGTGACAACAGCCTCATCTCTGGCCGGGACAAGGGAACACGGCCTGCCTGCCTCATGCTGGCGTGTTTAAAACCGACGGCATCCTCGCCCTGTTCCCACTTGCGTCACATCACATGCCCTTCGTTGATGCCTACCTGTCCTCTCGTATTGAATCGCCCCTTCGGAAACCGACCAAAATTTTGACGGGTCATCGCGCGTTGAAACCCCAGAGTGAAGCACGTTGATCGCCAGCCAACCCAGCCGTAGATCAAATTGTGGTCTCCTTCGAGTCTAGCGTGGTTACACAGGACGAACATCACAACCTGCCCCCAGCATCCCCCAATGAGTGAGTGTGAAGATTGCAAGACGTAACCATTGAACAAGGGGAGGCCTATTGAGATTTGTTGATGCAGGGCGAAACCCTGGCTGTCAATCCCCAATGGACCATGGCATCCGCGGGTAGGTATACGAGGAAGTGATTCTCGTGTTTGACATGCGTTCAGGACGGTGTAGTTGGCTTGCTGATGCGTCCCGTGGCTGAGCAAGTTTCAAAAGGGGGCAAGCAAACAGGGGCCACCAGGGGGTCCAAGACGAGTGATCAACTCACGTTTCAGTAATGCGCAAGGATAAAGGCGTGTAGATCCAGGGATGGCCTTGCTCGTCCGTCCACAAGACCACATCTGAGGCAGATCTCAAAATGTCAAAGCGGTCAAAATAGAACGTACCAATACTGGTCACCACTTGTTTTTTTTTCTGGTGAGAAGGGTCGCCCATCGTTACGGTGTGCCTGGTCGAATGCCCTGGGCGAGATACTCTCGGGATCGTGTCATTTACAGTGCCAAATCATTGGCTTCCCTGCCAAAGTGATGATACTTCCAGAGCGGCGTGTTCTTGCTGCCTCACAGGTCGAGAGACTCAAAAGGATCCGTGGGTGCGAGGCTGTAGGGTGTCCAGCAACAGCAGTCATGAGATATTGGCCCAGGTATAACCAGCATTTGTGAAACTGCTCTGAGCCTCAAGAAGATAGATTCCTGGTACACCTTGGAATTGCCCGGAGAAAGTCAGAGACGGATGGACAGCAAAGAACAAGCGAATTGATCAGCAATGCCTCCCCTCCTGTCCCGACCAGATTGCCTGCTGTCATCGTCTTTGCCGGTTCGAATAAAAGGCGCATGGAGCTCCATTGAACCGTCCACAACGAGAGGCCACAAAGTCTGTCACGCGCTCAGACGTCGTCAAATGCGCATTCTTTCTCTCTGAAGTGGAACCACGTGGCAGCGCCAAAGCGAGATCCAGGTCCGGATCTGGATCTCAGAAAGGCAACTATTTCTTTGCTCTGCTTCGAAGATCCTTTTCGATTTGTGCGCATATTGGCCGCACCTCAAAATGCGTGAGTGCCATCCGTCGCTTCACATTGGGCCGCTCTGCAGAGTTGCTCACCGCCCAATGCCCATCCAGTCAGAATCCCTGACTCGCACGAATACGCGCTGCATTCCTCAAAGCCAAGATTCAGCTTATTGAGTGGCGCACACACAGATATCGATCCCGCCCTAAGTACTCCGTAGAGATTGTCAAAGAGCAAATAGATTCAAGGCAATCGATGGGACGGCCTGTCTGATGTCGGTCTCTCCTGATTTCCTCAAGAGATAAGCGTAATTGGAATTCCGCACGTCTTGACCTGTCGCTGGCCAAAACAGGTGAAACTCTCAGAAGGTCATGATTAATGCCGCAAATCAGACCTCACTTCTGCCGTTTGAGGCTCGTTGATTGGCCTCTCGAGAAAAGAACAAAGGACCCGGCTAGCTGAATGGAGGGACAAGAGCCTACCAGCTGGGCGATGACTGCCCCGAGATGTGCCCCGTTGATATTGCTTTGGCTTGCATCATGTGTGATGGAGGGACCTCTTCCCACCCCCAGGTACACAAGGACGGGAAGTGTAACAACATTGCACTGTTGAAATGACATGTCCTCAACTTGGTCGACGTCCAGCCGGGTGGCGACTACACCCCTTGTGTCAGTCGCCGTTTAGAAAGGTCCACACAATTGACCCAGTCTCATAGTGGCTGGTACTGTCTGCTCCAGCTCAACGCCTCGTGGTATCACTGAGACATGGCCGCAGAGTCTGAAGTGGATGAGCTTTGCCGATAAAGTCTCCACTCACGAGTCCAGGACGCAGCATTGAATCCAGCATTCCGCGGTACAATATCAATGTAACACCCGTCGTCGGTTCGTGTTGTAGTCCTGACCGCATCTGGGGTAACGTGGGTAAATCCTACCCAGAGCAAGGCAGACAAAGTCCCCTACATGTACTCCATGATACAAACCGAATGCGGATATTCATTCGAGGGAAATTACCACTTACCAGAATGGCGTTGGCGCCGCCACGGCATCAATGTCACTGCCTTTGATTAGTCCAGCCACACCTACTCATTCAATATCTCCACCTTTGGAAGATGTCAAACATTATTTGACTGAAGAAGAGGTCGCAAGGCTGTGACCGAGAAGGCTGGGAATAAGTGGAACCTTGGATTCGCCTAATGCGGACATGGCGTCCGATATTATTATTCCCAGACTCACGGAGTGGACTCGAAGGAGATTAAAAACAATAGTAGTGGAGTCTGTATTGGTAAGACGGCTAGAACAAATCGTATCGTCATGACAGGTACTGCTGAGACAACTAACACTGGGGCAGCAATTCCGTTCTGATTAGCGCAAGGAAAAGCAGACAAAAAGGCAGCCACCATTCCTCAAACAGTTATGCCCGCAACGCACAAGGCTCTGAAGAAAAGGGGCCGGACGGACAGTGCCGACTTCCGCCAGAAACAAATCTCGGACAAGTGAAATAGATAAAAGGAGAGTGGACAGCTGATGGCCCAGGGCCAAAACACTGTATGTCGACCATGTCACGCAAGGTGTTTCACCGCTGACCTTGCCTCTGCGTTCTAGTGAGTGGGAGCCACTTGTAGAAGCGGCATGTCCATAGGACGCAAGCCTGCTGCTAGAGGAGGCAATACCCTGAGCAGCAGAAACGTATATCTCGTCATGGACCGAGATCTTGGCTCAAAGGCCACCAGAGGCCTTTGTCCCCTCTAAGCCCTCGAGAGCCTGCTTTTTCCAGTACTCGTAGAAGAAAGGCATCGAGTCTTCAGAGATTTTGCCGACATTGCTGACGATGACGTTATGCTCAATGGTAAAGACTTTGTCGAAGCGGATGCGACTTGTGTGATGTAACTTAATGTCCTTGGCTGCGGCGTCCACCATGATAGCCTGTTTCTCCAGGATAGTCTCATTGGGCAGAAGCTGTGGTACAGTGCCCCTCATGTAAATGATGGCGTGTGCCTGGATGTCCTCCTCGTCGGTCACGTTGTACCTGGTAGTCCCCTGCTCATGGTATGTGTTGACGGGGATCGCCCACGAGAACCCATGGCCTTGCTTCACCACGGCGAAACGGCGGATCTGGCTATAGATCTTCTGGCCGTATGGACCAGGGGTCACGCAGCCTGTGTCACCTGCAGGCCTTGCGGTCGCTGTCTCATTGTCATGCCATAACATTGTGAAGACTCTGCCCAAGCTAAAGAACCTACTCTTCCTTATGATATAGCGTCTGTCAATTGACTCCTTTGAGGCGGGATTTTGCGTGGTTTCGTGAGAAGACTTTGGTCGCCCTAGTTTGTTGTTTCCCTTCCATGATGTCTGTGAGACAGACAATGGCATTTCAGCAACTCCGTCTCCCAATGCCTCACGCATTCGTTGAAGCTGCTTGGCGAGTTGCTCGACTTTTTTTTCGACTTCTTGGCTGCTCTTGTTGAAGTACACTCCAAAGACGCCCGAGTTGAGCCCTTGTGACAAAGTACCGTAGCTCTTCACCACTAGGTAAAGTCGAAGACAAGTATCTCGGAGGCGAGGCTGCTTGAGAATTTCGCACCTCACTGCTTCCAGAAGGATTTGATAGTCTTGAAGATCGGTTGATTTTCCATGCACTACCTTTTCAAGGTTTCTCATGGCTCCCGGCTGCAGGGGGTCCCACTTCCGGATAGCTTGCCATAGATTATTATCATCAAGATGAACACAGTAACTGATTTCGCCTGGTTCGCTTGGTTTCAGATCGCTGATTGTTGGTATTGTGAGATTTCGAGGCCTTGCGGATGGACCAGCACCCTCTTCATAATCACCTATGGCGCTCTCGCTGGCGCCACAAAGGTCACGAGCAGTGGTCATATCCTTTGCACAATCTTCAGTCCTCGAAGGGATTTCTGGCCCTTTTCCCTTGATGTCTTGAGGTACCCCGGGTCCAGCGGACCTGGCCGAGCCACCTACACCATCATGTTTCGCCCATGAAGCTGACTGCTGGCCCCCAGCACGACGCCCCTTTCGCTTGGATTGCTGCGGAGTAGACATCGGCTTCGCCAAAAAGACGAACGTTATCAGATTTGTTCAGGACTGGGCGGCGTCGTTGGCCGAGGTATCTGCTGGCAGGGCTACTGAAGGCAAGAAAGCAATGGATAGATACGCTGACTTGAGCGCCAGTAACGGCAAAGACAGTCCTGGTTGGTGGATGAGTGGTTCGCCCTAATCAAAGCCCACCTGGAGGTTTGCAGAAACTCACAAGTTGGGAACGACCCATCGCACCGTCGAAAATGCCATCGATGATTCTTCTTATACAAGATGGAGGGGGGCCACCCGAGGACCACTTCCCCTCGTCATTTGTGCCCTTGAGGCTCTTTGAACAGACCCTTGCCAGATGGCGCCTCTAGAGCAATGTGATGGAGGGTATGGGCTTCCATTGTTCCCTTCTGCCGCACGCATGGTCGAGGCAGCGTCAAGGTAGGGTTATTGGAGGGCTGTGAAGGCTAGCTGGGGTGGCGTTTGGTGCTAAGAGGAGCCTGCTGACGGGAGAAGCGACTTGAACCACCTCTACGGGCAGCAGACAAGATAGAGCGAGAGAACGAGCGACCTAAGGAGGGAGGGGGGCAGCTAGCTGGGGATCACGAAGGGAAGGGGGTTCAAGGGTAGCTTCCAATGTGTGAAGGACCAAAGGGGTAAAAGTAGCATGCTGCTTGGTGTTTGGTGCTGCAGGTGCATTACGGGTAATATTACCTCGTACTCAAATGACACAATTACAAGCACCAAACGCTCCATTACATACTTTAGTAAATTAACTAACCTGGGTAGTGACACCACCTTCGCCTACTCCTCATCCTGTGCTTCTTCGGCCTATTATTTGGCAGATTTATGGCCTCCCTGGACTGCAAGACGCTGCCCTGGCCCGGGGCAAACCGTTCATTTATACAAAAGGCATGCCTCCCCTGATAGTAGGGCCTCTGGGTCAACATGAAATTCCTCTCACCCGTTCTCTGGAATGGCCTCTATCTTATCATGGTTCAGGGGCAAGGGGGAAAAAAGAAAATCGCAGGCTGGGTAAGTCAGGTTGCACAGACCCAATTACTCCTGGCCGTATATTGCCGTTTTGACACGTTGGTGACAGCTTGGGAACTACTCCCTCGGAATCACCCAACCTCCCACATTCTGCGGCGAGACTCCAGGATGACTCGAGCGCACGCGCAACTTGTGCTTTTGTTGGGGCACCTGTCGACGGCCAATCCCCGAAGCAGACCTCCAGTGTGCACAAGAGCATGGAAAACCCAGAACTTCCCATAGATTCAACTCTCAAGACGGGGGAATCTTTAAACGTTTCGGCAGAAGCTCCGAAACAGATGTCTCTGCACAACGACGACGCGGTGGGAGAACCCGGTGAACAGCAAGGCTCAGCAACTCGGATCCCACCATCAAATATCGGTCCCGATGCTCGTCCCAGCACGCCTGATGAGAATGACCGCTCACACATTTTGCGTAGTCACTGGAACCAACTCAATGGCATCGTGGACTCTCTCACCAGCCGCCTCATCACAGCCCACGACCTAAGAGGAGAATCTGTTCGAAAGAGCGATGCGGTTCTCGCCACAGTCGACTCCATCCTGGCTACAGGAGGGGACAATCTTCTGCAAGAACTCCGAGAGTCTCTACTCGGACTCAAGCAGGTCACGACCAAAGTGAAGGAACAAGATCTTATATTGATTCAGCAAAGTTACCAGATTGTCAAGCAGGGTTCAGATATCTTTGGTCCCGCAGCTGCGACTTCTTTTCAAGTTCTGGATAACCAAGGAGTTGTTGTGCGACGACGGCAAAGTTCTACAGAGGAATCTATACCTGACGACGATATTCGACTCGACGAGACCCCAGAGGCCCAACGTTATCTCTCCAAAAAGGGCGATGTGGATATGCTGCGGGATATATTGATGAACCTGGACGTGCAGCGGATGATGTTGTTTGACGCGAATGAAGAACCCGACGTCATTGAAGACTTTGAGGTGAAATACAAGCAAGTGTTGGACGAAATGAGGGAGGCCCAAGAGGAATTGGACAAGTTGTACGAAGAACTGCCGGAGAGGAGGGTGAGCATTTCCCAAGAACAATTTTCGGAAATGGACCAGGACGTTACCAGCCAGAGCTATATCGATCACGCGGAGACTGGCAGTGCCTCAGGGTCTCAGCCTCGGCCAGAACTTCCGGCCAACACTCTATCCCACCTTCTCGAAAGCACCGAAGCGGACAGTCGCGATGAATCCACGACACTCGTCAAGGCCTACCTGGACTATCAGCTGCAGCGGTTGGCTCGAGAGGAGCCAAACGTGTCCGAACCAGCTGCAAATGCTAGACAACAAGGCGATAAAGCTTAGGAAATGGTCCCACGTAGTCTTACTGTTGGTAGATGCTTGGAAGAGAAGAAATGGTCTTGTTCCTAAAAATACAGCCTCCCGAAAACAGAACGATTCCTGAGAAGTGATTACTCACTTCCGTGAATTTTCAAGAGAGAGCAAGGCTCGCACGCTGCTCATAATCACCTGGCGGAATAGAGCCTATACCCATCCACGCAACGTGTATCTCGTACAGCAGTGACAACATCTTTGCCGCCTTAACGGACTCAGAGTCTCTGGTGCCGTTCTCCGAATATCCCATCGAAGTCCAGCCGGCATGTCATGTGGACTGATATGTACTTGCATCATCAGACCATCAAAACCCCAAAGGACTCTGACTTTCTTCTCGATTCCACTCCTGGCTTTCTAGAATGACCGTTCGTGACGGAGAAGTTTTGTTTTGTTTTTTCGCAGTCTTGGTCTCGTCCTGTCCGGTATGGGATCTGGTCACGCTGAATAGAATTGGCTTGCCTGTTGGTCCGTACTGTCATCGCTCTTTGAGCATTCCAAGTTGGCAAGTCCAGACAAGTAGATGCAATAGCCTTCAATGGGCCTTAGCCTCGCATCTTAGATAGCAGACTATACTGGCTGTCCAATCAGCTCTGGACAACAACCATCATGGTGCGTCTATCCAGGAAGATCTTCAAAGGGAAGCATCCAAAGCCTTGATTCAGGTAGTCTGCTCAATTGAAAGAAACCTCGTCGGGTCGCTGGTGACCTGATTACTCAGGTGACACAGCCATGACTGATGGTCTCCCGACATTGCCACAAATTGTCGGTTCTTTGGTTTGCCTCAGAGTATTTCCACTGTCGTGCTACCATGCTTGGTACAGCGGAGGGAATTCTTCAGTCAGCTCGTGACGGGGTTGTTAACACGGGACCAGTTCGGCTAGCTGCAGTGCGACCTCTCAGCACTGCACTATACCAGATGACGGCCCGAGCCTCAACGACGAAGAAACCAGGATCCCTGTTCCCTGATGCACGGCATATTAGTGCAGGGTAGCAGGCAACTCGAAACTAGGTTGACGTTGCAAAGACGTGTCAGTACCCATGCACCCATGTCGAGGCATGTTCGAGACTCTGAAACATTGGATGCACAGCCTCTGTTCAATCCCAGTCTCTTTGTGCGGCTGGCCAATGAAATAGGCAACCATGGCATCCTCTGCAACGGCCTCGAAAGAGAGACACGAAAGATAGCCGTCCATCAATTGGTCGCAGTAGCCAGAAATAATGCGCTTTTAGTTGCCCCAGTGTGCCATTGGATGCTTATGATTTTTTGAATTCGGCATCCGGAAGTGGAAAGCCGAAAAATACCGCCGTCATTACTGGGATTTTCAATCATGATTGCAGAAGCCAAAAGAGGATTCAACTCGAAAACATCAAGTGCCGAACTGGCCAGCAAAAATCCGCTATCATGGTTGTTGCTCCAGCATTACTCCAGGGTCGGCAGGGTTCGACAGCGAACACCAACTCTGTCAGTCCTTTACCAACGAGGTTCTCCCTTCCAGAACAACTACTCGAGTCAGCGATTCCTGGTAACAAGGGTTAACAAAAGCTCTGTTAGGTAGTGCCCCAATTTAGGCCCCGCACGGTCCGGCACTGTGGGATGCGCCTGGCTTCATCGAAGGATTTGCAGGCCGCCCGGCGTCTTTCCGATGGCCAGTCCCGAGAATGGGCGGGTGGAGAGAGATCCACTCTGAAGAACACAACATCAATCAACAACAAGCACTCGTACGACCTCGAGAACGGGCAAGGCGGGTTAGTTGGAGCGATTTGGCAAGTGACTAGGTGGTGGTGAGTGATTGCGTGGCGAGCCTGATAGGCTGGTGCAGAGCTAGCCCTTTCTCCTTTTCCTTCGTCGTAGCAATGCGGCTGAAGATAATGGCGACAATGCTCCCATCACAGAGCACAGCAACGGAACTTCAATTCCTTGGTAAGTCGTCGGAGGAACTTGCCTAAGCTGAAATCTCGCATGAGGGGTGGGTAAATCCATGATCGGTAGCAGTGGGAAAGATGAAGCGACAAAGGAGACTGGTAATTGGCTAGTAGGGGCCTGGTGACTCGACATCCTCTGGAAAGGTGGTGTCCTGTATTTCCAAACACGAAGAGCAGGGTCGGACAGCGACCTGTATCCCTCGTAGGCTCCTGCTTGTCAGGCATCTTGTTGCACCAATTAGGAACCCTGGATGACCCTTTTGGAGGCCAGGGTCTTGAGACCCCGTGCCGACGAGTAGCCCGAGACCAAGGGCTTCCAATTAGTGCAAAGTTAGTCGGGATTGTGCCAATAGACTGGTTGATAGCAATGCGCAAAGGACATCTGGAAACAGACCAGGGGGAATGTATGCTGCGAACTCCAGTTCATGGCACATGCCAACACATCGAAGGAATCTTGCCGTTTCGAGGCCTGGGGCAAAATCACGAAGCATTCAGCCGCTCGTGATCAGCCGGAGCTTGGATCATAGCGAATCCTTCCAGGTGGTTGGCCATGAATGGGAATAGCTTAGAGCCGGTGCTGTGCATGCGACTACAGCAAGTGAGTCTCTTCTGTGATTCCATCAGCACGACCCAGTCTCCCTCTCTGCCTACGCTTGATCGGTAAGTTCCCTGGCTTCTGTTCTCCACAGAGAGGCTCTGCGGCTAAAAAAGGTCACCGAGCTCAGCCGAGGCATTGTTGCGAGCGTCGTTTGTCGAAGGACGAGGCCGAGGAGAAGCTGACATACTGAATCGGCGTTTCGAATGTACTCGTACGCCCTGAAATATGCAACGTACTAGGAAGGTAACATAAACAGTGCTATGAGATATGCATTTCATAAATTCGTAAAGGGCCTGCGACAAGCAGAGCCAGGACCAGCTGTTCTCCTGGACCATAAATTTCCAATCTGTAAACCAAACACGAAAGAAGTGGAATAGGTGATAAGACAACGTCGTCCAAGGCAGAAAAACACACTGGAACAGATGGTTAAAGGCCCACGCTCCGTGCTCATGGGTAGAGACCGCCTCGTCTGTGGAAAACCAGTCAAGGAGGATCTGTGCTGTTCTGGTCGGAGACACTCTGGGGCTAAAAGAACGTAATCGTCGTAGGCAGGAATAAACTCGTTGGGGAAAGACATTCTCAAGAAGGAAATTCCATCAAATCCCGTTATATCATGGCTGACGTCGAGGTAGAAGTCGACAACGTAAGTGGTCCCGAATCAAGCGTGGAATGGTCTGGGTAGATTCGGTAACGTATTTTGAAATGTAGATTTGCGGGGGAAGCGGTGCTTCAGAGGCGTCTCAAGGCTCCTAAGGGAGAGTGTTGATCGTCTGGTAATATGATAGCAGATAAGGTAGACTCTCTTTGGTCACCCAACCAACATCCATGGCTTTCACGGTATGTTGCACCGTGTGCGGCTGGGAGTAGCAGAGACGGCTCAACGAATTCAGTTTTTGATCTGCGGTTGCTTTCGTGACTGCAATAGGTCTTTTGTTCGATGCAGGTTCACCTGGGTGCTGCCGAGGTTCTGTGTCGTCCATATAGATTATTGAATGGGCATCAACGTCCTTGGGTGATGTCGCGAATTTTGCCAGACCTCTTTTGCCATAGGTATTGATTTGGATACATACACTGCAGCCATGGTCCTGTCGGACAACAACCATCCTGCGAATCGAGCTGTAAATGGGCTCGCCATAGAGTCCGATGCTGACGTTTGCATTCATGTATGACTGTCGTGAGCTGTGGCCGGCGTATCCCTGGGAGTCATTGAAGGGCTCGTGCCAGAGAATGGCAAATACGTGCCCAGGTTGATAGAAGACCGATTTTCTGGTCACGAACCTGGGGTCTAGCCCGTGGGCTTTCTCACTTCGTGGAATTTGGGTGGTGGAACCTGGCTGACTAGGGTGGCTTCTATCAGTTCCTTCACCATGCAGAGTCAAAGGCGCAAGGCTCGGCGGGGAAGTTACTCGAGAGGTGCGGAATGGGAGTGAGCTTTGCTGAGCTTGAATAGCCGTAGTAGATGTCCTAATCTGCGTCGGGGACTGCTGGGTGCTCGTGGCGGTTGTTTGAAGGCTTGGGTCGGCACCCTGCAACTGTCTCATAGCACGTGCACGAGCTTCACCCAGCCCTTCATCAAACTGTTTCCTAGTAAGGGACTTTTTGTCGAGGAGCTGGTCGAAGTAGTGTTTCGCAGCTTCAGTCACCTCTTCTGTTGTTACTCTCCTCGATTGTAGAGCTTCGACAGGTTTCCTTTGCAAGTATTGTAATTGCCTGAGAATCACATGTTGCTGGATGCAACCATCCCCGTACAGCGATCTGCTACTATTTTGCAGCTCAGGCCTGGAACTGGCAAAACGATACGCTTGAATTGCTTCTGTCAGAAGAGCTTCTGGATCCTGTTTGAGAATCAAGGGATGTGCTCGAATATAAGTTGCGACCTTCTGGTAATCTCCACTTGGAATATCTGCGAAACGTTGCAGAGATAAGTCCAGACTGCTGTTGAATGATGACGGCCCAGGAGCGCTTGGAAGGGAAACTCTAGGATTTGCTTGTTCCCTAGTTGCAAGTTGAAAGCTCTGCCCACTTCTGTGCTCAGGGTCAGCAACGAAAGGCTAAGAGGGTCAAGGCAGACCTTACCTCTCCTGAGGGAATATCGGATTGGTCGTAATTGACGGAGATTGATGAGGGTTGGAGATAGGAGGTCTTGCTTGTGCCGGTTGATGGCCGATTTGCGGCGTAGATCGAGGAGCATCGCTGAACACATCAGACTGAGAGCCTCGATTTGGTTGACACGAGGAGAACCTACGAACGTCTTTGGGCAGGACATTGTCTATCGTTCCCCTTGCCACCGATATTTCGTCCTTTCCAAGTCAGCCGAAGAACTCCTATCAGTAGGGGGCAGAGCCTTACCGGCAGCTCGACCTTCACTGTGTCTGTTACCCTGTGTAGGCAAGGGCTTGGGCTGGTCGGGCATGACGGATCCTTTCACCAACCCCAGAATGCAGCAAGGTTTTCAATCAAGCCACATTCAGGTCATCAAGGAATTCTGAGGGAAGAGGGGGTCCCAAGCCCATCATATATCAAGTCGGTCGCGCAGTAGTTATCCATCATCCTTGAGACCTGATAGACCTGGGGTGCTGCTGGTCCAGGCCAGGCGAGTTCGGAAGGGAGTTTCTTTGGACGAGTGGTGGCATATCCTCCAGAAGCCAATGCTGCATATCGCACTTGAGGGTTCGAGTCGACTGGGCTGAAGAATGCAGGTGCTTCAGCTTTGCCTGCGTGTTGGCAACCCTCTCATTTGGCGGGGTGAACAAGCGTGGTGAGCTAGTGCGAGAGAAAGGAAACCTGAGGCACACGGGTAAGAGGTTGTAGGATCGTAATGGAGGGCAGTTCGGTTTGTGCAGTTTGTGCTCTGGTATTGGGTCTGTAACGCGAGTTGTAAGGACGAGATGAATTTCACGGGCCATGTGGATCTGAGATTGGAATGACAGAGAGTTCCAAACGAGCCGCCCCCTGCACCTTCCTCCCTCCCGCCCTTCCTCCCTAGCTGGACGCCTAGCTCGATGCCTAGCTCGATGCCTACAGTTACAAACATAAGGTCCTAGGTGCCGGGGCAGGTTAAAAACCACTCATTCTCTGGCGCAACCACGAGTAAGTGCAGGGGGTTTCGCCCCAGGCTGGTAGGCATGTCGCCAGGCTTCCTTTGGGTAGTGGTAAGACCTGGAGTAGCCATGTGCGCCACCAACCACACCCTCTCCTGTTTCCGTCCATCCCTAGCCTACGAGTAGATCACAACAACACTCTGCATAACGCCTCCCAGGGGTGCCCACGCGTCTCTGTCCACTGACAGAGATTGTCAAGCCGCCAAACGAGTAGTGACACATGCACGAACAGCACAAAGTCAGCGGGTGGAAGTTCCCATCCATGAACCAGCTCTGCCGATACAAGTATGGGCTGGCTCCCGCCTCGACTGGTAGCATCATGCTTCAGTCCCTCGTCCGTACCTCAGTCCTCATCTCTCACTGAGCCTGATGAGCATGAATGCATTCAGCTCTGAACTTCCTCACTGGCGGCCGACAATTCAAGGGTCGGCTTTTTCAATGGTCCAAACCTGCTCCCAAAATGTCAGTCACTAACATCAATCTACCTTGCATCTATCTGCTCTAGGCTCTAACGCTGACATCTCGACTCATAGAGATGGCTTCGCCCCTAAGGAACCTTCTTCCAACCATCTATCGCGCCTATGGAAGCATAGCCGAGAGACGGGCAGGGGGAAATGGGCCTATCTCCCAAAGCCCACCGAGGATCTGCCTGGCACAACCCAGGACCCCCCGTCTTCCAGCTCAAACTCCTCGTCTCATGGTATCATCGAGCAGAGGCAAGAGCAGGAAGTGACAGGAAATGGTAGTGGTCACCAAGGAGCAGTCTTGCCAAATCCTCAAGTGGCCGATTGCATAGCAAAATTGCAAAGGCACCGCAAAATCACCACGAAAGTTCTAGCGCAGGTCTTTGAGTTGAATGCCCTGAGGGCTCCCATGTTCCAGCAGACCGAGGACGTTGTGGCCGCCCTACAAGAGTTCATCCTTGAAGTGGCTGATCTCACAAAATCGGTGGAATTGTCTGAGCCTCTCGCCGCACAACTTGGTAATCTCCAGCGCAAGTTTGATTTGTTCCGCAAAGGCACAGTTGCGTCCTTTCGGGCAGACCAGGCTCAATGTGCTCGTCTGGAAGACGAAATCATCCAGTCTCTCTTCCACTCTGGCAGGCGTTTGGATGGGTTCCTTGAGACAAATGCCATTGACCCGGCTGCCTTGGGGGATGTAGCTTCTGATACCAATGCCAGTTTAGCTGGTGAATACTCTAACCTGGCACGAGAATCCGCCGAGTATGCTCCAGAAGATATCCAATACTTGGCCATGATCGGCGATCGCGACATGATAGTAGAACAACTCCTGGACCTTCGAGAGGAACAGGCGCAATTGCTTCAAGAGCAGGACTCCAGAGCTCAATTCGGCATTAGCATGGACGACGACTCGTTGCATTTTCTGGAGTCATTTGAATGTGAAGAGCGGACGCTGCTTGACGAACTCGAACTTGCAGACTTACGCTTGGAGGCTATGAAACAGCTCATAACAGACGACGAAGCTCTAGCAATCTCCAATGAAGCTTCTGAGCGTGAACCGGACGAAGATGAAGGCGCAACGAGGCATCTGCAGGTAGTGAGGCCGTTGACTCAACCCTCCCCTTCCCCTACCCAACCGGCGATGCAGACTCGGCTCTCCCAAACGATGCTGCATCGTAAAATCAAGTATGTGGATCACCTTCGTGGTCTAGACATGCTTCCAGTGGACCATGGCGACTTGATCAATGTGTGGCTACTGCACCGAGTACAATTCCTGCCTCGACTTCTCCATGAGTACACCGCACTTATTGAGAGGCAATATGAAGAAGTCGACGAGGATGATTTGGAGCATCTTTTTCTGGAGAAGTGGTTCAATGACTCGTCGGCCGCCGATTTCACGAGGCATCGAATCTTTGCGGATCAACAATCAATGCAAGCCAACCTGGCAGAGTCGGGAGACCTTGCGCAAAAGAGCCTGTCAGCCTTGCCTATTCGACCGACTTCTTCATCATTGCTGCGCATAGGCCCTTCCACAACCGCACAGGACATTATTGCGCAGGCGATGCACGCCCGAGGCATGTCGCCTTCACAGTTGTCTACCACATAGTTTCTCGTCGCACACCGGCTCTCACCCTCTAGCCTCACACCGGATGTGAAGGCGCTGCCTGCAGAGTCCTAAACGAGCATTGTCTCCTCTTCCCATTTTCCCTGCTCAAGCCATCGACCGAAGAAAAGCGTGGGCCAGGCCCTTCTCGCTGATCCGCGAGCTCCTGCTGTTTCGTCCACCGTCCCATCTCGATCTTCTCTATACTATTCATGTACATTTTCTCTCGCATTCATTTGTCTTTTGATTGCCCCATTCAGCCTGCGGCGTGGAAAATCTAGGCTAGCTAGGTACGGTAGGTAAGGGAGGAAGGACAGGCGTGGCGGTATCAGGTTATCAGGTATCAGTGATGTATCTCTCACACACACTGGGGGCTCTTGGGTTTCAGGCAATGACTTATAATGATCTCGTATTTGGCATTTGGAGACTCCGTGTAACACCTCCTGAGATGATAGGTCAACGGCGATCAAAAACAAAGCCGATTGCAGACCTGACCTTTGCATCAGCCGCTCTTGATGTCGAGTAGTAAGTCCCCCAGACCACACCAGACCAGACCATTTTGGCGTCCTAGCGGGTATGACTGTGTATTAACTCGCCTGGTTCCCCCTCGCCCTTTGATCCTTCGCCCCTACGAGTACGTCAAATGGTGGTCGGTCTGTGTGCTGCTACCTTCCGTCACACAGGCACAGAATACGCGGCTATAACAGAGGTCAAAAGTAGCTCAAAAAGCAAGAAGAATGCGAAGAGGAGGCCAAGATGGTTACCATTTAGTGCCTGCTGTCCCTTGTCCCAGTATTGTACATCTCTTTCATCATCTAACCTCTGGTCCTAGACCGCTACAACTGCTCCTGGTTGTACCAACATCCCAGTAATCACGTATGATAACGACAGCTTGCCATTCTTCCTTGCGTTGGGGTATTTTGTACAATCCTGCTTCCTTTGCTGTCCACCAACCCGAATGCCACCAGCCTCTGAAGGTGTAGTCCTTCCCACAATGCATCGACAGGATACCGCCATCGCCATCGCTCAAGCCCATCGGAAAAGACAAACCCGCCATCGTCCCGTCAAACGGGGCCTTGGAGTCCCAAATATCGCAGTGTTTGCCGCCCTTTCCAAATGCCTGTCCACCCTAGGTCATAACATCGTGAAACTCGTCGCTTGAACCCGAAACTTGAAACTCGCTTTCGTGCAAGAGAACAATCATAAAATAAACGGACTAAGTACTCCCTTATCAACCCTGAGCTTTGAGCGCCCTGACAGCCTTATTGACCTCATCTCCAGCGATCTTCTCCCACTTTGCCTTATCGTCTACCCCGAGGGTCTCAAAATCACCAATTTTATCGTACAGCATCCGGGAAATATCGCGGTTGATCTTCGTGTATTCGTCTTTCGTGATGGTCTGGTCATTATAATGAGGCTTGAGTGCGCTTGCAACGAGCCTTTGCACATCGGCTTTCGCATTTAGAGACATTGCGGCCCGGTTAGGCGAGGCTTCCGTTGAGCGGGATGTCACAATAGAATCCTGCCCGGTTTCAAGAATGCGCGGTGCTCGACTTCGAGGTCTTGGCTGCACCAAAAGTGTAGATGTCGAAGGAGGCGGAGGGACCCTCGGCCCATTAAACCGGGGACCATTGATCTCTGCTTGTTTCGGCTCCGGCGAGGTGGACCGTTGTGGAGAGTACTCAGTGGAGGGAAAGACAGGCTGGATGCTCGAGGACAAGCCAGCAGGAGAGCCGGGTCTGAGTGTCAGAGGCGGAGGCGGAGTAGCTGACATTGCCCGAGGGGAAGAATGATTCGAGGGGAGAGGCGACAAAGCAGGCGAGGAGGGTCGTGGAGAATTTTGGTCGGCAGGTGGGCTCGCTGCAGGGCGAGGAGAAGGGCGATGAAGGTTGATGACGTGTGTACCGGAACCAGCATCCTCAACTTCTTGTAGAAGGGATTGTAAAAAGCTCGGCCCCGCTGGTTCTACATTAGGTTGTCGCCTTGGAATGGGGCTGGCGATACGTAAAGGTTGACGTCGCCGGATGTTGGTGACGGTGGCAGTATTCCCGTCAGAAACCGTGCGGTCAGATGCACTGGGTCGGCGACGTTTGTTCGCCGATGATGTTTCATTCGCGGGCTCCGCTGGTGATGATGTAGGGGATTTGCGCTTTCGTTTGCGCGTTGAGCTGGGCTCATTTGACGAAGCTCGAGCTTGATCGAAAGCATGCCAAGCCAGGAGTTCATCAGCAGTCTCGGCTTGTGGAAGGGGAGATGCTCTTGCCCTTCGGTTGCTCGGCGTTGAGCCACCTGCAGGGCTGCTGGGAAGGGCTGGTTCCGTCTCCCTAAAGCGGTTGCCAGCGCCATGAAGTTCTGCAACTTGCATCCGGCGTAACCAGGCATCATGGGCCTGCCTATCAGCCTGGTTGCGTTGACGGTGCCGCCTCAGATATCTGGCTGATGATTCGTCATCCTCGTAGGGAAAGTCAAGGTCAAGATTGATGCGGGACCAAACAGACTGCCAAACTTGGTTCCAGCTTGATTCTTGACCTCGTTGCCTACGCTGTTGGCCTCGCGTGCGCCTTCGATTCGGTCTCCCCGATCGGGCAATCACACGGGGGTCAAGATCTCGTTGTGCTCTGCAGTTGTCACAAAACCAGTGTCCGTAGGGTACCTCCTGTAAATCGACGCAATAAGTATGCCACAGTTTCTGACAGCCGTCGCAGTACATCAGGACGTCTTCATTATCATCTTCCCCGCAAGCCTGACAGGGTTGGTCCTCGTCCTCTTCGTCCGGGATCTCGAGAAACATAGAAGGGTCCAAGTCAGCGACCTGCGTTCGGTCCTCGACAGAGTATGAGGAAATAACATCGCCTATACTCATATCAGCACACTGGGCAATTAGGACAAGAACTGGGTGGTGTGAACTTACCATTGATTGTACGCATCAGTTCCACGAGGTGGAAACTGGCACGACAGATCGGACAACTGTTAGCTCGTTCCACCCATGGAGTAAGACATTCATTGTGCAGAAAATGCCCACACGGTCTTAAATGGGCGATTAACTCGGTCGAGTCTTTGTCGGTCGATGTGGTGACGCTTGGCTCATGTTCGGGTTTGGTGATCCTCGAGGCGGCGGCGGCAGCATCGTCGGTGGGTGGAGACTTGGCAGGGCTGGCAAGAAGAGCTGTAACTTCGTGGCCATCGCCGCTGCTCAAGTCTCCTAGGCAGACAATACAAGTGTCTGACATCCAGAGGTGTTGCCGGAGATTTTCGAGGGGACTCAAGCGGTGGCAGGATCATGGGCACAGGGTGGGTGTTTGGTGGTGGCATTTAAGTGTCAAGAGAGGAAAGAAGCGACGGCGCAGGTGGAGCGAGCAGATCCGATTTAAGGGCTTCGCTGGAACGGGCAGCTTTGGCGGGCCAATTAAACCAGGCGGCTTAGAGCTCGAGGATGAATATGACTGGCTCATGTGGCTTCTCGCTCAGTAGGCAGGGCTTTGGTGGCCGCCTCAGCACATCCCTCGGTTGAACTCTTGTCAAAATGGGGTAAGCTGAGAGGTTGGGGATCATTCGCGATGGCAGATGACAGCCTGCTCGTGCCTAAACCCTAGAAAAGAGGAGCATTAAAAGATCCAGGCAACAAGAGGAACTGCGTTCACACCTTTTGCTTTTCGACTCGGTGTCCCGAAAGACTATCGCCAACGAACGGGCGGGGTTACAGACTCGGGAGTAGTGTGCGCGTGTGAGAAGCAACACATCTCGCTTTGAGCTTTCAAGTGGCGGTGAATTTGAAGCCAGAATAAGCTGGGTCACGGTGTGAGATTTAGGGGCCACCCCATAACATCCCTTCACATCAGAATCCGGTATTCACCCGGCGCACAGCATGGAAATATATTTGCGGCGTCGCCTGGACTGGGTAAACGCTTTTTGCTGTTCGGATAGCATCAGTCATAGACTGAGGTTTCAGCAAGAGCCGACTTTGCGGCCTCGAGGTCGGAGCAAGATCAGTTGCTCGAGGCCCGTGACTCAGAAAACAGTATCAAGGATCAGAGTAGTCAAACAGAAAAGTTCGATGGTCTTTGCATTCGTTCATTCGATTGGAGGTCTAATGATTCGGGTCGAGTCATGGTTGGCAGGGTTTGCTTTCATCGATGCGGAAGCTGCACGTCCTGCTCGACCGAGATCGTTCTTTCAGGCGAAGCCTGAGATTGCTACTTGAGAATTTGTGGAAAAATTCCGTATCCGTGGGATTGAGAACTCCGAGCCCATGCCAAATATTGCTTTACACCTCCGCAATTTCCCTCAGTCGTCGAATGGTTGATCTGGTGGCAGCCGCAGCAGGAGTTCTGAGAGGTTGAGAGTGGTTAGAAGATTTCGTCCAATTCAGTGTGTGGCCCTCCTCTTGGACTTACGAAACCGTCCATGCGCCTCCGGCCACAGTCTTCTTGCAACCCTTGCAATTCCAGATTCCGACCGCTTGTCTCTTGACAGTGTTCTTGCCACAGAAGGTGCAAATGTACCGTGCGTGTTGGGTGATTTCCATCTTCTTGACTTGTTTACGGAGGGATGCACCATAACGAGTGCCGTACTTGCCGGTCACGCCGACCTCTGCAGAAATTCAGTCACCCCTCTCTGCGAGAATTGGAAGGCAATAGTCGACTTACTCTTTGTGCGCTTCGTCATGTTGGCTGTGGTGGACGAAGGATTGAATGAGTAGGTGAACTGGAGATGTCGTTGTTGGATCGCGCAATTTGCACAAGTTTACGAAAAGTTCAAAGGGTTTCACCGTGCGGTTTGACCGCCTAGCGGCTTGGCATTGAGTGGTTGTGACATCTTATCACGTGAAAACCAGCACCCCCGCTGAGTCAGCCCGGGGTTCACATCAAATGCGCCCATCAGGGGTAGTAGGAGCCAGAGGGATTCACGACCCATATCTGGAACACTGGAAACTATTATTCATGCCACATATCATTCCACCTTCTCTAAATGGTGGAGAATCTTGCATACATGACAAGTAATACGGGGAAAGTCCAATGAGTTTTTGGTGTGTACTCCTCTGTGCGTGGTGTGTACAGTGTGCGTGGACGTCCAGGACCCCTTCCGACAAGCGAATTTTGTATAACTGTGATGCTGCATGTGCATTGGTCCCGGACATTCTGACTCCTGACAAGCCTATTAGGAGATGCCAAAAATATCCTTGTGTTGGGGGCAGGACTCCGTATCGCTCCCGCCTAGAGTGAGAGGCTCCCAGCAAGCCAGGCCTCCCCTCTGGGCGCACACTAGTGTTTTCCACCACAGTAGGTACTAGGTAAGGTAGGTGCCCAGGTACCTACGCAAAGGCAGCCCCTAATGTGCCTCGTATAGGTAGTTAGGCACCTTAGGTATAGGGCAGTAAGGGGAAATAGGCTTTGTAGACACCTAGCACAGCGCGCTGGGTTCACCCTGATTACATTGATTGGGGTTCGGAGTACCTAGCCAACGCCCAGCTCCAGCCACGTTCAATCCCGCCATTAGTGCTCGGATGGGCAACCAATCGAGCTAAAAGACTAACGCCCTGCCCGTCTCAAAGGCCCCCAAACCCTCATGTCTGTGTGTTCTCTGTTTAACGACCTTGATCACTTTGTGGTCTCTATTCGCACGTTGGTTCAGCTCCATTCGCGTCTTTAGCGTCGTGGACTCGTGGGTCCCGCTTCTGCTCCTCTGTCCCTCCCTCCCATCAACCCCCCAAAAAAGACGACACCTTGGCCTTCATTTCTACACCGTATCCATCCAACGAACATCTCAATTGCTGACCATTGCTGGCGCTGTCGAGACTCTGTTTTATTTTGATTCCACTTCTTGTATTCTTTTCTTCTCCACGTTCCTTAAAGTACCTGCTCTTCTCCCTCTCACTTCCCGTGACGGCTGCGTGTCTGTCTCTACCTCCTTTTTCCACATTCAGACGGATCACCTTGCCTCACAATGGCTGCTGCTGCCAGTCGTCAATATGACATTATCCTCCTGGGGGCTACTGGCTACACTGGCAAACTGATTGCCGAGTACATCACGACCAACCTTCCCACCAACATCACATGGGCCGTGGCTGGACGCAATCAATCCAAACTCCAGTCCTTGGTCAGTGAGCTGAAGTCCCTGAATTCGACGCGCAACTCTCCCGACATCATCACTGTGGCCAGCTTGACCTCCCCTGAATTGACCCCTCTGGTCAAGAAGACCAAGGTGCTCTTGAATGCCGTGGGACCTTACCACCTCTACTCGACTCCCGTGGTCGAAGCATGTGCTCAACAGGGAACACACTATCTTGACGTGACTGGCGAGACCCCATGGGTTCGCGATATCATTGTCAAGTACGACGACACCGCCAAGAAAACCGGAGCCATCATCATTCCCGAAGTAGGTGTTGAATCGGCACCGTCCGACCTGGTCGCCTATATAGCCACTCGTTTGATCCGCAAAGTCTGGGATTGCGGCGTCATGGACATGGTCGCCGCGGTGCACGAGTTGAAGTCCTCTGGACCTAGTGGCGGCACCCTGGCCACTGGTTTGGGATTGGCCGACCACTATCCCGCGAAGGTGATGAGGCAGTGTCTCAGCGACCCCTTTGTTCTGTCTCCTTCCCAGCTACGGCCCTACACCAAGGATACCATCTACCCACGCAACCCCGAACCAAACACGTACGCACGCACTGGTCTGCAGAAACTTACGGGTGTCTGGAAGTATCCACGCCTGGGCCACTTGACGACTTCCATCACCGCCAAGCCCAACGAGGCCATAGTTCACCGCTCCGCCGGCTTGACGCCTTACTTCTACGGCTTCAATTTCACGTACGAGGAGTATATGGCGGTGGCAAGTCCCCTGGTCGGCGTGTTGATTCACATCGCCGTCACCATCTTGGTCTTGATGCTTGCGTTTCCCCCTACGCGAGCCATCCTGAAACTGTTCGCCGCTTACAAACCAGGCTCGGGCCCGACAAAGGAATCAACCAAGAGCGATGTTCTGGAACTCCGCGCCGTCGCCGTCGCCGAGCAGCTCGCCAAGAACCAACGCAAGGCTTTGGCCAGTTTCCGGTATGAGGGTGGAATCTATGCTCTCACCGCCCTGTTGATCAGCGAGGCCGCCATGGTCATCTTGACAAAGGAGGAAGAGATTAAGAAGAGCCACGGTGCGGGATTCTTGACGCCGAGTTGCCTGGGCGACAACTACCTCGAGCGGCTGGAGAAGGCGGGCGTTCAGATCGGAGTACAGCAAATTGGTGATGTGGGGAGCAAGTAGAATATGTCCACGGGACTGCAAGGTGTTTACGCATTTCGGATGAACTATCTAGCCTGCTGCTGCTCTTTGCCTTGTTTTTCCCACTTGTCTCTGTCGCTCTCAGAGCGCCTGAGGTTATTCCTGTAGTTCGTAACCGAAGTGTGATGCTGGCTAGCTATGGTTCCCGGGACTTGTGGTGACCAGGACGCAGCAAAGGAGGGGCCCGCCCGTTGACCTGTGCTGGACAGTGGACAGTGTGACGTGGTGGTAGCGGTTGTGACGATGCAAAGATTTAACTCATTCTGACGGGAAGGGGGGGATCTTCTGGGGGCTGCCGTTGGGTTTCTGGGGGAAGGGTTTCGAAATCCCTGGGGTTTTTGTCGAATACAATGTACATGTAAATTTAGAACGTCCCTATCCCCCGTTTCGATAATGTGACATGTTACACGGAAGAAAACAGAGCAAGAGGTACAAGTACGTGCATCGAATACCGAGTACCGAGTAAAGCTACATACATACAGTGGTGCGACGACGAGTGCACCAGGGCCGTAGAGACGCGGTATGCTGGGTACTGATATTCAGCCTTGTCCCTCAGCCTCTTTCTCGAGGATACAGATCCTGGCAGCCTGGTCATTCGAATCACAACATAGTTTGACAGGCGAACTACCGAGTACTGGGAAAGCCATCACACATGTATGTACACCACCCTATGCTGGATGATGAGAAATGTGCGATATACCCGCGGTAAAAGAGGAGGATGCATCCAATATGCACACCCGACCTAAAAGAAATCTCCCCAAAAATCCAGCCCACCATCTGTCCAGGTTTCGTAGCCTTGATCTGTGGCGTTTGTCTCTTCCCGTTTCCATTATAGTATACTTCTTCAGTCTTCTCGGTCTTTTCGCTTTTGAACCCCCTCGTCAAATATAACTGACCTTGACCCCCATCCCAAGAGTCCCCCGCAACTTTTCCCATGCCCTCCTCACTGCTTCTCGTGTCTTCTCGCGAATCTGCCTCTGAGAGAATGCCATCACAAACGCTAGAACAAAAAGGAGGAATCGCAGCATTGCCGTAGGATTCTTCTGAAGGGTTGTGGCGAGATTGCGGACTAGGTTTGACAAGGCGAGGAAGAGCTCACGGGCTTGTGCCGTTAGTGCGTTCTGTGAGGAAGCCTTGGAATTCTTTCGGCTGGCTGGACGGCGGGGAGTTTGTGCAGGAGGCGAGAAGTGGGTGCGGCCCTGTATTGATGAACTCGGAGGACCAGGCGGTGGAGGCGACCGTGGAGTTGGAACGGGTTGAGGAGGGAGGCTGGTCATGGGCGAGGAGGCAATAGCTGCTGTTTGGTCTTTGGTTGCTGCTGTATGGGTACCGCCGTTGGGATGCGCCCGTTCGATCCCGTAGTCAACCTCGCTGCTCGTCCTTTGGTGTTTGGACGCGCCACTTTGCGACGGAGAAACTGTTTCCGTTGTTCTATCAGCAGTGCCGGTTCCTTCCTGCTTTGAAAATATTTCTTCTGTATCCTCGAAGACGTCCTCGTCCGCAACCTCAAGACTGGACTCTCTTTCCGTGACATCTTGGAGTTCCTGCAGAGTCTGCATGAATGCTTCCCGTCTCTCCTCGTCTAAGATATCACTGTTCGAAATGAAACTCTTTGCGTAATCCCATTCGCCATTTCTGGGCAGCACATGCAGCGTGAAGATTTCGAGGACTTTTATGCGTGAGGTGAGATCTTTGGGGGTGTTGGCACCGTTCATTCCCGAAGAATGTTGGTGGCCATTGCTCAGAGCATGGTCGAGGTGGGCTGAGAGGTCGAGATCTGGCTGTGAAGAGGACGAAAAGTAGGTTTCTAGTCGAGATTGATTGATTTTCTGGTCCGGGGCTTGTGAAAGGAGGAGATTTGACCTTTTGATCGTGTTAGTAATGTCAAGGTCAATACGGAGCAGGGGAAAGGAGCTCCCATACAAGTTGTAGACAACTTCCGCATCAACCGAGCCCTCTCTGCCCTGATATCCGTCCTTGACGACCTGCTCCCAGATCTCGCCGTGCTGTACGCGCCTGACAATCTCTTTGTATTCTCTGGGCCCAAACACCTGTCTCCCCTCTTCGTACCCAAGGTCAACGATGGAGTTCAGAAGCGTGACGTATAAGCTCCAGATCTTGATGCGCTGGCTGGTGGTCGCAGTCGCGATGGGTGCGAGAACCGGGCTATCATCCGGCCTTTTTTGGCTCGAGGGTGTGATTACAGGCTGTAGGGCTTCGTATGCCTCGAGTAAACGGCGCGTGAGAAAAAGTTGAGAGGCATGCTTGTAGATTTTGGAGATCTCAGATGACGTCCGCTTGCTCGACTGGTTGAGTGACGAGATTGACGACGAGAGGTCGCGGGAGCTTGACTGGGAGTCCGTGCCTATTGACATGACGATTGTTCTATTGAACACGCAGCAAGGATGGCGCTCAAGAATGGATTAGAAAAACACGGCTGGCAATTACTTGGAGAATGAGTGTAGGGCAAGTCGGTGGTCGGCGTTGAGGAGAATATGATCAACCCCATAAAGAGTTTCGTCACGGACCTTGGATTTACACATTTCGGGTCGCTTGAACCTCGGCATCAGGATCAAGGGCCACAGAGCCTGACTTGCCAGCCAGCAAGCTTGCCTGAGTACCGAAGTATCTACATACATCATAAAACAGTCATCGACGGGGTTCAATGCTTCGTAAGATCCAATATGCCTTCTTGGGTCGCGTTCGCCTGCAACTTGTTGCTGATCAGCTGCCAAAACGCTGCATCCTCTTCCCATCTCGGTAACAGCCGGCCTTCTTCCACCAAGCCTGCAATTCTCCGCTGTTCATTGATTTTGAGTTGCTCCTCTGAGATTGCTGTATCGTCGTCTTCAAGAATGTCGAAGATGTTGGCTTTCTTCGACATTATCCTTAGTTTCTGGAGCTCGCCTTTGGACCCCAAAGCCGGCTTTGATTTCTCCCTGGTCGCAACAACTCTGGTGCTGGCCATTTTCTGGTCAATTTCACTGGGTGGTGACCCTGCTGCCATAGATATGGTGGAATCTTGGTCGGCCGTATCTGGTGCTTGTGTCAAGATAGATGTAACCGTGCTTACCGGGGCCTTGATGATGTCGACAAGCGTTTGTGTCACGCCTTGCGTGTGGCCATCTTGTCCTGCCCGGGTTTCCCTCGCTGGCTGATCGGTATCTTTTCCCGATGTACCGCTTGCGCTCTCCTGTATTATACCACCAGGCCCCTTGACCAAAGAATCAACATCCCTTTGCTCTCTTTTCAGCTTGGCAGGCAGCTTCAACCCAATCTTAGCCGTCACAAAGCTATCAAATCCAGCCTCGTGATAATTGGCAGCGTAAAGATAGCGGTCGAAATTGTGTGGCAGATGTATGTCAGGTAGTACCACAGAAGCCAAGTCGCTCTCAACAGCCTTAAGAGACGTGTCCGTCCATCGCTTGTTGCCCAGACCTGCAACGTATTTGGTGTCGATGATGACGGGAAACAGTTCCTGGAGCCTTGCACGGAAGTCCTCTACTTTCTCCGGGAGGTCGCCGATGAAACACCGATACAGATTCATGACATCTGTCAAGCAGTTGTGGCCGACAAGAGCTCGGGACTGGCTTTGCAATTTCTTCTGGAGCTGGTTAAGAAGAGCCTGCACGTCCTTAGGTTGATCTTCTGGGGCAAACCCTGCTATTACGTAGTAATGTGGAAGTTTAGTGATCTCGCCGCCGATGATGGCTTCCAAGATCCAGCGGAATCCGATAGCGTTCGCTATCTCTGCCTCGCGTCTTTTCTCACGCTCTTTTCTCTCATTGGCTTGCTGTTTGATTGTAGGGTTGGTGACTTGGACAAAATGACCCATCCCTTGGGTCTTGAGGTTTGGATATTCGTTCCTAACGATCTGATGGGTCAATCGAATCTGATATCGATTCAGTATGGAAGGTATGGGCTCCTCGGCGTCTTCTGTGGGAATGTTGAGATAGGTTTCCTGCTTGTCCTTGGGTAAGGTCTGCCACTCGTCAATCGACTGTTTGATATGTTCTATCAGGGATGAGTCTTCTTCCTTGAGTGTCATGTCGGATATATTCGATTTCATTTGTTCGTCTTCGCTTAATCTCTTGCGCACTTGATCCTCCTCTTGCCGAGAAAGATAATGAATACCCTGTAGGATGGGTTTGTCGATGCTGAATCCATTGCGGAGCAGGAAAGAGATTGCTAGTCAGGTCAGCCATTGCTCAGGACCAACAGGCTCATCAGCATCGTACCACCGCTGTTATATGACCATACGCGAGTGAAGACTGATTCTTTGGTGGTGGGGAGTGGACTGAGATGGAAATTATAGGGCCGCGCCTCATATCGTCCTAGAACTGTTAGCCCGACAAACCAGCAGAGAGTGTCCTTTTCAGTATCCTTGTGAAAGCCGGGGTGATAGGTCAGGGACATCTATGGTTCGCGCTTCACACACATCACGCCCTCACAAGGTGGAATTCAGGGACGTGAATTCCAAATTTCGGTCAAACGCGTACCTTTCTCGACGTCCTCGCTCACAATAGTCAAACCAACCTGTAAGACCTGGTAGATCTGTGCCGCTGATCTAAGGTCATGATAATACTCGTGTAAGTCAAGCTTGCCCGAGCGACCCCCAGGCCTCCTTCCAGAAACACCCGAGAACTCCAGATCAAGGGCGATGAAGCGGCTGTCGGCGACATGCTGAATAATTTTGAGGACTTCTTCTGAGAAGTTGCCACTGTTGATATCCATGGCACACGACAAGGTTCGAGAGAGCGGACCGCGCGGCGAGACACGGTCACGCAGCAGCTTGAAGGGGCGACATAAAACTTTGTTGTAGAGACCAAACAGACTGCGGAAGAAGGTGGACATTCACTGGAGAATCAGAGACTGCGATTCACTGCAATACGCAAGGTGACTTGTTTGCTGCAAGAGTTAGAGGAAAGAGAAACCCGTTGAGAATCTTCTGAACTTGTAAGAGTCATAGAAAGGCAAACACAGTTCGACCGATTGACGGAATAGAAAATGGCGGCACTCAAACTTGATTGTTTGGTGCGCTGCACACTGCGCAATCTATCACGGCATCTTTCTTTGTTGGCGTATTTGAGCGCCTTGTCTCTCAGACATTCTTCCTACCTCAATAGTAGCTAATAGGGCCCCGTCAAGAGAGTCGTGTGCTCGTCTTCTCGGAGGGCAACTTTCTGATTGAGGAATTTGGGGAAATGATTGTGTGGGGTGAAATTCACTGGCATTTTCACAGGACAAGTTTGCCCCACGATAGAGTCCATTCGCTCAACCTCTAGAGAAACGAGCCACCTCTCACGAACAGAAGATGTATTGCCCTTCTCCTTGACTAGACGTCCCCTTCTTGGCTATCGCGAGGCATGCGATAGAAACTTGGTTACCTCAGTCCTTTTCACCGGCGGCATGTCCGCCTCACTTCCCTCCACTCTGTCCTCCCTACTCAAACAGTCGACCCTCGAAGACCATGAGCAGATTCTCGCGGAATGCAACAAAGCATTGAAGTCCTCAAAGGACTCTGAGCCGGAAACCCAACATGTCAAAGTTGTCGCCCTCCTGAAACTCGATCGTTACGAGGATGCTGTGAAATTCATTGAAGACACTCCTGGGTTGAAAAGAAAGGTCGAGCTCGAGTATGCCTATGCCCTGTACAAGACTGGCCGCCTAAAAGAGGCTGCGGATTTGGCGGCAGCGGTGAAGGGGAGAGGCGCACAACATGTCGAGGCACAGGCCCGATACCGTCTCGAAGACCCAAACATTCCTTCGGAACTGTACAAGCGCCTACGGAGTCAAAAGGTCGATTCGGAGCAATATGATCTAAAGGTGAACCAGGGTGCTATCGATGCACAGGCGCAGTGGCTCGGTCTTGCCGATCCCCAATCAATACGAAGAGTTGGAAGAGAAGATCTTGAAGCCTTTGAAACCGCGTATAATGCCGCATGCGGTAGCATTGCGAGAGGAGAATATGCTCAGGCCGAAGTTCTCCTCAAGCGGGCAAAGGAACTGTGTAAACACTCGGATGATCTTACAGACCAGCAAAAGGCTGACGAGCTCCTCCCCATTTCGGTCCAGCAATTGTTTGTGCTTCTCTCTTTGGGCAAAACAGCAGAGGCAGAGAGCCTAGCTGGTGATATTGATGCAGCGCAAGCCTCTGACCTTTCGACCCGAACAGTCGGTCAGAACAATGTCCTATTGACTTCGTCTGTGTCCAACCCATTTCTCGCACACAAGATTTTCCACGCGACTCCCAACATCCCACCAAATGATCGACTCTTCTCGTACCAGAGCGTCCCTTTGGAATCCAACAGAAACACTATCGATCTACAGACTTTCAAATTCGGTGGCATTGTCGCGTCCACATCAAAAGCCCTCAAAGAACGCACTTCTCCTTCTCTGTCAACCAATGCACTACTTGCATCTTTCTTCAATGCAGCTGCTTATGCCCAGAACGAAATGGGCAGAGCTGGGATCCGAAAAATATTGCCGACGCTTGAGAAACGGCCAACCGACATTGGGCTGATTACCACCCTAGTGCAGCTGTACGTGGCGAGCGGAGACATCACCTCCGCAGTCGAATTGTTCGAGTCATTATTGAAGAGACTGGAGAGCTCTGTCGCTGAGGACGAGCAAGACATCAGATTCAACCCTATGCTTGTGAGTCTTATGATCAGTTTGTACAAGGCACGAGGTCAGAAAGACCATGTCAAGCAGGAGCTTGCCAATGCTGCATCTTATTGGCGGACCAAATCGAATGCACCGACAAGTTTGCTCACCGCTGCAGGAGTGTCACTGTTGGAATCACAGACCAAGGAGGATCTGAAACTTGCACGCGATATCTTCACTAAGCTTCGCGAGCAACAACCGAACGACAAGGCTACAATTGCCGGTTACGTGGCATCACATGCCTGGGATGACGAGGCTGTGGCTGGGGCGGATACTGATAAGCTGACGGCCACGTCGGAGCTCATTCGCAATATTGACACCGATCTTTTGGAGAATACCGGTATCCCACAGTCGTCAAATGCCCTCACAATAGCACAGTTAGGCCGGACAAGGAAACGGAGCGCTCCGGAGGGTGGCAACCTGAAACCTAAACGTATTCGGAAATCGAGATTGCCGAAGGACTATGATGAAAGCAAGAAACCGGATCCCGAGCGGTGGCTCCCCATGAGAGACAGAAGCTATTATCGCCCTCCCAAGGGAAAGAAGAAAGGCAAGCGAGGAGGTGGTGGGAGTGATGATCGAACGCAGGGTGGCGCAGTGGATGAATCGTTGAACGTCGATGCGAAGCCCAGTGCTGCTACAGTGGTCACAGCGTCTACCGGAGGTGCTAACAAAAAGAAGAAGGGAAAAGGGAAGAAGTGAAGAGATTATTTATGATCCCTCGATGTGCATACTCTAGTTGTCCGCAGCGCAATGAACGAGAGTACAATTTTCCGCCTTCCAATCCAGGAAGCTCGGTGATCGAATCGTAACCCTCTCTGAAAGTATCGACCATGGTCTCGTGGACAGTGTCCTTTCGTCAATGCTTGAGCTGAAAGAAGCGACGGAGGGGGAAGGAGGCCACTTGGTGTAAATTTCAGCTGGACAGGAATCTGAGACACCTTGCGACCAACTGCGGCAAATGAAACGAGAGCAGCAAACTTTTCTCAGGCATTTATCCGGACACCACCTCTAATCACGTTGCCTAATCCAACGAGGAAGGAGAATGAGGCCAACATTGGCTGTAGGGCGGCGGAGGTGCAAGTTTAAGTCATGCGATGGTGGTGGTGGTGGTGGTGTTGATGATGATGGTGGTGGTGGTGGCGGAGAAACGAGATCATCTGGTCGAGGGGAGGGACAAGCGCAGCCTCCAATCGTGCCAAAACTGGGTAATTGAGTGACTGGTTGAAACTGCGCTGCACTCGGATCCTCAGCGTCATCTCTTCCACCATCCACCATCCACCATCATTGATTTCAACTTTTTCACCAGGGAAACTTCCATCCTCCCACCATCATCATCTTCATCATCAACTTCACCTCCACCTCCATCTCTATCCTCCTCGTCCTCGTCCTAGTCGGCATCCTCCATCTCCTCCGTAACCAAACACTCGCTACACATGCCAAATGTCCCTTTGTTTTTGTGCCCAGACGGAAAATTCCCCTGGCCAATTTGAAGCCATCATTTCCTTCTCGAAGCTGCCAGTCGGCGCCGCTAACCCATCGCTTCAGACGGCCCTCCCCGTCAGCTGCCGTGTCACCAATACTAAAGACTAAAGAGCATTAGGCCCCAGTTGTGGCACTCACTTTATTGTGGGATGGCAACTAGAGCAAGGCCCAATGCATGCCGCGTGCCTTATCAAAACCCCCTTTGGGGCCCTCGCCCTCGGAGGGTGCCCCCAATTATTGCTGATGCTGACTGACTGGTGGACACTGACTGAACAGGTCGGTCCCGGTCATGAGAACACAACCTAGACTCCCTTGATGGAGAGTACTCGTACCTGCAGTCACCTTGCCTCCTCCGCGATTAATGATCGATCATCCACTTGCGGCTTCGCACTTGTTGTGCCGGCGGTGTGTGGTTCCCGGAAACCTTGTTGCGTCCATGGGTTCCCAACTCCCCGGTTCACTTAATATTGGAACATGGTGATACCCTTGTTGATTGGCTGGCCAGGATGATTCCGGCCGGGGCGTGGCGACGTATCGGCATACGGCTAACCTCCATCTAACATGCAAGCAAGGTATTTTCTTCAGCTCGTGGCTTTCCCCTGAGGCAATACTTCCCTCTGCAGGTCCACTGGACCGTCAAATCCGTGAGGGCCCCATGATTCGTCCAAGTGCTGCTGAGCCTAGCACACGCAGTTCCATCGCCAGCAATATTGGCAGTTTGGCCACATCCATCCAGCGTTCTTACCTCTGTTCCCTCCCTCACCACCGATATCCTTGGAATGACCTCTCACAGACAAATGCTCGCTTCCTGATGCCACTGGATCTCTACTGTTGCCCTCCTTGTCAGCTGCTCGAATTTAAAACACGACATGTTGCTCCTACATTTTTGACAATGCTTAGACCAACTATCAGTGCCTTACCTCGTTGTCAACTCGCCATTCCTCGTGAGATGGTTCATGGCTGTCAGTGAAATCCACTCCTTCAGACAGATACACCACGTTTTGCTCGAAGCCGTCATTGTTCGTCTGCCTGCGAATAGCTTTCTGCTGTGCGACCACTGAGCCGGCGACTCGACTCGGATAACAGACCGCAATTCAGTTGACGTTTCATCTTTCTTACTACCAACCACGAACGGGCATTTGCAGTGCGAAGCCTCCAATCCCCACGCCCAGCAGGTGCGCTCGAAGTCCGACTTTGTCCTACACAATGGAGCTCGCCTGTGAGGACTTTGTGGCCGTCAATGTACCAGCCAATTTTGAACAACCCGAAGACCTGCATGAGTACTTCTCACTGAAGGCGCCGCCAAATACAAGCATCTGGCGCAAGCCTTCAGCGTCCGATGACACGACTGCGCCTATGATCCTCAAACGCCTACGCCAGTCCTTCATCCTAGCGGAAGTTACCGTGTCGGCTGACTTCGCCAGGGAATTTGACCAAGCCGGAATCGTCATTTTCGCTGGTTCGCTTCCTGACCCGTCAAGACCGTCAGCAGTTGCCGCTCGTCGCCCATCACGGTACCAAAGACCCGGAAACGAAGCTTTGGCGACGGGCAAATGGGCCAAAGCTGGCCTTGAGTTGATAGAAGGAGAGCTCCATGTCGCTTCTGTAGTGGCGATTTCTCCTTGCGGCGCAGACTGGTCTTCTTCAGCGCGCTTGGACTCGCCACCGACACCTTATGGTTTGTATTCACTTGTCTCGCACTCGCTCCGCATCAAACTCGAGCGCGTCGAGGAATCACTCTGGATCTGGTACAAATTACCGGATCAAATTGCCTCGCTTGAGCAGACACGCTACTCTTATCCTGAGCTCGATCCGCAATACCAACGCGAACGCAATCCAGAAGACGTTGCGTCCGGTTGGAGGAAGATGCGCGAGATCATGGGCTTTTTTGGTGGTGGGCTGGAACATCAGAAGGCGACGGTCTGGGTGGGATGCTATGCAAGTAGACCGATGGAGTTCGAACCACGGCATAGCTGGGAGTCAGTTGATGGATTGGTCGCAGAGTTTGAGGATTTGGATATCTTATGATCCGGTATGCTGCGTTCGAAATCCAATGGGTTGGACAACATGGAATAGTCGGGATTGCGACTCTCCAGACAATTGCCAACAAATTCAAACGCCCGGACGTTATGAAGAGGGCTAAACCTGCGACTTCAACTTTTAAGATCTTGGCGTGCCAATGATTGAGTCCTAGTTGGCGCCAATCGAGCAGAGAGACGAGACGAGGATACACGAGACCAGATCACCATCATGGCACCAGCAGCAGACTAGCAGTGCATTAGTCCCAGAGGAGAGCAACGAAGAAACGCGATTCGAGAGCTTTCCTGACCATGGTCCACCGATGGTAACCGAGCGCGAGACGTGGCAAGGATGACAAACGAATGGCCAGTTAGCAAATCTTGTACAGGAGGGGGTTTACAACTTGGCTGCGGGCTTTTGGTTGTCTGAACTCGGCGTTTTGAGATCCCACACAAAGGTCAAAAGACGGACTACAAGGCGAAATGACCGGACACCGGGAGGGTGAACAGAAGTATTTTGTCGCAAGACAAGCAGATCGTTGCGTGATGGCTATGTCAAATCTAGGTTTTTTGGTCATCTGAGACAGTCAGTGTGGCAGCCGGAAAGGTCGGACGGACTGGGCAACCAGAAAAAAGGGCTATACTTGTAATATGGTCTCAATACAAGGCTGGGGTGAGGCGCAGATAGACGGATGGAGTGAAAGATGGTTTGGGCCGATTCGTCTGGCTAGAAACAACAGCATGGCCAGGTCTAGACGGCGTATGTGTATGTATATAGAGGTGTGTGTGTCTGTGCGCCCACATCACGAGCGCATGCAAACCAATGAAACGGAAGATATTCCTTCATTCAGAAGAGCCCTTGACTTGACTTTGGATAGAGAGGCATGCATGCCTCCCCGATGTTTTCTGAGCGGTTGGGCGCGGGAAACGAACACAGTGAGAGAAAGTGGAATAAAATCCATTCATCTATCCATCTATCATCTCATGTCATCTGTCGAACGACGCGAGGTATACATATGTACTTGGACCTTTAAAGATCTTTTCCGTCTACGACGGGAGCGAGTAGGATCCCTAGGCTGTGTGTCCTCTTGGTCGCGCTGAGGATTCAGGAGTGGAGGTAGACACTTTGCACGATCAATCCGCGAACGAAAAGACCGAGGCGAGTTGAGTCTTTGAGAGACAAGTGTGGAGAGAGACAACCAGTCAGTCAGTCAGTCAAGCAAGCATGGAATAGGGGAGAGAAAGGGACCGAGATTTTCGACTCGGGAAAGCGAGCAGTTGGATTTGATATGCTTCGACCGGGGGTCTTGTGTGAATGCACAACACTGAATTGACGCTCTCCTCTCTCCACCCTGTTCTTGTGCAACGTTGACCTTAACGCTGCCAGTTCTCATGGGACCACAACAGCAGCGAGCATCCGCATGCTCTCGAGCCATCCTTCAGAGAGGCGTGATCCGGCCCTGTCTGCTGTGCTGAAAGGTTTGCCTGTTGGTCATCGATGCCGTCTGCTCCAAACAGATGCTGGTCCCCTGTGCATGCCGTGGAGCTGACATGGTCTCTGCGCATCATGTCCTCGGAAATTTGGCGTTGGCCTTCAATGCCCCACCATGGAACTTTGATTGGATGTCTGAGAACATCCATTTCTGATCGTTCTAGACGAGTCGACTTGAGAGAGTCGGGTTGTGGTGTGCCGAGTAGGCATGGTGTTGTTTGCGACGCCCGTCGCGTACGGAGCTCATCAGGAAAGCCGATGTGTAACAGCTCAATAAGTCTCGACAACGCGGCGCCCACCAGCTGCGGGTATGTCTCGCTGGTGTATCTCAACCTCCACACCACGTTCTTTTGCCCATGGAATGATATCTCTGGCCACATTAGGACAGTGAAGCAGCGTGACTCTGCGAAGTTGAGCTGCCTCTCTGATTAGATCCGACACAAATGCCCCAATGCTTCCAGCCTGTTCGAGGCGAAGCTCCTCTAGAGCCAGACAGCTCTTGATATATGGAAACCCGTCGACGCTGATAAAGTCGGGATTGATAATGCGAAGAGACTTTAAACTTTGAAACCACGGCATGCTCATTATTCTAGTCAAGTGCCCAGCACTTTGGTCGTTGGCAGTCACCGAAAACTTCAGTAGGTTTCCTGGTAAGCTCTGTTGGATAGACTGGAGGAGGAACAGAGGGAAGACATCACAATCCACTTGGAGTTCCTCGAGCTCGTTTAACGGGGTCAAAGGTAGCTCAGGCACGGAGGATTGGACGAGGAAGAAGCATGAGACGAGCTGCACTTGCCTCGGTGATGTCGGTAAGGCGATGCTGGGTAAACGAGCGTCGATGAGGTGGAAATTTCGAAGTTTCGTCATATGGCGCAGATCTAGAACACGTCCCAAAATAGGTGGGCGGGCACAGCGAACACCCTTACAAGAGAGCACCCTCAGCTGGGGGCAGTCGAAAGAGATGCGATCCTGGACGACTCAGTCAGCTCGAATATTGCCAATCACTTTTTCCATGGTTCTTCACATACAGAATCGAAGTAGGCCGAACCACCAGAATGGAGTTCAAGCTCTCGAAGACTATCACTGCGCAGTTGTATATCGATACCGGACGGCCCAGACACATGTTTGAATTTCGCGGTATCTAGGGATTTACAACCGCGTAGAACGGCATGAACCCATTCAATAGGGATCACGGCCCTGCTGCATTCGACAATAACTACCCTCAAGTCGTACTGGCTTATCGGGAGCCACTTTGGATAGCGCTCGGCACTTCGCCATTCAAAATGTTGTAACGTTGGATAGCGCTCGCTGTGCGTCAGCGCCCGACCAAGGTAGTCCGCCGTAGTGCCAGGAAGTTGGGGCAATTTGACCGTCTTGAGTGTCCGGCACCTGCCGAGGGCAGCAACAAGTGCTCTCGGGGTGATTTGTTTTGTGGAGTTAGGGAAAGCCAGGGTCTCGATCAGTGGGCGCGAGCTCTTCACAATTTTGTTCCATGACCTAGAGACACGGAGCAGACGTACATTCGACCGGTAGTCGAGAAATGAAAGAACGAGTTCAACAACCTCAAAAGGGAGGACGCTGAGGGGGTCTTGTGCTTGCGAGAGCACGACTTCGAGCCTGATCTGCTCAGTTGTTTCCTTAATTTCTTTGACAAGCAATGCATGGTTTGCATCTGACTTGGGTACTTTCTTCAAGCCATATTCAAAATATCTCATTGCGGCTGTTTTATTGTTCTTGCGGCGTTCCGCGATTCCACTCCGGATGTAGCCTCGTGCGTCCTTTGGATCAAGTCGGATCATGGCTTTCGCGTCTTTTAGAGCCTGGTCCGGAAGATCCATTCGGAGATAGACCGCAACTCGATGATCCAGGATATTGATGAGAGACACCGTCTTGTCACTATCACGGGCTCTGAGAGCATCATTCACAGCGGTCAGGGCGAGAGTGTAGTCATGCTTTCGGGCAGCACTGAGGCAATCCTCCAGCAGACGCCTGACGTGTGTGCTGGGTTGTTCGGAACTCATATGAGCAGAGAAGGGACTGGATATGTACCTCAGGAAAGTGCCAAACAAACAAAGTCGATAGTAACAGAAAGTCTTGTATACCTCATTTTGCTCGTCGGTTGATATGCGTGAGGGTCGTGAGTAGTAGAGGCACGCGACGCGTCGGGTTCAATCGCGACCAAATGCACTCCACGTGATCTTCGGATAAACTATAGCTCCGAGATCCGGGGAATCCAGTGTTTACCACTAACCTCATCTGACAAAACCTGCCTCGAGCCCTGCGCAAACGAGCTGCAAGAGAGTGCGACAGGCATTCCGCCCATCTAACCTCTGTCAAAATGGAATCATCCAGTCTAGAAAGGGCATCGCAATACCTAAACAATCTCTTACTCGCGCGTGGTCTCCTCTCAAACGGCAAACCTATTGACTTCGCCCAACCCGATCGTCATGGCTCCGGTACTAATCCTACAATGTCACGGATCATCAATCTTGTCCACGACTTGATCCTCCGACGTGATCAGGACGCTGAACACCGCGAGACCCTTGCCATACATATTCGACAAGCCCGCGCGGACGAAGCGCAACATGTTCTCGATCTTCAGAGGCTACAAGCCAAGAATGCGGACCTCTCGCGAGCTGCAGCAGCAGCTGAGGCGCAGGAGCGAGCACTGAAGGCCAACGTGCGCAAACTCGAGACCCAGGCAAAAGAACTCAGGGAGCAGATGCTGAAGCTGAAATCCACTCTGGATCAAGTGCGGGTCAAATGTCTGAGCGACGTCCGCAAGAGGGATGCCGAACTGGACAAGCTCAAGGCGTTTTTGGCGGGAATGCAGCGCGGCAAGAAGGACTCGAGCGGGATGAAGATCAACACAATCAACTGGCAGCCAGAAGTTCAGGGTAGAGAATTGCGCAATGGACAGGACGTGAACAGCTCCGAGTGGAGCCTTGAGAAAGAAACCAATCAATTCCTTACTGAATTGGTCAATGAGACGAGTACAGAAAACGTGTCTCTTAGACGAATAATAACGGACACTATGCGGATTCTGCGAGACATCAGCGGGCTGGAAGATACGGATGCTGGTGCAGAGCATAAAGAAGTCCCGGAAGACGAGACAGATATATCAGACCACTACCACAGCATTCCGAAATCGACTCCGCAACAGCCACAACCTGAAGATCTTACTTCTTGTGACGAACTAGCTGAACATATGACTGCCATTCTAGGACACTGCCAATCGATCCTCAAAGATCCGTCTTTTGTCCCGATCGAGGAAGTCGAAGTTCGAGACGAGGAAATCATCAAGTTGAGAGGAGGTTGGGAAAAGATGGCAAGCCGATGGAAGGAGGCGGTAACAATGATGGACACCTGGCGGCGACGAACGGTGGAGAATAATGAAGGGCTGTCCAGGGACGATCTGTCGAGGCTCGAGTTCGGAAAGAGTGTAGCTATGCTACCTAACGGGCAACCTGTCTTTGGGACAGACGATGAACTGTCGTCGATATTATACGAGAGCAGTAAGCTGGAAGAAGGGGAACAAGAACCCGAGCACGGAGAATTTCCCGCAAACTCCGAACAGGAAAACATTGGACATCGTACATCAACGCGAAGCAACATCGTGAAAAGAGGTCCAGCTAAGAGAGAACTACCAGTTGTCGAGCCAGACCTCGACATCCCTCCAGCACACGAACGATCGCCTAAAAGGCGAGCTTCCATTGCACGCAAAGCCGGCAATTTGGGCAAGCCAATTCGACCATTGCAGGCAACTGAATTGAGCCATCTGAATCGCTCGCCTAAGCCTGGTTCGCAGAGGTGGACGGAGTCGAGAGAGAGCGCAGACTCCGGCATTGGCAGTCTAGATGGCGGGATAGATGGCAAGCCAGACTCGGACGATGACGACGAGAACTATGGACGCGAGCCAGGGAAACGAGCGATGGATTTGGAATCTCGGATTCCACGTCAGGTAAGCTACACACTGTTCCTCTCTATCCACTCTTGAACCAGTATGAGTTGTACTAATCTCGATACAGGTCAAACGGCACGGGCCCGTGCTATCTATAAACGAAAAACTCATCGCGGTAGAGGCGGAAGCTCTGGAAACTCAGCGAGACCTGAAATCAGCCGATAGCACCACAAGCAGGAAACGAAAACACGGAGCCAATGCCGCGAAGACGAGAAAGGCATCACGGAGGAGAAGCACACTGAGTCCGGAGGAGCTGGCTGAGTTGATGGGTATCGAGTAACGACGACTTTGACAGACATAAGTTGTAGCCGGCTCAATGGCCAGTTCCAGGCAGCTGCTCTCGTGCTGAAACCATTAACCAGGGTGTCATAGGACACATTGTACAGTTCCACTTCCATTTTCCTGGTCGTTTTGGCTCAAGACACGCGCTGCACGTCTGAAACCTCACCTCCATCGTTCGACCGAGTCAGACTCGAGAATATAATGTTCCCATGAGGCTCATTCAGCTCATTTGAAAGCCCGTCATTGTCTCTGTTATGGCTTCCATCGCCGTGCTAGTTCATCTAGTTCTCTGATTGGTCACATCAAACCCTCATAGACGACTCTCACGGGCATGTGCTTCGTTAACAAGCACGATCCTGTACCGTGCCTTGCCCTCTTCCATATCCACAATCGCTCGGTTGGCCTCTTTCAACGGGTAGTTGTTGGTCCACGTCCACACCTTTTTGCGGGCAAACAAATCCAACATCTCCCTGATCTCTTTCGGAGAACCTATCGAGGAGCCCGTGATGTTAATCTTCCTAGCGAGGAGCGTAAATGCCTTGACGGAAGGAATGTCATCTTCAGGGGCGCCAACTTGAACGAACGTGCCCCCAACGCGAAGAAGTTGAAGATATTGACCAAAAGGCATGTGAGCATCTGAAACGGTCGAGATGATGAGGTCCAGGGATCGGCGATGCGTGCGTGCCCAGTCCTTGTCTTCATTCGTGGCGATGAAGGTATCCGCGCCCATCTTGAATGCATCGGCCTTTTTCGAGGAAGTGCGAGAAACCACGACGAGCTTGTCCACGTTCAATGCTTTCGCCCCCATGACTCCAAAGTGACCCAGTCCACCCAATCCAATGATACCCACCCGTTTTCCTGGGCCCGCGCCGTGCTGTGCTAACGGCGCGAACGCAGTGATACCACCACAAAGCATTGGTGCTGCGACGTCGCTGGGCAACGCATCGGGGATCTTGAAGACAAAATGGGAGTGGCCGCGCCAATAATCGCCGTACCCGCCGTAAGATTTAGATCCGTCGGGCCATTTTGAATTGTATGTCCCTGTCTGCTTGATTTGGCAGTAGTTTTCGTTGTCATGGGTGCATTCATCGCAGTCCGGCCGCAGACAAGAACGGCTTTGAGCGCCTACGCCCACGCGATCTCCCACTTTGATTCCGTTTTCTACCTTTGAGCCGACGCGCACAGCGGTTCCAACAATTTCATGACCCACGCAGACAGGATAGAGGGTCGGAGCCCAACCGGATCTAAGCGTATGTATGTCGGATCCGCAGATTCCCGTATGGGTGATTTTGATGTCGACATCAGTTTCCTCGAAGGGCTTTGGGGTGTAACTCTGCCAGACCATGTTGCCTTTTGCCGAGTTCTTGTCAAGGCCCATCCAGCCCTGAAACGTGTAATTCTGAGCCATTTTGTTGGCGGTTAGTAGATTGAGGGGTACTTTTTGTAGTGACGAGATGAGGGAGAAGAGAAGGTATCGGATACAAACAGAGGAACGGAGACGAATTGACTGTTCCGACTTGGAGAGGATCAGGACAAGGAGTTGAGGTTCTGGTGGCAGCCAGGCCTCCGCATCAACGGGCTCTTATCTTTTATACTCTGTAGCTCTGTGGCTTGACCGAGCACGCCGAGGTAGAAAAGTCCCCCTAACGCTCTTCTAGCTTTCAACCATTCAAGCATTCATCGAATTGGCGGCTTGCCTAACTCGGGTGGAGTGCCGTGCCACATTCCTTCAGATGCGACGATTGTGAGGCATAGCGATAGCTGTGCAGAACAAAATATGAGGGACCCAGACGAGGATACAGAAGCTGGAAAAGTGACAGGGGATGCTTCGAAGGCGACAAGGAATAAACGATGTCGAGAAAGGTCGAGGTGCAAGCATTGCGCTCACCTAATGCTGCAGAGGCGCAGTCTATCCAGACTGGATGACTAAGCTGGCAATCCTGGGCACCAGCCTGGGTGCCAGCTCATGCATGCCTCATGCGCGTCAGTCGACGCGATCAATCAACTTACCAAACACAATTAATTCCAACTGCCCCCGCGCTCCATACAACTTCCCATAATTACTCAGGCCATGCTATCCTCATCTAAGTCACCATGAACAAATTCTCGGTGGACTATTCGTCCAGCATCAATTCTACGCCGGGCAGAACACCCGCTACTCGAGGGACGAATTTTTTGTCCTCCAACCCTCCTCAACTGGCTAGCACCACTCCCATTGCGCCTCCGCCCTCTCAGATCTTCGGCAGCTCTACGTTTGGCACTGGCGTCAGCAAACTCCAGCTCTCCAAACCTGCACGATCTCCTCCTCAGCAATCCTCCAGCTTGAAGAACCCTCCACAACCGAAGAATGGCGCTCAACAAGTTTTCTCAAGAGCCAGGGTCGCGAATGATTACAACGGGGGAGAAGATGAGGACCAAGACATGGATGAAGACGATTATCAGGAGGACTCGAGCCAGTTTCAACAGAGCCGTGGCTTTCGATCCGTCGATCAACGACAACCGGTTTCACTGATGAAATTCAGTACTATGAGCACGAGAGACTCCAGGGTATCTGCGCCGCGTAAATCTTTCCGCAACTCAACGAGGATCTCTGCGCTCCCTCACAAAGGGAACGACACAGTTGTACTCAATCTCGCTAGGGACATGGGAACCAGGGCGCGACCAGCCTCTGTCACGGAACCAGATGAGGTGATCCTCGAAACAGAACAAATCCTTCGGGAACTAGACGAACAATCTCAGTACCTCAAAGACCGTGAAAATATACACCAAGCTATCGCAGAATATGTTTACAGTCTGATCAAGGAATGGCAACGGTTTGCTGAGCCAGATCGGCCTTCGCTGGATAGCAACGACATCGGTCCACAACCCACCGCTCCCCATTTTACGAAGGCCAACTATCTCGCTTCACTCCTCCTCGTCCTTCGCCATCCCCCACCCTCGCCAGATAAGGTGGCCATTCCGACTCCTCGAGTCCTGCTCGATTGGCTCGACAACTATCATGTCTCTTACGATCAAATGCACAGAGCAGTTGCCTCTGCTCGACCTAACTGCACTTCACATGAGCTCTTCTGGGACGCTGTTCAGAGTTTGACGCTGCGAGGTAAATTGCAACAAGTCATGCAGCTTTTCGCGGATGCCGACTTCAAGTATGCGGCTTCCGCCATGGATGACGGTGCAGACGGTGCCGGGTACAAGGGTGCTCAACTTCAGACAGTGCAAAGCGTCATCTACCGAGCTCGGGTTCTGCTCAACTCCTGCCCAGCGATTCAGTCGGGTGACTGGAATGTTGCCGGTCCAGAGTGGGATGTCTTTCGCACCGCTGTTGAAGCTGCACTGGACAATTTGTCTGACGAGGTCAGTGGTCGGGATGAAGACGAGTCTCCCTTCGAGGCTGAGAACTTTGGCTTGCGCAAGCCCGAGACGGGTCTTCTGGGACAGGTGGGCCAAAAATCATCATCCAACCTTCCATGGACCGTCTTTCAGAACCTGAAGATTCTCTACAGCATACTTCTCGGCAGTGCTGAAGAGATTGCAGCCCAATCACAAGACTGGCTCGAGGCCGCTACCTCACTGACCATATGGTGGGATGGCACCGCAGATACTGCAGCAGTAGCGCAGTGGAGTTTCGACGTTAGTCGGGCTAATAACCTGACCAAACAGGACGAAGACCTCAATCCTTACCTAGCACGTTTAAGGGACGCCTTCCTCTGTGTTACCGATCCCAATGACAAAAATTCCTTCCAGATCAATGCAATGTCCCCAGTCGAGGTAGGCTTGGGCTGCATTTTGCAAGGAAGTAGTCAAGGGGCCTTGACGATTCTGCGCACCTTGTCTCAGTGCATTGCTTCATCTGTGGCGGAAGTTGGAGCCAAAGCTGGCTGGTTGGAAGAAGAACCACAGGCTACACCAACAGGTCTGAGTGAAGATGATCTCATGGTCCTCAGCTATGGCGCTCCCAAGCAAGGGATTTCCAAAGATGACTTATTGTTGTCATATGCCGAACGGCTTTTCGAGAAAACAGCCCTCCATCTTCCGGACGGCTCTTCAGTAGAAGGCTGGGAAGTTTCGATATCCATTGTTACGCGCCTGGACGACCGCGAGGCGATGCACGCCGCCGTGAGCAATTTTGTCGAGCAACTACAAGTCACTACTCAAGATCGTACCGAGAAACTCACGAATCTCTGCTCCGATCTAGGATTGCAGGATGAAGCGAGGAAGGTTTCTGATAGATTCGGCGACTATCTCGTGGACAATACTGAGGAGTATGGTACTGCCTTGCTATGCTATGCGAGAAGTCACGCGAGCCATAAGATCCGGCAGTTGATAGATGTGCTGGTCAGTTATTCGCTGGTACAGTCAAGGGCGTATCCCCCGGAGAAGGAAATGGACGATGGACTACGGAGCCTAGTGGGAAATCCCAAGACGGCGCTTGTCGATATTGCAGAGGTCGACCCTGAGGCGGCTGAGATGCTGCAATTCTACCTGGTGGGTTACGCTTGTCTACGGCGATTTTATAATCTACGCGACGATAAATCTGGCGATGGGAGGACGACAAATTCGCGCCCTCTCGCGCGAAGGAGAGCGGCCGCGAGAGCGCTTGTGGCGGCGATCAATTCCGCAGCAGATTCCATTTATGGCGGACTATATGATCCAGAGCGACAGAGTGCGATTCAAGTCGACGGATTACTGACGCTCTTGGGTGAAGCCACCGCCCTTCTCTCCCAAAGCCAAGACATCATCGCAACCAGCTACCCGGCGAAGACAGGACACAGTGTGGAAAAGAAAAGAATATTTACGACTGAACAAATCTATGCGTTGCTAGCGGCAATCGAGGATCTTTCCACTGTCTCTGAGCGCGTCTACGGCGCGACCGAGGAGTGTCTGGCCGCTGCAATCAGAGAATATCACGGATCACGGCCGCCAAGTCCAAGAGCGGTGCTGAAAAAGTCCATGAGCAACGGAAGTGGGAGTGGTTTCTCTTACTCGCTTATGGGCAGTGAGATGCTGGGTAGGAGCATGACCACTGACATGACGAGCGCGAGTGGTAGTGAAGTTTTAGTCCGAGGGCCAAAGGGCCAAAAGGCGAAGGGCAAAGAGGCTGACGTTCCAAAGGAGAGGGGATGGGACTGGAGGGACCAGTTTTCCGGGGAGGATGTACGTGGACAGGATATTGTCAAGGCCCTACGAACGGGGCTGGCAGAGGAGTTGAGCCATGCCGAGCTTGACGAAGGCGTTTCGCTATAAAGGACCAAGTCACAGCGCGCAGCCAGCCGCTTTGATGGAAAACAGGGACGAGGGGGAGAGAACGAGAGAGGGAGCCACTGACAGAGAGAGTCACTCTGTTTCTCACAGCAAGCGACAGCAAGGGACAGCTCTTTCCCGCCCGAAGTCTTTGAGGTTGAGATGGAAGGAAGATTCAAAACTTTTTCCCTCTCCCAAGAGCCAGGCAGAGAGAGGAGACATACAGACAGATATTGTTCTGTTTAACGGCGCTCCAGCCATTACCAACTGGTCTATTATAGCACGGCTTCCCTCCGCCAGCCAGCCAGACAGCGACCCAGCTCAAAAAAAGACCACGGGCAATCCCGCTCCCAGCCCGCACGAGCTTCCTTTCTGAATCCAATGTATGAATACAATACGAGAAAATAGACCAGGCCAAACGAGGCCAGGGGTCTTTGATCAATCGTCACGACAACTGAGACTTGAGAGATTGATTGGGAGAAAATACAAGTACAAGTCCAAGTGGCACAACAAACAGCGCCCACCCCGTGGTCACCGAATCTGTTCCATCCAGTGTAGTCGAGTCATGAATTAATCATTTGGTCGCAAATGCACACAAAACAAAGTCCATCGTAGCGCAAGTTCATTTCAATACAGGTGCAGTGCGAAACGGTACAGTGCGATTCGAATCGAAAGAAAGACCACAATAAACTCCCTCCGTTGTCTTGCCTTGAAAACCTTTGTCTGGTGCCTGATAAATGTCTGTTGCGGCCGTCAATTACCCCCGTCTTGTTCGCATTGAACAGCCTCGTAAAGGACAGAGACAAATGAAGAGAAAAACCCTGTTGCAAAGGAGATTTTGTACAAGAAACCAAAAAATAAAACCAATAGGAGCAGAACATGAGCAGTGAATATTCCCCCTTTGCCATGACTTTAGTTCCATTTTCCGTGCCGTGCGCCATCATGTGCGTATCGTCTTTCATATGCCATGAGTGGCCACGCCACCTACCTGACCATCATCGTCCGCAGCAAGGGAGAGAAAGCGCAGTGGTCATCCGGTCCCCTTTCTCAAGGCGTGGCCTCGCTGCCTCTCTTTTTGCCCTCCATCTTTGTCTTTTCAGAGTGGCCACCCACTCGTCTCAAAGCCAAAGTTCATTGCAAGGAACTCGTCTCCGAATCCAAACGCCATAAGCTCGTCATTCGTAAAATCCATGGGAATCATGTCTCCTCCAGGTCCGGGCATCATATACGGCATCATAGGTGCCGCTTGATCATAACCAGCAGACATCTGATTGATGCCAGGCAGCATGCTGTTGGGTTGAGCCGGGTTATTCATGATGGTATGAGACCACTGCTGTTGTGGTGCGGGTTGAGGTTGAGGCATTACAGGGCCAGGTCCAGGAGCTGGGCCCATAGCTGCCTCGGAGAGCATCTGCAGGCCACTCCGTGGCGGACCTTGTTGCTGCTGGTGAGGCTGTGGAACACCTCCATCAACAGAACCGCGGTGTTGTGAATTCCATGCCAAATTTGTCGGATCCTGCTGAGGTGGAACAGCCTTGTATGTGTTTGGCGGCTGTTGCGACTGTGACAAGTTGTTCCCAGCGCGAGCGTTGATGATTCCGTTTGCTGGTGTCCTCTGTCTTGAGACTGGCCCACTTCCATTATTCACCGAGTCTATTCTCTTCATGTGCCAGCTCTTGAGCATATTAAAAATTAATGTGAACTTGTGCGCCACGCGGGACATCCCTCCTTCGCAAGCCTTGCTGAGCGCCTCTATCATTCGGTCCAGATAGTATTCCACCTTCAAATCTTTGTTCTTAAAGATGATGTTGAATTTAGAACCCTTGGCCGACACAGCGGAATACATCTTGATCAAAGCGACGGCCGCGTAAGAGTTCCGAACAAAGAAAAGGGTCGGTAGAGCCCGCAGAGCGGGGACGTCCATGGCCAAGAAGGCGTCGAACGCCGAATGTGCCGAGTTGATGCAGGTGGTGAGGGCTTCTATATGAGCTGGCGTGACATTATCCGGGTCCGGAGGGCCATCAATCGGGGTGGAGATGTAGGGAGGTCGAAAGTCGTCAATATTATGGTTGTGGTGCATGGCGATTTCGTGCATATACAGATTGAGAATTCCTTCAGTGTGTTGGATGATGGGCTTCTTGATCATTTCTTGAGTGGTGGCGTGTTGCCACTCGACCAGTTGGCGCTCGAATGTTTTTAGATGGTATTGGGTTTGAGGGTCGGTCAACGACAACGGCGAGGCCGGGTCGTCCATGGAGAATTGAAACCCGATATCTTCAGCGATGTGTTGTCCACGCACGAGATGACAAAAGTACTTGTCCGAAGGATGCGCGTCCGGCGAAGAGGTGAGGATATCAATACACTCGTCGGCGTAAGGACTCCAGCGGATGAGTAGCGGCCGTCGGAGAGACATGGACGAACTGGAAGGTAGGGTCAGAGTGGAACAGTGCTAGTTTGGGGATATACTCACTTGGAACACATATAATAGCAACCCAGCCAGCATCGTCGCACCTCCACACTATTTGGATCCGACAGCGGTCTCTTGTTCTCATGATACGGTCGCCATATGCTTCCCCCACCGCGCCTCGATCGTTTACCCATGCCCAGGTCCAGAGCCATGACAGCAGCAATGTGGATCAGCTGGTTGAAGTTGAGCTCTTCGTATTTTTCTGGAGGCTGATAGAAGCAAGTCGTGACTTGAATGGTTTGGACCAACTCCAGCGACTTTTCTCCCCGGATAATGACCTTGTCGGCGAGCACCCTTGTGATCTCCAAAATCAGGCCAGGTTGAAGATCTGGTCGTACGGTACCCGAAGCGACAGCAAGGACAGCAAGGAAGAGGATGGGTCTATTTTTGCGAATTTCATCGGCGTGGGTACCGTGTGGAAACACAACTATCGGCAGATGCTCGCACATTTCTGCCATATAACGATCGAAGCATTTCCTAGCGGTAGTGATGTCGATGAGACCGCGTTCGATCGGATCCACACTTGTCGGTTCATCAGCCTTGGTTGTATGTTCCAGAACAGGTTGATAGGTATTGGCGTGACCTATCGGGGGCTTGAATGACGGAGCGGAGGATTTATGTAGCTCTCCCCCAAAGTACTCGTAGTCACTTGTAATCTTCCTCTTGACCCCTTGTTGCGGGGAATGTGCGTTCCCTGACGACGGCGGCGGTGGTTGCGGCGGCTGCGGCGGTGGAGGTTGGTGCCATTGACCTCCAAATGTGTGTACGCGGGCATCCTGCGAGGCAGGGTGTGACACTGGTATGGTTGGGTCAGCACCAACATCGGGCTCAGCTCCTCCTCTTGCCGCCAAAGTGGCCGTGAGAGCATCGATTTTCTTTTCCAACTCGGCGACTCGGCTGTCTGTCTTCTTCTGCCTCTTCCGACTGGGAGCGGTGACGATGCATTGTCTGTTTGCCTTTGCACATCTCTTGCAGGATCCCGTGGGATGGTTGTCGTCGGGTTCGCATTTCACCTTGAGCTGTCGACACGCTTCACAGGCGCGCGGTCTTTTAATGTCATTAGGGTCATTGGGATTACCGGACGGGCTTTGGTCATCAGGACTTTCCTGCGTATGTGAAGTGGTGGGGTAGTAGTTGGGAGTCTGGATGGATTGGTACGAGTTGTTGGGCGATGGCTGAAGAGACGGTTGCAGAGGAGAATAGGCACCAGGAGCAGGATTGTGGTAGTGCTGCTGAGAGTCGCGAGGTTTAGGAGGACTGCTCAGGTTAGAGCCTCGCAAGGCTGGATCGATGTGATTGAATGTGTCGATGCTGGCCATCGAGTCTTGATACTACAGTACTAGCCTGTGATTGTTTGATCGAGTCGGGTCGGCGATGGTTGATGGCGACTCGCCGTCGATAGGATCCGGAGCGCCGATGGAGACAGCTTCCTCTTTATTTCCCAAAGCACCCTGCAGACATTTGTGTCGCCATCAAGCAGTTGAGAAGAGGGTGATTTGAAAAGGCAGCCATCCAGGGACAAATGGGATGTGAGACTGCTTCGTTGCACGGGTTCGTGGGCAGGGTAGAGGTTGTGGTCAGGCGAGTCCGGCGTTGGGAGACTGATGCGATTCCTGCCCTCCGTCAGACATGACGACCTTTTGGGGGGGACAGGGGGGGCAGGAGGAGGAGAGGAGGGAGAGGGAGAGAGGAGCGCGCGGCCGAGAGCGAGAGCCAGGGTGTGGGTGCTCGGGACTACTGTGACTCGTCCATAGGCGGTGGTGGGCGCGACCTACACACAAGGACGTGCCTAGCTGCTAAGTACTTCGGCGACCCGCGCATGGCTCTCCTGAGCCTAGGGAGCTCATTGGGTGCCCACGCAGCCTAGATGCATTATGTAAACTACCCTTATCCGGCTCGCCTAGCTGTTGTCCTAGACACTAGGTCCCTAAGTTCCCTAAGTGCACAGCCACTCAATAATCAATCTACTTTACTTGGAAGCTCAACCCCAAGCTTTTAATATAATATTAATAGCAAATCTCACTCCCCTAAATGGTAAATTTAGGCCTCTTGTGCTACAAATATCAATGGCGCCGCTCAGCACGAGTCTGACTGGCCATGATCACGTATTTCGAAGGATCCTCTACTGTTTTGTCCAGACTCCAGAGGACTCTATATAGAAGTTGAGACTGACTGATACCTTTTAGCCTGCGAGATATGGATACCGTTTCCAGGCCTGGTGAAACCATGACATATCGAACCCTCGTGGCTGGGAATGTCACATTTTATGTTTTGTACGAGGGATCATGCGAGTCATTCGGCTTGTTGTCGTGCTAAGTGGAAAATATCCATTCAAATATCAAACCCAGGCGTGCAGCTAAGCTCTCCCTCCCAATTCAACCCTTTCGCTGGAACCCAAAGCAAGATACTCCACGAACAATATACACCGCCGAGCATCGTTCGTTTTCACATCATCAGTCATGCATCATTCTTCCCGCAGAGAATCAAAAGGAGAGACGTGTGTGCATGCATCATCCTAACAGCTTATGCACCGGGCATTCTGCTTTCCGTCCCAACCATTCCAAAATGCAGCTCCTGTGGAATTTACACAAGCACTCCAACCTGACCAATTCATCGCCCACATCATATTCAACCATGCAGATCGAACACTCTTGAACCTGGCCGTCTTCTTGCGAAACGCAATCTTTCTCGGTGGCTATAAACGTAAGCATCTGCAGTCGATGCGGTAATGCTTGGGGGTCCGGCTGTGCGATATAACCTCCTGTTTCGGAGCTCCCGGCTGCCACCACGTTGCTAGATTCCGCACGGTAGGTTGGATCACGAGCGTTAATGCAATCCATTATATGTGTTTCACGGGCCGTTTCGTCGCCATTTGGACCGCGAGGGGGTAGAACCCGGCGACAGACTGGGCATATATCGCTTTCCTTCAGCCGTGGGCGCCCCGACGAGCTATCAGTAACGGCATGTAAGGATCGAGGGAGGGGTCGGCGCAGCTGTGTCGTGATGTCGAATAATTCATCACGAGGGTGTCGGCTCTCCGGATAGCTTGGGCGCGGACGGTTGGATGTCAAGCGTCCGTCATGGGGTGAATAATCCTGTACGGATCAGAAGGCTAGCATTGAAAAGGGGAAACTGATACATACCCGAGATGGTCCCACGAATTGGCTTGTGCCTGCAGATATTGGTGATGCTTGGAAACGATATCTCGTAGGTGATGGTAGTTCTCTGTACGCACCAAACCATCCTAAAGCATCCGTCCTGGCCTCTAGACTGCCATACCCTGGCCCAGTGGCACGATGCTGGTGTTGAAGATAGGGATTGCCCTAAAACAGCAAAAGTCAGCGCGATATTCTACATCGTACAACAACAGGCTTACCACCACCATAGGACTCCTGGTGTAATCTCCTATTCCCAAAGAGTGGCCTCTTGGCCTCGCATCGTGGTTCACTACATGGCCCAATCCTATAGTTTGCCGTCCTCCGGCGCCCCATGGAGCTTCACGAGATGTGAAATCGGGGCCAGGCGGATACCTCATGAGAGGATCGGGTTGAGGGTCAGGCACACAGGGATTGCATAGTCGCACTTTCTCTCCGCCCTCTAACTGACTCTGGGCACCATAGGAATATGGGCTTAACGTGCTCCGAGATGAGTTGGCGTCGTTGTCGGTCCCGCTGGAATCCAGTGATTCCGAGCGGTGCGCTCCAAAACTCACGGGAGAAGTAAACACATCAGGACCCGGAGGGTGGACGATAAACTGCCGGGGGATTGTGATTCGATGGGGTGAACAATCATTACAGACGACCCTGCCGCACTTTCTGCAATGATGGCGCCTAAACATCCACGTAAAGGGCCGTTTGCAGATAGGACACTCGTTGACCTCAGAATCAGGCTGCCATCTCGGCACCACGTATCGTCGTGAACTTTCTGACGACGACCTGCTCAGCCGATTGCCTCGAGGTGTTTGCGGGGGTTGCGGCGGGGGCGGGGGCGGCGGCGGCGGAGGAGGAGGTGAATCTGTCAGATCTATAACCTCTGGGTAGTGTCGGTCGATGTTGGTATCAGATGAGACCTGACGCCGGGACGTGAAAGGAGGTGGAGGCCCATGAGGGGTATCGTAGTTCAATCTGCGATCGTGAAAGGCACTACTGTTTGCTCTTCTCCTGCCATCTTCATGTGTTGTTGAGTTGGTAAGCCTCCTCTTGCGATCTAGGGCGATGATGCTTCGCCTTCGCTCTTCATTGGCCTGTTCAGCGGCGGAGAGGGGGAGGGGAGGAAGACGGTCTCGTAGAACGGCAGGGAGCAGCGAATTACTCGGGCCAATTCCTGTGCCAGAGCCAGAGCCCGAAGCGAGGGGCCGCGAGGCTGGTAGGTCGGGCAGCGGTCGGTGAGTTGATGGTTCTGTGGTCATCTCAGAGCGTCTGGAAGGGTGAGTGTCATGGCGAGTATGATGACGGGGAGCCTCCTGGTCAGAATCATTGTAGCTGCTCTGTGAAGTGATCGAGTCCGATGAAGACATGGCCTTTCTTCAATGTTGGAGTGCAACGGCAAAGATGGCAACGCAGCCTGGTTACCTAGTATCCTGACACAAAAGGAGGAAGTGCAGATAAGGCACGTGTCAAGGACAGTGATGACGGTGGCGGAAAGCGGACATATCACGGAGGTTGAAACGCGCACGGGCGGAACAGAATGGGGCTTAAGAGGGCAGAGCAAGGCGTGTCTCCTCTACAGATACCCGGTGATAGATGGCATGATACATGGACTGTAGTAATTGCATGTGGCCGCCCCGGCAGATGCTGTGTCGTATCGCAAGTCCGGGATACGTAGGGTGCCTCCTAGGTACCTAGGTAGGTGGATGACGATAATGAGGGTGGAAAGAACACCACTCAGGAATTGCTCTTTACAAGTACAAGCAAATCCTCGAGCAAGAGAGCACGTGCTTTCCGAAGAGTGTTGGGTTGCCGTCGCCCCGTCAGTTTTAGTAAAGCATTGTCTCGGAACAATGACCAAGACTGGGGCCTAGTGTTGGTTTGGCTGCCCAGGAGGAACAACCCGAGTCATTTGGGGGATTGACTTACTAGTCCTCAAGTAGTAGAGAGGGGCTAGGTGGCTCGGATGGTCCAGTGCACCAGAAATAGACCGAGCACCACCGAGAAAATGAAGCCCAGTCAAAGCCGGAGGACGCCCAAGGACGCCACAGGGTCGCTCATAGCGGCAACTTCCCAGCTGAGACCTGCTCAAACAACATCTCCAACGAGGGAAAAAAAAAACGTCTTCATCCGAGGACATGCTCCTTCTCATTGGCCCCTGGAGTTTCCCTTCCATCAGGTTTCGTCTCCTGCTTCGGCGGTGCCTGCGTTCTGCGTTCCTCACCACCTCCATCCACCTTTCTCAACGTTCGCTTCAGGTTTAACACAACTGTTACTTGGATTTATCTTACCCCTTCACTATTGTAATCCATAGCATCTCCATCCACTTTACTATTTCCTGCATTCTAGCCATTTCTCTCGTTGAGCATCTACGTCGATTCTATAACCACACTTTTAAAAACTCCTTGCACCACATCTGAGACACTCCCGCCAAGCAGATGACGATCGTCTCCCATCCACTCGCTCTTGTCAGTCGCCATTGACGAGCTTCTACATGTGCTTTGTCACTACATCTGCCTTGCCCCCATTGCAGGCGGCTGATTCCTAGGAAGAGACATCTAATCTGACTGCGTCCTCGATTCTCGACTACTTCAACCTCGACTTTCTCGAAGCGTGTCCATCGCGCGACCAGACCAGATGTTAGGGTAGACGGAGAATTATCGCCTGGGAAGAGGAGGCACAAAGGTCTACAGCGCAGAAATGACTTCGACTAACCTAGACGGATATCGAGGTGCTGGCCGTACATGGATAGTCGAGGAGAAACAGTATCGGCGTCGTCTGCGCTGGAGAAAGGATTGGTCCGGCACACTCACCATGGTCGTTTTGCTCCTCGTCCTATGCGTGTCTTCCGTCCGCGCCGCCTATGTTGAATTCCACAATTGTCTGGACAGCAATATTGTCGATTCGAGTCCGCGCATCCTACAATTTGACCCTTTCAATGTATCCGCCGTGTTCAATAGCTCTTCAACCTCGGACCGGCACCATCTGAATATCACAATTTATGGCAATGTTACTGGAAAGGCCACTGAACAACCTTATCCCCCTCCTGATGATCCATCGTGGAACGATCCAAATGACACCTTTGGAAAGATCCCCGATTTGAGCGAGTCAAACAACAAGTACACCACTCTCTTCACCCATGTCAATTTTCTAGGTTACACTCCATGGAATGCAGATCCTTCGCGATTTTGCGAGTCGGTAGTCCAAGGTGAATGTCCTTTGGCTCCCGCCTTCTTCGTCAACCAGAGCGACCTGGACCGTTTATCCGCATTCTCTGTCGCGCACGATTTATCCTCCAGTTACGCTTTTGCCTCACTTCAAGCCACGTTGAGAGTTCAGTCAGGTGATGCAAGCGGGCAATATTACAGCTGCGTCACCGCTACAATCACTCCCGATCTAGGAGGATCTCTCAAGGCCATACTCAGATTTGTACCGCTCGTGGTGTTGATCGTGGTCGGAGTCGCTACCATCGCCGCCGCCATTCTGAGTCCGTGGGGGTCCGTGGACCTGTTTCATTGGAGCAGCAATTTTGGGCGTGACGAAGACTTGCTACGTCTAGTTACTCCAGGATTCGGGGACTGCTTGCAATACGTTCAATTTGTTGTGCTGACTGGCAGTTTGTCGTTGAATTATCCTGGCTTCTATCAACCAGCAGTAAGCCGCGTCTCATGGTCCTCGCTTATGTTCAACGAGAGTTTTGTGACTGGCGGAAATGGCACACAGAGCGTGGTGGACGGTATCTACGAATATCGTCAGGGCACCAAATATGGTCTTGATCGAATGAGCCAACTGGTCGGCATGACCTCAGACAAAGACGTCTGGGCAGATATGATCGTCTGGCTGGTGGTCATTGTTGCTGCCGTCTCAATTCTAACGCAAATAGGATTCGCGGTCCGCTGGATCTACCGAAAGATCAAGAGGGAGCCGCCAGAGGATCTCCGTTCCAAGAACGGACCGTTCACGGCTGGAAATGTCGTCCGGCTGGTTATGAACTTCTTCTTGCTACCTCTAGCATCACTGTCTTTCTATCAGCTCCTGATTGCAGGGAAAGGGCCAGCATACTCCGTCGCATTAGCAGCCGTGGCGCTGGTTGTCGTCATCGCTTTTTTGATCTGGGTACTGTTGTTGTTTGTTCGGACAAGACCACGCTCGTTCCTCTTCGACGACTTTCTGATGGTACTCGCCTACGGACCTCTATACAACACCTACTGTGACGACGCCGCCACTTTTGCGCTGATTCCGCTTGTCGTTAACTTTGTCCGCGGCATCGCAATTGGAGGGGTCCAGCCGTCTGGCATCGCGCAAATCGTGCTCCTGGCAATATGTGAGATTGTTCTAATTCTTACAATCAACGCTTTCCGGCCATTTCCGTCAGCCACCTCCATGAACATCTATCACACTTGTTTTTCGGTCATCCGACTCATCACCATTCTTCTTTCTATAGCTTTTGTGCCTACCTTGGACGTTGGAGATTCGTCGAGAGGCTGGATCGGGTATGCAATCCTCATTATTCATGCTTGCACCATGGTTTTTGGGTTCTTCCTGAATGCCGTACAAACTTTGGTTGAAGTCATTGCTCGTCTTGCTGGCGCTGGCGGACGGGATGAAGCAACAGGGGCCGCTACTAGAGGTGGGTTGAACAAGGTGTTTGGAATGCGACAACTTTCTCGACGGATGCCGCGGCGGGCTACCCAGGACCCGCGCCATAGCATGTCATCGAACGCGGCCATGCTGAACACGGTTGAAAATGATCACCAGAAGCTACAGATGGCCAAGACTAGGTCTCGCAGTGTTTCGGCGGCGTCGGGCGTTCTGTTAGAGAGCGGCGTGCACTCCAACAGGATCAGCCAGAACCTTGATGGCTGCGTTGTTGGCAACGCGACGCCTGATAGATCCAGCAGGGGATCAAGGCGACTTACCGTTCGGCTTAGTGGCGCTGGATCCCTGGGGGGCATTGTCGGTATTCAAAGACAGGTGGAACAAAAAGACCCATACTATCGACCGCCGCGCAGAAACACAATGGATGCACTTGCCGGAGCCGACAGTCGCCCAGATCTAGCCCAAGCGTCATTGAAAGGTGCTAAAGCAAGTGAAGGAGCGGTCGAGGACGACGTCGGCGAAGGACCTTCTACTCCGATGCCTGTGGAAAATGATGACTTTGAAGACATTAGCAACGATTTGACGAGGACAAAGACCGACTATGCCGTGAGAGAAGTTGACTTCTATTACGGCGTTCGTGGAGCTGCTCTTTCTAACAGCGGGACGCGGAAGCTCAAAACTGGGCCGGCCGATCCAACAGGGCCTGTATCCACAGCCACCGGATGGTTCAAAAATCTTTTGGGTGGCAAGACAAAAGAGAAGAACAAGGGATTCGAGGTGGTCAGGAGTGCCCGCGCTCCTCCTCCAGGGCTATTTCCACCACCTGCTCCTGTCCGGGAACCTCAGGTTACTGAACCCTACCACGACGACGTCCGAAGCGTAGAAGAGAGCCAGACCGATCAAAACAGCGTGGGAGTCTCGTCTCCCCCTCCACAACCCAAGGTCCAGAGACAGAGTCACCATCAAAGCGTCTATGATGACATCTCCGTTGCAGGTTCTGACGACGATGAGGAAAATGAGGAACTAGAAAGTCCCGTCTCGGCAAAGCCGCCGTCGTTGCCCCTGATAGAATCCGTGGGTGGTATCGAGTTGCCCAGTCGCATTGGGTCGGAGGCTTCAAGAAAATCCCGCGGAAAGCCCCCGCGCGTACCTGAGACAGACATCCCAGCAGTTCCTGCCATTCCTAGGAAGAGTTCACGACGACAATCAGGTGGCGACTCTGGCGACAGAGGACTGGCTGACTCTGCATTGTCTACCTTACGTCCAGCAGACTTCTCATCCCGAAAAGCGCCAACGTCGACGTTGGGTACTAGCCGTATCCCTTTTGCGAATACACAGCCTTCAACATTTCGCAACAAGAGGTACTCGACTGGGGCAGAATCGACCACGTCGAGCGTGCTTCGCGATGGAGACGAGAATGCTACCGTGCACCCCTCATATACAACTCAGATGCGCCAGTCGGCCACATCCGCGTTAGGGACCCACGGAGCCGATCTTCGCAATGAGCGGCCGTCAAATATGGGTTTTGTGCAACAACACAGAGCAAGCGACCATATCCACCAAAGTCCGGATTCGCCAGAGTTTGAAGGTAGCACCGCAGAAGTCCATGGGCGTCCGGCATACTGAACGACGGATTGACCATGGGCCTTTGGCGGGCATTACGAAGTTCACGACCGTTTTGCAGAATAGATATTGTGCGGAGGGTTCAAGAGGATTGGAGACAATCGTCTGGTGCGGAACTACTCCGAGGGTACACGAATCTGACAGTCTTGTTGCAATCAGTAGTCAACAAGAGAACTGAGCCAGGGGTAATCAGAACATTCGTGTTGGGCTTATGGGAAAAACTACACTTTGGGTTTGATATTTTGCCAGTCTGATGAGCGCGGCGTTCGGACCTGAGCATAAGGGAATGATGTATTAGGCCTATTCTTTTGACACATATATGTAATTAATAGTGTCCCTGGTCTCTCTCTCTCCTGTCCGTGCAAGTGTTTCGCAGTGCCTCTGCGTTCAGGCTGTAGAAATTGGAAATTTAGGAGTAGAGACCCCCAGCGTGGGCGTATATCCAGTCCTTGAACGAACAACTTGACCTGCCTCTCGATTCTTCACCTCAGATTGACCCGCCTCTCCCACCACGCCCTCAACAAGAATCAGCATGGGCGTCAAAGAAAGACAGCACACTACCAAGCCAAGTTTCCTGGATAGGCCGGAAGAAGACAAGTCGTCCTGTACTATGGTATCATCACCCTGCGCCCTCCTGAGGCTCTAGATGCTGAACTTTCGTTATTTGCCAGAGGACAAGACGTCAGAGGACGTCTTCATCGGCTTGGACGGTCTAAAAGACAGCCACAGATCCTTGTCCCTACGCCCCTTTGCGCAAAAGCCTTCACCCAGACGAATTCAGCCAGTGCTGTATCATCATTCCCGTCTCCTGGACTAGGGGGTGGGAGGCAAGTTGAGGAGGGCTGAGACACAATGGTGAGCGCCACCTTGGGCTATGACTACATGGCTGTGGGATTGCCAACCACCATCGTCAACCTTCGATATGACACAGCTGGCCCTGACGGGGGCAGGCGTGGACACAGAACCCACAGCCTGTATAGGCATGGCCGATAAAGGCAGAACCTTCAAATATGGACGTTCAGGTATCAGATGGTCTGGTAGCTTTGATGCTTTCACCATCTCGTGCACACTCCTCGTGCTGCACGGTCCCTGGACTTAGATCAGAGCGAGGTGTTGACAAATAACGATCGGCCGGCAGAGAGCGACTCCGAGGAGTTCAACAAGCTACTTCAGGCACCTGTTGCCCTGACACACTGGACTTGCGGCCTATCTGGGACAAGGTTCGATCGACTCGCGAATGACATGCATGTTTTACAGGCTTTTACTCACAAGAAGATGGGGCTCCTCTCACCCATGCACGAGGCCTGAAGCCAAAAAGAGACAACTGACTTCTGTTTGAGGCCACGTCTGGCAGGTTTGGACCTTAAGGAAGAGATATTCCCCGCCGGTTCGAAGCTAGATCTGCCGAATGAGCAGACCCAATGCGTCGACGGCCTGGCGATGTGGACGGTGAATGCAGGCGCAGATTGGCCAGGAACAAACCTGCGGTGTCGTTGTAACAACCACGCTGAGCGTGCAGGCTCTCGGCAAAAGACGACTTGTTCTCCTCAGGAATTCAACGAGACTAGCATCCCACGCTCGGCCACAGGTCGGCATGTTCAATCCGGACGTCAGGAATGCGCCTGAACAAGAACCTCTTCCCCAGGCACCGCGATACGAGATGGGTCTGGCGCATCCCAGTGCACACGCAAAGGGCCTGCCGTGCTATCCGCACCGCCTAGCAGAGCTGTTTGCAAATCACTTTGCCTGAATCCTTGTCTAGGGCATTTCCAAAATTCCCATGTCGAGCATATAAGAGTTTCGAGGGTCTTGGCCGAGCGGCCGGGGCAAGCCTCGTCCTCACTAACAACCGCCACCAATGCTTTCGTGATTTACGTACATTCACCCAAACTCCTGGGGCAAGCGACCTTCTCATTGGCCCTGCTGCATTGTGGCCCTGGACCGCGGAGGCGGGCCTCGCAGCCGGTGTCAAAACTGCCAGGGATGGGCTCTCTCGCCTTGAAACTATTGATCAGCCGTGGGGATCTTCCTCACCTAATACGAGCGACGAGTATCCAGTGACAGCGGGTGGCATGGGTAGCACGGGTGGCCCGTGCTCTTGTTGCAATCTTGAGACCATCCCCGGATCGCTGTCTGTGTCACCTCCGTCCACGCATCTAGATGCACCAGAGGTCACACAGAGAGAGGCTTAAGCTGACATGCCACAGAAAACACACCCAAGATTCAAGAGAGAAGGTGGCAAACAAGGCAGCCTTGGACGACTGTTCCCTCCGCGGGGTCCTCCGTTCTCTATGGAGCACTCGAAAAAGTTACTTCTTCCTCCTGCCTCACTAGCCATCTCCTCTCCTGGACACACTCCTTCAGCTCAGCTGGCCTCAAAGGGGGTTGCGGGTCGCGGGTTGAAAGCAAAATCAAGGATTTGAGCTACGTTTTGAGATGGGCTCTTCCCTAATCGTACAATCCACCAAGCACCAAGCACGGAGGTGCTGGGCATACGGCACGGCTCGGACGACTTTGGAGACATTGCCACAGCTCGATCGAGCTAAGCTCGCCTCCTGATCGGTTCATCTTGTCGTACTCTTTCAGGATGGCGAAATCTTCACGGTTAGTATAGCCTATGCAAGCCACACAAGCCGCCGGCAAACGGCAACTTGGGCCTGCCAGCCGATGTTAATTCTCCTCCTCAGCTACGAAAGGGCCTTATGCAGTATAGCGGAGCTCGTTGAAGATGATGAAAACTCTCCGTCCACCAATGAATCGGCATATCTGGGCTATTCGGCGACCACGGCCATTAGCTTTACCTTCAAGCCCTGATCCCGTCGACTCGAAAGGATCGATCCAAGTGCCCACCACTGTCTCGCTCGAGCAAGACAAGATCTGGGTTTCTCATCTCTCGTCTATCGGGCCCCGCTGTTGCCATTGAGTGTCTACTCTAGGCGACCACTGTGGTTCTCATCCGCTAATACAATCCATCCCACAGTCTGGTAGTGCAGGGAACCTAACACGGCCCGAATCCATCCTTTCATCCCTGTGGTTGCCGTCCAGTGCCCGTTTTGGGCCGGAGTATCGCTATCATCTGGACCGAATCACCTCAGTGATGTCAAATACGTCGTTCTCGTCTTTCCTCTGTGGAAGGGCCAGGGAAGAGCCTGGAGCAATCGACGCATGGTGACTTGGTCTCGAGGCTCGGAGAAAACTGCCGACAGACTTGTTAGGCGAACATCCCACGAGGGATCTTTGCCATGTTGGACTTCCCAATTCATCTCATCATGTGCACCACTGTCCTGAACCAGCAGTCTCCGGACTAAATATGCGAGGACCTAAAGGCCAACCATGGCTCCCTTGTCTTATTCGCCGCCCCTGGCGGTGATATGGGCCGAACGAATGCAGAAGATGGAGACCCTCACCCTAGCAGCGTTGGTCAAAGGACGATAGCCACCCGGTCTCTGGGCCTTCGCTAAGTCTTCCCATTGCAAGCTTTTTTTGCCTTTCGTCAACTCGCATCTCGCTAGGCCTGCACCCCTGAGTGGACTCTGGCCGTATGTGGAATTGATACATGCAGTGGTGTCGATTTGGCATAGTGGACGGCTGCACGCTATTGGGAAATGGCTAACCTAACACACCCTCCAGCATTGTCGTCCCTCTCTCAACTGCTTGCATCCCCATCCACCTCATGAGTTACTGCATTTGAATGCTCTGTGGTGATTGGCACACAAGTCTGGAGCAAACAATACTGGGAACTCCGAACTGTGGCATCCAACCCCGGTTGGGATACTCCACCTTCCACCCTCCTTCAGCATTTTACATTTGCGTTTATTGTAAAGTTGTGCGAAGCGGGATCAACAGTCGGTCCCCTCTGAGGTCCCTGATTTCCATATTATACCTCGTGCCTGGACCCTGCCATGCTCTTGCAAACGATCGGATTCTCTGGCTATCACTTCGACGTTTGGACATCATCTGTCGACGTTATTGTCGCCAATGCCATGATATATTCTACAAACGTCTCAATCTTCACTCATTAGCTTTGAAGACAAGCCTCTTTCCCGCAGGTCGCTTTCATTGAGCCACTTGATATCCCAAGGCCACTGCATATCTGCCTCACAACACCAAGCTGTCTGCCAGTTGCACCGCCGACAATCATCATACTCCTTTGTCACGGCTGTTCGATCCGTTGAATGGCAAGGCAATAGGTGCATAAAACATGATGTTGACCGGCATCCCTAACACTCCAACTGTGTTCGTGCAGGCCCTGGGCCTCCCGCAACCATCAGTGTTCAGTAAACGGCGGGCCAACTCATGCAAGCCCTGCCGTGACAGCAAATCAAGAGTACAGTGCATTCCCCAGGAATGTCGCAGGCACCCTGCTAATCTATGGTTGCAGTGTTCTGGAGGCATGCCCTGTACGACGTGTCAAAAGAAGCGTGACAAGCCCGAATGCTTCTACCTGACTTCCTTTCCGAGGAATCAAGTTAGTCCCGGACAGCCATACAGACGACTGTCAGAGCACTGCTGACGGAGATGCTAGCCCAGACAAGTTCATGATACGGAACACTCCCACGGAGAGGCGTTCGGCACCTGCCGTAGCGCCAAACAAGGGTCTGATAAGATGGGTGCGGTCGAAGGAGCCCGAGGGTTCGCCACTCCGCAGCAACACTTCTGTGGAAACCTCTCGCTATCCAAGAGCATAGACGAAGTAATGGAGCCCTCCAATACAACGATGTCGAAAGGCTAACCCTTTGTGCAGTTCAAGTCGTTGCTGCCTACTAACGGACGGTTCCGCGAGATCTTAGACTCGATCCAGCCTGTCCAAGTCTTCGACTGGGAAGGTCACGCCAGTGATGATGACCCAACAACGAACCAGAGCCAAATGGCAGAAACAGACGATGCCTTGGACATTGAAATCCCAGCACGGCTTGAGCCACTTTATATGAAATACAAAGCCGTACGGGATCTCCTCGATGCGGGAAGGGCAACGCAAGCCTGGGCCGCTTTCCCAAGTCTCGTCCGTGATGCAGAAATTCTCGGTTGTAAGTGTGAACCAGACTTTGAAGTGGCTTATTGTGCTAATCTCTTCAGTGGACATGGATTCTGGCGCAGCCTCAGGTGAGACTGATAAAAACTCACAACCGGGCCGTCATCTCTGCTGGCTCCTCATAGAACTCGACGTTCAACTTAGCTTTCTCCTGGGTCGCTGTCCCTTTATTGCTTCTTTTCATGGCATCTCCAGGCCGACCTCAACAGCCTCGAGGCCGGAAGAACAGGACCTCCAGGAAAGAGTCTATGACTTTTCACAGTACATGCTCGAAGTCCTGGAGCGCTTCAACCGGGGCAAGAATGACCCGCAAATATTGTCTTCTCAGGAGAGGGAGACCAGGTTAGAAGCCGATCTGACTCGACTATACCACCTGCAGTCGAAACTACCGCCGGTGCCGCAAAACAACTCGTCTGACCCTTCACTATCCATTGCAATTACCCAACATCACATCGACGTTCAACTTATGCTGATGGTGCTGCATTGCCAGATGCTCCGGGCGATGCGTAACCAACACACGTCGGCCAAGCGGGCCAAATACAGGGAGCTGCTGAAGTGTTCTCGACTGATTACCGAGATGTTCGACTCCATCCATAGCCTTGACCCGACCAAGACGGCTTCATCCTGGCCGCGGTGCTTTGGTGTCTTTTGCGCCGCTGTAATGCTGGGCATCGCCACCATCCGCCAAGAGGTCGGCGTGAGCATAGGTTCGAAGCGTGTGGAGCGGACCTTGAGCATCTTTAAAGATCTTGGGAAAGCTGGCCAAGCTACGGGAGTTGTTGACCTGGCCATCACATCCCTAGATCTGGTCGTCGAAAGAATCAAGGAGCTTGAACACCCTCCTACCAGCGCCACTGGTATCAGTCTTGGGCCGACCGTCACTTGCCCGACAACGCCTACCGGCGAGGTTACTCCTCCGGCCGCACCCCTGACCGATTTTGCGGCCAAAGTCAAGAGGAATGATGCGAACCTCAAACGTCGCAGAAGACCCAGCTTCGAGGGGAAACTGGGTGCCAACAAGCGACAAATGTTCGAGTTCAAGGATATCGCCCCGAGCAACCTAGAGCAGCGACGTGCAAGTTGGCATCCCGGGACTGACCATCATTATGCTCAGGCTATGGCGGCTTTCCATGACGCAGCTGCAAACAGCGTCCAAAATCGACCTGAGCAGGCGAGCTTCCAGCAGGACAAATGTCCGCCACCGGCAGTTTCCACCTCGTTCACGGCGAATGATCAAACAGCAATGTCCGCGGTGGGATATGGGACGACTCCTCTAGAGCAGTTCCACGAATTCCAGGCCGCTCATCACTGGGTTCATCCACCAATGATGTACCATCCGCCAATGTACGATGATTGGTGGCAAGCACAATTTACTCCTTATGATACCATGACCCCAGACCATTCTCGACAAGTGTTTTTTGAGTCGCCGCTGGGTTTGCCCATGGACCAATCTCGCCATCTCGATACTACCCCGCGTGCCAATGAGCATGCTGGCTTTGCTCATCTTAAGCAAGACCAAGGCCTCCATCACGATCCCGCCATGATGATTAATACCTCAATGGTACGCTCGTTATGCAGTACTCAGGCGGTATAACTTGACGCACTGGGTCAGGCAACGGCGATGCTGGTTGACATGAGTACTTGTATAGATGACTCTCGCTCGCCTTGATCGCAGCGTGGGTTCCTCGCACGAATGGTGGAGGGGCTATTGGCCTCGTCCGAGCTACGTTTATTCCACCGATGCAGATATGAGACATGCACAGACAGACACAACAGTACAGAAAAGAAGGCTAACAATGGGCAAAGGGTTATGTGACCCAGGACAGCGTTGATATATGTGTAGCGAATGTACTATTACGGGATTTGCATAGGTAGCTAGGTATTATGCACCAGTCTTGAAATATTGTGTCAAGTTTCGCATGTCTCCTCTATTGAGCTGTATCTTGTCCGTGTACCGAGTACTTGTATAGACTTGGACATCGGTCCGAATGAGGAAGGCCCAAGCGAGTAGACCAATCACAGCTCTCGATATGGGTGGGCGACATACCCTCCTCCGTCTTCGCCGTCTTCATGTACGCAGCCGCTCAACTCCTAACCTCCATACTACTTACACCTACATATTCTCCATATGCACCACACTTTTTCTCTACCTTCCAGTGCAACCATGTGAAACCGTCGCCATGTATCCGCCGTTTGATTACTTCGAGCACCGCCGGGCCTGGTCAGTTACCAATTTCTCACCTTTTCCCTTCCCCAATGCCTGTTGGGATGTATCACATGCATCAACTCTCGGATACTAACGTCCTTCCAGCATAATCAAGCAGCGCCAGCGTGACGCTCGTTTCGAGTCTCTCCCAGACCCCTACAAAGGCCCGCTCACCTCCCAGCAGCGCTCTATCCTCAATGCCCCAATCGCGCAGCTCGTCCGCGACGTACACAATGGCGCCCTTTCGCCGATTGACATTCTTCGCACCTACGGGAAGACCACCGCCGTGGCACAGCAGCGGACCAACTGCGTGACAGAGATCCTGTTGCCCGAGGCTGAATCATGGGCAAAGGATGTGAACCTCCAGGGTCCGCTTGCAGGCATCCCTGTGTCCCTCAAGGATACCATCGCCGTAGCGGGCTTCGACGTTAGCGTGGGCTATTCGCGCCACGTCTTCAAACCATACAGCGAAGACGGCGTGATGGTAAAGCTCCTCAAGCGAGCTGGGGCCATTCCACACGCCAAAACTGCGCTGCCCATAACACTGTTGAGCTTCGAGAGTACGAATGATCTCTGGGGCGTCTGCAAGAACCCACACAATCCCAAATACTCGCCCGGGGGGAGTACGGGCGGCGAAGGAGCGCTGCTGGCTCTGAATGGATCGAGAATTGGAATCGGCTCGGACGTCGCGGGGTCGGTGCGTGCTCCCGCAGCGTGGTCGGGGATCAACTCTATACGTTGTTCGACTGGCAGATGGCCGAAGGTCGGTATGAATACTTCTATGCCTGGACAGGAAGGTATACCTAGTGTCTTCTCTCCCATGGCCAGGACTTTAGACGATCTGACCTACTTCACGCGGGCGTTTATCGGCATGAAGCCCTGGGAAGTCGACTACACCGTGCACCCCATCCCGTGGCGACAGGAACTGTACGATGAAGCGCTGGAGAAGAAACCGCTACGTATCGGCTTGATGACCACAGACGGCGTTTGCGCTCCCTCTCCAGCGATATCTCGTGGGTTGGAAATTACAGCGTCAGCGCTCCGCTCTGCTGGCCACCAAGTGGTTCAAATCCCCGTCTCTTCATATCCGCCCAATGCCACCCCCGCCCAAGGCTTACAGATCGCCAGCGTGCTGCTCTGCGCAGATGGCGGCAAGACCTTCCGATCATTCTTCCGCACGGGTGAGTCTAACGACCCAGGCGCCGCACAGATCAATTTCTACATGTCTCTTCCGCGACCTCTTAAATATCTGTGGTACCTCTTCACGCGCTATGTCCGTCGCGATTCACTGTGGGCGTCCATCCTACGTTACTTCCATCCATTAAGCGCCTTCGAGCAGTGGCGCTGGGTTGCCAAGCGCGAAGCCTACAGGGCGACTTGGTTCGACTGGCTCAACCAACCCGCGCAACAGTTTGATTTCATCCTGGGCCCGGCAAACGCGACCCCGGCCCTGCCGCACGGCTGCATGAAGGAGGCGGTGAGCAGCTGTGGGTACACGTTTTTGTGGAATCTCTTGGACTACTCGGCCGGTATCATACCCGTTGCCAAGGTGGACAAAGAAAAGGACGCTCTGCCCAAGGGGTTCAGGCCTTCGAACGGAATCGAGAAGGGTGCGTACAAGTACTACGACAGTGCAAAGATGGCGGGTCTCCCGATCGCGGTGCAGATCGTCGGACGACGACTGACGGAGGAGAAGGTGTTGGGGTACATGCAAGTCGTGACGGATGCCCTGAGAGACAGTGGAACAGTCTACGAGCATTTGGACGTCGACAACCTCCCAGAGATCGACGAGCTGGAACACGGAAACAGCAAGAAGATCCCTGTCGATCCCAAGAAGATCTGGTAGGCCCTGACGCTACAGTGCGTCAATCGAAAGTATCAATTGGACACGGAAAGAGATGGGTAGAGGATTAAGAATCGATCTCCCGTATATACATACGTGGTATATATACGACGTATGTATGTATCCATGCACCCATGCACCATGCATCGCGCATAACCGAATGAATGGATTGCCAAACAGCCTGGATCTGCAGAAAATTTACAACATTGTTCCAGATAAAATACACATATACATGTGCCAGGCCAGGTACACTTTGCTTGGGGGCATCAAAGGGGGAAAAAAAGAATGTATGGTTTAGTACCTAGAAACCATAGAGCATGCATTTCGCGGGCCAGCTTTATGTAAATTATACATACGCACCGCGATCGATTAGTTGACGAGATGTCATCCATGTCTGGCCGTCGGGCCCTGTTCACCTGTGCCATACTAGACCAGATCGGGCTGATCGATATTATGAATATAATATGATAAAATACACCTATTCTACAAGCCAAGTGCCACAAGGGCCAAGGGCCAAGGGCTCTGCGTCTTCGAGATGAGAGAGAAGACGATAAACTCGATCGACTTCGTTCCAGCAGACTCTGGTCTTCAGCGTACTCCTGCACTCTAGCTAGCTAGCTAGCTTTCTTTGCCAGAAATTTGCCCCCCGGCGGTCTCGGCGTCCTTTGCAGGGTCTCCCTCCTCAGAGGGGGCAGCCTCAGAAGACTCAGCTCCATTAGAAACCATGGAGTGGACTTTGGGCGTGATGTGGATGCTGCCGGATTGAGTATAAGTCTCGCTTGGTGGACCGACGGCGCGGACGACCACGGTTTTCTGGACCAGGTCGACGAGTTCCAACTTCACCGGCAAAAAGGAACGATACTTGACGCCCTTTTCCCACCCCTCGTTTGACGCCAGAATGACCGCGTAGACATTGAAAGGGAGGAGGACGCCTCTGAGCCCGCTGTCGTCAGGTCGAGTCCGTGTGGAATTGACAGAGGTCACGTTCACATCCCACACCTCGGGGAGTTCTGCCTCCCTGAAGTGGAACGCGCGGAACAGTGCTTGCGTGATCCAGTGCTTTCTCTCGTTGCGCGAGATCTCACGTGCCCATTCATACATTCTGGGCGAATGCTCGACTATGAACTTGTCCACCAGCTCCTTTGAGATGGGCAAGTCCACCCTGTCGCCCGGATCGCCCGGCTGGATGGCGCCACTCGCTTCGGCACGGAGGTAGGCATCGGCCTGCCAGTGGGCCATCAAGTCGGGATAGCGTCGAAGAGGATTGCTGAACCACAAATGGACTTGATGGCTTTTGTGGACATGTGGTATGGGTGAGGACGATAGCTTGCCGGACGGATACTCTGCATGTTCACCGCGCCCCAGTTTATTGAGCTTCGAGGGGGGGAAGTCTGCAGCGTACGAGGATCCGAAGAAACACGCAGGGAGCTTCCGGTCCTGAAACCACTTGCCAGCCGACTCTGCAACCAGGTCTCCACATAAGGCTGTCAACGTAACGTACTGCGGCATTTCTTTGACCCGATTCAATCGCATGTAGCGCGACACGGTGATTCTAATTGCAGGATCGCCCTGATATTGCTGGCTTCGAAATAAACTGTCTTCGTCAAATCGGCTGCCCGTTATGTGAACGTAACTCTGAGTCGAAAGGCTCCCCTGCACTTCCCAGTCCGGCGCCACGGCCACACTTCTTCGGCGACTCTCCTCTCGAGCGAGGAGGTACTTCTCAAGTCTCTGAAGATCGTCGAGGTGCGCCTGGGCTTTTTCGATATCTGCCGGTGCTGCTTGTTGCAAAGATTTAGGCGGTAGTCCAGCTTGTGGCCCTAATGAAAGAGTGGCGGCTTCGTACTCGGGTTTCCCTAAAACCTGTTCCACGGCAGCATTGGTGAGATGTATCACATTTCGAAGTGTGGTAGGCCGAATCTGTATGTCTTTGACATCGCCATCCTCTGTAACAAGGGTGCTGACAGTGATGGCTGGCGAACCTGAGCGCAGGGACAGCGCTCGTGTGAAGCTGTCGGGGACCATACGTGCAACGTAAGTGTTGTGAAAGACACTCGCGGTGAGTTTCAGGGCTCGCTGTGCTATGATGTGGTCTGGGTCAATGAATGCTGTAGGGTGCGATACATGGCCATGTATCCAGTATGCACCTGGGATCTCGCTGCTGGGTCCAATCGAAAAGCCGTCTTCTCTGATATTTGTTTCGCCAGCGTCAATGCAATAAACCGGTAAATGGTCAAAATCCCGTCGGAGAGATGCCATGGAGTCTACGAGCAAACCATGATCGAGGGACTTGCTCAGACCTGAGTCGTGACAGAAGCGGTCAGCCTCGTCATAGATGCGCGTCAGCTCGTGGCTACCTCTGCCGCCAGGGATCTCGAGCGTCACATTGTGGTCGGAACGAAGAAACCATGGCGGCAGGGTACCCAACTCTTGCAGCAGAAGGCAACCCATGTTTTGGTCGAGGCGAAGCTTGGGATATGCGCCGATAGCTCGGAGGATCAAAGAAGCAATGGCAAGATTTCGGTTGTTGTCTGGTGGAGGGTAACGAACATAGCAGTCCCAAAGAAATTCTAGGAACATCTTGTCCTCTTCCGTGAATGTTTCATCATTCTCTTTGACGGGAATCTTGCCGTCCTCAAGGTCTGTAGGTTGGATGGAGCTGGGTCCAAGACTGCCAATTGTGGTGGGAGACCGTAGGGTGCGGCTCTTTAAGATCAACCGCCTCGCCTTGGTAACGAAGGCAGTCAGGGGATTGCGTGCGAGAGCACTGGCCACATCTTTCCCCATAGCCGCGGCAGCAGCAGCCTCCTGGTATTCTCGAGCCCATGTACAAACTTGGTCAAAGCGCCTTGCCAACCTTTTGGGCATGATAGCCACAGTTGCAGAGGGATAGTGAGTCTTCTTCAGGACAGTGATCTGAGCAGCATGCTTCCTTCGCAGCGTCCTATAGATAGTAAAGAGTGCCGCAGGAGGTGCTTCGGAGTATTTGACACTGAGCAATTTGTTCACAACTTGCTCGTACGACAGGGATATATACCTGTCTTCGTTGGCGATCCGTTCGTAAAGCGAGTCGAGAAGAGCCATGTTCTCTCGCCTCCATGTGGACATGTCGTCGACGAATTGGGCAAGACGGCTTATCAGAGTCTCGGAGTCGATAGAGGGAAGATCGCCGGCAAAGCTGTAGCCCATCTTGACGTCAAAACCTGTGGCCTGCATCTCAAGTGGCTTGACTGGCAGATGCTTCCGGACCTGCTCGATTTCTTGCTGGGAAGCGAATTGTTTGTAGCGCGGACTGGGCTGCTGAACCGACTTTTCAACAACCCAGCGACCGTCAGATAATAAATACTGACGCTGCCAACCCAGTGTGCCCAGGAAAATGGCCAGTTGCGAGCGGGCAAAGCGACCAGCGCCAGCCGTGTATTTGCCAGGCTGCCACCATATCAAATCGCCCGGGTCGAGATGAGGGACATTGCCACCCTCTACAGCATCTTCCCATGTCTCAGGGAGGTCGTCCGCTCCCGACTCTGCATCCTCTCCCAATGTGTTGTCACTGAGGCTTGCCTCTTCGATGAACAGAGAATTCGGTAGTACAGTGAGTCGTTTGAGCTTGAGGGAATCGCTGTGTGCATCCGCCTCTTTCCTCTTTTTCTTGTTGTTCTCCGCGCTCCATGCTCTTAAGTGGTTGCGTATAACCGAATCAGAAGAGACGGCGGTATTCGTAGACGATAATGAAGAGCCCCGCGCAGAGGTTGAGGGACTTAATGGGATATTTCGAAAAGTGTCGGAGGAGGCCCGAGAGGTCTCGAGTGACGCCAGGCGAGGGCTCAATGTACTGAATGGCTTTCCATGCTGTCTGAACAGCCCACGGATCGGTGCAGAGGCAGTGGATCTATTTCCTTGGTTGCGCCAGAGAAATGGTGAAAGCAGAGCATGCGTCCGACATTCTGGGCAAATATATCGCAGTCGCTTCTTGGTAACATTGCCTGCGTGGTTTCTCGATGCCAGCATATTCTCCCTGTGTACAGGCCGGCACGAGGAGCTGGGTCGAAGAATCAAAGAGGAATTGAATGAGAAGACGACGCTGGAGATGGAGAAAGTCGTCACCATTCGTGTTTCTCCAAAAAATAGAAAATTGTGGACGCACTCCACGTCTCCGCGTGTTACAGCCCACCAACCAGCGAGAGTGCGCTTGTGACTCAACGCCGGGCACTTTTTCTATTTAATGTCGCTTCTCTTCGCATACACTGCATGTAGAGGAATTCAGACCGATGTGCTACCGCTGACATGCCGATCCAACAGCCCGCCAACCAGATCAAACTGACCAATGTATCGCTGGTCCGATACAAGAAGGGCAAGAAACGGTTCGAACTTGCGTGTTACAAGAACAAACTACTCGAATACCGCTCGGGGACCGAGACCGACCTCGACAATGTCCTGCAAGTGCCGACCATCTTCCTGAACGCCTCAAAGGGCGAAACTGCCCCTAATGCCGAACTCGTCAAGGCATGGCCTATGCCAGAAAAACAAGAATCGGGAGGGAAAGGTGGTGGAAAGGGCGGTAAGAAGGGTAAGGGGAAATCTACAACGGATGAGGGGGAAGATGAGAAGTCATGGAAGGACGCCATCATTGAAGAAATTCTGAAAAAGGGCGAGATCCAAGTCAACGCGAACGAGCGCAAGGAACTGTTGGACAGGATGGAGAGGGAGATTGTGGAAGAAGTCGCCCAGAGACTGGTGGATCCGCAGACAAAGAGAGTCTATACCACAGGCATGATCAAGAAAGGACTAGACGTGCTCTCCAAACAGGGCGGTCATGTTCCCTCTCAGGACTCCTTGGGCCACAAACTCGGCAAGCTAAATCTGGGGGAAGGCGTCAAGAAGGGAGCTGCAGCGCCAAAGGGATCAAGCGAAACGAGTGGACAAGCAACGCCAATGACGGACGAAGACAATGAGTCGGCGTCTGGCGGCACCCCCAAGGGCAGAAAGAGCGACATGCCCTCATGGACGGGGGTCGTGACCAACAAATCTGTCAAACAGCAGGCTCTTGAAGCGATCCGTGCCTTGATCGCCTGGCAGCCCATCCCCGTCATGCGTGCGCGTATGAGACTGCGGATCACTTGCCCCACCAACATCGCAAAACAAGCCGCAAAATCCAAAGTCGCCAGTACAAGCGCAGACACTGGCGAAGACGCCGGAGCCGACCAGGGCAAAGGCACTATCAAGGATCGCATTTTGTCCTTTGTCGAGCAGGTCGAGAGCCAGGAAGTGCTGGGTGAGGAGTGGGAAGTGGTCGGATTCGTGGAACCGGGCGCGTTTAAAGCCCTGGGAGAGTTTATTGCCGCCGAAATGAAGGGAAGAGGGAGGCTGGAAGTGCTGGATATGGCTGTTACCCATACAGACGATTGAGGAGAATGGGTACAGGATAACAGCGGAACGGATGAGGAGGTGACTCAAGTAGATCCCTCTTGCACGAAGGCGATACAGACCAGACCGGCGACGACGTTACTCGATATGCTGCCTTGGATCCTAGGACAAGACAGGTGTCTGACAACCCAACGCGTGACGCAAGGTCAGAAACGAACGACATTCAATTGGGATCACATGGATACGACACATGCCATCATCCCGGCCGTCCATCAAGAACCCGTCACATCCAGGTCCAGACAGCTCTAGCATCAATTGCAGCACAACAAGTCCCTTTCTTACGGGCTTCCCCATCAGGTATCAACGAGATACCGACTTACGAAACAAACTTCAGACGCCACCCATCGGGAAGACCTCTCTGGGTAAGGAGGGAGAAGGGATTCCCTCTTCTTCATAAGTTTTATCCACCCTTGGATCTCTCCTCACGCATGGTGCACAGATGCAAACGTGAGTGTCCTTATACATCACGAGGCTGCACACGCGGGCAGGATGCCACGGTATCTCTGGCACATTTTCGGTATACAAGTACAAGTAATGCCACCTCTAGCCCCAGGCCTTGGTAGGTGGATCGAGACATGCCAGGGCAGTTCCGGTATGCAGACGAGGAAGGGCGGGAGGAAGGGAGGGAGACGGCGAGAAAAAATAGAGCAAAGGTGATTAGATGGGTCACCTGCAATTACAATCCATCAATCCAAACAGCATCCTCTAGAGATTTCTACAAGTACCGCACTTGATAGGAACTTTTGCTTTCAAGTGGTATTGTGACAGGTCACGAGATTTGACGGTCACGAGAAAGGTGTACGAGGAATGTGTCGACTCTGTCAAGACCCTTCCTTGAATTGAAGCAACCCCGGCCGGGCATTTTATCCATCATTTATCCAGCCAATATTCATCCTCACATCCACTCAGGCAGTGAGGCAGCTAATTCAGCGGCTGAGTTTCCTGTTATCTCACGTGCGTGCCCTCCCGTGCCTCCTACATGTGTACTGTTCGGGTCACTCAGAATCCAGCGTCTCGTCGACGGTTCAAGTAAACGGTCCACGAGAGAAACAGAGTGCTGAATGTACAAGTACTCGTACGACAAAGTGGCCAACTTTCCATGTTCTTGGATGATTGAGGGCCACCAATGGGTGTGATTCGTGATTCAGGGCGAGAGCCCACTGCTACTGTTACCCAAGCTGACTTCCGACCTGCCAATTCCCTGCAGTGCAACGGAGACGATGTGCATTCACAGTCTTTCCGCCCGATCCGACGATGCATTGGGGTTGTTGTCGTCAGAGGGTCACACCTCCAACCCGTCGTGTGATCAAGTCTATACCCACTCCTTGTCCGTCGATGAGGATGATGTTGTCGTTTCTCTGAAAATAGAAGACCCTTTGAGGAGGAAGAATAAAAGAAATGTAGAAGAAGTAATCCATCCCGCTGTGCCATGCAGAAGTTCCGGGCCAAAACACCAACAAAAGCCATACCCATGCTCAGGTCTATATCCCAATCCATACGAGAAGGTAGTGATGCACGGTGCTCAGAAATTCGTCAACGTTGATTGCTCGTGGCCGAACATTGCCGCCATTCTCATGTAGTTTCCCTCACGTTGGTTTGGAGAAACCACGGGGTCCGCGGTCAAGCAGTAATTGTACATTTTGATTTTGTCCCATTCCGATTTCCTTGTTTGTCTCGCATCCATTTGGATCGTGTAAAGTTGAGCGTCATCGTAAGTCATCATTTGGTCCATCTTATATCAAGATGTGCCCATGGATTTCGGTCATCATAAAGCGACTCCGATGCCTCTTTCGCCGAAGTCCCTCTGTTTCAATGTCGCTCTCGTCATAGCTTGCTCGAGCTCCTCCGCTGTGAATGGCGTGTCGTGCCTGGTAGCCTGCTTGGATAGATCTGCCAGTTCAGGCATGTGAATACCGCTGTCGTGCTGAGCGAGCTTGTTGTTTGGTTCGGCGGGTGCCGAGGGCACTGCCGTGGCTTGATCTGAAAGGGATGCTATTAGAAGGTCAGTAAAGTTTAAGGAGTTTGACAATCGACCGACAGGGTCTATGAAACTTACTGCTCGCGGTATCCGCATCGAATGCCATACTGGCACTGGTACTCTTCTGCCTGCTCGTGCTGTTCGAACAACTGCTACTCCCTTCTGAATCCACGCCACTCGCATTTCTCAAGGTCGACCCATGGAGTTCCTGTATCGATGGTCTCCGACTCGCTGCCCTACTGTGAGCTCTACTGGCCGCGGCGCTCTGTGAATTGGTACCCCCCGGAGAAAATGTACCAGAGAGGGCGAGTGAGGTTCGTCTCCGGGCAGATGAGAAAGCGTCGGCAAGCGAGAAAGCCTGCAGAGAGGCTTGGTGTTCGGGATCGACCTTGCCCCGATATTTGGACTTTGGGATCTCGTTGGGCTTATAGTATTGAATATCCTTCCGGCTTGTGTAGTACGGTTCCCCATTTGGCCCAGTCTCACTTCCCGTGCTATTCTTCTTGGACGTAAACGTCCTCCGTAGTCTTACGCGTAGACCCATTGTACGTATGTGATATGAGGGAGAAAAGAGGTTCTGGTCGAGTGGGCGCTGACAGTGTATCGGACACTGACCCTTGGTCGATAACTGATAGATAAGCCCTTTTCACTAAAACGCGAGGTCGGCCGTGGTCGATGTTGTAACGGGGAAATAGAGGAGTGGGATGGGCCGCAAGGGACCAAGAGACTTCATATGGTTGCCATCAGGTTGGATCTGGAAGATGTGGAACGGCTGGTGGCCAGAGGCATATCAGACGCAGTCAGGAGAGCATGGGGGCCCGTGGGTAGGAGTGACGAGACGGTGGGCATAACTGTTGTGCTGGAAATCTGGCACAGGGTGGAGGAGAGGAGCCGGAGGAGGATGGAGATAGCCGTGGGCACTGGTCGACCATGGTGGCATGCTAGGATAAGATGTGCCCGTGCTCTGTGCCCTGTCTTTCCCAATGTAGCGGGAGTGAGTACCCACTCTCTGCGCCATGGTCGGCGGAATCTATCGCAGGTCTGAGCATGGGCAATGGGTGCATAGCGTACTTGGGGAGAGGTAGTGTACGAGTAGCATATCGCGAAACCCGAGGGGCGAGGCATAAAAATGGAGCCAGGTCGACTGTGAAGAAGGTCAGCGAGCAACTAGACTGCCAGAACTGCCCAACGGTAGCCAAGGGTGGCAGAATCCGATGATTCCGCCGATAGGCCTTCCATGGGTGTGGGTTCTGGAGGGATCTGTCAGTGGTCGAGGCGCAGGTTGGGCGAATCGCTCCTTGGTGAGATGTGGTCCCAATCCTACCTCAACTACTCCGTAAACTGCCTATTTTCTGGGGACAGGACGAGTTTGTACAAGTGTGATGCCATGAAGCTGGTAGGAGTTGCCGCTGGTCCTCCTGCAATGCAACGTGCTGGTTTCCCCGGTATATCAAATTGGCCGCTGGTGCCGCCATAAGCAAGATTCCTTGGTAGTAGTACACCTACCAGGACAAGCATATTCAAGTACGAGGATTCGTTGCATGACGATCCAAGTAGGCGATGCGACCTTCTAGAAACATTCTTGTTCCGGCTCTTGTTCTGGCGCGGGCGGTTTTTGCTGGATGTGGTTGGGTGGCGACTGGCCGCCCCTTGCATTGGTCGCAGGCAAGCCTGGACCCTGGGAGACCTTTAGCCTAGGAGCCCTATCAATTCCACCTATAACACCCCCGAAGAGTCGACTTTAAATGCACCTGTAGCGTGGCTCCCTTCCACAGCGTGCTCCCTCTAGTCCTCTAGCGATTGTGGCCTCACCCGACGTGCATGAGCGACTTGTTTCTGCTGATAAGGATTGTGTCGGACCAGGTTTCTTCAGAAGAAGATCAAGTTCTCCTTTGCATCACTCCACGGGCCATACACGTCTCTTTTGCCCGTCTTGCCGCGTGCAACCTCTGACCAGAACTCAGAGCCATCTTCGCCACCAATGAGTATCACAACGGCGATATCTCGCTCGACGCAGTTTCACGTGACCATTCCTCTTCTTTGCCCAGATTTGGGGAAATGACGCGTATTACATGTTAACGGGGCGATCATCACTGCTGTTGATATTTTGACCCTGACAACTCATCATCAAATTGTCACAGTCCGGTCGGACGAGTTTGAAGCCCCGTCGTCTCGGATAGTAACCCTCAAAATGGCCGATGTTGTGCATTAATGTCCACTCGCCCCAGGCTGCCAGGTTCTTCATCACAGCATGATTGGTCGATCTCTCGAGATCTTGGTTGCTCAAAAAATGCCTTTTTTCGGTTTATTGGTTTCTTTGGCTTCTGCTGGTGCTGTTGTGTTCCAAGCATGACTTCATCGGTGTCCAGACTGGGCACATTCAGGGACTGGCCACAGCTGAGCTGCTCAGGCTGCTCTACCCACTACGTCTAGCGTTTTCATCCTCCCCGCTTCAACTGGGCAGCTGGCAGTGGCTAGGGTGGCCATCGTCCAATGAACAACTCTGTGTCTGCCGTCTGTGGCTTAAAAAATGTCCGTTGAATTACCAAGGTTGGAGGTTTGACGATCTGGTGTCATGGGGTGACGGTTTGAGTTTCTGAGGTTATGACGCAAACCATCAAACATGGCGCAGGGAGCATTGCCGGGCGCAGCCAGCATTCAGCATCACCTCCCTTCTCCTCGTTTGACACTCTCGTAGTCTTCTTCTATTTGTGGTCGATGACTTTCTCTGTACTTGATCTGAACTGTTTTGACAGAATCTAACAATTTCAAACCGGAATGGACAAGTTAAAGACCATGATGTACGTACCATAACCCCCCAGGCTCCCTCTCTGCCAAATACGTGCTCAAGGCAAAGTAGGGACAAAGGAAATGTCGAGGACAAGACAGGACCGAGTAGTCGATTGACAGGACAAGGGTCTCATTTCCCCAAGAACGAAGAGCAGCCTGTGGGTGCCGCCACTGGTCTCCAGGAAAACATAGCCGTGGGAGATACTCGAGGTGCGTTCATCCCTAGCTTAAACCACGTCCTTTGCATCGCGCCCATATATCTAACCCACTAGCAGGCACAGATATACAACAGGCTCGTGGAGGCAACCTGGCTAGTCAATTGCCTGGCCGTGGCCCTGGTACAGCTGCCATTGGCGAAACCTCGACATATAGTTCCCATACACTGCGTACAGGCGATCCTGTTCCAAATGTCGTTGACTTCAGGTCCGAGGATCCCGCCACGTATCAGGCCCCCGAACATTCCTATGTGTCCAGCAGGGGCATACCTGAGGGTGGCCCCTTGGCCGCTGCAGCCCACGCATTTCACAAGGACAAGGATTATAGTAGTATGACTCCATGACAAGATCCAGGTGATAGGCTCCATACACTGACATTCCCAGCTTCTCACCTCCCTGGAGCATTTCCCAATGACACAACAGCCCATGACGCTACCACAATCGCGCCTTCTACCTTGACGACGACAACATCACCAGCGGAGCGATCAGCGGTTTACGGTGAGGCCGAGAAGACTAAAGTGCCTGACGCAGCTGCCGCAGCCCAGTTCGCAACAAGAGCTGCCCCAGGAACCCAAGAGCCAGTCTCAGAAGAGCCCAGGAGCTCTGGAACGATTGGCAAGATCCTTGGTGCGGTGGGCTTAGGGACTGCCGCGAGTGGTGCTATGGCGGCTACCTCGAGGGCTGAGGAAGATCAACAGCACGCCGTAGCAGACACTCCTAATCAACCTACGACTACCACTGGCGTCGATTCCTATACCTCACCAAGTCACTCAGGGCATCCATCGTCACATCACCGAAAAGAGAGTATTCCCACCACAGCCTACCCAGCAGGTGTGGATTCTCCTGCGCCGATCAGTCCGCCGATCGGGGGCACCTCCGCAACTTCAGACCAGGAGGAAAAGGACCATGCAGCTCGCAATACGGGACTGGCCGCTGGAGCGGCAGGCGTTGGGGCTGGCGTAGCGGCGGCGGGCGTTTATTCTATGCGAGGTCGAGAGCAAAACACAGCGGAGACCGACTGGCCTCTTCGAAATGACACCACGGCTGCGACGCCCGCAACGGCAACGGTTCCCCCATCAGAGGGCGCTACCAAGACAACGCCGGTAGGTCAAACCGCCCGACAACCGCATACCGCATATGAGGCTGCACCTGCTACGACTGAAACGTCCATCGTATCAGAATACAGGCAACCTCAGGAAAGACCAGAGGCACAAACCAAGAAGGACAAAGCCAAGCAGGAGGCTACCCGTGCTACGCCAACAAGTGCCGAGGGTGGAGCATCCAGAACATCCGAATACTCCAAAGGGCAGGATATGGTCTCAGAGGAAATAGAATCACGGAGACATAAAAAGGAAAAGGAAGCTGCACTTGCCGGAGTTGCAGGTGCTGGAGCTGGGGCTGGAGCTGCAGGGTTGTATGAACACAATAAGCGGCAAGACGGACTGGAGGACGACACTCAGAGGCAGAAAGATTTAGCGGAACAAGAGGCTGCCCGCCAGAAGCAATTCGAAAAAGATCAGAAGGCAGCTGAAAAGCAAGCCAAGAAGGAAGAGAAGCAACATCAAAAGGAGATCAAAAAGGAAGAGAAGCAGCACCAGAAAGAGCTAGAGAAGCAGGAGAAGCATCACCAGAAAGAAATTGAAACGGAGGAGAAGCATCACCAGAAAGAAGTTGACAAGGAAACCGCCGCTAGGGAAAAGGCTGCGGAGAAGGAAGAAAGACACCGGCGCGAGGAACTCGAGCACGATCAAAAGGAGCGCGAAAAAGCCACAGCTGCTGCCGCCGCCGGAGCTGGTGCAGGTGTAGCAACCGGCGCCGGTGCATATGAAGTGCACGACAAAGACCGACATCCGCCTCCCACAACGGTGACCGACGAATCAGGTCGCACGAAACTCCACAAAGAGCCAGAGGAGAAGAAGCCGGGTCTTTTGAAACGAATCTTCAAGCGTCGCAAGAACAAGGATACTGGCGAAGAAGAAGAATACGAGGACCACGACCATGATGAGCCCGAGGCTGAGCATGGTGACCATCATATTGCAGAAGCTGGAGTCGTTGGTGGCACAGGTGCTGCCGTCGCCGGAGCTGCTGCTTCTTCTTCTCACGAGCCACCTGCAAGTTCATACGAGGTACAGAGTGGTGGTCTTCAGAAGCCATCGTACAATCCCTTCTCCAAGGACGATCCAGCACATGAGCACCCCACAACGTCCAGTGCCCACTAGGAACGGTGTCCCAGAAAAACAACGACCCCCTACAGCTTCATGAGATTGAGCGAGCCACAATTCAATTCACACAACGCACTTCGTCACACGATGAACGTGTCACCCACAACCAATCGGCAGAACTCGCGGCGCAACATGTATGTGCCAATGGTGGAACAACATCCTGGGCTATAAAACATGTGCATCATCGATGTGGTGAAACCCGCCACAGTGCAGGAAGAAGTTGACAGAGTGCGGAACAAGCATCAGCATCATCATCTTTGACAGAGTTGCCAGATCCGGCGCAAATGCTGGGACGGCGCGTGGTTGTGGGTTGTGGA